TTGGGTTTGATGGATCCAGGGCGAAGTGCACCCAGAAGCGGCAGGAGTCGAAACCACCACAGCTTCACTTAGTTAGCATCAGTTTTAGGGCTCGATGGTGAGCCGGATATATTCGGAGAGCGCCATACCTGTACATTGAGGCTTCTTCTTCCTAGTAACTTCACAGAAACTTCAAAAAATGATGGAAATTAGCAACACATCAGCACATTTGCCCCAGGCTTTATGTCGAGATTTGTTTGGGTTAAAGAAGCCTGGGAAGGAGGGGAAGAAGACGTACTCGGTCCAGGCTATCCATATTCTATCGCGCTGCGCCTTTGTGCCCGGAGCAACGAAGGGCTTCCCATTACCCTCCTCCTCAATGGCACTAACCGTGCAAGCCTGGAGGAGCGTATTGACGCTTTCCTGGTCCGCCCCGGAGAAGCGCGACTGTCGTTGTACCGTCATGGTGAGTTGAGAATTGCGTTAGGAGTAGGAAGAACGATGAGAAGGTGAGGAGGAAGGGAGTTCAGGGGTTTGGAGGGAGAGGAAGGAGGCCACGACAGCATGAGCGAGCCAAGGCCAGCAAGGCCAGCAAGGCCAGCGCCGAGGCTCGAGGGTCGGGCGCAGTTGGTTCGCGTCTCCGAACCGGGAACGGGATCCTGGCGCCAGAAATGCACCGCCATCGCGAATGCGCGGGGTGCGAGCTGAGAGACCTAATGGGGTGTGAATGAAGTATAATGGGTGACGCCTTCCTGCCTCCGTCGCCGGCGCCGTTTGCAGCCGTTACGGAGCCGGTCCCACTCCGGGAACGGGAACACGTCCTTGGCCGGCAAAACTTCGGGCAAGGATCTAGTTCGTGCTTGCTGAGTCATCAATTGCAGTTGTGCGAAAGGCAAGGTTTTGCTTTCGAGCTTTGTATTTGGCCAGTCTCGTTGATATGCTTTACCGTCTTTGGTTCTCTGATATGTGTCGGATTTGGATATTACGAAGCTACTTGGTACCTGAAATTGACGATACCCTTTTGAGAAGCATTCATGATGCTGTCGATGTTCCCGCTATAGTGGCAGTAATCCCAGGCAGCTAGGTACTTTGCAGTTCATACAAGTGTTCAACATGTCTCCATTTACCAGTCGACTACAACGGCGGCCCTACACTCAACTAAGTTGTTTGCTAACTCCTCCCTGATTGAGCGTACTAATACCTCTTCGACATTGCTCGCCTGAAGCCGTAGGAGCTTGCCGGCTCCCCCACGCTCCGCGCCCTCGGCCCCGCGTCTCAGACGTTACAAAAGCTCTACATAGCCAGCTACATCTGGCCGACCCTGATCCCCCAAAACCATGAGTACCCCCTCATCGAAACCCTCGCCGCCTTCCCCGCACTCCGAAGTAGGCATCAAGGCATAGTATCCTCCAAAGTGCTGCGGGCCCGCACCATGTTGCTGTAGAAGACTAAGTTGTCAGCGATCCTATTGAGCTCTTCTCAAAGCTCTTCGCAGAAACCATGGTACTTACCTGCTGCTGGTAGGTTTCGCCGCCCTCGCTGGGGCTCACGGCCAGTTCATGTTGCTCATGCTGATTTAGAACAAGGGCGGGAGGGAAAAGAAGGTCAGGAGCCAGGACAGCGGCAGGGGCCAGAACAGCGCCGGGAGCGAAGACAGATCCAGGCGGGGGAGCAGGGCGACCGTCGCGGTGTGCCTCTCCGGGTGGGCCTGCTGGGCTAAGTTGGGAGCTTGGAAGATGCCAAACTACCTAAGCATCTTCCGCCTCCGTGTTCCAAAAACCGCCCAGGTCGCCCCACGACTTGACCGAGTCCTCGTGACGAACGAACCGTTCGTTGGCTACCTATCCCCTCATTGAGCGCATCTACCTTTTTGATATTGAGCACCTATTACCGTAGGAGCTTCGTGGCTTTGTGGCCAAGGTCAGGTAAACACACTAGCTCCATTTGAAGACCGTTAAGTTGATGGGGGACTATATGAGCGATTTCCAGTTTTACTTCGTCTCGTCGGTTGAGTTCATGCTGGCGGCTGAGGAGATGGAACGGACGATGTATGTGAAGACGATCATTCCGTACGAGCGGAGGGATCGTTATGATGGTCCTGGCATTGAGTATTGGGAGGACTGCGAGGATGATAAGGTGGCCACGTTAAGATGTTGGGCCTGCCTCTTTATCACTGAGCATGTCCGGGAGTACGCTTCTCGGTCTCAGGGACGCGAGTGCGACGACGGACCGTGCAATCCACTCGACTCCAGTATCGAGCCAACTGCCGATTCAGGCATAACTCTCCATTTGAAGAGCCCGCTCACTTACGTTCACGATCAGTTGTCACTACACCATCCTTGGACTAGCACACCAGCTCATCTAATGACAGCCACTCATGCTCGTGAATTCAGGGCCGAAAATTTCCAGAAGGAGATGCCAAGGGACTTATTGCATTTGCCAATACCCCTCATACTGGCATTATGTTAGCGTTCTAGGGATATTTGACTCCCGGCTATTTGGCCTTGAGTCCAGGGTTTGGATTAGTCTAGTACTGTACTAGTACTAGTACTAGTCTAGTCAAGTACTGAGCCTGTACTAGTACTAGTACTCTAGTACGTACTAGTACTAGAGTACTAATTCCAAACTCTGGCCTTGACCATCATCGACTCATCGTGATGTACGCTGCTGCCGGGGTTGAAGGGATCAGCAGCCAGCTGTGTGCAACACCGGGACTGAATGCGGTTCTAGGCCCGGCAGAAATGTAACTTCCCCCACCTTTTCCATGCCAAAGTGTTAAATAAGCTCATAAGAGCCCACCGCGGCTGATTGCTATATTAAAGCACAGGACCCATGTTGCGGGCTCCAAGCTCCGCTGGCGTCGACAGTGAATCTCTGCCCGTTGCCTCGCCACTGGTACAGGTCGAATCGAGGGTGAACGAGGCCGGCACTCTGCTCCATGTTCCCGAGAAGAAGGGAGCTCGCTTTTCTAGTACTCTATGCCAGAGACACTTAGACGACAACACTGGTATCCCTTTTCGCTGCTAGTAAACGTCAGCGTACCTTACATCAGTTACGGGACATTGGGGTCAACCTGCTAGCTCCTCCTCTAGGAGTCTGGAAGCTGCTCGTGGGATAATTTCCGATGAACGCTCTAGCTACCTAGATACGAATAAATTGGCTGCCCCCCTTCTCGGATCTGATCCGGCGGCTGGTCTCCAATTCCGGGCTTGGCATCTATGGATGTCCTCATCTGACTCGTCACTGAGTCGAGGTCCTAAATCTATGATAGTACCCCTCCCCTGAGCTTTTCGGCTACAAGTTGCCGAGAATGGAAGGGCACTCGGAAGGGACCGAGTGCAGTAGCTTTGGGTCGGTCCAGGGGAGATACAAAAGTGCCAGCAGTCTGTGACGGCGACTCCCATATAGACTGACGATTGTCCTGAGTCTGGTCGTACCTTCAAGTTTGTCAAGGACCACCAGGGCTAGGTGTGTAACTGACCGCCATCATGAAACTGTTCCCGACTCGGGGAGAAGCAGGTCCCTTGGGCACGCTCGGAGGGATCCTCTCTCTTTCCCTCCTAGCCCATAGCCCTTTCGCCGCCGCCCAGACTGCGCCGGCCGATGGCGCCGTCTACGACTACATTGTTGTAGGGAGTGGACCTGGTGGGGGAGTTCTCGCCGCCAACCTTGCCAAGGCAGGATATGGGGTGCTGCTGCTCGAAGCGGGAGATAGTGATCCAGGAAGAGGATTTGGACAATACACTCCAACCGTCACCTGGGACTTTTATGTCAAGCACTACCCGGAAGGCGACCCCAGGGACAACACCTACTCCCATTTGACATGGCGGACACCCCAAGGCCGGTACTGGGTCGGCCAAAGCGGTGCACCTGCGGGCTCCACCCTCCTGGGCGTCTATTACCCACGGGGGGCAACCCTTGGAGGCTCCTCCATGATCAACGCCATGGTGTGCTGGCTTCCCAGCGACAGTGACTGGAACTACCACGCACAGGTGACGGGAGATGACAGCTGGAGGTGAGTCTCTTGGGTTAACACAACCATGAGTTGCGGGACCAGACTAACAGTGACTGTTATCTCGACACAGAGCCGAGAACATGCACAAGATCTTCACCAAGATCGAGAAGAACAACTACGCGGCAAGGGGCACGGCAAACCATGGCTTTGACGGCTTCTTCCAGACCAACATGGGCACCATGACGCAGTCCCGGCAGACGGGAGGCAACCTGGCCGGCAACAGCGTCATGGCGGCATATGCCAGAGACTGGAACCTGACCATGTCCATGAACAACCTCCTTATCCGGGACCCGAACGAGATCGGCTCCACGCGCGACCAGACGTCAAGCATCTACGGGTTGGTGACTCACCAGTACGCCAACGGAAACCGATACAGCTCGCGGGACTACATCCAGGAAACCGTCCGGGGCGGCGCAAATCTCACCGTATCCCTCACTTCCCTCGCCACAAAAGTCCTCTTTGACACAACCTCCAATTGCAACACCGGCAGCACCCCTCGCGCCACAGGCGTCGAATTCCTCTTCGGCAAGTCCCTCTACAAAGGCGACAACCGCCGCGCGGCCAACGCACAGGGCATCAAGCGAACCGCCTACGCCCGGCGCGAGGTCATCATATCCGGCGGCGCCTTCAACTCCCCTCAGCTCCTAATGCTCAGCGGCATTGGCAACGCGACCGAGCTCGCCAAGTTCAACATCCCCGTCATCAAAGACCTCCCCGGCGTAGGCCAGAACCTGATGGACAACCAGGAAATGCCCATCGTCGGCTCCGGCAGCGCCGGCTCGGGTATTGCTGGTGTAGCGATGTACAAGACCAAGCACCCTGCGCACGGCGAGCGGGATATGTTCCTGATGGGTGGGCAGGGGTTCCTGTTCCGGGGGTTTTGGCCGGACAATCCGGTGCGGGTGCCCGCTGAACCGCGCCAGCCGTATGGTGTCAGCATGGTCAAGGGGTCGAGTGTGAATAATAAGGGTTGGGTGAAGCTCAAGTCGGCGGATCCGATGGACACACCTGAGATCAATTTTAACCATTATGCGACTGGGTCCGAGTATGATCTTGAGGCTATGAAGGATACCGTCGCGTGGATAAGGACTGTGTACCAGCGGATTGGTATCACCACGGTCGAGCCTCCCTGCACGCGCCCGGGCGGGCCGGATGCGAATGGGTATTGTGGGAAGGAGGACGAGGATTGGATCCATAAGCAGACTTTTGGGCATCATCCGACGTCGACAAACAAGATTGGCGCGGATGATGATCCCATGGCTGTGCTCGACTCAAAGTTCCGCGTCAGGGGTGTCCAGGGGCTGCGCGTGGTGGACGCGAGCGCTTTTGCTAGGATCCCTGGCATCTTCCCGGCCGTGTCGACGTTTATGATTTCGCAAAAGGCGAGTGATGAAATGTTAGCTGAGCTGAAGGATGGGACAGCTTTGAAGCAGTGCTGATTTGGATTGATGTGCTAAATGGGATGTGTTGTTGGTTGTATGGTGGATGTTGAGGAGGCAGTTGTGAAACACGTCTTGCCAAGAGAATAAAATGTGTTCACGTCTTTGCTCATGTGCTGCATGTGCTGCCGCCATTGCATGAAACTGCGACTGTCTTTTTTCAATAAATCGGCCTCGTGGTGTAGTGGTAGCATACTTGCTTTGGGTGTAAACCGCATATGCAAGTGGTCCCAGGTTCAAGCCCTGGTGGGGCCCTCTTTTTGGACTTTTCTCCTTTGCTAAATTGACGGCTACAATGCCCCAGCTACAACGACCTGCAACGAACTGATTGCGACGGCCAAGTTTGGTGATAAATTCCATAGTGTTTTACATATGTTGCTTTGGTTATTAGGAGTGGGGTCGAGTGGTTATTTTTTGGATGGCCCCGATCTTGATGATTCAGGGTTAGGGTTATTTATTGCAATATCTTCGATCAGCTTCATTTCTCCATAAAATCCAGGACCATCAACTTGAGCACCACCATCACTCAACAACCCCAAACACCTGTTTCGCCGCACCCTTAACTGCTTCAACAGCAGCAAGGTACAACTGCGGTCCCACGCTCACCCTCGCAGCGCCCAACCTCGCGACATCAGCACTCGTCAACCCCTTGCCCAGCCTCAGCCCAATATTCACCTTCCCCCCCAGCCCATCAATAACTTTCTTCACATCCGCCTCCACCATCTCCGCCGTCCTCGGCCAAAACACAAACACCGTCGTCGCCCCAGCATCAAGATACCTCCTCCCCCTCTTAATTGACTCCTCCATCTCCCCACCCATAAGAAACGCATCCGACCTCGCATTCACCACAAAATCCTCCACCCCTAACCCCCGTGCAACCGCCAACACCCTCCTCACCCTCTCAACCGCCACATCCTCATCCATCATCTCCCCCGTCTCATGCCACGAATCCTCCAAATTCACCCCGACAGCGCCCAACTCAGTAATCACCCTTCTCACAACCTCTTCCAGCCGGTCACCGTACCCGTCCTGGATATCCACCGTAAGCGGCAGGGCATGCTCTCTCGCCACGGCCGCGATGGGCGCGACCGCGGCCAGGTTCTGGTCCAGCGTCAGCTGCTCGTCGGTAACGCCCTGCGAGGCAGCCATGGCAAAGCTTGCGCTTGCGAGGGCGCGGCATTGGGGGAGTGAGGCTACGATGCGTGCTGAGACGGTGTCGTAGACGTTGGCAAGTAGCAGGGGGTTGCCGGGGATGTGCAGGGCTTTGAAGGACGAAGCGAGGGCTGAGAGGGAGGAGGGTGAGGTTGAGGGGGGGTTGGTTGCCGCGGTGGAGGCCATGGTGGAGGCCATGGTGGTAGGTAAGTAAGTTCAGTTCTGATGGCAAAGGGGTTGTTGGTGATTTGGTTTGGCGAGGAAAGGGGGTGAGTTCTTTCTCCGTGGCAGGATGGCTTGCTAGGGGCCTTTATAGGTACTTCTTGGGGAGATTATGGCTCTTGTGGAGCTGGGTGTCGCATAACGTCGGCCAGCGCTAATTGTCGGTCTAGTACACGCAAGGAATACGAAGCGTTCGTGTTTCCTGAAGCAGTAAATAGGAACGGCAGCCTGAAGGCTCCGCTCCGCTGCCGCATGTCTTGGCTGTTGAACCAAGGGCGTGCAGGGATAAGAACTGCGAGTTGACCGCCATTGACTCTCTTGTTTGGACAACGGAGGGTAGCGTCAAGGTGCTATGCTCGGCTCAGTCCTCCTAGCATGACAGTGTTACCCTGTTGCCATCTGCACAAGACTCGGCATCGCCTGGCTGCTCCAACATCTGCACTCGACCGGTCCCGGGCAACAGCAAACTGACCAACATACCAGCTTAGACAAGGCTAAAACACGCTGTAAACTACTGGACGACCTAACCCGTCATTTGGTATGTACATACATTACATACAACCTCCTCCTCATTGTCATTAACAAACCATTCCGCACTAGTACGCAACCTGGGTATGCAGTCCCGCCAGCTCCCTGTCCCAATTCCGGTGCTGTGAAATGTTCCAGAAGAAGCTCTCCAAGAACCCCTTGGCGCCCTTGGCGATGGTGACGGCCTCGCTCAGGCTGCCCGGCTTGATTTCCCGCAGCGTCACGACGCCATAGCTATCGTGCACCTCGCCCGAATCTGACACGGTCACCTCCGGTAGTCCAATTGCCGTGTTCACCAGATTGACCGCCTCACCCGTGGCACCAATCGTCTTGAGATGGCCGAACGCCTCCCGGATCCAGTGCAGCGCTCGCCCGTTCTTGCCCAGCGTTCTAACCGACCCTTCGCCGCCGGGGATGAACAGAGCGTCCACCATGGTCGAGCGGAATCCTTCGAGATGGTGGTGCGGCTGGACCGACGTGCTGCCGTCCGACGAGGTGACTTTGCTGCGCTTGGTGCCGATGACGAGCGGGATGGCTAGCGCGGCCGTGATGGCCGCGTAGGCGCCCGAGAAGGAGATTGGGTCGTAGCCATCGCCGATCAGGATTGCGATGCGCCGCGATGCGATGGTGGGCTTCACGGCGGGGAACTCGGTCTGGCTCAGCGCCGGCGCCTTGCGCCCGTGGTTGGGCCGTCCCTCCTTGGGTATCTCCCCGCCAACCATCTCGGCGACGGTCTGCGCAAGCCCGAGGTCGATGTCGGCGAGCCGCTTCACCATGCGACCGTACACAACGGGGTCTTCGCAGTGGTCCAGCTCGAACATGAAGGCGTTGATGATGTGGTTCTTCTCCACGGCCGACATGCTGTTCCAGAAGAGCTGCGCCTGGTTAAAGTGTTCCTTGAACTTCTCACTGCGCATGCGCGCCTTCATGCCCACTACCTTTTGCGCGTACTCGACGTATCCGCCCTCCTCGTGGCTCGCGGGCGGGCAGATCTCGAAACGGTTGGGCCAGTAGTTGACAGTTCCGCGCGTGATGGTATGGCGCATGGCACCGTCGCGGTTGAAGTTCATGACGGGGCAGACGGGACGGTTGATGGGCAGCTCTTGGAAATTGACGCCCAGTCGCGAGATCTGCGTGTCGAAGTAGCTGAAATTGCGGCCTTGGAGCAGAGGGTCGTCAGAAAAGCCTATGCCGGGGACGACATGGCTAGTGCAAAAGGCGATCTGCTCCGTCTGAGGGAAGAACTCGTCCGGGTTGCGGTTGAGCTCCATCTCGCCAATGTACCGGGTCGGTACCAGATCCTCGGGCCAAATCTTGGTGGCGTCGAGGATGTCAAAGTCAAACTTGTGCTCGTCGGCCTCGGGGATGACCTGGATGCCAAACTTCCACTTCGGGTATACACCGTTTTCGATGGCTTCCCAGAGGTCTTTGCGATGGAAATCTGGATCCTGCCCTGCAAGCTTGAGTGCCTCATCCCACACCAGCGAATGGACGCCAAGCTCAGGGGTCCATGTGAACTTGACAAAGTGACGCTCGCCCTTGGCGTTGATGAGCGTGAAGGTGTTGACACCGAAGCCCTGCATCATCCGATACGAGCGCGGAATAGCCCTGTCGCTCATCTAATGTTTCGTTCTATTAGCGACATGCCTGGGGTCTGGGTCATGGTTATCAGGTCATTACTTACCGCCCACATAAACATGTGTGTGGCCTCGGTGTGGTTATACTGGAAGTCCCAGAAGTTGTTATGTGCGGACTGGGCCTGCGGTACCTCATTGTGCGGCTCGGGCTTGCCTGCGTGGATGACATCGGGGAACTTGATAGCGTCCTGGATGAAGAAGACCGGGATGTCGTTTCCGACGAGATCCCAGATACCTTCTTGGGTGTAAAACTTGGTGGCAAAGCCTCGTACATCACGCACCGTGTCGGCGCTACCGCGGCTGCCGAGCACAGTAGAAAAGCGAACAAACACCGGCGTCTCCCGTGATGTGTCGGTCAGTACGGGAGCAAAAGTCACGTCTTCAGCGCTTTCGAACACCCTGAACTTTCCAAAGGCGCCAGTGCCACGGGCGTGCACAACTCTTTCGGGGATCCTCTCGTGGTCGAACCTCATAATCTGGGAGATCGTCAGTCAAGCCATCCGAAATAGGGCCACAATGAAGACGCCCAGCCAAAGGTCAGATTACACACCCTCTCACGAGCAAATGGGTCCTCGAGCAGCAACGGGCCCGCCTGATCCTTATCGACGGCCTTCAGCCAGTCGTCGGCAGTGGTTTGTTTGACGCCATAGTCGGTCGTCAAGCGCATCTTGTTCGTCATCTCCTTTGTGTTCTTACCCAGGTCGGAGACCTTGTCGCCCCCGCGAGGGCCTAGGACGGCGTGCTGCACTTTTTCCATGGTTTGGGGCAGAATGTTTGCCATTGGTGAGGGCTGAGCGGGCAGTGACAGGAAGGCAGTCGGACAGCGAGAAAGCGACCATTTCGCTTGAAGGCCGTGCCATAAATATCATGGCGACTCCTATGGCAGCTACGCGTCGTCGTTTACATCATGACGTCAATGACCGGCAGTGTGGAGGACTCTCTTCGGACAGGATGTTCTGACTGCGCGGATTGAATACTTGCACTATGCTATTCAACCCGAATCTGGTCATAGCTCCGTAACCCCCACCCTGACTCGCAGTGGGCAATACCCATCAGCCAGCTAAGTAAAAAAGTTGGACTCCGTGTGCGTGTGTAAATGGAGAAGAAAACAGGTTGAAGAGGGGACGAATAGATTATTAGGCCTTCATGCCAACTCCATGACGGGAATGGCGGACGGGATCTAGCGAGCCAGGATGACGAGAGGAATTAAAATCCGCCCAAGTGCTCCACAAGCCACATGGCAAGGGAAGTCGCGTCCAAGGATCTGTGACATAGGACAAAGACAACGGTCAAGGAGCCATTGGGTGTATAAACCCACTGGCGTATCTCATCTAATGTATTTTACCTCAGTTGTTTCCCCAGTTTACGGATACTGCATGAAGCAATACGTCCCTTGGTAACCTTCCAGGTTGAGATGCTTGTGGTTCGCTGGCTTAGCCGGCGGTTCGGTTGGCGTACCCGTGGTGCTCAACAGTGAGCACTTCAACTACCTACCTCATGGTACGAAAGGAATTCACCTATCCTTCGCACGACTTTCGCAAGTTAAAAGCGTTTGGAAGATCGTTACAATGTGGGTTCACTGTAGCTTGGAATCCTGCAGCAACTGTCAGATCAAGCCGGTGGATCAGGTCAAAATATCCCAGAAGCCCAGTTATTTTACCTGGCCCACATAGCATAACGTCTCCAAGCGATCAGACCTCTTCAAACTGCTTGAAGTTGTCAGCCTCCATCGACCCTGCCGAGCCTGCAAAAGATATACCGGTAGTGGTGACGAACTCGGAAATCATCGCATCCTGATGTCATGCAAGGAAGGTGCTGGTCGGTTGGCAGCTCTTTCCTTGGCTTGGCGCAACTCCAGTGCAACGAACCCACAGACCTCGCATTTCCAAGCGATCACCAGGCTGCCCCCAAACATGACAAACTTGTTGAACCTCAATCCTATCATGATTCGGGCAGCATGTTGCTGCTGCGATATTCACTTGCTTGCAATTTACACCAGCAACCTCATCGACGGAGTCTGTATGTTTCTCCACAATATGTGTGGTCACGATCATTGCCTAGGTGTACATACCCTAGCCCGCCTGCACTGTCTGCAGGCAAGGAAATTGAAGGAATCCCTTTTGTCGTCGCATTGCAACAAAGACAATTTGGATTCCGTTCTTTCTTCATCCAGGAAGTCAAAAGAAGGCAGCGAGGTTCGTTCATGGCTTCATGCAAATTGCCCTGGTTCCAGGTGTGGCAGCAAGGCGCAGCTTAAAGGCGTCGTTCCATCGGACTCCGCAGCCATGCTTCCGGTTGTTAAGTATTCCCACTGCTCCCACCTCCTGTGATAATGATTGGCGTGCTGCGTGATATTGTGTGCTAGTGGTCCCAGCTGCAACTCTTTCGCCGTCGACGCGCTGTTTCGAGCTCACAGTTTGACCAAACAGCCACCGTGGCTATGGAAATGTCAACATTGTCACATGCAGTTTCTAGCCTGCTCAACCGTTGGGCTGACAAGGCCAAGTTTGCTCATTGAACAAATATAGTGCTGAACGGAAATCACCGCAACGAACAAAGCCTTGGGACAACCCGAACTACCTTACCTGAGTCATATACACGATGCCAAAGATGAAGCCGAGGGCGGGTGCCGTGAAGTGTTACGGGACAACCCGCCACCTGCCATCATTGCCATGGCAAGTTGACGGGAAGTTGAAATTCCTTTAGCCAAACCTACTAGTAGTAAGTATGGCGATCCTCCGCCGGCGCCCTTTGGCAAGCTCGTCTTTATGGTGAGTTACTTACCTAAATTTTAGTACTCTTAGGGCGAGCGCTGGGTTGAGCCTTAAGAACTCCCGCCTTCTCGTCACCTTCTCCGCAGGTCTTCTGCACGACTGGAAAGGTTTTACCAGGGATACCTCGACTCTCTTACTGACCCAACTCAATCTGTTGACCCCCGGTCTTCAGTCATTAACTCGACTCCTACCACCTGTCAATATGGAAAAGCTTCCCCAAGAGGTCTTTGATCGGATGTTCGATCTCTCAGAGCTTTCCAGTCAGCACACAGAGCGGCTATCTGCTGACGCGAACATCTCACGTCAGTGGCAGTATGCCGTCGAACGGCTTGTTTTTCGGTCACTTTCCATCGGTGTCGACGATATTCCGGTATTCGAGTATCTTTTCCAAGACGTCCGACGGTGGAGCTACCTCCTGTCCATCAAGTACACGATATTTCGACCAGTCTTGCCGCGACAACTTGAACGGACTTCTTCCGGTTTCCCGTGGAACCAAATGTGCAATCTCAAATTGCACTCGGAGCTAAAGCGTCTTTGGAACCTGCTCAACGCGTATTGGGTAAGACCAGAAGACATGTGATCCATACATACTTCAAAGTTTAGTTACGCAAAGTGCAGTTAACTGACTGCATCTAGAATCAGGAGAACCCAAGTAATGTTGAGGGCTTCAACTTACATCTTGATTTCCGAATGGATCCGCTTGATTATTTTGATACTTTTGGTTGTTGCTTCCCGCAGCAGGCCTTTAAGGACATCCCATATTCGTTGACATTTCCGACACTCAGAGGAATATCAACTCTGACCGTCAAGTGGAGGACCCATCACAACAACGCTCCCAGAAACCTCCATCCTGCATGGCTTTTCAAGTTGATCGCAGCGTGCCCTTCAGTAGCGACCGTCAACTGGGAACTATTTGAGCCAAAAATCCCGGAGGCGGCTGCGGTAGAGAGCAGCCAAAGACAGTTGCTTGCCTCTGCTCTTTCCAATCCCATCCTACAAAACCTACGATCTTTGAACTTGACTTCATGATTCGCCCTGTTGGGCAGAATTCCTATCATTACGAGGCAGCGACGGACAGTCTCAACCCTGTGTTGCGCACCTTATCTCAACAGCTGAGAAAACTCGCCCTGCGTGGAAGCTTTTCTCTTAGCCCGAGCTTGTTTTGGCCTGACACAGATTCCCCCGGCAACTCGAATCAGGATCCTTCTTGGCCGTTGTTGGAGACAGCCAGGCCCACCGCATTGCAGCAGGAATTGCATATTGGGACCCTCCTGGCAGGATCACGGAAGTTGACTGGCATCAGGCTGTGCGGTTTCCTTCAACCGGACCGGAAATGTATAACGAGCTAGAGCTTTGACTCACTCGCGCCTTGCTCAGGATGCCAAAGCTTGAGTCCTTGAACATCCGGTTTCCGGAGTTTGCGCGTTCTGGGGGGGAATATTGGAGATTGGGGGGGATCGAATACCACCGTAGCAAAGACAAGATCGATTTCCTCTCACAGATCAGTCACGGTCGCTATGATGCTGATCAGGTTGCGAACCAGTGGGCTTACCTACCAGCGGAGGCTCGCTACAATCTGATGAAGCTGCGCCAGATGATCGTGGGAGGGGCTGGGGAGGCAACCGAAGCTGTGAAAAGTGATCCCAAACTTTCAAGGAAAAGGAAGCATAAGTGACCAGGCTCTGCAATACCTGAGGTGGGCGGAGACTGCGTGGGTGACGCAGATGGGCATAACTGGGCATCGACGGCATCGTAATTTCGGGAAATGCATTGCTGAACCTTGAAGGAGCTCCAGCCGTCGTGTCTTGACCGAACCATTGTCGTTACCTACCTTGGACACGGGGTGTTTAGCATTTCCACGGATCATCATGGACATCTTTCAAGAGCACCGTGCGTTGGAGCATTTCAGCATTTCCTATGAACGCAAACGCGCCGGACGCTCTTACAGCAGTAGCTACAGTCAACGTCCATTCAATTGCTGAACGTTGGTCATGTAAGATCAAGCCGGGTCTCCGCCGACCTTCTCTAACAAACTGACTACAGCGGGAAATAGCTCCCTGACCCAGAGCTGATATCCCTCCAGGCTCAGGTGCACATGGTCGACAAGGTGCTCCTCCGTCTTGACCTTCTCCGTTGCAGGGAGAAAGACAACCCCCTCTCGCTGGACCTCCTCGTTCAGTTCCTTCACCATAACCACCAACTTCTTGTTTGCCTCATCCACCAAGGCGCGAGAGACATCCCTCCGATAAAACAACCCCGTCACCAGAACCATCGATTCACGCCCCTCTTCCATACCTGTCAGCGGAAACGCCAACAACCCCCTAAGCAAAACCTTCATCGCCTCCACATCCTTATCGACCAACCCTTTCTTAACCGTCAGATTATTCGTGCCCATCTGCACAACCCACAGCTTGACCGCCGCACCACAATCCACCAACGCCTGCATCAACCCAGTCAATTCCTCCCTCTCCTCTCCCACCTCTCCATCTCCATTGTCAGTCACCTCAACCCCAGCCGATCCAGCACGAGCTTCAGGATCAGAACTCTGAGTCAAGCCAACACCGTGACCGTGACCCACAAGCCGAAACGCAACATTCTGTATCCTATCCCCTCCCACGCCAGCATTAAACACCCCCTCCAACCGTTCCATGCCCGGGGGGAGTTGGTCGTCGGGAAGCATGGCCGCTGACGGCCAGGGCGCGACCAGGTTCGGCGAAGCGCCTGTTGTGGTCATGCGCTCAAACATTGAGTCGCCTAGGAGGACCACGGTTGGGCGTTGGTAATGGTTTTGGTGGTGGTGTTGCAGCAGGGGGAGGTGCGCTGTGTGGGCGGTTTGGTACGAGCGGAGTTTGTACTTTGCGAAGGGCCTTAGGGGGTTGGTGAGGGATGCGATGAGTTCTGCTTGGGGGTTTGACTTTGGGGTGGTGCTTGTTGACATGATTTGACTTTGCGGTGCGGTTAAGGGGTTTGTTTGTGTTGTTGCGGTTTCCCCTGGGTTCGCCATGTCTGAGTTTGTTGTTTTGTTGTATGTACTGTACAGTACTTGTAGTGTGACAATTTGCGGAGCTGAGCAATTTGACGGAGAATGAACTGGAGGAATCATTACGCATTTTATTTTGGTACATTCCTGTGTGCTTTATAAACATAACTGCTTTGGAGTTTGAGATGCAGTATCTGCCATGTATGTGTGATTGGGGACTGTGGATTTGGGGGCCAAAACCGGCCTGACTCAGTCGGCTTGCGGTTGAGCTCATGAGTGGAAAGGGGATTCGATCCTGAGGGATCCTAAATCGACTTTATGGGACTCTCAAAAATACCCTATAGAAAAGCATTCTCCATGTCAAAATGCGGAAAAAAGAAGAGAAGGGGAAAGAGAGTGCATCCCGTACAGTGGATTCCATGTCTTCGTCTCGGATACTATGACCCCTATTCGATGGCATCTCGCAGGACCAAGGTTCTAATAGATGCGTATGATGGAGAAGCTGTACCGGTCTCCATGGTATGGTATTTGTGTACAAGTCCTTAAAGGAACGAGCCTCGACCGAGGCATTGTTAAGAGGGGTACGGAGTAGTCGAGAGGATGATTTTCATGTACAAAATTTCGGCTGCACTAACAGATCCCACGACCTCTCAAAGTACCGTGAGTGAGTTGCCTGCAGCTTCGTCAGTGATGCGCTACCTGAAGTTTGGGAGTACAACCAGTCGGCAATTAGAAAGGAGTTTCACTGCATTTCCCTTGTACAACAGTCAGTTGTACCAAGCTTCTCCGAGTCATCAACTGAGATTGTCGAGACACACAACTGCTGTAGCGCTGCTCTCGCGAAACTTTCCCACTTTCCACACTGGTTCAGTGACAGTGCTGTGATAGTGGTGGCATTTGTCGGCAGAATATGTCACGTACAGGCATGTATTTAGACTTTTTGTTCCCGCAGTCGACTCGAAAGCAGCGTTAGACGGGAACGTGAGTACGCCCATCACTCGCCACTGCAACTTGAACTAGAGTTAAAGACAATCAGGGAACAAAAGCAGCCTGTGCAGGGCAGCGAGGGGCATGGATTTGATCATTTGAGCTGTCGAGGTTCCCAAACTCATTTGCCGTTCAAGTTCCAGTTTGAATGGAAGGCATAATATGGTAAAAATAAAATTGAACGCACCAACGACCCTGAGCTGCAGGCTGAGCCGATGCGCGATGACATGGCCGCCCGTTGGTTGGGACGTTGGTCCGCCGCCGAGACCAGATGATGCGATGACGGGCTGCAAAGGGCACGGAAGAGCTCCGGGCGGGAGCAGCCGTTGCGAATCGGACGTGACCTTCTTCCCGGTCATCTCTTACCCCACTGCATCTTCGACATAGCTCTACTTGTTCTATTTCCAGCATGGGGATACAGCTGAGGCCGTCAATGGATTCTAAGGGTAAACACCGATGGTAGTTCGCCCGCGTACATGTGTACATACCTGTACAGCGGCGGGATCTGCTCTCGTTCGGCACTGAACTTGAACTGAACGGTGTGAACTGTGACCCGGAATGTGGTTGGCGTGTTGCAGCGTCAGGCAACGCGGAGCGGGCTTGGCACCTCATGCGGGTCATACAGGTGATGCACTTGGAAGCGTCGATTGGGCTTGCTGCCTTATGCCTCGGCGGGCTGATAACACCCTGCAGGATAACACAAGGCCTAGGAAGCGGCGGTGTGGGGATTGGTCTTGCCGTCAGGCATCCCCTCCTTGATGTCCTATGTCTTAGTTTTCTAGTAACGTGCGGAGATTATCTGTTATTGAGTTGTGCGGAAGAATGGCCCTAATGGGTTATGCGACCCCTTAACGCTCGCGGCTCCTTCCCTCTGTCTCCAAGTCTCCAAAGGGAAAGTGCGGCAGGAAGTGTGGTGTATGTAAGGCAGGAAGCATCACCAGACACGTTTCCAAGATTTAATCTTTGACTTGGACCACTTATTGCCCTACCTATCCCCTAAGCAGATCGACGCCAAGGAGATGGATAAGGGACTGCTTTCTAGCCAATGGACAATCTGTCTCGTGATAGGTCTTCTCTGAGATGGTGTGCTGCAGACTGCAGAGCTCGATGCTGCCTGCACCTGGGGAGTCAGATCCCGAGGGGCATGTAGTGTAATGACGCTTGGCCGGCGCGAACCGCGACAATATCTTTTTAATTCTTAAAGGCATGGTGTTCCAAAAGACAGCCGGATGAATACTTACATCCTCACCTAGACGCCATGGCCTTCTCTTTTACATACAGTCTCGCATCAACTATGCCATGGCAATCCTCAACACAACGTCGGCTTTGGAGCTCCGTCAGGGCCGTGTCGTAACCCAGACAATCACCCGGCCCTTCACCACCCTCATCGCCATCGTCACCCTCGGAGACGGCCCCACTTCACCACCACCGGCACCCGGCTCCAGCATGCCGACCACAACAACAACGGCAGTCCCAACGGCGCCACCTGGCCCCGCTTCCGGGGGTTCTGCACCTTCATCCTCCATAACCCAGCAGCAGCTGGTCGGCATCATTCTTGGGACCCTCCTCGGCGTTTTGTTCCTCGTCCTCACCATCTGGTGCACCCTGTCCTGGGCGCGCCGCAGGAGCCAGGAGGTTGAATACATGTTGGAGGAGGACGAATACATGATGCGTGAGGGCGAGGTCATGGCCGAGATGGAGGACATGCGCAGAACGCAGGCATGGAACAGGGCGAGAGCGGCGGCCGCGACACCCAGCACGAGCACCTGGACGGCGGTGCCGCCGCCCGTGGCATTCCCCCCGACACCGAGGCATACCCCCTATCGTCAGACAAGGCATCCGCAGTTTCGAGGGACTTGGAGATACCCGTGAGCAGGGAGGCGTCTGGGTTGCGAGCAGAAACTCGAGATATATGGCGCTGATTGGAACCGAGGACATGCAGGCGGCTTAGTGCCAGTGGAAATTATTCTCTATTCGAGGATCTGAGGAACCACGATATGCCACTCCTCACCTCTCCTCACCGAAGGACCGAAAGCTAGAGTTGACGGATTGACGGATGTGATTCACGGGGAAAGACCTGAGTTGAGGATATCAAGAGGTCAGTCTTCAGATCCGAAAAGCTGGAGGAACCAAGTGAGCTCACCAGACTCGAGAAAACAGGGAGTGGACCACTACCATATGTCCAAGTAGCACTTCTGCAGTCTGCATCGGCCCTCTTCAGACCTGTGAGGTCGGGCTCGATCGTCTGGAGGCGACTGCTAGATACTTCAAAACTGGATTTCGACCTAAACTCATGATCCTATCTTCACACAGTAGCACCTTACATGCCGTGATACCAGGCGTTGAGTCGATATGAACATGAATGGTTCTTGGCTGTTGGCTCGAACCCAGTCAAACTTCAGCAATCCACCCCATTCGACATTCAAGTTTTCAACCCTAGCAAATCCCAAACCGAATATTCCCCTTCCCCAACACGACATCCAAATCCGGCGCCTTCACAGCACTCATATAAAGCCGATCCACACAATGCGTGGTGTGATGGAGCTGCTGGATGATATAGTCCATCTTCTTCCCATGGTAATACCCGTCCAGCACCCTCTTCAGCCCCCAAGCACAGTGCACGAGATGCTCCCGCTCGGTGCCGTACCACTTCTCGCCCGTGTCGGCATAGCCCATCAGCTCGTTCATCGTCAGCTCCCGGGTCTGAAAGCGGTCGGAATAGATGCCCCAGCCGGTGTGGTTCCAGCCCCACGAGTCGCGCAGGTACTCCGCGGAGCCTAAACGGCTGCAGTCTGCGGGAAGCCAGGCTTTGGATAAAATGTCGAAGCTGCAGTTGAGGGATTTGGCTTCGGCGATAGAGTTGCCGCAGCGGTTGGGGAAGTTTTCTGGTGATGGGTCAGAGGAGTTGCGGGAAGCCCACTGGCAGGATGGGTTCGTGTTGCAGCGGCTGAGGTTGATGATGCCGGTGGGCAGGAGTGTGCAGATGAGAAGGACTTGAAGTGTTATGAGTCCTCCGAGTAAGAGCCAAAGATTACGGAGACGGCGCCGGAGGCTGTTGATTTCCAGGTGAGAGGCTCTATCTTGGGCGATTCGCAGGGAGATTGAGTCCGAGTCGTGTAGCAGCTTTTCTTCTTCACAGAAGGTGTCGTTTGCACCTTGGTTGCTGGGAAACTTGAGTGAGTTTAGGAAGGAAGTCATCATGGGAGTATACTTGAGTGTCCGGTCGAGAACACTAAGCGAGGGACGCAACGGTTCTGGGTCTCAGATAGTTCAGTTGGTGGGAGACGCATTCGTACAAGATATCATCACTGGTCCTGGATTGTAGATCCGTCAGGGAGCGCTGGCAACGAGCAACTGAGTGTGACGAGTCCGTTCAGGCAACTTGAAGATAGGTAGATCGATCACGGCAATAAGCAGACCTTCTTGTTTGGGAAGCCAGAGCACATTGGCCACACATTGCTATAGAGCACATGGCTATCGTCAGACGGCAGCCAACAACTAATTCACACATTCACCGGCATCTTTGCCTTTGACTGGGTAGGATGACCAACATTGATCCTCCTTATCAGAGAAACGGCCGAGCATTAGTGGCTCAAAGCTCAATGGAATTGGTTCTGTGGAACTTCATGCGATGCAGTGTTCTTGTTGGTTTCAAGCTAGCGCTTATCAGTGAGAGTTCGAGGTAGATGATAGTCTGACAGGTAATATATGTCCATACAAGGCAACCCGTTAGCCCCTGTCTCTTATATCGCTCCTGATGGATTGCGGGGTTGGCGAAGCTATACCACGATCGAACATGTGTAAGTCGGCATTCTTGTTCACTGCTTTAGTTTCATGCCATCTTATATACCTAGGTACTTACCTTACTTCTGAGCCTGTGATTCTACTAGTAGTACATGTACTATCTATTATCGTACCTATTATGTTCCTTGAGTTGCTACTAGTAGTACATACATCCCTTCAAGTACTGTTTAGGGACCCCCGTGTAAGGTCTATTCCCATATCATCCACAAGGGTACATGTAGTTGGGACACAGGGACTCGGCAGTTGTCGCAATGCAACCGCCTTCGAGAAGCTATCTGTGAAGGAGTTTAGGGACTTACCGCTAGTAGTACCCATGTAACACGGTAATGGCCCGAATATTCATGCTCCACTGATCGATGAGCAACACGCAGGGCATCTCTGCGGATATAAAGTCTCCTTGACTTGACTTGACTGCACATTCTCTCTCCTTTCACAAATCACCATCCAGTAGCATCACCAGAACCAAGGTCTCTTACTGTTGTGTATCTTCCTCAACATCTCCCCAACTATATCTCATCATGAAGGCTACCAGCTTCGCAGTTGTTCTTTTCGCTGCCATTGCCGTCGCGGCTCCGACACCCTCGCCGGTTGAATACGCGGCTGAGACAACAGCGGCCACCGGCACCGACGATGTTGCTTGCTGGATGGACTGGGCCGTGGACAAGGTCCGCCGGAGCATGAATGCTCTGGGCATTCACTCGAACTGAGTGAGCTCTTATCCAGTGTACGTATAGGTACTCGCCGATTCAGGGGCACACTGATTTGATACTGACTGCGGTATCACAGTGTGAGTGGAACTTGATGAAGTGCTCGGGAGGGCCTGTATATGGTAGCGATTGTGGCGAGCCTTAAAGAACTCAAGTGGTGGCTGTGGGACTGTTGGGGCAGATCAAAGGGATACACAAATGTAAACAGAAACTGAAGCGCTGTGCAATGCAACTCGACAACTCCCATTGAATACAACATGTGTGCTACTTTATGTCGGCTTCACTCTTTTCTCAAAGCAGCCCATTCATGTTCCAGCATAGAAAACATAATGTGGTCGTGCCATTGGTGATCAAAGTAGATGGACTCCCTCCGTACCCCCTCTCTCACAAAGCCAAGGCGCTCGTACAATCTAACAGCCCTGGTATTAAAGGAAAACGCCGTCAGCCGGACAGCATGCATCCCAGCAATGCCAAAAGCCCACTCAAGCGACCACCGGATCGCTTCAGATCCGTACCCGCTACCCTGGTGCTCGGGCGCAATGATTATCCCCAGCTGACAGCTCCGATGGTGTCTGGTCTGCGCATGACAGTCTAGTGTAAGCCAACCGACTGGCTTTGGATCCTTCGTGTCAGCTTCCGGCTTAGGAGGAAGACATATGATGACCGACAGGAGGGCATTGGCGGCAAGTCCGGCCATGTCTTTGTCAATGTCCTCGGCGCGGGGAGGGACTAGGAGCCGACTGGTGCTTTGGGCGTAGGTTGCCGCGTCATGCGTCATCACATCCTGAAGGAAGTGTTTCTCCTCGGCGGTATTGGATAGAGCTTTGTAAAGGAGGTGCTTTGAGCGGAAGAGTCGGTCCAACGGCATGTTGTCTGGACTCTGGTGTGGGAGGGACCTTTTGCTAGTAGCTGTGAACGATTTGAAACTTGACACTGTGGGAAGAGTTCTAGCCCTCGCGTAGCATAAGGCTTGGAGGAGTACTAGTACCACATACTACTAGTAGTCGGGTGGGAGTCGGGTCACGGCAACTTGTAACACTGGTGGTGATAAGCAGTGATAACTGACAAGGCGTAACGCTACGGCCTAAGTGAACATGAAGACAGGGGTGACTTAGTATAGAGCGTCCTCACCCGGAGTGAGACACATCCCCGGATATGAAGAGCCGACTCCCCTATCTGTAGATTCATATACTACTGCGGTGTCCAGGAACGGGCGCAGCGGCCGGTTGGTTGACTAAGTTGGATCCAGTCTCACGGCAATCCTAGGTTGCGCATGATTAGGGTGGGACACAATGCCACTGCAGGATTGTGCCGCTTATATGTTGGTACTTAGTCTATGCACAACGCCAACAACTTGAACCTATAGCTTGAAATGTGGACTAGAATTAGTTCTCTGCAGTGTTAGCCGGCTTACAAGGTCCATGTTGGTACACGGCACTCGACTTTCTTCTAAACGGATACCTGACAACCCCCTTATTCCAAAATCTCACTCGCTCGCTCCATCACCGTTGTGGCCGACTGCTCCTAGAAACATAAGGGTCACCATGATGAACTACATGGATTTCACCAAGTCTTCCCTCACCCACAAAGATTCTCGAGTCGAGTACTCGCGACTTTCAGAAGGCGATGAAGCGTCATTGTCCTCGGATATCCAGCCAACTAGCCGCTGGCAGCGCAAAGGTGGCGGCAGGTTGCCATGGATTATAGCTATCTGCTCTGCAATTCTCAACGCACTTCTTATTGGCGGTATCATCATTGCTCGACAAGACAGCCCGAGACACCATGGTTTGGGAACATTCGAGACGGGGTTCAAGACGGACTTTGGTGTGTACAATACCTACTTCCTGCCCACGTCAGATTTCTGAGAGCGAGATATTTGCTATCAACGGCATGCTAACGGCTTCGGCGGGACGAAGCGGACGCCGGTAAGCACATTGAGATTGTCAAAACTGTGTTCAACGGGTCCCCAGAGTTCAAAGACGACGGGACCATGTATATACCCAATCCGGATCCGGTCCGCTATGTCGGAGACCCCAAAGAGTTCCCTGAGATAGACGAGAACTGGGAGAACTTGGTCTATGGTAAGATTTCCCCTTACTCCCTTGATATTGCCCGCCAACTTTAAGAAACCCACTCACATGGGGTACAGGGAGATACTTCCGCATAACGGAGAAAGAAGCATACGATGCATTTGGAGACGACTACCGGGAGTACTGGGACGACCAGTTCGGCGCGTATCTGACGGGCATCGACATGTTTCACACGCTCCATTGCATTGTGCGTTGTAATCGACCCTACTATCAGTTACTAGTACTAGTAGCAATAATTTAACTGACAGTTCGCAAACAGAATCACCTCCGTCGGGCGTATTACCCTCACATCTACAAGGAAGGATACAAATCACCCGAAAAGGCCCTTATGCACCGCGACCACTGCCTCGAGCAGCTCCGGCAGTACGTCATGTGCCACGGCGACCTGACCCCCATCCCGACAAAGTACTTCAAGGCCCTGGACCGCAACTACGTTCTCTCGGATGTGCCCCATGTCTGCCGGAACTTTGACAAGCTCCAGGCCTGGATGATGGACCGCTATCACGGACCGACTGCGGTGCCACGGTACAACCGGACAACCTAGGTAACTTGGCAAATCGAAAATAGGGGCTAGGGGCATTATTGCACACGACTTCAAACTTAGGTGCTATATACAAATCCGAGCTACATGTACGTAGCGGTAAGCCTCATGGCGAGAATGGAAGCACCACCCTTGGGGGATACGCAACCAGATCGTCAGCCCTCGAAACGGCGTTGATACTAACAGTGCAGCGAGCCTTGCAGATGGGACAGGTATCGTGGTGTTTCAGGAACCAGGCGGCGATGCACTCGGCATGGAAGACATGGCAGCATGGTAGCATGCGGACCAAGCTGTCGTCCTGAAATCTCTCCAAGCAGATGACGCTGCAGTAAGTTTTATACAGCTGGTTAGCTTGATGGGCTCGAAGGAACAAAGACTATCAATCAGGGGTTAGTTAGCGAACATACCATTCAACAGAAGACCCGCATTGATCTGGCAGGCGTCTGCTAGTACCCCCATTCGCATTGGCATCGGCCTGCAGCTGCTTGTATGTCCGGGCCTTCTCGGCGAACCTCGGACTTGGTATCCTGGGTCTGCGGTGGCTTGTTGGGACGCTGTTCTCAGCTTCTCTTGCTGGGGCGGCGAGATTCCGGTAGTAGTGCGTCGTACGCCGCCTTCTCCTGACTGTGAGGTATCGGCTGATGTAGCGTGAGCAATGTACAGTACAACGTAAACAGAACTCTACCTACCTCAGCAGCATGCAGAATAGCATGGAAATCAGAATGCTAACTATGAAACCCGCAAGAACGGTGATCCCAATCCATTCTGGCGGTGACGATACCGACGGCGGCGGAGTGTCGTTGGATGATGAGGAGGTTGGTGTAGGGGACATTCTTGGTGTATGTATAAGCCTTTGTAATTGACTAGTAGTTGGGACTGTACTTTTGCAGTAGTAAATAACGGTCAGGACTTGAGGCAAACCCGGCCTGCAGCGTGTAGGCAAGGCTTTGAGACAGACACTATCTCTGAATATTGGAGCGGGTTGGCTGGTTGCAACTCGTTTCGGACTTGTGATGTGAGATCTTTGGCGACTACTAGTATTCCCAAAGCCAAAGTTGATATGTTGATACCTATAGACGAAGACGCCACCATCACGCGCAGTCCAGAACACCCAAGCTGTCTGCTCGTGCCATCATCCATCATCTGACATCCCATACCGTCAAAGAAACGTCAGACGGACGGTCAGACCCATCCCCACCATCTCCCACGTCATTTTCTTTGTTGCTTCTTAGCAGCCGAATTCCATGTCCTGGCGTGCCGATGCTGTCCTGATTAATACAATGTAATTCTCATCGCATTTGAATGTCAGCTTAGTCGTCTCCATATCAGGTATTGATCCTCAATACCTAGGTATGGATCAACCGAGGCGCCATGAGCCTCCACGGCCGGGCCCGTCATCCCAAGACACCTGTTGCCCAGCATCAGGGGATGAACACCTCTCTATCGTAGAGAACAACCCATTCGCCTTTTCTCCGGCCCACCTATCCAAGCTTATAGAGCCCAAATCCGTCGCCGTCCTGCGGCAACTGGGCGGCTTGCCGGGGCTGGAAAGGGGGTTGAGAACCGACACGCGAGCGGGCCTAAGCCTCGACGAGACCACGCTGCACGGGACGGTACCGTTGCCCGCTGGGGTCTCACCGGCCGCACTTCGTCAACTCGAACAAGATGCCCCCTGCCCCCTTGGATCGAACGCAACAACCCCCGCTCCACGCGCTAAACGCAAACGAAGCCACTTCCGAGCCCACCACCATGCCACCGCCTCCCCGCAACTTCAACAACTACCTCTCTCCATCCTCTCGCAGAAACCCGACGACCACTACGCCTCCCGACGCCTCATCTTCGGCTCCAACCTTCTCCCCTCCCGGCGCTCCAAATCCTTCCTCCAACTCGCCTGGATCGCACTCAAGGACCGCGTCCTAATCCTCCTCAGCATCGCCGCAGCCGTCTCGCTCGCGCTGGGGCTGTACCAGACCTTTGACGGGCACCACCCACCCGGTGAGGAATCCGGCGGCGCAAGGGTGGAATGGATCGAGGGCGTCGCCATCATGGTCGCCATCCTTGTCGTGGTGCTCGTCGGCGCGCTGAACGATTGGCAAAAGGAGCGGCAGTTTCGGAGGCTGAATCGGAAGAAGGAGGATCGGTACGTGACTGTTGTCAGGTCGGGGAGGATGGTCAAGGTGTCGGTGTATGACGTGTTGGTCGGGGATGTGGTGGTTTTGGAGCAGGGGGATGTGATTCCTGTGGATGGGGTGTTGGTGCAGGGGCATAATGTTTGTTGTGATGAGTCGTCGTCGACGGGGGAGTCGGATGTGGTCAAGAAGACGCCGGCTGAGGTAGTGTCACGGGCGTTCCTGCAGGGTGCTGATGAGAGGGTGGTGGCGAAGATGGATCCGTTTCTGCTTTCGGGGTCAAGGGTGCTTGATGGTGTAGGGAAGTTACTTGTCACGGCGGTGGGGCAGCATTCCAGCCATGGGAGGACTATGATGGCGCTTCGCGACGACCCAGGCATGACGCCGCTGCAGGCGAGGCTCAATGTCCTGGCCGGTGAGCCGTCCCGTTTGGCGTGCATGCATATGAAGCCCAGTAGTACTAATCTGACCGGCAGGATACATTGCCAAACTGGGGAGCGCGGCAGGTTTGCTGCTGTTCTCGGTGCTGTTTATCGAGTTTGCCGCCCGGTTGCCGGGAAACCAAGCGAGCCCCGAGGAAAAGGGGCAGAACTTTCTCAGGATCCTCATCACCTCCATCACCATCATCGTTGTCGCGGTCCCAGAAGGCCTGCCGCTGGCAGTGACACTCTCCCTGGCCTTTGCTACCAAGAGAATGACCAGAGAGAACAACCTCGTCCGGCACCTGCAGTCATGTGAAACCATGGGCAACGCGACTGTTATATGCTCAGACAAGACGGGAACGCTGACGGAAAATGTCATGACGGTTGTCGGGGGCAGGCTTGGCCTGAACAAGGTCACCATTGGGGGCGCAAGTCTTGATCAAGCGGCCGATCATGGCCATGGAAATCCGGCCGTGATGAAGGAATCAGGGGTCGAACAAGGGTCCTTCACTCAAGCCTCAGACCATCTCTCCACAACCAATCTCCTGTCCACGATCCACCCGGACTTCCGCGAGCTCCTAACCTCGTCCATCGCCATCAACACAACCGCATTCGAAAGCGAAGACAACGGCCAGACAGCATTCATCGGCACCAAAACCGAAACCGCACTCCTCGACTGGGCCCGACGGAGCCTCGCCCTCGGAAACCTGGCCACCGAGCGCGCCAACCACCCCGTGGTGCAACTCTTTCCCTTCAACTCCCGCTGGAAATGCATGGTCACCGTCATCGAGCTCCCGGGAAACAACAACAACAACCCGAACACAAAAAAATACCGCCTCCTGACTAAAGGCGCGCCCGAGGTTGTCTTAGCCAGATGCACCACCGCCGTGGTCGATCCGACCAGCCCACTCTCACTCTCAACCTCCCCCCTTTCCGACTCAGACAAACAATCCCTCTCGCACCTCGTGTCTGCATACGCAAGCCAATCCCTCCGGACCCTGGCTTTGGCATACCGCGACATGGACATGGACAGTTACCCTCCATCTCCAGGGGGCGCGCACGCGCACAGTACCAGTAGTACCTGTCCCGACACATGCAACAGCCAGGTCGAACTCGAACTCGACGCCATATTCCACTCACTGACTTGGCTCGGCGTCCTCGCAATCCAAGACCCCGTCCGCATTGGCGTGCCCGCCGCAGTCCGTGCCTGCCATCGCGCTTCCGTCGCCGTCAAGATGGTCACGGGGGACAAGGTCGAGACGGCGCGGGCCATTGCGCGCGAGTGCGGGATTCTGACCGACTCCTCCTCCTCCTCCGAGTCCTCCCATGACAGCGGACGACAACTCGTGATGTCGGGCGCCGAGTTCCGACGTCTCAGCGATGTGCAAATGCGCAGCAGAGTGCGGGACCTGCGGGTCCTAGGGCGGTCCAGCCCCGAGGACAAGCGGGTGCTTGTCGTGACGCTGCGGGCGCTAGGGGAGGTGGTAGCCGTGACAGGGGACGGGACTAATGATGCACCCGCGCTGAAGGCGGCGGATGTGGGGTTTTCGATGGGGATTATGGGGACTGAAGTCGCCAAAGAGGCGTCTGATATTATCCTGATGGATGATAATTTCTCGTCGATTGTTAATGCGCTCGCCTGGGGGCGGGCAATCAACGACGCCATCAAGAAGTTTCTGCAGTTCCAGATCACGGTCAACATTACCGCCGTGGTGCTGACTTTTGTGTCGGCCGTGGCGAGCGGCGAGGAGCGGTCGGTGCTGAATGCGATTCAGTTACTTTGGGTTAACCTGATCATGGACACGTTCGCGGCGCTGGCGCTGGCGACGGATCCGCCCAATACCAGTCTGTTGGACCGCGCCCCGGAGCCCAGGACCGCGCCGCTCATTAATCTGACCATGTGGAAGATGATCCTGGGCCAGTCGGTCTACCAGCTTGCGGTGGGTCTGACGCTGCATTTTGGCGGGCCGAGTTTCCTGTCGTCGTACTCGGAGCCGGAGCGGCGGACGCTGGTGTTTAATACTTTCGTGTTTATGCAGATCTTCAAGCTCGTCAACAGCCGGCGCATCGACAACAAGCTCAACATCTTTGAGGGCCTGCATCGGAACCACCTGTTCATGCTCATGATGGCCGTCATGGTGACAGGCCAGGTGCTGATCATCTTTGTCGGTGGCGCTGCCTTCGTCGTCGTCCGGCTGAACGGCGTGCAGTGGGCCATCTCGGTCGTGCTCGGCTTCATGTCCATCCCCGTGGGAATTCTCATCCGGCTGGTTCCAGACGATTGGGTTCGGGCCGGAGTGCGGCGGCTGCCCGGTCTTCCGAGATGGCGACGACGGAAAGACGCTGGCGATAGCATTGAGAATGCTGCTGTCGGCCGGGATCTCGGCAGCGCAATGTTCTCGGTGCGAGATGACCTTGCCTTCCTCAAGCGGGTTCGTGGCGGGCGGATAGCGGCGTTGGGGGGAGCGATTGCGATTCGTCATGGTCCTGGCGAGCAGACGACCGAGAAGAGCAGATGCTCCTTGTCTCCGATACGGTCGGCGGTTGGGATGCCGGGTCTTCTTGCCGCAAGCATAGGCGCTATGTCGCCCGTTGTACAAGTGCCCTCACCTGAAAGCCATCTTGAAGGAGAGGCGGAACATGGGCGTCCACAGGTAGCATGTGTTGAGGAGAACAAATGAGGCAACGCAAGGCTCAACGGTATCTCTGTTACTCAACAGCAAGTCACTGCTCGCTAGCTCGTATGAGGGTAGGATCCTTTTTCAGCAGGCAGAGTTGGTCTGCGTGATCAGGCCCAGGCGCCAGGGCAGCGCATTATATTCCCCGCCTGCCTGGGGATCCATCCCTTGGTACCAAAACCGCAGCTTGCACAGACTGATGGTCAATGTCTGGTCCGTCTGTGTCCGGATCACCTCGCCGTGGCTAATGCTCTTTGTCCACGCCGCCACGCCGTTCTCAAACACAACATTGTTCGACCTCGCAAACGGATTCGCCTCACTATCCGCCAAGCCTTGCCACTTCCCATCTATTCTGTCCGAAGTCCACGACCGGAAGTACCGGTTCCCGTCGCTCCCAATGGCCTCGACCAGCAGCAAATACTTTCTCTCGCCGATCCGGTACACGCACGCCGCCTCGAACAGAGCATACTTGTTCGCATCCTGCAGCGCAATGACAGGTTCGCTCATGCCGTTGGGAAAGTTTGCCAGTTTCGTCTGCGAGCGGTACAAGTGGCCGTTGTCATCGGACGAGAACAGGTGGCAGTTGGCATTGTCGCAAATCACCCACATGTCGACCCAGTAGCCATCGCCAATGTTATTCTGGATGATGGCGGGCGTGCCGCTGTAAAAGTTCTTGGGAGCGCTCCATCCAGCCGGGTCGGCAATGTCCTTGTTGGTCGAGTAGGCGGCATTGCCGTTCTGGTAGACGAGGTACCACAGTTTCTGCGGTGCGAAGTAAAAGACCTGCGGAGCGGCCCGGTACCCGGTGCCGATGGGAGACTGATCGAGGTAGTAGAAGGTGGCTTCGTTGGCTTTTGCAAAGTCGGTGAAGCGGAAGTACACCAGGTTGTACCCCGAAGACTGGGCTGTGCTGGCGAACACATGGTAGGTGCCGTTGATTTCGACAATGGACGGATCTTTGATCCCCGCCACCCCACGGCCATCATTCTTTGGGCCGACCAGAGGGCCCGAGGACGTCCATTTGAAGCTACTGGGGATCGCTGGTGTTTGTCTGGTCTTAAAGGTGCCGTCAGACACATCAAGCGACGGCAGGGCGTAAGCTACCGCAGCACAGAGCGCTGTCACCAGACCGATGGATGGACGCATGGTTATGGTGATGGGTGGTCGCTGGTTTCCTTGTACAATTCGAGGTGCTTGAAAGAGGACTTGAATTGAAGAGCTTTTCGTGAGCATATATAGGGCATTAATACTACCCTTTTCGGGCGTTTGCTCAGTAGATGTGTTGACCGGCTGTTGCTTGCAAGTAAGCGATGTTCCCTTCTAAGTCGGACATACCGGCATCATCGCATAGACTTCCCAGGCATGCCAAGTAACAAAAGGTTCTTGACATCTCCGTGAAGTAGGGGCGCTTCGACGACCTGGGATTAGTTGGTGTTGATTCCCACCTATAGGGGGCTGAAGTGCTCGTGACAATGCTCCGTGGTTTATGATGTAACCCAGTTGCCGACGGCACAAGCCCAGAAGAACATGTCAAGACCGGCCTCATTGGCGCGCATAGCGAGCCGCATCACTCTTCCGGGAACAGAGCCCAGGGGCATTCAACCGAAGCGACGGGATACCACGCGGCGGTCAGTGTTCCGGAACCAAAAAATTGTCCCAGATATAGCCGGCGGGAAGTCCTGGTCCGCTACCAGCCCACCCCGGGCTTAAAGATGGGGCTGTTGCATGCATCGCCGGGCTCATCGGGGCTGCTAACCGCGCCTTGCAGTCCAAACGAGCAGACGCTTAGCCCTGTAGAGCAATGCAGATCTTCAACCGACTCGCCGTCGCGGCGTCAGTGTACGCCACTGCATGGTTGGCACTCGGCCCGGCTCCCGTCACGGCCTCGCCTGCGGTGAGCTACAACAACTCGCTCGTTGAGCAGCGCGCCGATCCCCACATCATGAAGCACACCGACGGATGGTACTACTTCACGGCAACAGTTCCAGCCTACGACAGGATTATCCTACGCCGGGCCCAGACCATCCAGGGGCTGAGTCAAGCCGCCGAGACGACAATCTGGCGGCGAAAGTCGTCGGGGGTCGGTAGCGGGCAGGTCTGGGCCCCCGAGATCCACTTCATCGACGGCAAGTGGTACATCTACGTGGCGCTGGGCGTCGCCAACCAATGGCACATCCGGCCGTTCGTGCTTGAGGGAACGGGCAGCAACCCCCTGACGGCCACCTGGACAGAGAAAGGCCTCATCAGAACCAACTGGGACACCTTCTCGCTTGACGCGTCAACCTTCGTGGTCAACGGCACGCGGTACTTGATCTGGGCGCAGCAAGAGCCAAGCCGGTCCGACGAAAATTCCAGCATCATGATCGCACCACTCCAAAACCCCTGGACGATCCGTGGCACCGCCGTCGCCATCTCGCGGCCGGAACTCTCCTGGGAGCGGGTCGGGTACAAAGTCAACGAAGGGCCCTTCGTGATCCAGCGCAACGGCAAGATCTTCCTGACGTACTCGGCCAGCGCGACCGACCACAACTACTGCATGGGCATGCTGACAGCGTCGGCCGACGCCAACCTCATGAACCCTGCCTCATGGAGCAAGTCGCGAAACCCCGTGTTTGTCAGCAACCCGGCCACGAACCAGTGGGGGCCGGGCCACAACTCCTTCACCGTGTCCGAGGACGGACAGAGCGACATCATGGTCTACCACGACCGCGGGTACAGGGACATCCGGGGGGACCCGCTCAACGACCCGAACCGGCGGACACGGGTGCAGAAGCTGTACTGGAAGGCGGACGGCACGCCGGATTTCGGGATCCCGGTGCCTGACGGGCCCACGCCGGTTCGGCTGCGGTCGTATGCTGATGCGGGGAGATTTGTACGGTTCTCTGCTGCCGGATCATCTGGCGTCCCGAGCGGAGAAGCGGCTCTGGCGGATACGCAGTTCCGGATTGTGAGCCCTGGCTTGGCTGGCGGGAGCACGGTTAGTCTAGAGTCGACGAGCAACCCGGGAGTGTTTGTGCGGCGGATGGACGGGGGACAGGTGCGGTTTGATGCAAGCGGCAGTCTGAGCTCGGCGGCGGCAAAAGCTGCGGCGAGCTTCAATCGCCGTGCGGGACTGGCGGATGGTGACGCGGTCTCGCTGGAGGCGTCGGATGCGGCTGGGCAGTATCTTGGTCTGGAGAGCAACGGCCGGCTGGTGGTGTCTGCGGTTGGCAATGATGTCGCGAAACAGGGGCAGGCAACATTTTATCTGGAATGAGCTTGAGTTTACGGAGTACTGTTGAGTGTTGAATGACCATGGTCGGATAAATTATGACGAATGAAAAGAGGGAGCACTTCGTATCTAGCCTGTTAACAAAAAATGGTGCAAAACTGAGTACCACTCGACATGCTTGGTGTACTAATATGCGTGCGAGTGTTGATATTGATACCTCGCATTTGGTGAGTCCCTGGCTTAGAGCTTGAGAATTGAGATGTCGACGCGTAGCGTTGTAGCGTTGTCGCGACTTGTTTCCAAAGCTCTGATGCCCCACATCCGGCGGCAGTGGAGCCTGGGGTACCCCGCAGTTCGTCCAACGCCAATGGCGGGGCCGGTTTAGAGCGGCACCCGCACAGTTGGGGCGGAAATCCTCGGCTCATTAGGCGCCAGTATCGGCTTTGCCCGCTAGAAGATTGCTTGGATAAGAAACCAGATGAGGACAGAAACAAAGAATGGAGAAACCGAGAAAACAGCAATTCATTCAGTTGAACTTCACCTCGAAGCTCACTGCTACTAAAACATTAGTAAGACCTAGACATCGCCCTCATGCACCAGTCGAACCTCACCGCAATTGCTCACCTCAGCGGCTCCATCAGCCCGAGTGCACATGCAGGGATGGCATCTTCCATTTGTTTGCGAAGAATGTCCAAGCTAGGTTCGTCCGACATTACAGTACGCCCTAAATTATGTAACTGGTTGCCAGAAAGGCCCTGGACGTAACGCCGGAATCTGATCGAGCCTAAGGTCACTTGACAACACGGACGTCATGAGGAGCTCCGGGGCCGGGGTCGTTAAGCCGAGAGACACCGGGGCATCCGTTTGATACACCGCCCCCATATATAATAGATAAAGGGGTAACAGACAAAAGCCATTGTTGCAGCAAAGTATGACAGTAGATATCCGCTCCGAGTTGCATCTTCGATTCCATCGGGTCCGAGTCCGGGATCAACCCTGCCGTCGCAATACGATCCTGCCCGCCTTCAAAGCAAGAAGAGTAGCTGTACGGAGGACGGATCTAGAATTGTCTGGACGAGAAATAAAGGATTAAAAGAACGAACGAATCTTCAAAAAGACCTCTTCCTGGGAAAGGACGTCCGAACTACCCCCGTCGGCCGGTACAACCTTTTGCACGAACGACATCTTTATACCGGCTCAGCGCCGGGGGTATCCACACAAGCCAACGAATCCCCGCCCCTCCTCGCCTCGGCAAAGCACACCCCGCACCGAGAATTGCCGTAAAATGCCCCCCTTCCTCCGCACTACCCCGCCGTCAGCAGTCAGGGCTACATGTAGGGCGCGCCTCGTCCAGGGGCACCACCACCACGACCCCAATCGCCATACCGCAGTCGCAGCTGCAGCCGTGATTGGGATCCGGAGCGCCACAGCACGCCAACGGTGGATGCAGTCCGCGTCATCTTCCTCTTCACCAGCTCCCATCAGCAGCAACAACAAGCCAACCTCAACCTCCAGACCGTTGTTAAATCCCAGGGACGCTGCGCTTTCGGGAAGTGGTCCACTTCAGGTACCGCATCCGAGACCACTTGCGAGTAACGCCACCACTGCCCAATCACAGCAACAACGGTGGTCCTCGACAGCGACGACAGATCAGCCCGTCATGTACACGACATCGTTTGCCTTTTTCGAGGCGCTATGGGACGCCGGCGTCACCCACGTCTTTGTGAATCTGGGCTCAGACCACCCCAGCATCATCGAGGCAATGGTCAAGGGGCAGCGGGAAAAGAAGGGCCAGTTTCCGCGCATCATCACCTGCCCCAACGAGGTACTTGCCCCCTCTTACTACTACCCTCAATCTATTACTTGCACTGACACCCCCCAACCAGATGGTAGCCCTATCCATGGCCGACGGCTACGCCCGCCTGACCAACAAACCCCAAGCGGTAATCGTGCACGTCGACGTCGGGACGCAAGGCCTCGGCGCGGCGGTGCACAACGCGGGGACAGGCCGCGCACCGGTCCTCATCTTCGCCGGTCTATCCCCCATCACGCAAGAAGGCGAACTGCGCGGGTCCCGCACCGAGTTCATCCACTGGATCCAGGACGTGCCCGACCAGAAGCAGATCGTGGCCCAGTACTGCCGGTACGCAGCCGAGCTCAAGACGGGCGTCAACGTGAAGCAGATGGTCAACCGCGCGCTGCAGTTTGCCCGCTCCGCGCCTCAGGGACCTGTTTACCTCTGCGGCTCGCGTGAGGTTATGGAGATGGAGATCGAGCCGTACTCCATCAGGCAGGACCAGTGGGAGCCTGTGGGCGCGGGGGCGCTGCCGGGGTCGGCGGTGAGGGAGATTGCCGAGGCGTTGGCGGGCGCGGAGGCACCGTTGGTTGTGACTGGGTACGCGGGGAGGAATCAGGCTGTGCCTGCCGCGTTGGTGCAGCTCGCGAATACCGTCAGGGGCCTGCGCGTGCTCGACACGGGCGGCAGTGATATGTGTTTTCCGGCGGATCATCCCGGGTGGCTGGGGCTGCGGTACGGGAATGAGGAGACGATCCGGGCGGCCGACGCCATCGTCGTGCTGGACTGCGACGTGCCCTGGATCGCGACGCAGTGCAAGCCCCGAGAGGATGCCAAGATCTTCCATATTGATGTTGATCCCCTTAAGCAGATCATGCCGCTGTTTTATATCCCCGCGCAGGCCCGGTATCGCGCCGATGCGCTGACAGCGGTTGAGCAAGTCCTAGCGGAACTCGAGTCAAACGAGGGGCTGAAAACCAAATTGGCGAGCGAGGAGAGAGATAAGAGGTGGGCAGCCCTGCAGGAATCGTACAAGAAGCGGCTGGAGACCATCGCTGTCCGGTCTCGGCCGCTCAACAACGGAGAGTTCGGAACGAGCCATCTCTGCGCCAAGCTCAGGGACCTGTGCCCCAGGGACACCATCTGGGCCGTCGAGGCCGTCACCAATACCTTATATGTCCACGACAGCATTCAGCCGACGCAGCCAGGATCGTGGATCAACTGCGGCGGCGGCGGCCTGGGCTGGTCTGGCGGCGCCGCTCTCGGCATCAAGCTTGCGTCCGAGTTTGAGGCCCAATCGAAGGGGGAGAAGAAGGGCAAGTTTGTGGTGCAGATTGTCGGCGATGGGACATACCTCTTTTCCGTCCCGGGCAGTGTGTACTGGATTTCGAAGCGGTACAACATCCCGGTTCTCACCATCGTGTTGAACAACAAAGGTAAGGGACGAACAAATGCTCGTCGACATACTACTCATCCCGGCTGACATGGAAATCGCAGGTTGGAATGCTCCTCGAAAGTCTCTGCTCCTGGTTCACCCTGACGGACTCGGGGCGAATGCGACCAACGAGGAGATCAACATCTCGTTCGATCCGGTCCCCGATTACGCGGGGATTGCGAAGGCGGCTGCTGGTGGCGATCTCTTCGCCGCGCGCGTCGACAAGGCGGCGGATTTGGAGGGTGTTCTTAAGGAGGCGATTGAGGCCGTCCAAGGGGGCCAGACGGCCGTAGTGGACTGCAAGGTTGCCCTGAACTGTTAGCTACAGTACAGGTGCCGAAGGACTAGAACTGTCTTGAAAGCCATGAATTTCCGCATAGTCCTTGGCCCTCTTTCTTGACGGTATCACCGTGTTGGGGGGATGATTTCCTAACCGCTGGCTAGACGGTTGGGACTCCAACGGGAGCACATCCTGGTCATTGACAGACTGGTCATGGTTCTCTGGATATCGAGACTTCAGTGAGCACAAGTGAGGTGTGTCTTGTAGAGCGTTGACGGCTGGTACATGCAGAGCAAACAATATGCATCCATATCCGCTGTTCAGGTTTTACCGAGATGCCAGCATTGAAGCACAACAGCCTGGCCGTGTCCAGCCCGCAGGATGCGGAGACGGGTTTGGACAGTCATGGGTCTCCTCTCACTCTGCCACCCGTGCTGCAGGACCCTGCATCCTTTTCTCGATCCTGCGCCCAGCCAGCAGTCTCGATGGCATGTCGGACCTACCTGAGGTGGTAACGTTAATAGGTAAAGGGTTTGCCCACACTGAACCAACTGTGAGCTGTTTGAAGTTGAGATGGAAGTCCTGTGACCTGAGTCGTGAAGAGGGCTCTCCAGGTCACTTCGACGGTGGCTGCAGATGGATGCAGCAGCAGCGAGCTTATTAGGTAGTGAGGGAAACGACATGGAAGGGGGCAAGCGGCAAGAGATAATCTCGTGATGATTTACGGACAGGTGGGAGCGGAGATTACCATCCAAGCATCTAGCCAAGCTCCACTATGTGCTACCCCTCACGCCCCACAACCACAACCACAAGTTTCCATGTCAGCACCTCCCAAATTTCGTCGACTTCAACAACCTTCGTTCACCATTGACCTAACGCCAGAACATTGCGACGACCTTCGACTGGCGACATATCTTTATCGACACCCGCTGTCCGCTGCCCTTCTCGAGTTTGGGGCATGACAGACCAGGAGCAAGCCCTTTGTCTGCAGTAATAACCTCGGTCTCTGCCCCCTCAGCTCTAACACGAGATCACCCCACCGCTTCGGCCTCCCGAGTTTTCTCGGACTCGAGGCTATACCTTCAAAAGACAAATCCACATCGGCAACAAACGCAAGACCATGAGACTAGAGACAGCACGCTTCAGGATACACGAATCAGAACGGCGCCCAGGTTGATTTCGTGTTGTGTCCTGTATGCGACTCCGGTGTTGACAAACGCGCCGATCTAGAATTTTGCCGCCGAGTTCGACTTCGGTTCCCTCTCTTCCTGATATACGCAGGCCAGGGCGAATTGGCCATCCGGTTCCTCGCAGTTGACCAAGAACATATCCGGCTGCACTCGAGGGACCGTTCGCATGTCTCAAGATGGCACAATCCGAGACGCAATTGGAGGACGCTCGGCCGGAGCACGATGCTGGGAGCAACTCTGGTTCCGTCCTATCGCCCCCGCCCCCGCCCAATCCGGCCGCTGATCCGAAGCTGCAAGACCTAACGAGCGTCGAATCCGACAAAAGTTCGCCGCGTCTCGCAGCTGAAGTCTACGACATATTTGATCTCCCAGCATTAACAGCGCTCAAAGCCCTTAGTGCCGGCATTGAGGTTCTGGTCAACACGACGGGGGACATTCCGCCAACCCCGCCCCTTAAAAGTCCTGCAATACCACACATGAGGGGCATGGAGGCAGAGAAGAGGAGCATTGTGCGGTCCAACTCAGAAAAGAGCCTCGCCCGGCTGGCCCAGGGAAGCGGCTCAAGCACACCACGACCGGCACGCTCCCCGCTTCAGAATCCACAGACCGTCCCTCAGCCGGCGCAGGACCCGCCGGCCCATGCGTCTCAGGATCAGTCGGAGCCCATCGACGGCGTACAGTTGCGAACCAAGCCGCAGCCGCAGGCACCGCCTGCTACCGAGCCCGAGTCACAACCCCCACTAGCGCCGTACATCATTGTCGGCGAGGACTCCCAGGCGCTCAATCTCCAGCACAGCGCCATCGTCCGCAAGTTCTACTGCCGACGGCCGCCGCCCATCTCCATCACAGACTACCTGCTCCGTATCCACCAGTACTGCCCCATGTCGACGGGCGTGTACCTGGCCACGTCGCTGTACATACATCGCCTGGCGGTTCTTGAGCAGGCCATCGTCGTGACGAGGCGAAACGCCCACCGGTTACTCCTCGGCGGCCTCCGGGTTGCCATGAAGGCGCTGGAGGACCACTACTACAAGCAAAGTAGGATTTCTTTGGTCGGTGGAGTCAGCGAGAAGGAGTTGAGTCGGTTGGAGGTCAGCTTTTGTTTCCTGACAGGTTTCGAGCTCGCCGTGACGGCAGGCGTGTTGAGCCGTCACTGGGAAATGGTCCGCAAGGGGACGGCGTGCTGGGATGTACTGGACGACGCGACACAGGAGATGATCAGCTTCCATTTAGGGAAGCCGCCTGGCATGAGCACTAACGAGCAGTCTGCGAGGGGCGATTTCAGGTAAATTGTCGATATGCTGCTGCATTCAGCGTCCATTTGAGCCATCACCAACAGTAGATGGCAGTAAGCATCAATTGTTGGCTTACAAGATGTATGTCAGGAACGAGAATCCAGTGTTACTACTAGTATATGTACAAGAGTATACCTTTCTCAATTATCGGTTTAGGTCCATATGCAAAAATCCAGTCCGTTGTTGCGGTATTCACCCGAGTCACCAATTCATGGTATATTGGGCAGTCTGCAATGCCCGGGAGCAGCATGACGAGCAAAAATGGCTCAATGAAAAGACGTCGCTCAAATTTGGTCCTCTTCAGGTTACCAACAGTATTGATGACGCCTCCCGTATTGAGTGGGCGATCCCGGCCCAATCTGGATGATGATTGAGTAAGTGTGATCTCATCTTGTCCATCCCCACCATCAGCCTCCTACATCAGATAACGTCATGTATGTTGCTTTTTTGTTTGAACCAACCTCAGGTTCAAGAATACAAACACTGATAAAGTCGACACAGGTCCCGACATCCGAGCTAATCAATTCTAGACACACCTGAAAGTGAAACCGCTCTCCCATATCAAGCACTCAGACATATCCAAATCAGCATAAAAGCAATGGCCGACTTTGACGAGTCCGACATCCCCAAGGAGGTCCCCGCCTCCGAGGACTACGCGGCCGAGCCCGAGAACGTGATTCGGGGGCACAAGGCCACCATTTCCAATCCCCGTACGTCCACTTTCTGATACTAGTAGTACCTACTGAATTCAGTTCGCTTCAACTAACGTTGACGAAAAAAAAGGGGTCTCTGACCAGGCAAAGGAACGGTCCCGCAAGGTCCTGGAGCAGTACGACGAGCCCTACGACGAGTCCTCTGCCAGTCACGGCACCACGGAGCAGAACCAGCAGAAGGACCCTGGAAATGTTGCCCGCGGGCTCAAGGCTAGTATCAGCAACCCTGGTGTGTCGGAGGAGGCGAAGGAGAAGGCGAAGGAGAAATTGAAGGGGCTCGGGCAGTAGGTAATTGGCAGAATTTGGAGATGATGATGGGATGGTTTGCGGATGTATCTCGTCAAGTCGCTGTTGGCGTTATCTTGGGTTCCTACCTGGGTTTCAAGGGAAGGACCCCGATGTTTGAAGCTGTTAAAGCTTCGTTCTTTTGGCAATTGATAGGGGTTTACGAAGTAGTTCTTGCGGTGTTGCCCAGGCCTGTCTCTATCCGGTTCATAAGCCACGCCGCCACGGTACTAGTCAATCATGAAGAAATTCTGTTGTGCCGTTAAGTGCCTTAATGCTCGAATTTTCACTTGCAACCGGCGTCAGAGATTGTGATTGTCAACAACTGAAGCTCCTCTGGTTCCCTGGTCATTTGCTTTACCATAATCGCATCCAGGGGCCAGCAGCCATGTCTCTAGCGGTCATTCCTACCGTTCCCATCCCTGGTGCTCACCTAGTACCCCTTAGCCTTCAAACTAATGCAAAATCCGGCTCCCGTTCATCGTATGAAGCTTGTTTTGTTTGGTGTTTTGATGTGTTTCCACATGTGATTCACCGCCCTTCCGGGCCTTCCCGGGGCGCATCAATAACGTCACCGCGGGCAATCATGACAGCACCACAGTTCTAGCCATCGCCGCGAGCACAAGGGTCCAATTGGAAGACGCTGTCAGTCTACGTCATGTAGCCGTCATAGAAATGAGCTTCTTTCAGCGGTTGCCGTACCCCAGCGCTATAAACATTGATGCATCCACTGATTAGACATCGTCCCAAATATTCAACTCATAGTAGCTCCAGACATATCGACCAAAAATACTAGTACACAAAACTCATCAACGAAACAAATATCAACAATGTCCAAAGTCGCACACGCCTACACCGACGACAAGCCCAGCGACCCCCTGCCGGCGGACGCGCCTGAAGGCCAGGTCGACGACCCGTCGTACAAGACGGGCAAGAACGAGGCGGTTCCCGTGATCGACGACAACGAGCCCGTCGAGGACCCTATGCGCCCCGGCCAGGCCGACTCGGACAAGCAGCTTGGTATGTTCAGACTCTTCTTCCGTCCTCACTCGATGCCAAAGATGGGCGGGGAGTGTCAGATGCTAATGCGCACAAACAACAGAGCAAGACGAGCGCGAGGCAATTGATAAATCAAACATCATTGGCGAGCGGACGCGCAAGAAGCCGCCCAAGGGCACGTTTGCTGAGCCGACGGATGAGGATATGGGGTTGGTGGAGGGCAGCTGATTTGATCCGCCTGTGATACTTTGCTAGTATTTGCAGTGGCTATGGTTTGGTTCGTTCTATGGTGTTAGGCTGAATTGATTATTTTGATTCAAGTGTATCGCCGTTTTATTCATGCAGGAGTAATAAGAGAACACAGTGACACATTGCCTATCCTGGAGCTGCGTGAGCCTCCACGCCTGCCGCCCTCTTCTCAGGAGTCAGGGGCTCCTTCCACCTTCCCCAGAATCCCTACCATTACCATCACCATCACTCCGCTTGTTAAACATCTTCCCCATTGCCTTGGCAATCTCGTCTCCATACAGCTGGTTATCCGCCCTGAACAAGTTCAGAAAAATCTTCAGCGCCATTTCCTCAGTCATCTCACCGTGACCCCCATCCTCTCGCCAGCCCGTGGGCTTCTCATCCGTCAACACAGACAAATCCGCGGGCAGATGCACCCACTCGCTGACACGGTCAATCACTGGCTCCTTGAAATCAGTCTTTAACCTCTGTTCCAACGCGCGGATCCTTCCTTCCCAATCAACTTCTCTCCAGACCGCGCCATCTCCCTCCTTCGTCTTCCCATCCTCAGCCTCACCGTCTTCATGTTTATCATAATGACCCTCTCCGTCGCCCAGAAACAAGAATTGATCCACTTCCCGCGCAATCTCGACCCTCCTCCTCAGCAACTTCACCTTTGACTCCCAATCTTGCACTTCTCCTTTATCTATATTTTCATCACCACATGCGGGGACAGCCGCCTTTTCCAAGACAAGCAGCATATCACCCGCACATCGCCATGCCACATCCCCCAGCAGCATCAACTCCGTTCCATCGGCGGCCGCCTCCGCGATACCCCCATCTACGTTCATCTTCGTACTACTAGTAGTAGTACTACTAGCAACCACCCTCTGAGTCTCGTGTATGTCTGGCATGTACCCAGGCGAAGCAAGCAACGCCCTGAAAACCTCGACATTCCCCGCCCGAACCGCCGCCATCACCGGGCTGCCCAGTGCCGGCTGGGTCGTCGGGTGGGTCCCGAGGGAGTCTGAGCCGGGGAAGAGGGCGAGTAACGTCTGGACGATGGACGCTGAGATCTGGCCGTGGGCGGTCCATTTGTCGGTGGGGAGCATTGCCAGCGCGTGGATCACCGATATGTCTTCGATGCTGCTCGTACCACTGGTAGTATCACTACTAGCTGTGGGAAAATGGGTGACGGTGCGGTGGGAAAGGGGCGAAAGATGGATGATGTACTCTGGGGATTTGTGCAGGTGAGCGAGGTAAGTTATGGCGCGGAGCGAGGAGGATGTGTGATTGCGAGCCAGGCGGCCGAGGAGGGTGTACGATGTTGTTACCGTTGTGGTGGACTGACTCGTAACAGATGGCTCGGTGGTGGTAGAGTCGGAGCCCTGACAAGGAGTAGGATGATCTCCTTCAAGGAGGTCGTTGAGCGACGACCCTGCGCCGTGGACGATCAATAAATCGGCGAGATCGAAATACCCGTTCTCGATCCCAATGACTAACGGGGAGGGCTGCGTCGGAGTTGACGTGTCCGGGGGGCATCCCCGAGAGAGGAGGTACCTGGCGATGGTTAGATCGCAAGGGGCGTGAGGGAAACGTTCGGCTGTGGCGGAAAGCAGGGGTGCCAGGTCCGAAGCGTCAGGAGGGTCGTGGGATGCAAGCAGCTGGAAGATGGCGGTGTGGTTGGCTTTAGCTGCCGTACAAAGCGGGCGGAATTCAGGGGAGCCAGAATGGCCGAGAGCAAGCAGGGCCGAGACAATGTCGGTGTTTCCGAGGAGGATTTCGTTACAGAGATGCTTGCCTGGGGGTGGTTCTGGTTTGCCATGATGGGCTGCACCCCTTTCACGCCTTTCACAGAGCAATCTCAGGATTCGCACCAGGTTCTCCTTGTAGTGCACGCCACACCGGACCAACCGGCTCTGCACTGACAGCGAGTCGTAGGGGGTAATCTGCCCCGAGTGGGCGGCATCGAGCATCTCGCATTCGTCCCACACCGGCACGGCATCGTCGACGTGGCGAAGGAGTTCCTCCAGAATATCCGGCAGGGTCAGCACAGCGGCGAGTTCCACCGGCGATATATTTGCTCTGTTTCGGTAAACACGCTTGCCCGTTGGACTGGCGCCGTGCTTCAACAGGACCTTGACGGCCGGCAGACTCTGTTTCAACACGGCCCTCCCCAGGGGGGTAAAGGTTATGGAGAAGTTGTCTTCCCAGTCTGCGAGGATGCCGCGAACATCCTTGCGCGAAGCCTCGGAGGGTTTTTCGATGTCTGCGCCGGCAGCCATGAGCTTGGCCACGACAATCTCCATGTCAAACTCGTCAAAGGCGCTGATGCAGTGTAGCGGTGACTCCTCGCAGAACTCGCCGCCGTTGGGATCCGCACCGTTCTTAAGGCACCACAGGGCAACATCAAGCCGGCCCGTCCGGCAGGCGCAGATGAGGGGCGTGTCGCTGTGGGATTGGTTCTTGAGGTTGAGATCGCAGAGGTATTTCCCGTAGAGGTGCCTCAGCGCTCGCAGCTTTCCCATGACAGCCGCCATGTGTAGCAGGCCGTGGCCCACATGATTGACGAAGATCCGGTCAAAGCGGTATCCTCCGTCTTGGGGAGGACTGGGTTCGTCTTCGCTTCCAGGTGGCGGACGAAGACAGCTCGCGTACTCGGCACCGAGCTCGTCCTTGAGTTGCATGTCAAGCTTGTTGAGATCGTTGAGATCCCACGCCCGGCTTAACTTACGGGGTGCAAAGAAGGGCATTCCGGTCGAGCCAGTCAAGCATCGATGCACCTCCTCTGCTTCAGCCATCCTCCGTCTCCAGGCCTGCATCTGCGCCAGATTGCCAAGTGCTCTGATAATGGTCTCGGCGTCCTCGGCACAATGCCTATGGCCGCGGACGACGCTCCAGAAGAGGTTGTCCAGTTGCTTGTCCACGTTATAATGGTTTGAAACACCGAGCGCGGCATGTACTCGATTCATCCACGCCATGGCGAGATAGTCGGTGGTCCCCGTTTCCTTGCTCGGCTCAGCAGCACGGCGAAGCCAAGAGCATGCCTTCTCAGGGTCACAAGGGACTCCGAAGCCACAAAGGTAAGACTGGAACAGGTAAAACGCAGCTGACCAAGGCTCTATTCTCAGTTCTTCGTCTGCACCCGCACCAGTTGTAACGGGGGAGTTTGCATAAAGCTCAAAGTCGCGAATCATGGCTTCTTGCTGGCTCCTATCGAGCAAGTTCCGCAGCGTCAGCGGCTCGAAAAGAAAGCTACCGGCCTCGGGACGTGGCAAATCGGGACGGAAGCCTGGAAGGTTGTTCTGCGCGTCATAGTCGTTGCCCAAACGGCCGAGTGCAAACCCCACGCTATCCAGATCCATGCCATGCCGGCCAGGGGTCTTGTACTTGCTCCTCTCGATCGTCTTCCTATTGGCCTCGTCCTTCACGCCGACATAGAAATGGGCCGCGACTGAGTCCATGCCGCGAAGCCGCACCTGAGCACGGTCAAGGGCTCGCTGGTTTGGGTCGCCTCGCAACGTGAACATTAGGGCCGAGCTGACCACGCCGAGACTGGCTTTAGGGAGGCCATGAGTGAAGAAGTAATGGGTAACGCTGTGGATGGCCGACTCGAGGAGACCGTCGGACAGCTTCAAGAGCTTCACATCGTTTTGGAGCTTCGCGTCAGCTACGCTCCCCTGACCATTCCGACTCAGTCCAATGGCTGAGAGAATGTCCTGCGCGTCGATCATGCACCGCCAGATCAGCATGCCGTACGAGTAGGCGTCCGTCTTCTTGGCGCCCTCCTCTGTGAGTTTGTTGTCCGAAATCTCAGGGGCCTCGTACGGGAACGTGTGCATGGGGATTCGGCGAGCCGAGTCGCTGCCAAAGTCCATGACAGTGCCGCCAAAGTCGGCCAATTTGGCCGTGTAAGGCTGGTTTGATGGTTCCGGATACGGGTTGGGAAAGATGAGAATGTTCTCATGCTTGAGGTCGCCGTGGACCATGCCGCAGGCGTGAATGATGGAGAGCGCGCGGCCAACCTCATAGCAGAGTTTCTGCTTGATGCTGAAAGGCAAGGGTTTGCTCCGCTGCTGAAGCTTGTCTAGGGTACCAAAGGCCGCATACTCCTGGATGATGGCTGGAAAGGGGGATCGACTGTCAATTCTGGCGTCCCATCGGATGTCGAGCAGCCTCACGATGTTCGGGTGGTAGCGAAGCGGTTCGTGGAGCAGGGCTCTGATTTCCAGCAGAATCTCGCGCCACTGGTTCTGGCGGAATCGATCTTCTCGGACAGTCTTGATTGCAACGGTTGCCCTAGCCTCAGGCTTACCCCCTTCGAGCTCGGCACGCTCCACGATGAAGGAGGCGCCGTTAGCGACACGCTCGCGAGTCAACACTCGGCATCGGGAAGAGGAGAAGAAGGTAGAATCTCCGCCGCGTTGGATCTTGTTTTCGAGATATGCTACATGGCATATGAAAGATCCGAGGCCTTGACTTGTTGCGCCTGCATCGTCTAGGGTGGTTGATGCGGGAGTTGCAATTACGAGGGCATTACTGCTTGTGCTAGCACTCGTTGTCCCGGCAACGCCCCTTGAAGTTGGCGGGGTCTCAAGGGAGGCGAGGTTGTCTGAGAAGGCCGAGGGATAAACGTAGCTTGTCATTGCGCGTGCTGAATTAGAAAGGTGCTGAGTGCTGAGGACTGCCTCAAGTAGGGAAAATGCGGCCTCTTGTCTGATGAGTTACGGTGAGGTTGTCTGCAAGCCTACCTGGTGGAACACTGCAGTGGTCGCTTAGCGTGAGACTAGCAAGCTTAGCAGCTCAGCTGAGGAGTCAGCTCTGCTGCACTACGACCCTGGGTATCACTATCAATCGATGAGTTGCAAGCCTGCATCCTCCTTCTTCTTGACCTCTTTCTGCGATCAAACCCCTTTCGTCATTACGGGTAATATATAACCATCATGGAACCAGGAACTTACATAACAATTGCCCAACTCGCCTTCGAGGGGGCGTGTATTGCCGTCAAGACATTCCGAAGCGCGTTGAATTTCACCAACGATGCCGAGCGGCTGATCCTTGGTCTTGAGGTCGAGCGCTTTCGTCTGCATATCTGGGGCGAGAACGCGGGTTTGGCGCCGCCGGACGGGCAGCAGCCAACGCTTCCCGACCGCTTACTACCACTATGCGAGATCCTCAAGGAATATCTCGGCCAGATCGAGCAGTTGGTGAAAGACGCAGACTGTTTGAGTAACAAGTATGGCCTGCTGCAAACAGACGAGCCGCCAACCAATTCGGCCCTCGTTCGCCAGCTTGTGGAGCGCATGCAGCGGTCCATCAAGACGTCGGGACTGCGGGTGCCCGCGTTCAAGAGGACCCGAAGTAAAGAAGACAGGGAAGAAGACGGCTACTTGGGCCAAGCCGCGCCCAACCCCTGGTTGGAAACGGACTCAATAGAGGACTTGACCGTGATGCCCCTGAGCGAGCAAAGAAAGACAACGACGTGGAAGAAATTCCGCTGGGCAGTCCGAGACCTCGACAAGTTTGACAACTTGGTGAAGGACCTTGCCGTGCGCATCAACAAGCTCAACGACCTCATGACCGAGACGCAGCAGCGCAAGACGTACGAGGACAACTACCGCATCAACATGCTGGTCGTGGGCAGTGCTGTAGACGAGGCCTCGCTCGAACTGATCCGCGCTGCCGTCCGAGGCGAGCCCGACACGTCCTCCGTGCGCTCCGCAGTTGAGCGCAAGGCCTTGACCCAGCCGCGGCTGGTGCATATGGCAACTAGGACTCTGAAGCCTCTGTCTCTCGATGACTTTGTGCTTCCTTCCGGATTCGACTCTCTAAAACGCTTTGTGACGGCCAAAATGTCCGGCTCGGTTGCAGGTCGCCTTCAGGCTTCCAGTTATTATCTCCTCGAGCGCAAGACGTACGACTCAGACATCCAGCCAGGCGACCTCAACCGCCTTACTAGCCGTATCCAGCGGCTGGTCGTGCTGCTTCAGAAACCAAAGTCGCCCGATTTCCGCACCCCGCAGGCCGAGGGCTGCATCAACGACCCAACAAACTCGTGCTGGTGGACCGTCTTCAAGTTTCCCTTGCAACCCTCCAAGTCACCGGCCCAGCCAGAAATCTCCAGCTTGAGACGACTCCTGCTGAAACCAGTCTCACTCCTGGATTTACTCGACCCCACCCTCAAGTTCCGCCCACCCCTCGAACAGCGGCTCACCCTCGCCAGCACTCTCTGCACCACGCTCTGCGAGCTGTACCTCTCGGGCTGGCTGCACAAGGGGGTCCGCAGCGAGAACATCCTCTTTCCCGCAGCGGGGACTACCCTCCAACCGTCTCCGTACTCATACAGCCCCGAGGAGACGGGAGCCGTCCTGTCCAGCATGCTGGTGTGCGGCTTCGACTATTCGCGGCACGAGAGCGAGTGGGTCACCATCGACAAGTCGCGCACATCCAAGGACGTTGACGCGGCTATATACCGCCACCCCAACTACCAGGGCGAGGCGGCCGAGGGGTACAGAGTGCAGTACGACATTTACGCGGTGGGGTTGATACTGGTTGAGATTGCGCTGTGGGTGTCGACCAAGCGGGCGTTTTTAGGCGCGGCCAAGAAGACGTCGTTGAGTAGGACTCCTACTGCTTCTACTGGTTCTAGTTCTCAAGTGCAGCTGGGCCTGACGAGTAAACCGGCGACCGTGGAGTTGTCGGATGACATGGACTCGTTCCATACGCCGCATGCCCTGGAGCTGAGGAAGCGCGTGACTGAGAGGGTGAATTCGGAACTTGCTTTTCGCGCTGGGTCTCGGTTCTGCCAGGCGGTTAAGTTTTGTCTGGAGTTTGCTGACAGGGAACGGGATGGGGAAGCTGGGGATGGGGCTGAGGTCGGGGTGCATCCGGCTATGGAGTTTTATAACAATGTGGTTGTGCCGTTGGCTGGGTTGAGCTCTGCCAGCTAGTAAGCATCGAATCAACACGGCGTAAGGTATTTAAACAAGACTCTAAAGCTACTATAGGGGAAGAATATGCAGGGCAGGGGCTACGTCCCTGCGAATGTGAGACTATAGAGGCCTACAAACCAGTTCTTGGGGCAGAACACCCCCTATTCCAGTTTCACCCAACGAGAGTACGAAAGTAAAATCACAGCGTCCTCCTTCAGCTGAGGTTGGCACCGTTTTACCACCAACTAAACACTCCACAAGGACACCATAGCTTCCCCCAGTCCCTTAGATCCTTCATCCACACTCGCATTCGCAAAAATCACTGCACCCAGAGACTCTAATACTAGCAGTTAGCCCACCACTTCACGTACAACCAGAAGCTAAACGGCGGGGAGGTTCGCACCAGTAACAGTCAACAACCAACCTAGCACCATTTCGTTATTCTCTCAAACTGCGTTCCCTCGAACTTGATCCCCTCAGGAATCGGATTGGAAAGACAGCACACAAAGCAGCTGAACTTGTACTCTTTGAACACACTGTCCTGGGCACAGAGCGTTGCGTCGCTCCACCCTACCCTGTTCCCTTCGAGAAGGGCATTGTTGCAGATGCCGTAGCATACCGCGGGTATCTCAGCAGTTGCTATGCCGATCCAGCCTGCGACAAGGGTCACGGCCGTGGGGGTGAAGGAGAGTTTCATTGTGGGTTGTGGTTGATGTGGTTGATGGATGACGGATGTGCTTAATAACAAGAGTTAAAGTCTTGGGTTGATGGATGTGTTGAAGGGAGACAGATCAGGCAAAGGACTCAGGGTGCGATGTGAGGTCTATATATACTCGAACTGTCGAACTGAGTTCTGTTTGATGATCGGATAGACCTCATGAGGGTGCACGCTTGACTCTGGCCGGACTGGAAAGTCTCTTAGTCACCATCGTCCTTTTCTCCGGATCTATGCATGATCGGAAATGAGTCCTTCTTGGAAAAAGAGATGATGTAGCCTTCAGTACAGTCTATTTACTGTATCCATGCCACATGCAGTGGGCAATTTTGTTGGTCGTGTCTGGACACCGGATTGCGGCCGGGAAGTTGGATAAAGCCTGAGTGTTGTCAGGTAGGTACTAGTTTTAACATTAAACCAACCGATCTATTCAATGTAAGGTGCCTCTGTGCATTAAGCAAACATGAACTTAGCTTTGTGTCTGATCTTAGGTATTTACACTTTGGCCTTCATCAATGGATGGTTTGTACTTGCATGTGTGACGGACGACATACCCGACCAATACTAGTAGTTTGGAAGCCTATCCCTTACTACATATGCAAGACTGATGTACAGTAATAGCGTTCGTAATTCTGCATTACCTGCACAGAGGTTCAGCTCATTACCTCCATGTCCATCGTTGGTTCGAATCCGGCTCCCTTGTCTGAGACGTCTCGATTTCCGAGCGAAAGACATGAAATACGATGATACACTTGCGTAACCGCGGCAACGGTCCCCCAGGTTGCAAGTTGCAAGTTCTACCTCCTTGGACACTCCTAAGAACAACCGTGGCCCAGAGTGGAAGATATTCAATGCTCGTCTTCCTGAGCTAGGAGTTAGCTAAAGAACCTTGCCTCTCAGAGCAACACTAGGCCATCAGCCCTATTTGCCAAAAGATACATGTAGTAGATAGGTTCTAGTAAGACTTCAACGTTAGTCCAGTGAATCCAGGTAGCCCATACTATCTCGAACGGTACTAGTTGCCTGAGGTTAACCAGGGGTTGTATGTGAGGTACTAGTAGTACTAGTAGTAGCTAAGGGAGTGCTTTATATATATTCAATCGTGAACATGCAGTTTCGTATCCCTACCTAACGGCACAAATGGTTAGCTCTCTACTAGTAGTATCATATCATAGCACAAGCTCCCGCGGGAGCATCGCTCTCTCCATCTAGACTGGGTTGTGCTGCAGAGCCTTCATGACTCGAGCGATCAGTTCGAAACGGCCTTGTGCCAACAACAAGTACGATTCTCGGCGTCATCTCGCGATAACAAGTTTCTGTCATCATTCGGGACACCCCGGAAGATAGGTATGGAAGATATTGATCGCCAGGGAAGCTCTTGTCCGCTAGATTCTGCGCCGGCTGCATCCCCCAACAACGATCGGAGGACTCCTCGGACAGTCGGCAGGAGCAGATTGCGGATTGGAAGATAAAGAATTATTGATGCCTCCACGACTGCCACTCTTACGCTGGCAGCTATGTATATTGGCATCAGCGTCGAGGTGCGCAAGATCCACCCAGCAACTTTGAATGGAGGCTCAGGTCAGGGGTGGAAATAGATCTAGAACAGAAGGGCTCGCAGCTTTGCTATTTCCAACCTGAATTGTTCCGGTCGTCCTGTCTGGTACGAAACGTGCCGATCTCAGGCTGGCTACTACCCCTCACCTTGGCTACCATTCTATGATTCCATGTATAAGAGGCAGATTTGATTTGCAAATTAAGACCCAAGGTACCCAAGACGCCTAATTTATCCAGCGGCCCTCCACTGCTCAGGGAAACACCCCTTAGTTAGTCGGACTAATATCCCCCTTATAGTGGTGGCAATAAAGTGGTCGTGCTATTCCAGTGTAGATTTGCTTCCGATGCCTGCCTCCGAGGCTCCAGTCCTTCAGATAAGTTCTACTAGTAGTACTGGTACTAGTGGTACGGTTTGAGCATTCCGTAGATAAGTCCGGCTCGCCGCGTCCACCGTTATTTTCAAGTCCCTCTCCCGCTTTGCTGTCACGGTGTCCCGTCCAACGTCCAACGTCCAACCTTTGTACCGCTGACTCCCGTCCAAACCGGAAACAAAAACAAACCATCATGCGCCTCCTCTCACTGCTTGTCGCAGGCACCGCCAGCCTAGCTCCCGTCAGCGTCGTCCTTGCCGCCCCGGCCGGCTACGATGTCGTGCATGAAGGCTTCCAACTGGCCAAGCGAGAGAACCTCTGCCACCTGAGTGCGCCGCCACAGCTCTGCACGCCCAACGCGTCGGTGACGGTCGAGGAGACGGCGCTCCGGGCGTACAAGTTCTACCGCGCTTTTGTCGTGGATGGGGATCCAAGGACTATGTTTTCGTTGATTGACAATGTTTACAAGGTGAGGACCACCCAGTCTCGAGTCCGGTCCGGTCCGATTGTTGCGAGGAGAAAAAAAGGGTGGGGGGGGGGGGCTAACGGAGGTTGAAACTTAAAGCAAAACTCGCCCGGCTATGCGAGCGGCCCGCAGGCCATCTGGCCGCTGTTCTGCAACGGCAGGAAGATTGGGACCGAGCAGAACACGGCGTGGTGCTTTGATGCTAGTACCAATATGTCGTATGCCAGGTACTCGGTTACGGATCGGTGGCGTTGGGTTGATGGTTGCGTTCATGAACACGTAAGTTGCCTAGTTGTCCTGCCTTTAACACTTACCCAGAGTTGTCTGTTTGAAATCGGGGACACGATGCTAACAGCCAGGCACTCTTAACAGTGGGATCGGAATGAGAGGATGCCGTCGCAAGACAAGTGCTACAAGCTGCCCGCGGGGGCGACTGGCTCGGCGTAGGAGTACTTATAGTACTTACCGACGTACTATCCGGGGTGTGTGGTTGTTTGGTGTAGGTGGTTTGTAGGCAACTTGTCTTACAAAGTACAAGGAAAGCTCCCGTCAAGTTGGAGTAGTACGAGGGTTCTTGCATGTCAAGCTGACCTCGAAAGTTTGGATGTTTGTGTACAGTCAGTACCGTATCTATACTACTAGTAGAGAGTTGACCATTTGTGCCATTAAGCAGGGATTGATCGCCCGAGTCATGAAGGCTCTGCAGCATAACCCAGTCTGGATGGAGGTAGCAATGGTCCCGCGGGAGCTTCTGCTAGGATGCAGACGGTTTCTGTGACCAGCCTTACCAGAGAAACTAGAGTACTATAAGTCATAGGGTATGGTACTTACGGATCAAATCAAGGTATCCTGCCTGCTTCTATCGAGCCCGTAACTGTGTAACCGCTCACAACGCCGATAGCATGTACAAGGACCGGCAAGCCAGACAGCAGAAAAGAATTATGCAATTAGACCTTACTACTTAGGTACTATATGTTGGCTTTTTAGCTAGCAATGCAACTCGCCGATGCTTCCTCATTAATCATAACCTCCAACTTTTCAGCTAGCCAGCCCTATCCAACTCAGTTCAGCTCAGCACTGAGCTCCAATTTCCTGCTGCTCTTTCCAACAAAGACCTTCTTCTTGGCCGCGCTAATCACCCAATCCTGCTTCTCGACATCCCAGTTGCTCAAGTCCCTCCTTGTCAGCGTTCCGCGGAACGTGCCCGTCTCCCCAGGCTGAAGGAACAGCTTATCAAAATCGCGGAGTACAACCACGGGGTCGTCCTCTCCTCCCAGTGAGAGATAGAGCTGCGGGATTTCGGTGCCCGCCACGTCGCCGGTGTTTGTGATGTCGGCCGTGACCGTGTACATGACGTCGTACAGCTGGCGGTTGCCGCCCGGCTCGTTCTTGCCCGATGACCGCAGCAGCGGCTGCGCCGACGAGTCGGTTGCGTGTGGCGGGAGGAACTCCTCGGCGGTCTGGCCATAGTGCGCGTCGCCGGAGGCCTCCTTAGGATCCGTCGTGTTAAGGTACGGGTAGTTGTACTGGTAGACGTAGTGGAACTCGTCCGAAGGGAACAAGTAGTCGTTCAGGTCGGTCGAGAAGTTGCCCAAGGTCGGCGCCGGAGCTGTGGTGCCCTCAGTGGGCTTGTACTCGCCAGCGTTGGACTTTTCCACCTTGATGTTGCTGTACTTGAAGGTGGTGTAGCTGAGGCCGTGGCCGAACTCGTAAATGACGGGGGTGTCAAACTTGTCAAAGTAGCGGTAGTCGATAAAGACACCCTCGGTGAAGTCTTGCTGCGGCGCGCCGTTGCCGTTGTTCGGCTCGTAAAGGACGTCGGCACCGTAGCTCTCGCGAGTCGCGCCCCATGTGAAGGGCGTGCGCCCAGACGGGTTGACCTTTCCGTACAGCACGTCGACGATGGCGTTGCCAGACTCTTGGCCGGGGAGACCAGCCCACAGAATCGCCGTGATGTTCGGGCTGTCGTACCACTCGGTCAGGAGAACCGGGCCGGTGGAGTGAATGACAACGATTGTGTTGGAGCACCAGCTCGAGACGTTCTTGACCAAAGCGTCGCCATCCTTCCAGAGCGTCAGGTTTTTCCTGTCGCCCATGTTGCCGTCCACGTTGATGTATCCTTCACCGGAATCGGCGTTGACGAAGACAATCGCCGTGGCATTGGCCTGGGACACAAGCGCCCTGGTTTGTGCGGGAGCGTAATTGGTCAGAATGCTCTCGTATCGAGATCCGTCGCTGACGGCCTGAGCCTGAAGAGCAGCATCCGGGGTGATCAGGTACGGGAAGTTGGCCGTGCCGGAGCCCCAGCCCATAGCAAGAGTACCGTCGTCACAACCACGATCACCGCACCCATTCGGGCCGCGGAGGTTCGGACCGGCGTCCTCGCCGATAACTGCGAGGAACTTTGGCTTCTTCAGGGGCAAAGATCCAGTGTTCTTCAGCAGCACAGTTCCCTTAGCAGCGATTTCCCGAATCAGGTTGCCGTGGTCGGCTCGAACGTCGACATGAGAATTGATCTCCTGAAATCCTTCGTTCGCGACGAAGTGAACCGGCCCGTACGTGTCTGTGGTCCAGAACGAAAAGTTGACAGGTTCAAGATCGGTAGTCTTTCCGACCTTGAACATAGCGGCCATGATGCGCATAGCCATGTCGTCGAGGCGGTAGGCAGGAACTGTGCCGTTGAGAACGGCGAGGGTAAGGTTGGGTCCAAAGAAGCTGCGGCCCGAGTTGAAAACTGTATCTCCCGGCATGGTCATGTCAAGGCCAGCGACGGCGCTTGCAGCGCCGGTATGCTGTGCCTGCCAGTCGGACATGACGAATCCCTGGAATCCCAGTTCGTTCTTGAGGAGGTCGTTCAAGAGCTTGGAGTTTTGGCAGCCGTAGGAGTTGTTGACTTGCTGATACGAGCACATCACGGAGCCAACTCCCGCACGAACGGCATCGGCAAAGGGCCAGAGATAGAGCTCATGCATTGTCTTGTCGTCGATATTGGATGACAGCGTCTCGCTGATGTCAAAGCCGTATCCCTGAGCCTCGCCCACTTGTCTGAAGTGTTCTGGAGCATTGTTAGCTGGCGCCACAAATATCTTGCCGCTGCTACTTACCTTGCTCGTTCCCGATATAATGCTTCGCGCAGGCGATCGTACCAGCATCCTGGATGCCCTTGACGGACTCCATCATTCCAATTCCTGTGAGGACAGGATCCGGGGAGAAGCCCTCCCAGTTGCGGCCGGCGGCGGGCATGCGCCCCAGAGGGCCGGCCACTGGGCCGAGGAGCACGTCGACTCCCTTGCCCTTGGCCTCCATGCCCATGGCATAGCCGCGCTTGTAGATGAGGGCCCTGTCAAAAGTCGCGGCTACAGTCTGCCCAGAGGGGAATGCCGAATTGTAGTCTGTGCCGCGAATTCCCAACGGGGAATCTTGCAGGCACAGGCCACGCATACCAAAGCGAGGAATGGAACCGGTGTTGCCAACGCATTGTTCGCCTTGCCAGCTATTCTGCTGTCAGTAAAAAGGGCATTAGGCGCGCAAAAATCGAGTTGCAACTCACCCAACACCAGTGGTCAGGTTGACCTTTTCCATGAGAGTAAGCTGGGAGACAAACTCCCTGGCCTTAGCATAGGCCTCCTTCCAGCCCTCGGCGTCCGGGTTCATCCATGGCGAGGGATAGAATGGGTCCGAAGTCGCCAACGCCCGCTTTTCGATCTGCAGATTGCTGTCAGCAAGCAAAGAATCACCGGATTTGAGCACCAGTTGCCATTGCAATGCATGTCTCAGCCGCATGTTGGTCGAGAACCTAACAATGCTACATTCACCAAGACGGCCAATATGGGTAAATGCGAGTGTGCAGGGGAAAAGAACAAGCCAGGCGATAGCGAGTGTCGCACCCTGCCATGTTTTTGTTTTTGTGCAGCGTGAAGAACGGAAAGGAGAAACGGTTATTGCAGCTCGGGTATTGTACCATACCTGATTTGTGGATCCAAGTGTTCGTCCAGCAGCCAGAGTGCTGCTGGCCAACGTGGCAAGCGCGACAGCGGGCTTCATGGCGGTCTGCGAGAGAGCGAGGGCCAACTGCAGTAGTCCGGAGCTGAGACTCCCAGCATGGCGTCCTGCGGGCGAGGGAGGATATATGTAAACCAGTGTCCGTAAACGGTGCTAGGATCTCGCGTGTAGCATTCCACCCGCCATGTCCTGTTTGACTGTTTTCGCATGCCTTTGGAGATTGACGCACAGTGGATCAATAATTGGGGCCGGCCGTTGCTGACCCACGGCAATGGCGCTTGGCTGCTTCTTGGCTCCAAGCATGGGGTTGCTCTGTCCGGGGTTGGCAAAGTCGAGAAAGCCGTGCCTTGTGCCCGGCACTACATATTACTGGGCCCAATAGGTTGCGATTTGTCAGACTCATCAGCCCAATTCCTCGGGACTGGCAATGATTCTGTTCGTAAGTCTCCAAAGTCTAGCTAGCGCATTCAACTGTGCATCTGTGCATCCAGTCGCTACGTAGCGAGCATAGTTGGGTGACATCTCGTCACACAAAAGGGCCGATCGATGATGTTGGGACGAAGTCGAAGGACAGGGTTTGAGGTCATCTTGCATCCGAATTCTTGGCTCGGCGCCCCACCTCTAATTAAGATTGAAGTCCAGGGTCAATGCAGGCACAAGAAAAACGTGTTTAAGAGACGAACTTCCATGATATCTCGAATGAGCCATGCTTTGTATGATACGGAGCACTCAATGCGCTCCTCAACAAACGATATTTTCCAATCATGCGTTGTGGTCACTGCAGCTGCGACTGCGAGTCTTTTGGAGTTGCATGTACTCCGTAAATGTGCCCCAGTCTTTTGGAGTTGCATGCGGTTTCCCAACAAACACAGCAAAAAATCAGGAAGGTGTGACGTGACCCCATGTCGAAGAAAAAGAGAACGGATTCACTTCACAGCTCGATTATTTACCTGCCTAATCTAGGTAGTATGGGAGCTCCAGCCACGGGTAGGAAGCCGAAGGGCGGAATTGGTCCAGCTCCGCATCCAAGTATGCCAGGGAGATGAGATGATGTAGATCACTTCACTAGTCCTTCTTCCACCCACGTGTTATGGAAGAGCAACTTCTTTTAGCATGACAGAAAAACAACCCTAGAAACCCGCCGGAACATCCTCCCAGCTATTGTACCAAGCCCTCCGGCCTCGGCCTTGGTCCGACAACACCGGCGCGGCGGCGCCAGCTTGTTTGTCCAGGGGCAGCTTCAAGCTTTCCCCGCACCGCTCCAAATCCTGGTCCCCGCAAATGCAACACGTGCATCCCCGCAATCCACCCCAGACTCCGCCCCAGACTCCGCTCACACGGGCCGAGTTTAACCAAACTGCCGTCACGCCGTCAAGGCCGAGCTTTGCTAGCGCAGGGCATCGGGCCTTTTATTCTGGGCCATCCGGGTTGCTCACGTCAGCGATGAAGTGAAGACTTGGGAGAGATGTTCGACGACGTTCTCTCCTCCATACACCATAACCCACTGTCCCCATTTGAGGAGCCTATACATTGCAGGAGCGTCCAGTAGGGTACGTATCTGCAGACTCGTACATAGCAAGACGCCGGGTCCGCCATGAGAGACTTCCTGGCCCGCTTCAAACTCCCGAGGTAGACAGCCGAAAGCTTGGGTCCGCCCACTCGGTTTTTTGCAGATATGTACTCCTAACTCCGTACCAACTCCACAGAACCTCAGAACTGTTCGACACTTGCAGACCGTGTAGCACTGTAGCTATGCTCTAGCGCTCCCACTCGCAACCCACCGATGCATTCTTTGAGCTCCACCAGAATAGAAACTCTCGCGGATATTTCCCTGAAGCCGAGTGAAGCGATACAACTCGTGGGCCTCGAGCAAGACGGCCCGAATGCGTCGGGATGAGGCTCCGAAAGGGTCTCCAGATGTTTATGTTCCCAACCGGAGTACCGGACTCAACCTGCCGACTTATTCAGTCCAGTCCTGGTCCAAACGGTCCACATAGCACGCCCGGGCCAGATGCTCGCCGAGCCTGCAGTGAATCCCCATCCATTCCAGAGCGTAACTGGCATCTCGTATCGGCGCATCACCCAAATGAATCATAGTCTTGGTTTGGAGTGCCTGCTTCCATCATGTGAAGGACAAGATGTTGGCCCCGCCGACTCGTTGACAACGGTGGAGTGATACCCCCACATACATCTCCCCGACATATCCATACGACTCTCGGAGAGAGAGTTCAGCGGTGCTTTACACATGAAATATTGAAGGAGCTACGGAGCTTCTCGGCCTCTTGTTTGTCCGATATGCTCTACTGGGTCTGCTCTGCGCTGAAACTTCATAATTGCATTTTGCATCTTTATCTCGCCCGAAGCGGAGTGTTCAACGTGCTGTCAACCCTTAACAGGGAAGATATTGTCCATGAACACCCTGCTATTCATGACTTGAGAGTCGTATAACGGCAGGGATAGTTAGCTGTAGCCTGTATTTAAGGCTCAGCAACCTCCTGGCTCCTGGAGCTTGTATCTTACTATAATGTGCCTATAGTACAATTCTTGCTGGGAACTTTCAAAGTTTGGGGCTCATGCTCGGAGTCACATCAGTCTATCCTAGTCGTCAACTCTCTCAACTGTAACTGAACCCATCTCAGGCTCTAAGGGTCTGAAACCGATCCATTGACACTTGAGTACGTATCAGGTCCGGTGTTCCCCGGCCTGTAGGGACTTCTCTGTCACGGTCCAGCGGTCCATCACCACATGTGCTGTTACTCAACCGAGGAATCGAAAGCAGTCCCATCGCTGGTTGTAGATTTTAATCTGTGCTATTGCTATTGACTCGAGTTCATGACGGCGGCAGTTGATATCGTCTTTCATATCCCGGTGCCAAGTTGACTCACTATCGCCCGGGCCTGTACATCTCAGGTTTCCCTCGCGGCCGCCGCTCGTCGCTCGAACTGCCTGCATAATCCTCCAAGTTGAACACCAGACGCCTCTGAGCCGGGGCCATAACCAAATGTCGACGTAACAGAAATGTCGAGAGCAATTCCATCAGCGCTCAGTCGGTATATCAGTGAGGTAGTCATGCTTGATCGAGAATAGGTATCGTAGTGTAATGCAAGTTTGTCGGGAAGCGGACCTTCATCCCTTCCTTTTCCTTTTCCTTTCTTTCTTTCTTTCTTTCTATTCTTCTTTCTTTCTTTCTTTCTTTCTTTCTTTCTTTCTTTTTTTCCTTTTTTTTTTCTTTTTTGCCATCCCCCCCTTTCCTGGTGATAATTTGGTAAGCTCGCACTACCCTGTACTCGCGACCCCCAAGCGCATCTGCATTTCATCCGCGGCTACCGAGACCTCGAACTCGGCTGCATCACTTCTCGGGTAGCGAGAGCTTCTCCAAATACCTTAAGGAGTGGAAACGTTGTACGGCTCCCGGTTCTCTCGTGGTGAGACGCACAGGACTTGATCAAGAACCTTGCTTGATATTTGTCTCATAGCAGTAAGGAAAATTTCATACCAAGTAATTCAACCTGGGGATACAGACATTGGGCGCACCCAGACCCACGAAACTTTAAACCGGCCGGCAACAAGTTGTACTTAGGCCTCAGCCATTTTCTCTCTTGCCGTCCCAGCCTATGCCTGCTTTCTGATACGCAGCACCCCATGACATGTAGGGGATCACTGCCGCCGGTGTCCCTCCGTATTTGGTGTGGTATCACACCCTGTATGCCACCGCTCGCAACTTGCCACCTCATAACAGAACAAACCGCTCAGCTGAGTAGGACGATGATGACACTATCACCTCGTAGAAACCTGCAACCCTAATATCAGCATGGGAACTTCACGGCCAGTAACAGGAGTGAAGAAGCTTACATTTTGCTGATAAACCGGTCCTTGTTGACAGGTCGCCCCTTCTTGCCGTTATGTATCGGAGTCTCGGTCCACATTTCCTTCTGCAGAGCAGGACGTCAGCACAAATCCGATGCTAGAACTGGCCAGGACAGCCGAGGCGTTTCCTTTCCAAGGCAACGAAGGAATGTACTCACGACATTCTCTAAGATCCTGGAAAAGTGTCAGCGAAACTGCAATCAAACAAACGATAGCGCTCAGTCCTTACATGTTGCAGTGCCGATCAAAGGCCTTGACTCTTGCAAGCCTGTCCAACAGCACATAAATCAGCCGCCGCCCACCGAACCGACAACAGTCATTTCTCGTGATCGTGGCGTTATCCACTCACAGCTTTCGGTTCGACCGGATGCTAATCAGCACCTGTGCATGACTCCGCACAGCCGTCTGAAGGAGCGAGAGCGGCCCATTGCTCATCTCCCAGGCCTCCTGTAGCAAATCAAAAGTTAGAAACGCCAAAACTGTTTCAATCAGAGACGAACTGCCCCGCCCACGGAAACGTACAAGCTGAGCAATCTCATATTCTCTGCGTGATGCAGCCAAACGCACGGTCAGCGAAATTCCCGATGAAATTGTTTCCAGTCGACAAAGACCTAAAACTCACGTGCACTCGTTGCGCGGCTTCTGGAGCAGCGCCCTGCCAGAATCGTTAGTAATCCGTCGATTTCGCGACATGGCCAGACCACTCACTGAATATTGACATCTGACATCTCTTCTGTAGATCTTGATAATAAGGTGGAAGGCTTGTTGAAGGCGATGAATTTCGTGATGTAGTGAACGTGGTGTTTTTTTATTTTTTTTGTTCGATGTCCGCGCTTGCGGACAACTCGCGGACAAGTCGCGGACACCTCGTTAAGGGCCCCACATCAAAGTCACGTGGACTCCTGGGCAGTTCACTAGCAACCAAGTTCAGGCCTGCGTTAACGCCAAAACTTCATACCCAGGTACCCATCGCGTTCTGAAGTTACAGTAGTCACTGACTCAAACTGGAAAAACTATCGAAGTTGATGCATGGGTCACAGTTATCAAGGTTAAGTACTAAGGTAAGGTAAGGTAAGGTATGCAATTATGTACGGATAATGTGACTGCCTATTATTATCGAGCCCCAAACTGCTCAACTTCTCAAAGCAACGCGACCAACCCACACCAATGCCGCCCTTGTGGCTCGCAAAACCATATCAAGGGAAGCCAATCTACAGCAGCAGCGGCCAAATATGCATCAGATGGCTAACACTTCCCTCCCCTCAAGCACACCATATGCAGGACATGCCCAGCCTAGCATCGAAGCCCATTCCCACCCCTCAGTAAACATACGGCACAATACGCCAGCGCACAATGCGCTTATACTTCTCCCAGTCCCCACCATACTTGCGCGAGCACTTCTCATCGTCCCTCCTGTCGCGATGCACGAGCAACACTCCAAAATAGAGTACATAAAAGTACGTAAAAATGATGCCCCAGCCCCTGGCCTCACCGGGGACCACCTCGCGCCCGTCCAGCATCTTGACAGCACCCTCAGCCAGCGTGCCCGCGCTCAGGATCTGGTACCCGGCCATGCCCGTCGGCAGGCTATACGGCCAGGCCTGGATCCAGTCTCCCAGGTAATTAATGTGGCGCGCGACGCCCCACCAGCCGTCGACGAGCAGGCGCGTGCCGGCCTTGGTCTCGAGGTACTTGAGGTGTACGACGGCAGGGTCGTTGGGGTTGGTGCGGAACGCGTTCTTCTGCGAGTTGGACAGCCGGAAGATGGCGTAGCCCGCGAGGAGCACGGCGCCGACGGCTGCGAGCCCGACAGGGCCGAGCGTCTGCGGGTGGACAGACAGGTAGCGGGTTTGTGTAGAGTAGAGGAAGGGCACCCAGACCAGGTCGCCGAACGCGAGCATCAGCCCAAACCCGTCGGTGGTGATGTCGATCGTGGTCAGGATGGCGGGCTCCATGAACTGGCCGTCGAGGACGTAAAAGGCTTGGATGATGGTGACGAAGACGATGCTGTCGGTGACGGAGCCGTAGAGGCGGTATTGCTTCGCAACGTTGGCGCAGTTGAAGAGGATCCAACCTAGCAGGCCGGGCCGGATCTCCATGAATTCCTTGATGTCTATCTCGCCGATCAAGGGGAGCGTCACTCGCGGGTTCAGTTCGCGTCCGATAAACCAGTCGTAGAGCATGTTACCGGTGACGCCGCCCGCCGCAAGCTCGCGGAACTCGGGGTTCCCCGGTTTGACGCTGAAGCTGCGGATGTAAACGAATGTTGCGAGCGCGTACGCAATGAGGATATTGGCCGTCAGAATCTGCAGGTAGTTGTCTGAGATAAAAGTCCACAGGGGAAACTCGGCGCCGCGGGCGAAGGTGCCTGCTGCGCAGATGGCTAGGGTGAACATTGACGAGGCGAAAGCTGCTCCAGTTAGAACTCAATCTTCCGCGTTCGGGGCAGCGGGCTGCTAACCATTAAACTTGTACTTAAGGCGTCCGCCGTTTGCCAGCTTGGTGCCCTCAGTCTCGGTCCCTGGCAGAAGCCGGTACAGGAGCGCGCTCCAGAGATAGTATGCCAAAGTCCATCCCGTGGCCTCAAGGCTCAAAAGCCCCCTTATCCCATCCTTCGGCCAGCCCACCTCTCGCTTCAGAACCTCGAGATCGAGCGTCTTGGGATGTAGAAGGGATGGCGCAGGGCACCCGGAGATGTCGTTACAGGCGAAGGCGAAGCTATATAAGAGAATTGGCAAGCCAAAGCTGATGGCCGCGGCGCCAGGTCTGAGTTGTGTTAGCAGTTTACCCCTGAGAGATTTCGGTTGCGGTGAATGCTTACGGTCCAAGGAACTCATACTGGTGCCTCCTTGGTGCAACTTGCTGCGTTGTCTTTGGCGCCATCGTTGCTGTAGCCGCGTACTTTGCCGGCTCAAAATGAACCAGCTGGATGTGGTGACCTAGCTCTTTTTATCCTCGGTAGCAAGCATGGGAATTTGAAGAATTCGTGGCAGTGTTCTGCCAGCAACGTGGGCCTGCCCCGCTCACTGACCGGCAATCTATGTTCCGGATGGCCTTATGTGCTTGACAGAGTCGAGGACTGCAAAGTAAGCTTAAGGTTCGTCCGGCTCGTTGCTATCCGGATAGTCTGATGTCCGATGACGACAGGAATTTGGAACTTTTGGCGCCGCCAGGGTAACAATTAAGGCTTGGCATTGTGGCACGTGCATCAGGACTTGAATGAACGATAACCTATCGAGGCCAGAGAGAGGGTTCGGGATGATCTCTGTATGCTGGGCATGACGGTAGTCGCATCGGCAAGATAGAGGTCATTCGCATCGATATGTTGCTACATACCGGTAGTGATTCATGCGGCAGGAAAGCGGCATCTGATTCAGCCAAATTTGCGAATGACCATGTACCTTATGAAGTATGGACCCTTTGCCGATATGTCAGGCACAGTCTGTTAGGTTGTTAGTGTAAAACTGCCCAATCTCACGTTCGGGCAACAAGATCCAGCTTAAACATTGATAGGGGACGTTCAATTTGATGCAGGGCAATGTAGCAGCTAGTATACTTCATATTATTGTTTCCATACGCACCCTTATCTTGCGCGGTCATCACTCGTTCTAGCTGTGATTTGAGCCTTGGGTGTTGTCTTGAAGTCAAACTCTAACGGACAAACAACAAAATAAGGAAGTACTTCGAACTCTACGCTAATTATGGCGACCGCAGGGGCCTCATCCCCTGCCAAGACACAGTTCCACTGCCTGCCAAGGACACCTAACGGCTACCACCGAGCTGGCGTCAGCATAAGCCGCGTCAGGATGTCCCTGCCATCAACCAACCTCGAAGTCTGATCCAACGTCGTTGAACGAGCCAGACTCGCACCAATTCACCTCTTGTCAACTGCTCTTTCGTTATTACCGCGTCTTTCTTGAATGAGACCTCGCGTGTCTCTATTAGCGTAGTTCAGCGCTGCGGCGCCCTTCCCCGCCCCCACCAGTGCGAAACTCCCGTCGGTATCCTCGTCGGCTTCGAACCTTTGAACCGCTGGTTACAGCGCCAAAATGCATCCACAGACCTCGTCACGGAGCCTCCTGCTGCTTGCGATAGCTGCCTTCGCAAGCGTATCATCTGCTGAGGATGCAACTGCAACCACAGTCACGTCGTCGACAACATCGGCAGCAACGCCGTGCGTCGCAACCGCAACAAACGGCAACTTCTTTGATTTGCGACCAGACATGGCGATCTATGTGGCCGAGGGGGAGAAGCCCCCATCCAAGGGGTCGCCCACCGAAGACTATTTGGCCAGGGGCTGGGACTACGGATCGAACTTTACACTCAATATCTGCAACGCCGTCGTGAAGAAGGTGGAGGATGTCGTGGGCGTGGAAAAGGCACTTTGGCAGAACGTGAGCGCATATTACGAATCTAAGGGAAAGGTTTACTCGCTCGGGTACGGTCCATACCATTGCTAGGCTTAGAGGAATTCGGCGCGCTAACCTTACTCCAGCCAACAATCAGGCAAGCTCACCCCGCGAGGCCGCAAGCTCGTTCTCCAATACACAGGCGGTTCACCATGTGGCGCGGTCTCGGGTGAGAGCATAGACAAGCGCTCGGGCGCCGTCCACGCCGGCGCAAGATACAAGTACCACGAATTCGACGATCAAGAAGCCGAAGCCGAAGCCTACGAAACCAGGCGGATAAAAACCACCGATCATGACGACAACAACGATAAGGAGACGGACAAGGAGAAGGACAAGGACAAGCAAAAGCAAAAGGAGAAAGAAAAGACCACCCGCCGCAAATCAGCAACCATCTCCTTCCTCTGTGACCGGGACCCGGACACCCCAACCGCAGCGTCCTTTGTGGGCACCGACCCGGACGAATGCGCATACTTCTTCGAGGTGCGCTCGCAGCACGCCTGTCCCGGGGCCGAGCCGCACAAGCCGGGAAGTGTCGGTCCCGGAAGCGTCTTTGCCATCATCTTCTTCATCGCCGTCCTGGTGTACGTGGTGGGCGGCATCTTTTACCAGCGCACCGTCGCGCATGCCCGCGGGTGGCGGCAGTTGCCGAATTACAGCCTGTGGGCAGGTATTTGGAGTTTTGTTAAGGTATGTCTTAGACGCCTATGTTTCTGGATTTGGTGGGTGAACGACTGATGGGCTGCGTTGCTGATGTGATTTGCAGGATATGCTCATCATTCTTACGTCGTCGTGCTCTCGGATTGTTCCTAGACGTCGGGGCTATCATACGCTATCGGGTTCTCCTAATGGGAGGCACCGGAACCGGGATGATGAGAATCGGCTAATCGATCAGCTTGATGAAGAGTGGGATGATTGATGTCTGGTTTAGGGTGGGATTCTGTTGTTTTGCTGTACTCTGTCCTTGAAACACGGAATGTCTCTAGTAACTTTCAGAATGTGTTTATTATGTATCTGATTCAATGTTCAGCTGGAAGTAAGTCATGTCTCGTTCACCGCAGCTGGGCCGTTGCGGGCTGGACTGGCGTTTTCGGACAGCGCCGCAGTGAGGCATCAATGTAGGCTTATTCTCAGGGGATATAGATGGCTTGTCGGCAGGAAAGCTGGCAATTGGATCATAGACCAATCTTGTTATAGATCTGTACTTAGGAACCTACCTTGCTCTCTGTCGCTTCTTTTCCATGATGAACATCACACAACGCGTCGTTCTTAGGCATGATATTGACTTAACCATGTCCAAGACTCAGACTAGGACTTTGCAAGCCAGTGCTTCACAGGATGCCTTTAACCTTAGTGAAGTCAATGAAATGAAAGGGGGCAATGGCTAAAGTGAGCCAACCCACTTATCACGCTTCTGTGCTTGCAGTGATATGGGGAGGAAGACACTACTTACCTGTAGGTAAGCATCAGACTCTTTGTTGACGGATACCCCAGGCCACGTCACAAAGACTTTTGTTTCTAACCGAGACTCAGAACAGCTTGTATAGACCATTTTCATCTTTCAGTGAGAGATTTATGGTATTATTCTTACCTATCTGTTGACAGAAGTACAAGTGTGTTGAACCGGTGACTCGATACTTACGTTCTGGTGACGTGTGTTAGCTGGTGGTAGGTACGAAAAACCTAGGCTGGCTCATTTGGGTTGATTCCTGCTACAACCATCAGGCATCAAAAGCGATGTTTAGCGTTGCTTGTTGTTCAGCGATCCTCCGTGCTATCATTGGTAACTTGAGAATATGATGATGTGCATAACTGCCCCCTGCTGAACACAGCCGTCGGGATTTGGCAAGGCAAGTCTGAGTACTTTGTATACAATCACCTCAATACATGCTATGTGTTGTTTCGCAGCTCGTTGCTTTGTGATATGACGCACTTGCGCTGTACATAAATGATCAAGTATTTGACTCTTTCGACCTGCTGTTCTCAGTCATGCTCTTGTATATATATACATACTAAACAGGTTCCTGTTCGTTGAACATCTGAACAACAGCCAAGGCATCACTGAACACGAACACTTGGAAGTTGCGACCCAGCAGTATTAAAGATCCTCAGACCTTCACCAGAAAAATGGAAAACCCACCATCAACTTCATCAAGTTCCAAGTCCTCTTCAGGTTCTCAACCACTGCACAAACACGAAGCACAACACAAAAACCACAACCACTTTCGACGCGTTTCGAACCATAATCACCAGGACACGATGCCCCGACGCTGGGACAACGATGATGACGAGCGCCTGCCCGAGGGCATGGTGCGAATCGGCTACGATGCCGACACACAAATCTACACCTTCCGTGACGCGGACGGCAGCCTCTGGGAGGGCGAGCCCGGGTGCAGATATGGCAAGCTCCACCGGGTGTCCGCTCCTACTCCAACACGAACGACCGCAAACCTTCCCTCAACGGCTTCTTCTCCTGTAGAAAAGGCCGAAGACCGATCGCGGCGTCAGAGTCAGAAGCTCGATGCGAATGACCTCCTCGTTCGGGACGACGACGAGAGGTCCTCCAAGAATTATAAAAAGAAGAGAGCATCGATGCCGCCGGCTCCACCAGCCACCGCCGCTTCACCTTCGAATTTGAATCATCCCGCTGGACAACCCGGACCGAGCGCAGGCGCTGGAAAGGGAGGGGGCACGCCGGACGGAGCGACCACGCCGCCGGCCAACACTGGCGAAGCAGAGCAACCTGACTCAGGTCGTCTTTCACCAACAACAAAGCGCCGCCTTACCGAGTCTTTCCTGGCAGGCCACTCACCTGACAGCTTCGCCAGTCGAGTGGCCGCCCTCTCACGCTCCAACACAATTACGACCCCCGCCCAGCGGAAGGCGGCGCAAACCTTTGACGAGATCCTCGCCGCAATGCAGCGGTAGAATCTTTTGACACAAAGGTGATAGAACGATATCGCGACGTTGTCCTTGCTAGTACATTTTGACGGTTAAGTGTTAGGAGTAGTGAATCAGGTATGTTTTTGGGTGTTATAATAGGTAAATGATGGGCTAATGATTGACATAGCGATCTGGATGTTTGTTGTTTTCGTGTTTTCAGAAGCTGGGAGTTGGGAATTGGCGGGCCAGGATCCAGCATCGTCCTGCTGGCCGGACAAAGTCGGGCTGTTCTGCTTAACAAACAATTGCCCCTTGACAGCTATCCGTGTCAACAAATCCTCGGCCTTGACGAGTACATCTTCTTCATGTCGCCGGAGTCTATCCCAAACCTAAGCAACAGGCTCGGTCCCGGCGCCCATATGCCCGGCATGGTTTTGATGGAAGAGTTCCACGAGTACTGTGGTACGTCAACTCCAAAGACAGCCGTACATCCATGTGGCTCCATGACCTCAGGAGATTGGTAAGTGAAGTTAATAACAACTTGATGCTAGGGTTCTGAGAAGCAGTCGAACATGTACATAGCTCTAAGTACAGGACAAGCCTTGTTTGTTTGTTACGGCGATACTCTGCCCCACCTAACCTTCCCTTCTTTGGTATGGCTGTGAGGCCGCTGCATCCAACCAAAATACGTCAGATCTGACCCACTCTCCTCGATATCGAGGACTCTCTCCAAGTCAGGACTATCAGTCAGTAACCTCCCTCGCCCTCCCACTAAACTTCAATGCAAATCTGAACCTAGCTTCAAGGATATAAGAGGCCGCTGATCAGGAGAGTTGTAGGAAGGAATCCATGCCTTTTGCCCTTTTCCTTCATTTTGCCCCACTTGAAGTATCGCGCTAACGAACAAACAAGGTTAAGCTGTACATACCCTCAGGTTGTGGTGTGATGAATGTCGAAAATGGAGAAGAAAAAGCAAAAGAAAAGGGGCTCAATCGGGGATCGAACCCGAGACCTCGCACAAACACTGTGTTAAGTGTTGGGTTTTACCCGAAGCGCGAATCATACCACTAGACCATTGAGCCAATTGATGGCAAGAATTGAGAATTTGCAAACCTATAAAAGCTTAACGGGCTGGCTCAGGTAAGGCGGACTTACCCTTGATTCCAATAATTATCATGACAGAGAACTATCAAATGTTGATGGAGGTTGTTAACTAACCAGTCAGATGCCTTCTTTATACACCATTAGAATTAAGGTTGGGAGTGGTCTAGGGATCGACTGTAACTTGCCTAGCATAATGCAAGACGCAAGTCTGTATGGGGATATGGATATATGGAATCATCTGTCATTACCCAACTTTTCCTGTTATTGCTACCAAGACATCTCTCAGCAATCAGGAAGCTACATAGATGAACGTTCGGTAGTGTACTTGCTTCGTTTCATGGTGAGTGATATTGTTGTGGAAGGACATAGGCAAAGACAGAATAGGATGAGCGAGATAGTCTTCTTGATATGCATCATATTCACAGGTTGTAAAAGTCAACTATATACATGAAGTGGTGGTTAATCGACCCATGATCTTCAATGGCGACCTTCGGAGTTCGGACATCTTGTCGTTATCGCCTTAGATGCACTGATAGTAGTAAGGTGCCGAGACACCAGTGCAAGTAGAGCCAGACTGAAGCCAATCCATGTCAGCACATCTGCATCAAACACAAATAGATAGTTAGATTCAACTTACAGCGCAAGTCGTGCAGCCAGTGTATCCCTGGCCGCCGCACTGCCCGTATCTCTGGACCGTGCACCCGGGGGTGCCGCCGCCGCCGCTGCCGCCGGTAGGGCTGGCGGTAGCACTAGTAGCGGGCGACGTCGAGGTGGGGGGCGTGAGTGTTGTAGCCGGGCCAGACCCAACCGCACAAGTCGACTCACACCCAGTGCAGGCGCTACCCGCAACCTTGGTCGAACCGCCGGAATACACCGCCGGGCCGGGCACCGTGTAGCCCGTCATAGCACCATGGATGCTAACCGCCAGACCGGGATCCCGAGCCGAGTAGGCACCGGGGAAGTTGACCGTCGGCGGGGTGGCGCTGCCCGTCCCGCCCGTGACGGTCAGCTGGTAGCAGGTCATGTACAACTGGGCGCCGCCCGAGCTGCTGGCCGCGTGCAGCGCGATGGCCTCGGCGCGGAGGAGGTAGTCGCCCGAGGGAATGTCGGCGGGGATCTTGACGTTCATCTTGCCGCAGCACTTGTTCAGGTCCTTGGTGCCCCAGAAGTCGTCGTCGCCGACCCGGCCCGAGGGGTTCTTGGCCCAGCCGTCCTGGAAGATCTTGAACCACCCGGCAGAACCGTCGGCGCTGGCGGCGTCTGAGACCTTGGACATGTAGACGATGACAGGGCCGTGGTGCGCCCCGCCGATGGCCTCGTTCGCGCAGGATCGGTCGCCGTTTTGCTTGAAGGGGTGTTAGTACGGGGTTCGGGGAGGAAATTCAGGGTCCGCTTTGCATACCTGGTGCATCTCGACGGTCACTGTAGAGCCGGCCCTGACCGGGCACTTGCCGCGGGCGGGGGATGAGCCGGCATTGCAACGCATGGCGGTGGAAGAGACATCGGTGACCGGGGAGTTGGAGCCCGGCAGGCGAGCGCACTGGGAGCCATAGTCCACCCCGTCGACCCAGAGCTGCTGGAAGGTTGCATGGGCGGCAGCGTTCTGCGCCCATAGGGCTGCCACGGCGGCAATGGCGAGAGACTTCATCGTTATTAGATTATTGCTAGTACGACGTTGGAAATCGACTCGGGTGATGCCTGCGTGGGACCAGCTTCTCGGTCTCCTGTGCGCGCCATGGCTCGTTTTATAGATCAGGGGCCCAGGGGCTGGTAGTGCAGGCTTCAACTGGGCATCACGGTCCGCTGTAGGATTTTGGGCTCGACGAGGCCTGCGATGTCACGTCCGCAGCATCCTCCTACGTCTCGTGGTGGCAGACCCGCCGGTCCTCTAATTTCAGGTGTGTCCACGCGCGCCCCACAGCCTGGTTTGACGCATGCTCGGCGGTGCTCAACGGAGGCTCCGTGAACCGATTCGGGAGTTGTACCCCACACAGGTGCAGCACCCGCGGCGTTCTGGGGTGCGCCAGCGCTTCCAAAACAGGACCGTGTTGGACGAGCGATTGGTGGACTGGGTTGCGGTTAAATGGTGGATAAATTAGGACGGCAAGACGGACATGACTGCCGCAACCCACGATCCCAGAAACCGGGTCAGCGACGGACGATGACGTCCCGTCTCGGTTCTGGTGAGTTCTGAAATCCGCTGGAACCTGGATCTCAAGTTAGCATGAGAAAACCGTTTAATTGTACATACACAGCGTTGTAAGTCCTCTAACTCTCGCCTTGTGATCCATCTCTTATGCCCTGGCTCGCAAGTCAAAAGTAAGCATGATTAGCTATTTTCAACATTGCACTAGCAACACCGTTGCCACGTGTCTGAAAATAATACCGAGTGAGATATGTATATATGGCCGCCACCAAGTCCAGTAGCTTTCAGCTTGTACAAAGCCAAGATAGTCTGGCCATGCTGCCGCTAGACACGTGCCACAGCTGTTAGGGATATCCGGGCCGGTGCACTGAGACCTGAAGCTGTTGGGTTTCCTTGGGCGGAAATGATCAGGGCACACTCGTACCTTCGACCAGTTTCGAGACTGCGGGAATCATAAATGGCTCATCAGGTTTTTAATGGTGAGTCGGTGGCAGTGTCCAGGCTTGTTCGCTTTTGACATTGAGATAGGTAGTGTGCTAAGAAAAAGTGTGATTAAGTCGCTAGAAACGAAATATTAGTCTTTATATTCCCAGAACAGAATCCCCAGTTCGATCATTCCACCCACAATTATGATTATCGTCTTGGTATAGGTTATCAGACTCTAGTGATGAGGATACAGGTAAATATAAGCTCGACTGAACGAGGTTTCAGCCAGATATGTAAGAACTGGTCCTGCAGTGCTCACCCTCTCCCAGCAACAATGCGCCGCTCTAGAATGTATAGATAGAAACCCGTGACGAGGGCACCTTGGCCGAAACACACAAAAATTGACACCCAAGATGTCAGCTGAGGGTTAACATACCCGGCGTCCAACAAAAGTAAACATCCTTGAGGCGGTGCTTATTAGAGTCATCGGACGCCCTAGTGTCGAGTCCAGATGCCTGGTCGCGTTCATCCTTCTTTGCATCGACACGTTCGCCAAGTTTATCGAGGACCAACCCTCCGATGGCTGCCCCCACGAAGCCCGGCCTCGCACGGTCAACAACGGCTTGCACGGGCTGGCGGACCGGCGCGGTGTACGTCTCCACCGCAGTGGTAGCAACCTTGGAGGCGACAAACACGCCCACTTCCAGGGGCAGGGTAGTGAGCGACGCACCGCGGAATTTACTCGAGTCGGTCGAGACACTGGCGACGCGAAAGATGGGGCTGCTGCAGAGGACCTTGCGTTTGAAAGAGGAATTATTTGCGTCTTGCCCAGCCGCCGCAGCCGATGGTCCCCCAGTGCAGAGAATCAGACGGAAGTATCCATCCTCGGCGTCCTTGGGGATCCGTAGCACGTGCGTTTCCCTCGCGACGTGCGCCTTCGCTTCGCCGTTCTCTCTGATCAACGCCTTTGCTGCCTTCGTAATGTCTCTTTGCCATGCTCGCGCGGTGTCTGGCTTGAGGTGCTGCGTTTGCAGCTGGGTCGACGGCGTCACATCAAGCCAGCCAGAGGTTGCGTTGAAAAAGGCCTTGACCTTCATGCCGCTGTCGCCTGAGAAGCCACGCTGCTGCAACCAGAGGGTGCGGTCGGCGGGAAGGAGGTGTTCTGGTGAGCTGAAGATGGTGATGGTCACCGAAGTGGAGGGGCCACGGTAGAGTATGAGGGGAGGAGAGTGCCGCAGGATGGTGTAGTGCTTGGTGGACTCGATGGGCTGGGGAATAAGGCCGCCTGCGAAATGCCGCGCTTCTGTGAAGGCATTTTGCAGGAATGCTTTTGTGCTGCTGGCAGAAGGGCCGAAGGTCGAGGCTGAGTTTATCGTTGTCGAGGACGGGGCAGGTGTGACTGTTTCGAAACGCGTTGTTGCGAAACGCGTCAGATCCGGAAGACTCGTTTGCGGCCGGAGGCGGTGATGGGACTCTGGGACCTGAAGGAACAACTCGGGATCTTCTCGGGAGCCGGGCTGCATATGCATCGGAGCGTCGCGGGGCCCATCGGCAAACCTCAACCGGTCCGGGAGTGGGGGCGGCGGTTGGTCGGCCTTTTGTTCTGCGGAACAATCATTGTTGGAACTGGCCGACTGTGTCTGCAGGTTGTTGGGGACCGGCTTCCGCCTGATCTGCATTGGCGTTGCCAGCGCCTGCGTCATTCCTTGGTCCCAGTGTTTAGCACTTAACGCATTTGTTCCATAAGTAAGATACCCAAGTAGGTCACCTTGAAGTCTGTTATGGAATTGGAGTTTGGAAGGGAGAGTTTCTGATGCAAACTCGCTGAGCTCGCCATAGTTACATGCACTGTACTGTATGTACATTAAAAGTGGAGCGTTGCCAATACACTCAAAATGGAGGACAGAACCAACAGCAACAGCCACAAGAGGGCATCGTGCCCTTTCTCGCTTCCTTACTTGATTTTTGATCTTGACACCGTTATCGTCAATTCGGCCAATCCGTCACCATGACGGGACGCGAGTCGGCTGGTCGCTCCTTAGAGGGGCTGCCCTTTGAAGTTCAGCGACTCATTCTCGGGAAGGCGCCAAGCTTGGATGAGCTGCGCACTCTCATCCGGGCCTCGCCGCAGCTATACCGTGTCTATGTTGAAGACCGGCCGCGAATTCTTCGAGCCTTCATATCCAATCTTCTCGAGGACATCATCTTGGACGCCCACGCCGCCTATGTCTCGGGCGAAGACATCTTCCAGTCTAACCGCGGCCACGCAATGCTCTGGGAATTCCTCGACGACTTCCGGCAACGACGCGACTTTGAAGCGCCCGCCGCCCTAGCCGCCCGGCTGTCTGAAAAACAACTCATTGGGATTATTCGTTACCACGCGTCCGTTATCGAGCCTTTGACGGACCGCTACACTGCCTGGGCGACAGCTACTCTGGCCTCCCCGCCGCAAGAGTTAAAGTATGAGTTAGAGGAGTGGCCACTCACTTCCATCCGCGACATGGACAGGCGGCGAATCCAGCGGGCCTTTTACCACTTCCAACTGTTCTGCAATGTTTCTGGGAGAAGGGTTTCTCACAGCTCTGGACGCTCCTCATGCATCCACGATCCGTCCGAGTGCTGGCGCGTGCTTACCATCTTTCCTGAATACCAATTCGAGGCGATACGCTGCGTTCACACCTTCGCCAGGGTTAAATACAGGTCCGTCCATGAAAACCCGTGGTTGTACTCTTTAGAGAATTCTATAGATGCGCATTATGATCCTTGTAAGTGTAAGCGCTCGATATTCCCTAATCACATAATCTAACTCACGATTCAGTCTACAGGCAGCGATTCAAGTCTGTGATGCTCGGCGAGGGTCTTGATCTCTTGTTGGCCATGTTTCAGACCGAGGACCAAGATAGCCCGGAGGTAGCAAGCATACTTTGCTCCAAGCTTGAAGCATCTGCGCATGAATACCCGGATGCTTCAGGCCATGGCGACTTCATACTCGAGGCAGTCGAGGAGCCCATGCAGATGAGACGCGCAGATGGTAGTACCGAGATTATCGGATGGCGCGCAAGACGACTAGTTGGAAAAAATCCGTTGGAGCGGGAAGCACTGGATTCACCGCCCTTTCACCCCTTGCCACTTCTGTACTTTCCAGGATATCTACGTCTTCAGACTCTTCACCAATCTCTTCATCAATCTCTTCGGTAACTTGTGCACCGGACCTTTTAGCTCTGGACCGGCAGGGTATATGTCATGATTGATGTGGGACACGCCGCGTCTGAAATCATCAGAGCATAAATGTATATGGAGGACAACGGACGCAATGGTCAGATGGTAAATGAGAACACTTAAGGTAGAGAGCGATGCTTTCCGAGATATCTGGCACTGATTATTCACGGCGGTGCCGACTGCTAGTACGTGAGTAATGATTGATTTACACAGAAATATCTAGCAGGCTCTAGGATATAGGCAGGTGTTGAGGGGTATAGGCTAGGAGCTAAGGGGGAGGTTAATGAACACCCTCACCGTCTATGCCAATATAAGCGGATAGTGTCAGAACGGGTATCAGAGATCGGCATGGGCTCACATGTATCCATGTGTCAGCGTGGCATCATGATCCTTCCCGATTCCCGAGTCCCGATTCTCTCCGCGGATTCGGCCCCACTGCTGGATTCCCAAGATTCAAGCCGGGCTCGCTTTTCTCTTCCCTCCGTCCGCTTTCATCATTCCCTTCCCATACTCCAACATCATCAATGGCGACCCAGAACGAGATAATTCCCCTCGAGTCCTTCCCTGACTCAAACCCAACCCCTGCCTTGGCACCCATATCGCGCAAGAAACAAGCCGCCGTGCTTTCCTCCGCCTTCGTGGCCATAGCCCTAACAATCGGCTATAATCAATGCTTTGGCGTGTTCCAAGAGTACTATGTCTCATCTAGCCAAGACGTCCTAGTGCCCTCCCCAGCTTCACAGCCATCACCGCCGACGGCTCTGCTCACTTTCGTGGGCACGCTGTGCTACGGCCTGACTTGGGCGGGCGGTGTCATTGTCAATCCTGTGATATCACGTATTGAGCATGGCATTTGGGGCCCGGCTACGGCATCAAGCCGGCTACGCACCCGCAGGCTCTTGCGCCTCCTGACGCCGAGGACAGTCACCATATCAGGGGTTCTCTTAGTGTCCGCTGGGCTCACGCTAGCCTCCATCAGCAGCTCCATCTGGCAACTCTTGCTTACCCAAGGGTTTCTGGTTGGCCTCGGGATGTCGCTCATCTATTTCCCGCTTCTTGCCCCCGCGCCTGAGTATTTCACTAGGCATCGAGCCACGGCCATGGGGTTTGTACGTATCCCCCCACTAACCAGACACTGACGGGACTGCCGCTAATATCCCTATGCGCGATTAGATTCTCGCAGGTGGCGGCATAGGCGGTCTGATACTCTCCCCCGCGCTCCGCGCGCTTCTCAGTCTTGTCGGCGGGCGCTGGACCCTCAGGATCTATGCCATCTTCAACCTTGTCGTCGGTCTTCCAATCGCCTGGGCAGTGCCGCGGAGCCGATTTGCAGCCGGCCAAACCACAGACGACCCGGACAGGCCCAACACGCACGTCTCCCGCGCCCTGGCCGCAAGGCCAACCTTCCTCTTTTCCGCAGCCGCTGCCTTCCTCCAAGCAGCCGGCGCCCAACTGCCACTGTCGTTTATCCCCTCGTACACGGTGGTCCTCGGCCTCAGTGCCTCCAACGGCGCCAGTTTCCTCGCAGCCAGCAACGCCATCAATGCCGTCTCACGCGTGCTGACGGGCTACGCCGGCGATCGTCTCGGCAGGCAAAACACCCTTGTCCTGACGCTCCTGGTTGCGGCGTCCAGCGTCTTTGCCTTCTGGCTGTCGAGCGTCCAGGCAGCTGCTGCTGGGTCCTCTTCGGCTTCGCTCTGGTTGGCGTTCATTGTCCTGTACAGCCTCTCAGCGGGCGGATACTATGCGCTGTTTCCGGCGCTCATTGCTGAGGTTTTTGGGATCAGGCAGTATGCGGCTGTGAATGCGTTTATCCTTTTTGTGCGAGGGTTGGGGACGATGTTTGGGAGTCCTGTTGGCGGGCAGCTGCTAGGGAACTCGGAAGACGGGACGAAAGCGTATGCGAGCGTCGCGTACTGGGATGGCGCGCTGTTGATGGGCGCGACCCTGTGTTGCGTTGGGGTGAGGTGGGCGGATGGGAAGGGGAAAGGGTGGAAGTGGGTTGCCTGAGCTTGCCTCGTCCAGGAAGGACTGGGCAAGTGTTCAACTCGGCACTCGCGTCTCATGGAGTCACAATACCACGGTGTTGCGCAGGAAAGAATCGCTTCGAACGCCGGGTCTGCGAGTAACATAAAGTAAATCATTAACAGGTCAGAAAGAACGTTGAGACCTTCAAACTTCGTCTCTTCTAGTATTCACGCTCTGTTTAGTAAAACACTTGCGATGGTACTGGAAGTCAGCAGATTTTAGTTCGTTGAGCACCAGCTTGATGCTACAGTGGCCGACTTTCAGGTCCTCGCCTCGCACGGAAGAGGGATTTCAAGGTCCGCTAGAGTCGGGAGGTCAGTCCAGCCCCAAGAAAGTGTTCGCGTTGCTTGTGACCGAGCTACGATCCAGCACAGAAACGCTGATGTAGCATTTGATGGGAAGCCGAAGAGCATCAGGGGCAAAGTTTCATCAGTTGTCCATGGCTCCATGTTGTTGGTGAATTGGTGTTGTTGAAGTTCAGGGTTAGATATGCAGCCTAAAGTCACGTGATCATTCCTTGACCGTTGCGCACAGGCCAATCAAAGGATTGCATCACCCAAGCTCCCCACCATGGTTGATTGGCCGACAGGCGATTTATTTTGGGGTTTTTGATTTCGATGATCATCACTACCAGAGGGAAAACCTCATCTAATCCAGTCCGCTTCATTCGCCGCTTAACTTGCTGTTTGCTCTTGCAGACGCGACTTTCACCCTTACTACTGCCTGCTTATTCGCGGCCGCTAGTCGTCCTGTTTGGACCAACCAGCGACCTTCTACAGTTCTCCATAAACTTTGAGTCAAGATGGGTGAATCTAGGTCCGTCCTGCCTGATTTCCGTATTTGTAACGCCCGAGAAGGTGTCTTGGGAAAGCTGAATCCAACTAAATGAGCTACGCGTACAGGCAAGAGCTCGTGCAATGGCTCAACAGCCTCCTCCAACTCAACATCACCAAGGTTGAGCAGTGTGGAACAGGGTATTTCGTGCCCCTCCCCCACCCTTTGTAACTGTGAAACTGACCATGCGATCCGTCCCAGTGCCGCGCTCTGCCAGGTCTACGACAGCATCTTCCTCGACGTTCCCATGTCCCGCGTCAAGTTCAACGTTAATACCGAATATGCGTACATCCAGAATTTCAAGATCCTTCAGAGTGAGTTGCCATGCCGCTCGCCGCCCCATCATCCGGATGCGCTGTGCTGACGATACCCTCCCGGGCAGATACCTTTACGAAGCACAATATCGACCGGTCCATCCCCGTCGAGTCGCTCGTCAAGTGCAAGATGCAGGACAACCTGGAGTTTCTCCAGTGGACAAAGAAGTTCTGGGACCAGTACTACCCGGGCGGCGAGTACGATGCTGTTGGCAGACGGAAAGGCAGTACAATGGGAAGCAGCACTGGAACTGGCGCTGGAGCTGGAGCTGGAGCGGCACCGCGTGTCCCGAGTGGCGGGGCGAGACGGGGCGTAACACCCACCACCGGACCTCGGACTGCCGTCAAGCCCGCAGCCACAGCGGCCACCGCCGCTTTGCAGCAGGAGAACGCCACGCTGAAGGAGACAGTTGTCGGCTTGGAGCGTGAGCGCGACTTTTACTTTGCTAAGCTTCGGGACATTGAGCTTCTGGTCCAACAGGCTGTTGAGGAAGATCCCGAGCTCGAGAAGCAAGAAGACGGGCTCGTCAAACAGATTCAGAATATCCTCTACTCGACCGAAGAAGGGTTTGAGATTCCCGAGGCGGAGCAGCTGGATGACCAAGAGACGTTCTGATGGGCGAGGGCATCTTATGGGGTGGGGGCGGCCTAACAGACTGGCAGAGCGTGCCTGGCAGAGACTATGGGGAGGTAATTTTTCGGACCACGAGTTACGGACCGAGTACACGATGCATATGACATGGAGCGCGATTGGTAGTGGCTAAAAGGGGCTCACGTTTGTGAGAGTTGCCCTCTATACCCTTGCACTATTTTGGTGCTACTCCATCGACTCTCCGGCGTTTTCCATAGCCTGCGTACAGATATTGTCGATACGAGATGGACTTATAGATTGAGTTCAAAACACCATCCATTACCAGCTGAGGGTTTGGAATCTGACCTCTGCAGAGGACGGGGGTCCAACGTACTTTAAGATGGTTGTCTGTGTATACTTGTATGTATTGTAGAAGCGATTGTGGATCAACTGACATTCCCGGCACGTAGGCGCCGTGCTAGGAAAAGAAGAGAATTGGAGAGGAAGAACTGGTAAAAGGAAAACAACGACTTGATGATAAGATCTGAGGGCAAATATGAAAGCAGCTTTCATGATACATGGTGACGCTGGAGGGACCAAGAGAGGGTTCAGCTGGTGGAAGACAGGGCGATGGGGCGATGGGGCGATGGGGCGATGCGCTGAACAGCTGTGGGGCCACTCACCCAACCAGACCTGAAGCTCGATCCGGCAACCGATGACACCAACGATCCCGTGCCAACCGCTGCACATTACCTAGGACTCAGGAGTCTACATTGTCATCATACCCTTTTCACAGTCGGACCTACAGTTCCTTCTGCCCTATTTCTCCTTTTTTCGAGATACCCTTTGTTTTACTGCCCCATTTCCCACTTGACGCTCTACGCACTGGCTAGGTTTACAGAGGCCCAAGCCAAGCAATCGACACCGCCGCATCCTCCCATCGTCCGAAACACCAGAGGCACGTGTCCAACCAACCGTCGGAGCAACGAACTCTCCCAGAAGCTTCAGATCACCACCGGCGAACTCATAAAAGAAAGTCATCTGCATCTCCTCGACGCAAAGCCCTCGAACTACAACTCCGTTGACACACTCTCCCCGATACCCCATCCGACCTGCGTACAGCCCAGGCTGCGCCCAACACCAACAACCGTCCAAGCGGCCCAACCACGATGGCGCCCCCCTTAGAAATCTCCATCCCCACCACCTCAGTCTACACTCCCCCAGCCGACGACGACACCCACAAATCCCGCAAGCCCTACACCCTCTACAACCTAACCATCCGCCTGCCACTGCGCTCTTTCGTGGTCCAAAAGCGCTACTCCGACTTCGCCTCCCTACACAGCGAACTAACACGACAAGCGGGCGGCGTCCCACCTCCCTGCCCTCTACCCGCCAAATCCTGGTTCCGCTCGACCGTCAGCTCGCCCGAGTTCACCGAGGACCGGCGCGCGGGACTCGAACGCTATCTCCGCGCCATCGCCGAGCCCCCCGACCGCCGCTGGCGCGACACCCCCGCCTGGCGCGCCTTCCTCAACCTGCCCCCTGCCGGGTCCGTGTCGGTCTCGGGGTTGAGTGTCGACGGCCGCGCGGTGGGCCTGCGTGAGCAGAACATGGCTGCCGGTGCTGCGGACCCCGGTACATGGCTTGATATGCACCGTGAACTGAAGGCTGCGCTGCATGATGCGAGAGTTGCGCTGGGCAGGAGGGATAATGCGTTGGAGAATGGTACAAGGGTGGAGGCGGGCGCGCAGGCGAAGCGGGCGTTGATTAAGGCTGGGAGTTTGCTTGCTGCCTTAGGGGATGGGTTGGCGGTGTTGAAGGAGGGGAAGAGGCTTGGAGAGGGCGAGCTCAGGCGCAGGAGGGATCTGATTGCTGCGGCCAGGGTGGAGAGGGACGGGTTGGACAAGCTGAGCTCGAGCATGGCGGTTGGGGGCGGGGCTGCGGGCGGGTCGGAAGGAGGGGTTGCGACCGCGAGTGACAGGGCTGCGCTGTTAGGCGGCGGCGGTGGTGGTGGGAAACAGAGCATGTCAAGACCCGCGGGCAGGGTGCTGGGCGGCGCGCCGCTGCCCGAGACTGAGCGGACGAGGGAGCTGGACAATGAAGGGATGGTGCAGCTGCAGAGGGATGTCATGCAGGAGCAGGACGCCGAGGTGGAGGCGCTGGCGCGGATCGTGCGCCGGCAAAAGGAGATGGGTCTTGCCATCAACGACGAGGTCAACCGCCAGATTGACATGCTGGACAAGCTGAATGAGGACGTCGACGTCGTGGGCCGCAAGCTCGGCGTCGCTAAGGACCGCGTCAAGCGGCTATGACGGGAATCGCCGCCTCCCGAGGATCGGATGGATGTGGGTGTGGTGGTGGCGTCCGCTGTTGACTCTGTTGGGGAGTCTTCTATCGAGACCTCCAGCACCGTAACGACGACGGCCACGTCGATAGAGGCGGAGGCCGCGGCGCCGGAGGGAAAGACGGGGGAACAACAACAATCGGGAGGCGGCGCCATTGACGCCGTGTTTTTGCTAATCGTTCAAGTCGTTTTAGCCGGCGTCCAGGGGTTTGCGGTGCTTGAGTGGCTACTAGGCAGGGTGTCGGAGGCGTTGGCTTGGGCTGTTGAACTGTGCATTCTTTGGGTGCAGCCTTCGGATTGAGCTGTGCTGGGAGATGGTAGAGGTCTGGATGTCTATAGCATACATGATGGACTGATGTGCGACTAGATTGTATGGGTTGCTAGGGGTTTGGACATGGAAGCGATTGTCTTATCACTTGTTTGCATAGGGAGCTTTGGAGTTCTGATTTGCTCTTTTACTCTGCTCTCACCACGTTGTTCTTCGAGCTGGGCGGTGTAATAGGGACAGGATGGTATGAGATGCTACTAAGAAGAGTTTCTAGTATCCCTCTCACTGAGAGTGAGTTCATCGGTTCAATTTTGGAGCAATGTATAGGTGGTCTGGTCCAGGTGTCACTAACAACACTGCTACATGAATGCTCTAGGCTGCATCATGTATTCCCACTATCCCTACTGACAACGGATGAGAACTGTCATGACAAAGTACTGTATTTGAATGATGGACTCGCTGGCCCCATGCACCCCTGAGTTACCACACCCGGGCCACGATCTCCTTAAGGGAGGCCGAGTGACGGTGTTTCCTAGCTGCCGATGTCGGCGAATATTGCCAGGGTTACGAAGTACATAACCATGTCTTTCCGGCTCTGTATTGTTACTGATTTTGAATGGTTCCTCTAGTGCAGTTTTTACATCGAGTTATCGATGGTGTTGAGGGGGTTGGCTTGGGACCCAATCGTGCTGGGCGTAGCGAACGCGAGACGAAGTGCCCCTCATCAGCGGTGGCGGTGATGGATGAGCTGGCGGTCTGGCTACGTCACCCCACAATTGGGGTGGCTGGTTGCTCGGCAACAGGGGCCGCAAGCACACAACGAAGACCAACCACGCCTGACTCCTAGCTCCCCATTCGTGAAAGCTCTCTTCTGTAGAACCAGATAGAATGCGAATTGGTAGCGCATCTTTACCAAACCTTCCTGACCGGCCCGCGATCCACAGTTTTCTCTGGAAAAGCAAGATGCCAGACTGGTTTTGAGTTTGACGGGAGGCTGGGTCGGTTAGGTTGGACGATCCACACACCCCGCGCGGCCCGGCAGGACGCCAGTCCCGCGGATTCGCTTGACACTTTTTCAGGGTCCATCGCTTCTGCCATTCGCCTTGGAAGTGGGCCCGTCACAGCCTGTCAGAACAAGAGATTGCATAATGTCATCGGATTGGATGGCCCAAGGGTACATTGCCAGCCCCTCAGAGGACACGTATAGGCACAGGGCAACGGTTTGCGCTCTTTGTTTTCGCAGATTGACGCTTCCATTCGCTGTCTTGCTCGTCGCGACGCGCCTGGAGACGTGGGGATTTGCGTGTAGAGAAGGAGGGGTATTCTGTCTCGACTGTAACCACGGCAGCGTCGTTGAGGCGACAATCAACGGATAGTTACTTTGTATGGTGCAAACGGATGGTGCTGGGCCGTTGCAATCTGGCATTTTGATTTCTTCAAGGTCACTGTCGGGGGAACATGGGGCTCCCCTGTGCGCTCCTCGGGGGCTTCTTTGGGGCTCCTTAGGGGGTGTAGCAGTTCCTGCGTGATCCCGTCACACAGTGGGCTTTTTGCGGGGATCAAGGTGCAAGATTGATGAGGTGAAAGTTGGGACGGACTCGGCGCCAGCGATTGTTGAGAGGGTCCAAAACAATTACTGAAGTCGCGGGCGTTGGATATGCCGCCAACGTTGCTATCCGAACAACAGCGAGCGGCAGTAATATCAAACGGAACTCGGGACGCGCGGGAGCGACGGTTGTTGCACGGCCTGTGCCTCTCCCGCGCTTGCTTTGGGAATGATTGGGCTGCAGATGGAAGACGGGAGAGTGGGCAAGAACCTGGGATGGCAGTTGTAACTTAGTGGGCCGTGCGCCACACCCACCATTCACATTTGAGCTCTGCGCTGCCCCAATTCTGCCGCTGACTGGTCGCTGAGCTCGCTCAAAGTAAACACAAACTGGCCTGACAGACCCTGGTTTGAACTTCAGTTGTCGTGACACAACCACACCACTACGAAAAGCCGTTGCGCCGTCCATCCGATTTCAAGTCGCGCGACGCTCCAGACGAGATCGAAGCAATCAGTTTCCAACATCAGCGCTGCCCCGAATTCCGATCGTGGGACCGTGAAGTTCGAAGCAGAATTTGGATTAATTACAACAACACAACCGCCGATCTTGGTCGCCGCTGAGCGCAAGCGAGCTTACAAATTTCGCTTTGCTTTTATGTATTTTGGCGTTGGTGGTGTTGCATGTTCCTTGCTCCTGGTGAGTCGCTTTTTGTTTGTATTCCGGAGCAAACCTGCAAGGACTGCGTCACGAAGTCATACAGAGCCATAACACAAGGTCTAACAGAATGTCTGTCGTGACGCAGTTCTCATGACCTTATGATCTCCATGGCTGCTTCAAGATACCACTAGAATTCGATTCGCGCTCGATTGGCCGTTGCCATCCCAGAACCCCCACGAAACGTAACCACTCTCCCTCGCACGCATCGCGAGGAATTGACCTACTCTTGGGCCTCTCGGGCCCCCTCCGAGGATGAGCCACCCACCGCCGCCTCCCCCGCCACCGCATGGGGAGAATCCGAGGACAACGGCCGGTGGCTCCGGTCTCCCACCTGGGCGATACGATATCTTCATCATACCAGAGCACTCGGCCGGCGCCGGATTCCTCTACCTGCCGTCGTTGAAGCCGTCATGGAACAGCTTCATCGCCGGCGGCGTTAGTGCGACCTTGTTTATGATGACCTTGCTCGTGCTCCGAGACGCATCCGCCGGCCCACAACGGACGCATACCGCGGCCTGGTTTTGGCCGCTCATGGGCGCTCTGATGATAGGCGGAGTTGGCATTGGGGCGTTCATGTTGGGGCGCACTCAGCACGAGCCCTATGCGCGACGTAGTACAGGAGGCGATAGGCCAAGCGATAGCCAGAAGCCAAATGGGGGAGGATACGCGGGCTCAGGGTCGTGGTACAACGCGCCGCCGAACAACGGACCGCCTCCGAACCAGGCACCCCCGCCTCCGCCTCCGCCTCCGCCGCCACCGCCGCCACCGCAACACGACATGCCAGGAAATGGTGGAGCTCAGTACCACTCCTGGCAGGACCAATCCACGCCGCCGGAGCCACAACCCCAGCCGCAGCCGCAGCCGCAGCCCCAACCTCAAGCTCAACCACAGCCCGAGCCTCAACCAAACCCGCACGAGCCGCCGCGCGACGAACCCAAGCCACAGCCTAAACCAACTCCCCAACCCCAAGCCCAGCCAACACCACAGCCGCCCCCACCCCAGGCCAATCCGCCAAAGATGGAAACCCCAAAGGGCGCATGGGAAAAGGCGAGGGAAGAGACCCGAAAGAGAGAGGAGGAGCGCAAAGCTCGAGAGGCAGAGGCCAAGCGGAGAGAGGAGGCAGCTCGCCGGCTACGCGAGCTGCGAGAGCGGGAGGCTAAGGAGCGCGAGAGGCGGGAGAGGGAGGCTCGGGAACGAGAGATCAAGGAGAAGCTGCGCAAAGAGCAGGAAGCCAGGGAGAGAGAGCGTCTCGAGAAGGAGTTACGGGAGAAGGTTGAAAAGGAGTTGCGTGAGAAAGCCGAGCAGGAGGCAAGGGAACGAGAAGCTCGCGAGCGAGAGGCGCGAGAACGGGAAGCCAGGCTTAGGGAAGAGGCCCGGAAGCGCGAGGAAGCTCGGCAACAGGCAGAAAAGGAACGGCAAGCGGCAAGGGAGCGGGAAGCCAGAGAAGCGAGAGAGCGCAAAGAGCGAGAAGAGCGCGCAGCTCGGCTACGTAAGGAAGCTGAGGAGAAGGAAAAGGAGAAGGAGAAAGAACAGAAAGAACAGAATGCGCGAAAGGGAAGCTCATATGCCTTCTCCTCGCTCGGCGAGAAGACAAGCATGTGGCCAAACGGCAAGCCGCCGAGCGTCGCCCCGTCCCAAGCAACATCCGCCCCGTCAACGCCAAAACCCGCCCCTCCCACTCCATCAGCGTCCCCACCCAAACAGACTCCTTCCCCGACAAAACCGAAGCCTGCGACTTCGGCCACGGGTGCCGAAGACGCCTACTCATATCGCCCCTATGACACACCCAAGAAACCAACCGCTCGCAAGAAGTCGGTGTCGGACTTTTCCGAATCCTCCTGGGCACCCTCGGCCTCGACGGCACGCACCACCCCACCGCCTTCGATGCGCGGCCCGTACACGACGAACGATCCCCAGAAGATCATCATCAAGGGAGTTTACGGCTTCCTGAACCAATTCTCCAAAACGCCAGCATCGCAGCTCGTTGCCGGCGTGGGTTCTGTCACAGACGGCCTCATCATGCGCATCACCTCGGCGGGGCTCTTTGTCGATGACGACGTGCGCGGCGTCGCCCAGCGCGAGTGGGACATCAAGGCCTGGACACTCAAGCAAGTCGAGGTGTGGTGCCCCACGCACGCAGCCAACAGCGTCGGGACGACCCCGCCGGGATCAGTGCCGAGTAATCACCCCTTCTTCAAGACCATGCCGACTAGCGCGCGGAGGGCCGCGGAACGGGGCGCGACAAAGACGTTTATCGGGGAGGAGGCTGTGCATTATATTGAAGAGCTTGGCAGGGCTTGTAGCGGCGGGTGCAAGAAGAGGACGGGGCCGTCCTCAGGCGACTTCAAAGGGTTCCACGTCGTCCGCGCAACGATACGGGACCAGGAAGGGAAGCGATATCTGTTTGTGATTGGCGAGGAGGAAGGGTGGAAGATCGCGCAGGGCCTGTTGGCGCTGAGGGGCAGCAGCCAGGTCAGGGCGCTGGGCGTGGCGGGGCTCAGTAGCCTCGAGACAAAGACGATTCTGGAGACGTTAGGGTGGGGCTGAGCGGGAGGGCGTTCAATGCCCTCTTGCTGGCTCGGTGAGGTTCGAATGGAGCTGCTGATATTATCAGCATGTGGCAGGCAGGCAAGGACCTGTACCAAGGAGCCCTAATCATGACAGGACGATATCCCACGCAAGCTGGTACGCCAAACGGCTTGGGGTATGAGAAGGCGATGGCGCTCTGACGGACGAAATTCATCCAAACTTGCGGCACAAGCCATCTGAAAAGCTGCAAACTTCAAGGCTTCAATACCCTGCGCTCATGACTCATGAGAAAATGGAACAACAACGGTCGTGCTGAGAGAAATGAAGGAATGAGTGAAGAAAGAAAGAAACGATAGGTACGGTGGTGCGTTGCAAGAAGGAAAGGGAGGGAGAAAAAGGGAGGGAGATATCCAATGCTGCTGCCGTTTTTGACATATTTTTATTCCTCCCCCCTCTCTCATTAGATTGCATTTTTACCCACACACAGCCCATGTTGTTGTTATTGTTGTTATTGTTGTTGTTGGAAAAATATGTGGTTCACCATCTTGTCACATACCTCTTGCATGGTCGGGGAGCACAGCACAGCACAGCGCGCGCATGCATTCCAACAGAGAAGAGAAACCTGGTCTATGGTCTACACGCTCATGCTAGGTAACATCAGAAAGTACAATCTTTAATCCCTTACTTAAGCACTGGCTGGGTTGTCCCTGTCTTGTTCCGTGTCTGAGGGGGCTTGGTTGAGTGAGTGGTGCGGGTGCTGTACCGGTAGTTTGACGCTTGCATAGCATGGCATAGCATAGCATGGAGGAGACTTTCCGTCTCGTGCGAGTTATTCATATCTCGTACAACATTAGAGTTACCAGGGAATTGATCTCACAACCTAGGATGCCAACAGTGAGGAAAAGGAAACCACAGTAGATTGAAGCCTTAGACCAACCCCTCCATATCCCCCAGTAAATGCTGTTCCCCCGAGCGCCCCTTGCCTTGAGACCGAGACCCGATCTTTCCCAAACCCAAACCCATTCCCATACCCAACCCTTCCTGCATAACATCCCGGTCATGGTCATGATCCTGCTGAGCCTCCTCCCCGGCATATTCGTATCCCAATCCTCCCGCCCTTCCCTTCCTCCGCCGCCTGCGCCTTCTCCTGCTGGCAGCAGCCGCCCACCAACCAGATCCAAACCCAAACCCAAACCCAAACCGACCAACCCACCAGCCTAATCCACGTCTATCATTACTAGCATTAGAAGTAGTATCTTTGGGATGTCCATGTCCAAACCCATCCCCATCAAAACTCCTCAGATACCTCTCAAACAACCTCGGCACCACCACCCGCAGAATAACCACCCGCCCAAGCAACACCAGCACGTGTCCGACCCCGGCCCAGACGATGAACACCCACTCCAGCACATCCATATTTACACCCCCACCACCACCACCACCAGCAACAGCCCCGTTCCCCGGCCAGGGGAGGGAGATGACCCTACCCACGATGTAAACTGCGACCACAGCAAGATGCAACAAATCCCAAACAACCCTCACCTCAACCCCACCACCTCCCCCTCCCCCTCCTCCAGTGGTACTACTACTACCGAGAAAGAACAACCGTTGTGCAAGGGAGAGGGCGTGCAATGCCAATTTGGCCAGCACGGCTGCGCGCGCAAGCCAGGGGAGATGGGAAGCAAAAAGGATTGCACAGATTGCGATTATTAGCCCCACACAGCCGGAGGCGACCAGTCCGTCGAGCGCTGTGAGTAATAAATAGTGGGTGACGGGGGTTACGGCGTCGGCGAGGTTCGGGCGGGTTGGGAGTGGGTGCGGGAACGTAGGGGGTTCTACCCGTGTTAACTAGCATGGTCTGTGAAAACAAAAACAAAAAAAGAAAAAGAAAAGGGGGAGAGGGGGGGGGGGCGGGGTATACCTCGCTCGATGACCACCTGCCAGGTTGTGGGGAGGGGTTGGGCGGTTAGGGTGGGTGTTGCCGTCGGGGTGGTGACGGTGGCATTGGATGCTGTGAGACTGAGACTGGCTGCGTCGTTGACTCCCATGCATGTAGGTGTAGGTGGGAGGAGGGTGACTGTCACGGGGCAGTCATACACCGTTCGCAAAATCCCGCGGTGGTGGCGGGAAAAGGCCACATCCAGATTGCCGTCGAGGTATTCACTGTTGGTCTTGCTTTCCGTCTCCGAATCCTTGCCGCCGTACTCCTCCTCCTCTATCAGCTCAAACGAGTCCTCATATTCCGGCTCTAGATTGTGATAGTACAGTTTCCTGACGTTCGTCACAACCCTCCTGACACGAAAAAGCGCGCCTGCATACGTCTTTGGGGCAGCGCCCAGGCCTGCGGGTCTGTGGCCGAGTTCTGTGTCGATCTGAATGGCGATACAGTACGGGCCGATCTCTGGCGTGGTAAATGCGTCCATTTCCCCCTCTTCTCGGTGGACTGCGACAGAGTACTGCGTCCCTGTGGACGTATCCCGTAGGGTAAAGGCGCAGCTCGAGAACGGGTCCCGCTCGCCAGTACAGACGAGAACGGCCACCTTGGTCCGGCTCACGCTGTTGTTCGGCAGGTGCAGATCGGCGTTGATGGACCGGACGTTGGTAAATGTTGACCCGAACGTCAGTGGTTGTCGGGAAGGATACAGCGGTAGCCATCGGTCTCGGTGGTTCTTAGTCGGATTGTGCCTCGGTCCGTGGAGATTGAAGAAAAGAGACACGGGGATCCCGTCCATGCTGCGTAGGATGCACGACATGCGCTCTGCTGACTTGTTGAGCCTCATGATTGGCTCCGTGTTGAAGCCGAGCAGCGCGGCCATGACAACGTGCATGTCGCCTGGGACCGTTGTGGCCCGCTTGCTCAGCTCGTTCCAGATCTGGACAAACAGGGTGCAATAATCGGGTGCCAGCGTTGCCGCACCATACGCGGTTCTGCTGGGTTTGACGCCGTTCGAGAAAGTCGACCGGAACTCTCGGCAAACGGACCGTGTCAGACTTGCAACCATGGTTGTGGCACTCACTCTCATTACTGTCGAGGCACGGCTTAGCAACAGGTCCGGCTGAGCCTGTGGCTTGGGCAGGAATGTCCTGCTCATCCAGGTTGCAGGGAGCGTAAGGGCCTCGGGCCAAGGAATTCCCGGCCGCCTACTGCGTGGTTTCGTGATAGCATCCTTATGTGACCTGAGTTGTGGTCCAAGGGCGTCAAAGGTGCCATCAGCACACTGGACCTCGCATGTCGCGGCCAAGGCTGCCTCCAAGAATGTCCAGCACCTCCCAATCCAGGGGCTGACGGCAAGCCTAGCGAACTGCTCGAGGCTGTCCGAATCCACAATCGACGTCTGTTCCAGCGTCGAGTCCAGGACCAAGAGCCGGTCAGCAGCCTGGTATACAGCGGGTAGCTTGTTGATGGCTCGGAGTCTCAGAAAGGCGTTGGGACCGGGGGGCGGCATGCAGAGGGCGTCGATCCACAGATATTTGGGACGGCGAGATCTCGCCGGTTGGAATTCCGTATCAAGGGAGCTCAACAAGTTGAGGTCAGGTTCATCTTGTTGGTTTCCCCTTAAGGACTTTAGTTTGCTGATGTGTGCATGCAGGTGTCTGAGCTGGCACTCAGGCAGCGCGTTTGCGTTTGCGTTTCCGATCCCTTCGGACCAGACATGGGACACGACGACGTAGCGTGTCCGCGCTGTCATCCTGACGACCTGTATCCTCACCCCGGTCTTGGACGACCCTCTCAGCCGGATCAGCGGGATGCCGCCCTCCTCGATGATGGCGCGGATCTGGTCCATTGGGACAGTCTTGGGCTGGCATTGGCAGCCGTGGTGCGCATGTCTCGGTACATAGCTGAATATGTCGGCGTTGCTGGCGACGCACTCGTCATCCGAGCACGCTTGGTGGCTGAGACCAGGGGAGTAGGTGCGAAAAAGGCGAGTAAAGTAGTATGCGACTGCGTAATTGTATGAGGTGAGGACCTTTTTGGCGTAGAACGGGCACCAACCCCGCAAGCGCAGCACATCCAGCATCAGCTGGGCGCTGGGTGACAAGACCTGGCTCGCTGGTGTGTCGGCTGCGGGCACAATCTCGTGGCGCCTGCGGGCAGCGGCGGAGGGCCATGGCCTGAGTCCTTCGTCGACGTCGCCGTGGGCCAGCTCCCACACCAGGCTCCTCAGGGCGGTGCAGAGCACCTTGACCGACAGGATGATGGTCGGAATGGGCTTGACATGGCTCTGCGACACCCGATCAAAGTCGTCGGCCAGGAGGACGACGGCGTGGAGAAACGTGTAATGCTCGCGCAGCACCTGCCTCCGATGTTCCTTCTCAGACTCATTCTTTCCATCCCTAACCGCCGTTGACGAGGCAATCCAGTCGTCCAGCAGGGGCAGCAAGGGTTTCGCGGAGACGCTGCGCGACACCTGGAAATCGCGGTAGTCGATGGGCCTGCCAAGGAACTCGGAGAGGGTGCCAAAGTAGAGCCACGACTGGGCGAGCGAGGCCAGACGGGGCGCGGGCAGGCTGGCCCAGCGGTCGCCAAAGCCGTGCGTCTTGGGGAAGTCCCAAAAGTCGGACCCAAAGACAAAGGGCGTGTCGGCGACGAAGGGCACGTCCAAGGGTTCAACGCCGGAACTGGGATGCGGGAGAAAGTCCATGATCAATCGGCAACGCTCGCGATCGATGCGGGGTCCAGGCACCGCTCCATGATTCGCCCAAATGCGCCACGCCGACCGATGGCGCTTGTCGATTGCCGATGTGATGGATGCTCGAGATGTGATGCGTCGAGTTGTGAGTGGTGGATGTGGTGATGATTTTCACGCGGTCACCTACACTGTGTGCTGTTCAAGCAATTGTATCACAATCAAGAATATGAAAAGAGAGGAAGAGAAAAAAGAACAAGATGACAATCGGCAAGACCGGGGGTGGAAGTGAGGATGTTGCGCGCAACGCTACACTGCAGGCAGTCACTCAGTACATGTGCGGCACAGTCCAGACTGTCAGTCAGCGCCAGAGTTCCCGTCGCATCCCAATTCCCAATTGTGTATATCGTCTCCGAGTCCATTTCGCCGGTTCTTTGCCTTGACTTGACCATGTCAGCTTTGCGCTGGTTGAAATGCGGACCAAAAAGGTTCCAAACATGAATTCGTTCAGGTTCCTAGGCAGATACACTCAAACGAAAGCTGAAGCTTGTGATGGGGGAAAAAAAGGGCGCATAACGTTACCGTTGGCCGTTGCTCAGCTCCTCTGGTTCCAAACCCCCAACTTCCAACCCCCATCACGATATGCTCAGCACTAATATATTTTACAGGAAGCACACCTCAGCTTCTCAACCATTTGTTGGGTTGGGTTGGTGAGCACACGCGCAAAGGCAAGAGCACACGAGCGGGCTGCTGTGCCGCTCTTTCTGCAAGTTGCCGAGCCTGGGTAGTAACTAACTCCTGACACACCCAACACCGTAGGTGTTGTAGCGTCACCGTCTTCTCTGCTTGCCAAGTTGCCTGTTGGTGTTGGTTGTGAGTGAACGTATTACCGTAACGTTAATGAATTCCTGCGTCATCCAAGTGTTCCGATTGGAGCGCCCTATTGGCAATGGGAACCAACAAGACAGTCACAGGCTCATAGCAGGGGAATAGAAAGAGAAAGAAGAGAAAAAGAGGGAGGAAAGGGGCTACTCAGGCTCCTGTATGTACTGTACATACATACATAACTAAGTTGTACTAGGTAGGTAGACAGAGACAGAGCAGCTCTACGGACTACGGATACACGCAAAGCAATACAAAACGGCACAAAACAAAACCTCTTTTTTTACCCACCTGCCCTCTTCCCTGCCTACCTAGGTATACTGGTATACTGCACTTAAGGTAAGTGAAGCTAAGGTACTACTAGTACTACAAAAATGTACGAAACAACCAACATACAAAACAGACAGACACACAGACATGAACCTAACCTAACCTAACCTGGCAGGTAGGCCAAACCATTAACTACCTTAGGTACCATACCCAATGTCAATCAATCAATCAATTACCCCCCAGCGTCCCAGCCAGGTTCATAGACATGTACGCATCCCTAGTCCAATCATCCTCATCACCATCATCATCATTCCCCCCAGTCCGCGTCTTCCCTTGATCACCACCGCTACCCGTACCGCTCCCCGGCCGGAACGGCAGGTTCCAGTCATCCAGCGACTCCCTGCCGTCGACGCCCGGCAGCCGGATCTGCGGCGGCGGCGCCTGTTGTTTGCTCTCCGCCGCCGCCCCCGTGGTAGTGTTGTTGTTATTATTTTCACTGCCATCCTCCCGCAGCCCAAACTGCTCAAAATCCGGCAGCTCAAAGGCATGCGGATCAAAGTGTTGCTGCTGCGGCTGCGGGCGGTTCTTGGTTGGCGTCTGGTCGTTGTCTACCGCACCACCAACTTCCCGGTCGTCCGCCGGCATCTCCACCGGGCCTAGTGGTTGCTGTTGCTGGTGCTGGTGCTGTTCTTGTTGTTGAAGATAGGGTGTTACTGTTGGCTGGGCCGGTATCACGCCTGGGAGGTTGATGTGCATATCTTGTTGTTGCTTGTGCTGTTGCTGATGATCCCACTCGTGGTGTTCCAAGGTCTGTGGCGCGGGCTCAACATTTCTCAGGGAGCTTGTCCCCCCGCTTCCATGCGCAGTTCCGACTGGGACTCCTTGGCCACTTGAGCTGCGGAAACTGCCGAGGCTGCCACGATGGTAGTCAGACGAAGAAAGGCCGTCGTGTCCCGCGCTGCCCTGATCTCCAGTCGACGCAGCCGGTATGCCGCCCAGCGCTTCGCGTGCCTCCCGGTCCATATCTTTGATGGCGAACTGGGCCATGGTGCGCATCTTGCGGCTAACCCACCCCGCAAGGATCTTCCCACGCTGTTTCTCCCCTAGCCGGCTACGCGGGAAGTCGCCCTTGTTCACGAAGGCCACAATGTCGGCTATAATCTGATGCTCGTTGAGAATGGCGTTAACAATGACGGGCACCATGGAGGCGAGGTATGCTTTGCGTGCAACCTCGACCAGCACAACAACGAGGCCACCAGCTTGGAAGATAGCACTAGCAACAAAATCAGTCAGATTCGTACGAAAAGCCACAACCACGGATCTAAACTTACCAACCACCCGGGACAATGTTGCGATGACAACGCTCAACCGACGCCTCGAGATCCATGGGGAAATGACTCAGCCCATTAATCTCAAACGTCTCCCCAATACTTCCCAGGACAAACAAGACCTGCATATCAACCAGCGCACCCCCCGGCCCTATCGGCCTCCTCACGCTATGGAGGAACCCGAGATCTCCGGTGCGGACATAGCGAATGCTCGGATCCTCGACCGTCCGCCCATCAAACCGCTCCGCATCGAACGGATCCTTCGACCCATAAAACGCCTTGACGCACGCTTCCGAGTCGACCCAGATCTCTCCGTACTCGCCTTCGTTGCACAGCATCCGGCTTTCCGGGTTGACAATGGCAATCTGCGTAGACACAGGTACCATGCCCGAGTCCTGAACCAGGAGTGCTTTTGGATCTCTCTCCGGATCCGTCACGTAGATGAGGCCTCGTCGTAGGGCCTTGGCGTCGAGCCATAATTCAATGGGCTCGATGCACATGTAGGAGCGCGATGCAATCATGGGGTTCAAGACGTGCGAGTAGACCGTGTTGATGGCGGTCCGGTCGAGGCCCGTCGCCGCAAAGTGCATGCGAACCTTTTGGAAGACGTCGACCCGGGGCCGTCCTTCAGCCGAGATCATCATGTTCTTCAGCTCGTGCAGCGTGAAGCCCTTTCCGGGCATCAAGTTCATGGCGTGGTCCAGCATCTGAGGGGTTGCGTACGTGTCCTTGATCTTGTATCGGGATAGTATCAAGAAGAGGGAGGCTGGATTCTGAGCAAACTCGACCGGCGAGAGGAGATACGTAGGCGTGCCGATGTAGATTCCCATCAGACACGTGTGGATAAAGCCCAAGCCAGTCGTACTCCTCACACACCCCAGCACGGGCCGCGAGCTCGTCATTTGGCACGTTTCCTTTTGCACCTTGCACATGCCCAGGATGGTGTCATGGCCGAGCTGGACTGCAACTCGCCGCTGGTCAGGCGTCCAGTACGTCCAGATGACAACCGGATGCCCCGGCTGGACCCAGACGGGGTCCATGGTGATGCCGAGATCTCGCAACCCACTGCTTTGCTTCGGCGGCTTGGTTGTATTGTACACGCTTGGAATCGAGACTTTGAGCACCTGGGCGGTTTGTTTGATGTGCTGGGCTACCGTTTTCATCTTTAGGAGATGGTCCACGTCCTGGTTTACCAGGACAGCTCTCACCCTAAAGTCCGACAAGAGGTGCAAGAAGGCTGGCACATCCTCCGATAGGCGGTTTTGGTCCATGGGCGCGACGGGAATGACGATGACGCCAAGATTGATGCAGGCGTGGACCGCGAAGATGAATTCTTCAGAATGCGTGTACATGAGGATGACGTGGTCGCCGGCTCGGAGCTTCACTTTGTTCCTGAGATAGACGGCAACGGCAGCGACCTTCAAGTCAAACTTCTTCCAGGTTACGCCCTTGCCCTCCTTGCCGCGACCGTCAATGGTGCAGAAAGCCAGCTCCTCCGGTTGCCTAGCTACTCGCCATTGGATCAGGTCGGTGATGCTTGAGAAGTTGTTCAGCGGCGTCGACGTCCTGTCATCAATAACCACCTCCCTGCGGTCAATACCTGAATACTGTTTATCCGCAGGAGAGAGGACCTCAGCCCGAGAATCGGATGCCATCGGAGACCAGATGCCGCCTACCGGGTCAATGCCCACAGGTAGGTTGAGCACAGCGTGCTCCACTGCGAACTTGACGTGAACACATGGAAGGCTCCCCAGATCAAACTCCCTCCTGCACAGCATATTTCCAATCTCCCGGCGTCCATTCCTGTGCACTCTCGGCAGCGCGTTGGGCGCTGTGATCATGACGCAGTAGACACGGAGATTGTGCTCCTGCATCAGCACATCCATGCACCTCTCGGCTAACGAATCGAGCAAGGCAGTATCCAGCTGTCGGGGCGGCCCACCGTTTGTGGCCGGGGCTGTCGACGCCGCCTGAGACTCGAGCACCACCACAGGTAGGTGTTCCTCATTGACGAAGACGTCAAAGGCGGAGCAGTCAAAGATCTTGGGCACGTTCTTCATGATGCTCACTACAATATGCTGGACGAAGAAGTAGCGATACTCGGCGCCCTCACTGCCGCCATGTTCGACCCATTCCACCTTCTGTCTGATGCGGTCCTCGTATAGACCGAGAACATAAACCTTGCCTTCGATAACGGTGCCTAGAAGGCCGGTTCGAAGGAACTCGGGCTCGACCGGCGTCGGTGTTGGATTGCCGGGCTCGAATTTGTATGGCCGAGCGTGGAAGATCTGCTCCGTGTGCTTGGGCAAGGCCCAGAAACCGCCCGACAAGGAAGGAGAGTCAACCCAGATTTCGCCCACGGCATTAGGTGAAGCCAGGAGACCGTTCTCCGGATCCACCACGGCAAGCGTCGCATCAGGGATGGGATATCCAAACGCACCGACGCGGACAGTTCCAGGCTCGCTCGCCGCTCGCTTACTGGCCTCTTCTCCGATGGCAACAACGACCACCTCGTTAGTCTTTAGGGCTTCCCTGTCGAGAAGCACTTCGCCCAACTCATTGTTGGAACGCTCTTCTGTCCTTGTCGTTGTCGCTTGCCCAAGCAGAGTGGAGAATCCGTTTGGGGGTGCTGGTTTCTCCTCCTCCTTTTCGTCCTCGGAAGAATCCTCATCCAGGTCCGTCTCGAGTTTCAAAGGGCAGCCCATTCGCTCTTCACCACCCAGCCAGTCCCGAACGCTAATCACCATGCCGCCGTGCTCAGGAAGACACAGCATGGGCGCCACAACTTCCCTGGGCCGTTTGTTACGGAGGGGGCGGAACCAGCGGTCGGCGAGCAGCTCATTGAATTCGCTGTCAACCGTGAGGGTGTCAATTAAGCACAATTTAACCGTTTGAAAGTTTGGCTCCATGCCCTTCTTGAAGTTCCTCGTCGCCATAGGGTCGGCCTGATAGTTGTATGCGGCCCGCTTGAGGCCAGGATAGTCGGCAACCATCAGCGTAGGCTTGTACTTTGTGATTAAGTGGGCATAGAGGCCGGGAACCTCCACCGCCTTGTTTTCCATCCAGACTGTGGTGTGTCCGCCATACACGGTAAGGAGGATGCCGAGAATCATGCCAATGCCCTGACGCGCATCCAGGTAAGAGAGCAGGATCTCGCTGCCCGCCTTGCCGCCTATCAAACGACCGTTCTTGTCGCGCAAGTTCCGGTCGAATGTGTCGGCGGGTCCGTTGCCGGGGACCGTCGAGATAATTGCGCTAAGACAAGCGAGCTGGTGCATGATGGTTCGGTGGCTGAGAACTACGCCTCGCAGGTCGCCCGTGGGTGCTCGAGAGAACTCGATGTAGGCAAGATCGGGGACCGACAAGGGGGGCACGTCATCCTTCTTCTTAGCGTGATAACTGCCGAACTCGTTGGTCTTCCACCACTCGACTCCCTTGGGCCAGTGGAGCTTTTGGGCCGTAATGTCGCGCTGAAAGGTCTTTAGATTGTTGTCGGTGGTCAAGGCCAAGTGGGCCTGCGTGGATGTCAGGATGAAATTGAGCTTCTGGTAGTCCTGAAGCTCGTTGATGGGAACAGCGACCACGCCGGCGATAAAGCAGCCAAGCAACGCTATGGCAAAGTCGATGATCTCGGTGTCCCGGTAGATGAGCGCAACCCGGTCCCCGCGGTACAGGGAACTCTTGTCCCGGATTACCTGAGCCACCTTTTCCGCCCTTGCAGCAAGCTTGTCCCACGTGATGGAAGCAATCTCCTTCCCCTTGCTATCCAACACCCAGTAGGCGGGAAGCTTCGCCGCGGTGCGGCCACGGTGTCTGAGCACTGCTGCAATGTTGTCAAAGTTGGACATGAGAGTGTTCTCGTCGTGCGTGTCATGGATAGCGAACGGGACCTCGCGCGGCTCAAGGGGCATCAAAAACTGCAGCGCATCCGGCGGAGGCAAATCGCTTGCAGAAAGCATTGGCGGCGCCATGGCAGCGGTAGGGGAGAAAGCATCGCTGGCCGAGTATCTGTGAGGGCCTCCGTACTCCCCGGCAGGCCCATGGTCGTAAGCCTGCTGCTGCCCGGCGAAGTCGGAAAAATAGGCCTGCGAATCTAGCAAGGTCCCAGTCCTGCTGTCGTAGGGGTTCTGCTGCGGCTCGTCCATGTAATCCCCGTGTTGCTCGGGGTTGAAGGCGTAGTCAGTCGATACCATGGTCCCCGATCGAGTAGAGGTCTCGTTGGCCGGGGTTGTGGAGAGGAAGAGGGAGTCATGCTGGCGTATGTTTGGGCGGTGTTCGGCCATCGGACCGCCCGGGGCGAGCAAAGATGCAGGATGCGCGTCGAGATTTGCATATGGCGACTGAGGCTGGTAGTCCGCGGGCGAGCCCTGCGAGTCGGGAGATCGCGAGACGGACGAATTCGCGTTCAAGGCGGCAAGCGAGGCAGCACGGTGTCCCTCGTCCCCAAGCTTGTATGAGTCGTCGTCGTCTGCAGAATGAATCCTAAGCCCGCCCAACCTGGGCTCGGCAACGCCCTCGAATCCATATTGAGACAAGATCTGGGTACGCCGCTTCTGATACCTGGAACACAGGGAATGTGCGGTTAGCGAGCCGTTGAAGACAGGACAGGGCGGCGCGGGGACATGGGAGGCTTAAGGTCGAATTGTACCGCACCCTTTCTGTGTGATGTCGCCTTCCTAGAGAGCAGAGACAAGCAGATGTCAGCGAGCTGGCAGAACAGAGAGCTTGCAGCGGGGAAGCAAGGCGAAGTGAAGACAAGCGTGACACACCTGGAGCTCCCTCTCCAGCTCATTCAGCTTGTCCTGCAATTCGGGACTGAGTGCGGCCATGGCGAGCAACCTTGGCGCAGCAACAGATGACCGTGGCGTTCGTTCTCGTTCCCGAGAAGGCGGCCAATGTCGAGCCGTAGCGGGAGCTCACCGAGAGCCGTGCGTGATCTCGTCGATAGGCCCAAAACCGTCTCAACTGGAATGGAGACGCATGGAACTGGGAGCGGAGGGCGCCAGATCAGTGGGCGCCAAATTCACCTGGAGTCGCACTGGGCAGAGCTCGTTTGTCGATCGGCTGTCGTCCCTCCTTGACCTTCCAGGTTGTGACGTAAGGTCCTCGAGGTACGGGAATGTGGTGTAGTTTCTTGGTTGCGCCTAATAGCCACACGTTTAGGTTGGTATGTAGGTATCGGTTCCTATTGTAACCCGGACCACAGGCGGGCAATGTCGCCAGATGGCACAAGTTGGCGGGGTTTGTCGGGAAACTGCTTGGGTAACCCTGAATTGCTCTGCTCTGGCCCCTGGATGCTGCCGCTGGTGTGGGTCACGTCAGCGGTTCAACTTTCAAGACCCTTCCACGACAGGCCCCTAAACGTCACTCGCTAATCCGTACGTACAGTACAATACAATCCATGAGGCATCCGGTTAAGCAAGGGAATGTCCAATTCCTATGCAAACAATGATGAGATTGGGATACCCTAACACTGTGCCGAGATTATCACCAATCCTCTAATCGCTAACTGCAGGTTTGACTCTAGTTATGTCTGCGCATCTGAGGTGGTTGCCGGTGGAGAGGGTGTAAGGTACCTCCGTACGGAGGTTGGGGCCAAAAGTTTTCGACAACCGGAGCTGGTGCCAAGCCTGCCAACGTGTAAGAAGCAAGGAGGACTCGGAATGAGAGACGCACTGTATTTTCTTTGGGAATAGCGCTCCCTCGCAGATCCCATGTGAGCGGGCAATGGAGTGGCCCTGTGGCTGGCCCTGTAAGTGGGTTTCATTCTAGTGGATTCAGTGGCTAGTTGTAGGTGGCCTGAGCTGACCCCGAGCTGATGTGTGCAAACCATACTGTACTGGTGGCCTTGGCAGTCTTGGCAGGAGCAATTTGTCGAAAACTTTTGGCCCCAACCTCCGTACTGTGATTGCCTTACCGGATGTAATTACCTACTCCACAGTCTGTTCGGCACAGACAACTGATGCTTTCCCATAATAACTCTTCCCTCCCACAACCTCTCTTGACTTCTCTTCCCAAATCTTCCTCAACAGACGGTAGGTGAACGCACTTAAAATGCCAGCACGCAAATTCGGCCCTCATGAGCATAATGTGAACGAGACATACCTCGGGCGGTCTGCTATACCTATCTTTTGCGAAACACTCGACAGGCACCATCTACTTCGTATGCTCTGCGGTATGTTACCTGGTGCGCTTTCCATTCCTGCTCTTCAACCACAAAGCACAGTTATTAGCGACTATGATGAGATGAACGCATTTTTCACAGACCTGTTCTGAACACCAGTGTTGAGACAATGCATTGAGCTCTACTGACTCGCATCCTCCTGCCTCACATTATCATCGAGAAATGTCATGCTCGGGCAGTATGCTAACTCGTTCTCAGTGCCGAGTCGTTTCTTTGTTTGTCAAAGCTTATTTTAAGCATCATGGAAGACGGACCGAACATGCGCCATCTCTTTTGTCTTGGGGGTCGAGCTTTGTTGTTAACCCCAAATTATCGCGGCACCGCTTACTTCCGACTCTATCATAGCATTCGTCCCTGAACAATAGGTATTGAGTCCATTGAGGCTGGACGAGTGTCCATTCTTCCTCGAACAATATGTATTGAACCCATAGAGTCTTGACGAGTGTTGGGTTTTTGTTTAGAAGAAATATGAAGTCTGTATATAAAGTCCTGTGCCCTGAGACAAGAGGATTGTCTGTTCATTCTAGAAGTGTTCTCATCTTACTTCATACATTCTTAGCACAGTTATCCAGCTGGTCCAGCTGTGTTTTCACTTCTAACCATACGTTCTCGGTACATTCTTTCCAAGTAGTCCAGCGGAGCTGCTACTTAAACCCAATTCTTGTCTACACGCCTAGACGGTTGATATCTCTTCATACACTCTTGAACCAATACGACTCGACGATCTCGACAGCTGCGCTGCTACTCAGACCCATCTCTTGTCTGCAACCCTAACAGGTTGATCCTTCTTCACTACCTCCATCCATCTCTACGATCTCGAAGATATAACGGGAAATCCAGACAACAATATGTCGTATTCCGACGACTTTTTCGATGAGGAGCTAGAGTTTTCCATCCTCAATGCCTTCAATCAAGGACAGGAGAACGCCGATCAAGCCTCCGTGGATGGAACTCAATCCAACCAAAACCAAGAGGGAAGTCAGGAAGTTGTTGAAAACCAGGCAACTCCTGATCTTGCCTTCCAGGGGAATCCCTATGGCTACAATCAGCCCCAGCAACAGCTGGTGCAGCAACAGGTCGAGCAACCGGTCCAGCAACATTCCTATCCCCCTCCACCGGCCCCATACGTTCCTCAACAGTATGGTATGCAGCCGCAGTTTAACATCCCACAGGGGCAACCCTCCGTCGCAGCAGAGATGGCGTATCCTCCGCATCACCTGTCTGCTCCGACCATGGCGCAAGCCTATCCCCCTGTCCTGGCACCACAAGCCGGCTTCCCGCCACAGCTGCCCATTCCCAACCAGGTACTGCACGGGGGCGTGAAACTTACGCATAACAGGAAACGGAAATTCGAGCCCGGAAATGACCCGGGTCGAATTTACCAAAAGCCATCCGGGCTGGGTCCTTGGGGCCCGATAGTCCCGGCAAAGCAGCCCTATCACACATTTGAATACTGCAAATCCACGGCTGAACTGAAGCCGATGCGGATGTTTTCCAAGGAGGAGCTGATTCTCTTCTTCCATGGAGTAGGGCACCCGAACCCCAACCGGAGGCTGACCCTTTGGATCCAAAACACACCGGCGCAATCTAACGACCGCTACGCCAACGGTCCCAGCTCCGGTAAGTGCCGCTACGTGGACTGCCGAGCTGGTCAAAACACCATCCTGAAAGGCTTTTTCCGTGTGGCCTTTGATGAGTTCTCCGACCATACCGGTGTGACCTTGGATCCGTTCCACAATGCGGGATACATGCATCTCCATTGCTTTGAGGAACTCTTCGATCTTGGCTACCTCATCCACTACGGGGCCGCTGCTTACGGCTTCTCCATTCGGCCAGACACCCGTCAGTTCCCGTTCGAGACGCGGAACACGGCAGGCATTACGCGGGACCACCAAGAGATGGCTAATGCCTACCACGAATGGGTAGCCCAGCAGAAGGCCAGGGTTGATTTGATCCGAGCCCAGAATGAGTATTATACAGGTTTTGACCCTCACTGGGTTCCACCTCATAATCAGCGGCTCGGATATGCTCTCACCATTGCCCACATGTCTCTAGAAGTCAAGGGCCGCGCACGAAAGCGCGAGGAGCGTGGCGGCGTCCATATCGGCCAACACCTGGGCAATCTGGATGTCCACAACAAGCTGAAGCGACGGGAGGCCCGGAGAAAGCGCCGGGAGGCGAGGAACCAAAGCGATACCAGCGAGTCCTCGTCGTCCTCAGGCTCACAACAGCCCTCAAACAGCCCTCAGCCAGGTAGGTTGGATCTTACTAACAACGCTCCGGCTGCAGGCAACGGGTTTGGCTTCGGCAATAACAACAGTCCGGCCTATGTGCGACTCGGCACGCCGGTGCTTCCGGACAACAATATCTACGGCGCCCCACCTCCGCAGCAACCTGTTCACTGGTCCAACTCCCGACAATCTTCTCAAGAGGACGAGGAAGCGGACGACGGCTCGCGGGGCCGCAAGCGGAGGCGCATCGAGGGGGCCCAAACCCAAACCCAGCCTGCCTGGACAGGCCAAGCCCAACCCCAGCATGGCTGGCCCCCCGCCTCAGAGTTCAGCCCTCGCACCACACGCCAGCGCAGCCGCGAGACAGGTGAGTCCATCCTGGGGATGATCACATCCCAGCCACACCTCACGCGCAGCACGGCCCAGCAGGTGCAGGAACTCCTGCAGAGCGAGCCGCAGCACGTCCAGGCCGAGGTCCAAACACAAATCCAGCAGGCGGCGCCCCAATATGCTCCCCTCGTGATGCCCCCGCCCGATAATGGCGGTGTTGACCGCATGTGGGTGGAGCCGCAGGACAACCTCGAGGCGCGGCTGGGCAGGCTTCCCAGGCGCCAGCGCAGGGAGGTGGATGAGTTCGTCAGGCGGCGCGAGAGGAGGGGGGGGAAGATTAAGTATCAGAGTCTGTGACCTGAGCTAATCTGATTTCGAGGAGAGAGGGGGGGAGAGGTAAGTTCTGACTGAAAAAGAGGTAAGTTGAATAGATAACAGATTGAGTTTTGTCGAGTCTGGAGCATGGATAGATTAGCCGATGTAGGATATTGAGAGAGGCAGCAACTGGCTTGCTGGTGTATTAGATGCGAGGAAGCATGATAGTAATGTATATATGAGACGAGCCAAAACTGGCATAGAACAGCATATGCTCATGTGTTTTGATGGGAGGGGATATGATACTGACAACAGCAGTGAATGCGAGTTATGTCCATTTTGTGTAACAGTCGTCGAGTCTGGGAAGCATGGGGACTCCAGTCATTCTTCAGATGTTCATCCCAACAACTTGAACGCCAGGTGTTGGTAAGGAGACTGTCGAGCGAGCAAGCGAGCGAATCGGAGAAGCCATAAGGCAGTCCGGAGGAACAACTCCTTGGGCGCCCCATTGAGACCCATCGTTCAGGATCCCCTCTGTCAACCAAGATCAGTATGCTGAAGTGTACAAAGTAGGTTGACGAAACAAATTCCCATGCAAGGTGCTGGGTTGGTAGTTGGTATGAGTGAAGCTGCGGCAGGCCACTTCAGTGGGGTAACCGGCGGGGGCCGTTCACCGTTCACGGCGTGCCCGAGATCCTGATCCCTCCCTCGTGCCGCCATCCCACATCCCGGCATCCGGGTCGCCCAGAAACGCCGCATTCAGCTGAGGAATCCTGTCTTCTCAACAATCATTGGGTACCCGGGCGCCTTGAAAGAATCCTTGAACGCGCTAGAACCCTCAACAGAACGCTCTAGCGCCATCGTCATCGTCCTCGTAGGAGGGGCGGAGGTCGAGCAAGGGAGGTTGAGTCGGTCGCCGACTCACCGGGCGCAGCTGAAAATGGACCCTTGCTCCACTAGTAAAGTAAACCTCCATTCCCTCGTTCGTTCCATATCTCCAGATCTCCATATTTCAACGGCGCGAATTGACGTGTCTGTCTCCCCCAAGTCCCGGGACGGCCGACATTTCCAAGAAAGATTCCCGCCAAAATTCACTGGGTGTGTGTGTTCCAAGTCCGGGCAAGTAGGTGTGTAACCCAGGCAGTTCCCGTCGAATTCCTTGTTGTATCAATCTTCCCGAATCCCATTCTCTTGTTATCGTCCCGCCCGCTCCGTACGTAGCTTACGACATCTGATCGGCACGTGCATGTACCCGAACGTACTGATGTGGTAGCGGCAGGACGGCAAGGCGACCGATCTTCCTCTGAAGCAGAGGCAACCCCCCCCCCCCCCCCCTGCACCGTCCACGCATCCACCTTGTGGGCAGGCAGGCACCTGTCTCCATCTGTTACCAGCAGTGGTCCTGCGCTCGCCGGATACCTAACCGCTGCGTTATCCTCGACCCGCCATTCGCTTTCGGCTACCCGACCCTTTCTGATTCGAGATTTCTACATACAACCATCCCGACGTCTGGCCTGTCGCAATTCGCCCTCGAGGCTCAAGGTTCTTACTTACAGCGAGCCTTGAATGGGGGGAGGAACTGCCGGCGCAGCCGACAGTCAGGCTGCTGCTACTTCGGCGGCTGCGATGGCGGCTGCGATGGCGGCTGCCGACCCAGCGGCCCCGCTTGCGCCTGCGCTACAAGTCATTGTTTTGGTGAGTTGGTCGCATCATGTTCATTTTAACGCCGTCAGTGTTTAAACACCTTTGCAAGATGGGAAAGAAAAAGAAGAAGATATAACGTTGTATATTCTCAAATTTCATCCCTTACTATTCCTTCGAGTTTTTTCTTTCCCTCTTCCTGTCTCCACGTCGAAGCGCCAAGTAGTCGCGGCGGTTATACCCTGCTTGCAAGCGACAGGCGGCCGTCGGCATGCGGGTTCCGGCATCAATGTCGCCGGTGACTCCGGCCAAGTGGGCCTCACCCGGGTGCGCTTACCGAGCTTTCCCTTTTCAATCATCTTTTATTTCTTTTTTTTCTTCACGAGGCACACACATGCAGACGGAACCAGCATGGAAGCTTTCGGTTTCTGGCCAGGCCGCGCCGTCCACGCTCGGCCTTTGTTATTCTTCATGGCGCACGCTACGGGCCGAAATGGCGTGTTGACACAAAGAGTCTCTTTGTCACCGCTAGCGTCACCGAGGTGTCGAAGGCGTCTGATAGTCTCAGATTCGGGTCAGTTGACTTCGCATCGACCGATCGCGCTTCTCGCCAATCTGACAAAACTCGATCCAAAGACTACTCGCCTTGGCTAGGCACTACAGCCAGTTCAAAGTTGGCGTGATATAGGCTGTCCAAGTGGACAACTAGAACGCATATTTTCGTACAGCCTCTGGTGCTGGGTCTGTGCCATCGACTAACAAGTCCGCAGGGTTCCGGCGGAGGCCCCTTGGAGAACAACGTCACTGCATTCCTCGTGCGTTCGCTCGCATCAGGCTGGACTAAGGGCTCCGTCGTTGCGGTCGATGCCGGTGTCCATCTAAGTGCCATCGTAAAGATTCTAGAGAAAACACAACCGCAGCAACTCGGCGAGGCTGATGGCCCCTCACTTCCACATGTCCTCACCACTGGCCCCTTTGCGGGGCTCGAGGTCTGCAACGCCAGCGCAGAGGCAAACGCTGCCCACATTCACAGGGACCTTATAGACGGGTACCTGATTACCCACCCACACCTGGACCATATTGCCGGCTTCGTGATCAACACAGCAGGCTTGCCAGGCGCCCGCCCCAAGAAGCTTGCCGGACTTCCGACCACCGTCAATGCGTTCAAGAACCACATCTTCAACAACATTATATGGCCAAATCTGAGCGACGAAAACAATGGCGCCGGCCTGGTGACATACATGCGTCTAGTTGAAGGTGGCTCCCCCGCCCTCGGCAAGGGCGAGGGAAAAGGCTATCTCGAAGTCTGTGACGGCCTGGCTGTGAAGGTCTGGAGCGTCAGCCATGGACACTGCATCGAGAGACACAGCCACCGCGGTAGCAGCGGCAGCGTTCGCCACGGCAGTTTTGATGCCTCCTCCGCGGGCATAGGCGGGGACCCCCGGGCCATACTCACTCCAGCCCGAGGCGTGTCACATCACCACTCGATGCCGCCCAACCTCGGCGCCTTTCTCCAGGATCGCATGCAGGGTGGCCAAGGCGGCATATTGTCGGGAGGCCAAACAAGCAGGCGGGGCAGCGGCTTCTCAGGCGTACAAGCTCCCGACGAGTCAGTCTGCGTGTACGACAGCTCGGCATACTTCATCCGGGACGTGACCACAGGGCGCGAGATTCTCATCTTTGGCGACGTGGAGCCGGACAGCGTCAGTCTATCCCCGCGCAACCGGCAAGTCTGGCAGGAGGCAGGGCCCAAGATCGCAGCCGGAAAACTTGTCGCCATCTTTATCGAGTGCAGCTATGACGACTCGCAGTGTGTCGACCGCCTGTTTGGCCATCTAACTCCACGATATATCATCGAAGAGCTGACCGCCCTAGCGGAGGAGGTAGTCGCTGCGCGGCAGGTCACGGCGGAGCAGACGGAAAAGCCCAGTGCCGCCGCCGCCGCCGCCGCCGCCGCCGGCGACAACAAGAAGCGCAAGCGAGCAGACACGGGCGACGACAACAACAACGGGGGACTTGCCCTGCCCAAGCGCAGACCAACCCCCCAGCCAAGGGAGCGTGAGCCCCGCGGCCGCAGATCCGACGACCACCCCATCTCACCCAAATCGCTACACCCCAAACAGCGCGTCAGCTCCAGCTCCAGCTCCCACGGCCGCGACACCACCACCACCACCACCACCACCACCGCCCTCAGCCAAAGCCAAAGCCACAGCCACAGCACCAGCCCCCCGACCTCCGTCCCCATGCCTATGCCACTGCCCATCTACCCTCCGCCCAGCGGCTCTCCTTCTGGCTCTAACCCGCCAACCTCAATAGCAGAGTCAGACCCGCAGCAGCACCCGGAAGAAGGAGAAGAAAGCGGCCGTGGTCTGTCTCTGTCCCAGTCACAACACGACGATGACATGATGACCAGCCCCACAACCCCGCTTAGTACTAACCTGAGCTCCTTCACCCACCCCAACCCGCCGCTTGTCTCGTCCTTGCATAACGCGCTTGAGGGGCTTAAAGTGGTGATCATACATGTCAAGGAGAAGTTGGATGGTGGTGGGACGCCGCCTGCGGGAGAGGTTATTTTTGAGGAGTTGGGAAGGCATGAGAAGGAGGGGGTTGGGTTGGGGTGTGAGTTTGTGTTGAGTCGAGCGGGGGAGGATTTTATTTTGTGATGGTTTGGTTTGGTTTGGTTTTGGACTAGTTTCTGTTGGGTGTATTACTAGTATATGGGTGTTTGTTTGGGCAAGGTGTTTCAGCAGGATCAGGTGTAGGCGGGCTTTGCGTTGGAGTGTTTGGCTTCCCGGTATAGGAGGCTATCTTGGGCTGGCTGTTATGGGATCTGGGTTTGTGGTGGCATCCCACTTGGCCGTCAGGGGGTTTCACGGGGCGTAATGTGCAGCGATGTTTGCGCCGATCTGGTTGGTTTGGATGCTGTTGGGTTGGGTAAGGGACTCGGTTGTATCTGGGTTAGAGGCAGGGCATCCAGGCCCCTGAGCAGGGTGTTTGTGTGTGGTCATTTCATGGGAAGGCCGGGATGCTATGTATGCATTGTACGATATTGATGACCGAGAACAATTTTGATAGGCCTGGTTGGTACATTTGCTCTAAGCTGATCATGAAGAGATATCTTTTTGCAGTATCATATGCACAAGGTGGAGGGCCAAACTCAGGTTTGACAAGTCTGTAAACCATTCCTATGCTGGTCTATTTCTTCCGTTCTTCATCTATCTATCTCGTGATACTCATGGATTAGTTGCAAAACCACTCGAGAAACTGACTTAGTTAGCTGGGTGTTTGCTCTTCAATTTGCTGGCGCCCTCCATGCCGCCGAGGTCCTTCTCAAAGTCCGGCCTGGGGAGCTCAAACCCCTCCGTCACCCTACCGTACGTAATACCCCCCAGCCTGCTTATCGGCCGGAGCACCTAAACACACACAGGAAGTCAGCGCCTTTAACACCCCCTTTGTTGCGGCACCGAGTGAAGGGGAAAAGAAACTCACCTTCGGATCGATAATACTCCCCTCCTCATTAACCGCATCCTCCCTCGCCCAGAACCTCGTCCCCTCAATAATAGCCAGCGTAGCCGTAACCTTACCCTTCTCAACCCGACTCTCAAACTCGCGCAGACTCTCCAGCTTGCCCTCGATGGCAAAAACCGCCTCCTTAACCCTCGCAATACCCGGCACAGTCTGGCAATCATAAACCGGCGTCAACCCGCTGACATCCCACTCACTAACACCATAAGGCGCGTTAACACTGGTGCTGTTGGCGGCCTCGACGAAGGACTCGGAGACGATGTTGATGACACACTCCCCGCGCTCGTGCAGGTTGCGCAGGGAATCTTTTGTCCCCCGCGCGGAATCGGTCAGCGCCGAGGCGAACCCCACGGTGAACAGCGGCGGGTCGTGGCCGATTACTTGGAAGTAGCTGAAGGGGGCTAAGTTGGTTGTCTGGCCGTCGGCAGAGCGTGTTGAAAGGAAGGCGATCGGCCGTGGGACGATGGCCGAGATGAGGAGTTTGTAGTTTAGCCCGGCTGGGCGGCCGGGGGCGTACGGGTCAATTGCTCGGTGGGATTTTTCGTTCTCTTGGTCTTTCGTCCCTGGTTGTGTTTCTGATGATGAGGAGAGTGAGTTGGCGCCTGAGCCAAAGGTCCAGTTGGGATCGGGCGTTTGGGTGTAGTTGAAGGTTTTGCTGCTGTCAAAGGGCGGCCGGGAAGCTTCGACTTTCTTGAAGTCGGGGTGGGGGTTGCGCTGGATCTGCTGCTCCCACTTGGCCGTCTTGTCGGCTGCCATGTTGAAGGGTTTCTTTTCTTGACTGCTGGCTTGCCTGGTTGCTGTTGTTGTTGAGAGCCTACGAGACTGGAATTCCGGGGTTGTAAATACTGCAGCTGCAAGGGACTGGTGGTGATGGCGGGGGAGGGGTATAAGATAGCGCTTGCCGTCGGATAACGGATTGCGGAACAAATGCCGGCATTGAGTAAGCGTTTGCATCGGATGCCACCTCAGCAGCATGAGACCGGGAAAGAAACGATAGAATCCAGCGTTCCAATTGCCTTCAATGATCAATTGAAAATGATCAGCTAGAATCAGCTCCCCTAACCTAAGTTGCGAGCTTGGTCAGAGATGATGTACAATGCACGGTACTTGTACAGTTCATCCCACCGCTTGATGACGCAGATCTGGCTCGACTCCCGCTCGTGCAGATCTCGGCATCTTCTCCGGCATTCAATCCCATCAAATCATGATGCGGGACAACAGGTACATCAACCCCTTTCTTGGCATAAACCGGACACCTGACGTCCAAAGGATTCCTTCACCAAGCACCAGCCGTTAATCATGACCTGAGCGCTCCTTCGAGTTTTCAACAGCCCTTCGTGTGCGCCGGCTGTAGACTGCGTCACGATAGGCTCGTCAAATCGCCCGCTGATACCTTATCCATTGGAATGGCAAGAACAGGGCACACTTGGTCGCGTAAATGCGAAATGACCTCCGACCCCTATATAAAGCCCAAATGAATTGAGCCGGCAGAGAACCCTCGTTCTGGTAATGGCCCACGACTGGTACTGAGACCTAGTCTCATAGGACGACGGACCAAAACGAAGGTGCGCTCTCACGGCCCTGGTTCTGTAGTATTTCGTTGCGCGCGGTCCACCAGTGAGATATCGTGCTCGCGGGTATCTTGAAGAAGTCGCTTGCTTCCTGGAAGGTAACGTCGCGGTATGTGAGCGAATCCACCGTCACATCGGCGCCGCTTCGACGGCGAGATATCTGCGTTCGGGTCCGGAGCATCTTGTGGTTGGTTAAGAAGGTGAGAACCTGGATCTTTTCCTCCTTCGAATAGGTTCTTTGTATTCGTGTCACTGGCTTGGTAACCGGGATCCGTTCGCTCAACGGTTTGGGCTTCGGCCCAGGCTTTTTCTTGATTCGATCGGTCACGGGTTTAGGCTTCGGCCCGGGCTTGTTCCTGACTGGTGCTGACTGGGTGGTTGGCAATGGCTTCGTCCCAAAGTGTCCAGCCGTAAGAGGCGATGGTTGAACATTTGGCGATGGTTGCTCCAGCGGCGGGCTCGGGTCCAGGCGAACCGGGACGCAGTCCAGGCGGACCAGCTGCGTCCCGGCCGCGGCAGGGCACGACGATACTGTAGCACTGACTGAGGAAGCATCATTAGCCGAACCCCATAGAGATCGCGTTTCGCAAAGCTGTTTATGTCTTACCCATACGACGCGACAACGCGTGGGATCTCACGAGGGTACCTCGGGCACACAAAGGCTGTGGCTGGTGCCGCTGGTCGTGTTCATTCAAGTTGCAGGACAAAGATTCATAAGATGAAGTGGAGTGGGTTGTGTTTATGTTCCCCTTGAATTAAAATTGGCCTGTTCTTGGCAGAACACGCATCAGACCAAAGAAAGAATCGTAACGGTCCCCGAACAAGAGGAACATCTTGTGGAGGACGCTACGAGCGCGACTAATCCATGTCCGTAATATTCCACCCGATTCAACGTTTATTTGGCCGATGTCAGCCTTTCTAGCCACACTGGCCAACAACCTGTGATCTTCCCCGGAATGCGTCGTCGTCGCGTCCCCATTTGAGAGTGACCCTTTTCACCAGTACAAAGCGGTTACATCAAAGTCGTTCTGTGTTGAAGAATTCGATCGAGAACGCGCCCTGGGAAATCTTGGTGGATCGCCAAGAAATGACCGGGACCCACAAGCAATTTCCCGCTTTGGAGATCCCCCTCCGTACGGAGGTACCTTTTGTACTGTACTCCGTACACACCAGTAGATGCGGATAAGCAACTTCCTAAACTTCAACTTTCAAACATGATACAAGAACAGCCACAAATAACAGAAGGAAAGAACGGTGCCTGGTATGGTAGTCTCTTTGCTATCACTCCGTCTGGTGCCATCTTCTTATCCTAATATCTCTTCTCGTTCTGTCTCATCATGCACCGTGACTTCTTTATATGTATTCGATGTCGAGGACTCGAGACCGCTCTTTACCCGCCGCCGAATAACCAAGCTCGATTTCATTACGCATCCGTCTATAGCAGGTGCATGGGTTTCTCCGTTGAGACCTCTCTAACATTTTAGGTAATGCTTCTACGCTTACCATATCTATACTAGTAGTCGGGCGATTCTACCCGTTGCTGGTAGCTAGGTAGGTCTCAACGTTAAGGTAACTTCCGTCTCCCCGGAATGGGTGTCTCAACGTCTTAGGTCATAGTAGAGTGCGGAGAGCCCGGCCTGGGCCCTGCTTTCACATCAATTCCGAGAAGGATTGTAGCTTCGCGTGGAATTCTACCGAAGACCGAGAGACTCGCCCTTAGCTGGAGGACAACAGCTACACAGGGCAGTTACAAGCTTCATTTTCTCCTCGTTTGCGGAGAAACCAAATGAGGAGAAATGGACTTTGACGTTGTCCCCTCCAATGACTTCTGACATTATTCGTGCGCCCGACCAGACCCTGGGAGAACCGAAGAATCCTGCTTTAGCCTAATAATTGAACCGGGCTCTGTCGACAAAGCGATGGGAGGAATCTACCCGGTATGTCCTAGCAGGTTATACTTACCTAGGTAGTCACAGACATCATCCATCGTATACTACCCACGGCACATAACTCGTGTGCCTTGGTAAGAGGTGGACGTTTCTTGTTTAGATCTGGTATTCTACAGGTCTAAGATATGCTGTTACGACATCTCGTCCAGGGTTGCCTGCCCGTTTTAGTCACCTCAGCCTGTGTTCCGGGTCACGGCGATAGCCTTACAGCTTCTCTTGACTACGGCACCTTTCAAGGCGCATACAGCAGCCAGTACAACATCTCATATTGGCAGAAGATCCCCTTTGCCGCGCCGCCTATAGGTGACAGGAGATTTCGAGCGCCACAGCCGCCAACACGCGTCTCTGGAGTTTACAACTCGACTCGGGCCTTCTCTGCCTGTCCCTCCAGAAGCACAGGCTCCGAGGACTGCCTCTACTTGGGACTCTACTCTCGACCATGGAGACGAGGCCAGCCGCTTAAGCCCGTTGTGGTATTTTTCCACGGCGGCGGCTTCGTGTACGGCACCGCTTCCCAGGCTCTTAACATTTCAGCGTCGGCACCCCAACTATTTCCTGTCTTAAACGTCTCAGAATCGACCGACATCCTGTTTGTCCACCCGAATTACAGAATCAACGTTTTTGGCTTCCTTCCCGGAAAAGAGGTTGCCGCAGATCCCGAATCAGACCTCAACGTCGGACTGCTGGACCAGGAAGCCGCGCTGAAATGGGTGCGCAAGCACATTTCCCACTTCGGCGGTGACCCAAACGCTATCACCATATGGGGCCAGTCAGCAGGAGCCGGTTCTGTCGTGGCACAGACGGTTGCCGCCGGTCGCAGACGCGAAGTGCTGTTCAAGCGTGCCCTGATCTCCAGCCCATACTGGCCCAAGACATACAAGTACGACAGCCCGGAGGCACAGGAGCTGTACGATAGATTGCTGAACCTCACGGGATGCGCTGGAAACCCCAACGGGTTACAGTGTCTCAAATCACTTCCCCTGGAAAGTCTTGAAGCCGCCAACACCATCCTTGTCAACAGCGGGCTCTACGGTCCTTCGCAGTATACCTGGGCACCAGTCATTGATGGAACCTTTCTCTCAAAACCGCTGTCAAAAGTCACTCCAGCGGACGTCAAGATTGAGACCGCCTTTGGCATGTACAACACCCGTGAGGGCGACTACTTCATGCCTCCTGGCTTGAGAGAGGCTACACGTTCCGGCACTCCCCCGTTCAACAGCAGCGAAGCATCCTTCGATGAATGGCTAAAGGGTTATCTACCCAAGTTGGGAAATGACGGCTTGAAAGCTGTCAAGCGTCTGTATCCAGCCGAGGGAACCACCGAGACGCTGCAATACAACGACACGTTCACCCGAGCTAGCATGATCTACAGGGACAGTGTGTTGGCTTGTCCCAACCTGTGGACGGTCAACCTCGTGGCCAACGGGGCCAAGAGGGATGATAAGGATCATCGTGGATGGATCGGGGAGTACAGCATCTCACCAGCCAACCATGCCTCCGATGTAGATTGGGTATGTGACCCCTGAGTCCCAATCCCTTATCATGTCTGCCTGCCCTTTTTTTTTTCCGGACATTAACATGAATCAGTGGTATCTTCCCAACCAGAAACAGCCATCCGATCCGCTTCATTACCGCGGTTTCACCGGCGCCATCGCCTCGTTCCTCATGCGCGGTGACCCGAATGCTCTCAAGCTGATGAGCGACTCAGTACCGAGTGTCCCGTTTGTGGGGTCGGGGCGCGAGTTTGTAGTCACCCCTGATTCATTTGATCAGACGGAGTATGAACGGTTGAAAGAGCGTTGTGAGTTCTGGAAGTCTATGGCACCCAAGGTGCCGATATAACGTCTTAGTACGTGTATGTCGATGAGGATGTCTCTATCAAGCAGCAACATAATGACCACTGCAGGGGTCTATACTAGGCACCTGAACACCACATAGACAGCTTGAAGATACATGGACATAAGTTTGAAAGTCCCCGTGGATTCTTTTGGTAGTATAAGTCCATGTCGGAGGTACCTGCTAGGTTGGGGCGGAAGAAATGGTCCCGTGTATACTGATTTCCGTCCCTTCGTGAAGCGCAACACTCCAATCCTCTGCCGGCCCCCGGGTATATTAATCACGTAACCCCCGCGATTACCATGCCTTCGAATAGCCCGATGGCTTGGCTCTCCTACCTGAACCTTTACGGCCACAAACGGCTATTTTATCTTGCTATTTGTCCAGGATTCTGAGTGCTATAGTATCACAGGCACTATAAGGGGGTTCGCCCCGGGAATGGCTTTGCGCCGCGTCCACCTCCGATCTTCACCCCTTTTCCATCATTAATTCCAACCTATAAGCCAGCCAAACCACTATGAAGCCTCTCACCACTCATCTCGCAGCCAGCCTGCTGCTAGTAGCAGCGCACGGCTTCCTCCCCTACCATCCCGCCCTCGCCAAACACATCATGATCCCCGCCACCAGCTTCACCTCCCAATCCGCCTTCGCCACCGACTGGAACCACAACTACCCCTGGGGCACCGACCACAACGGCGCAGCCCGAATGACACCATCTCAAGTCCGCCTCGACCCGTCCTCGGGCACACTAACCCTCACCGCACGACGCGTCAGCGGCGAAAAACCCGCTTCGCACGGCGGCAAACAGATCCCCATCCGCTACCTCTCCGGCGCTGTCCACGCAAAGGAGCATTTCAACGTATCCCGTGGAGGCGGGTACGATTTCTCGGCCGAGTTCAAGGCTACCACGACCCGGGGCACCTGGCCGGCGTTTTGGTTGACGGGGGTTAAGGGCTGGCCGCCCGAGATCGACATGGCCGAGTGGAAAGGGTCGGGCAAGATCTCGTTTAATACGTTCAATACGTCCTCGCAGGTGCGGGCGAGGGATGTGGAGTATCCGAATCCGGGCGAGTTTCATGCTATCCGGTGTGAGGTAAGGGATGCGGGGAATGGAAGGGATGTGAGTGTGAGGTTTTTTATGGACGGGAGGCTTGTTGAGACGCAGTATGGGAGGGGGTTCGTGGGGCAGGCTATGTATTTGTGAGTTCGCCTCTCTCTGGTATTGTTCCTTGGACGGGTATTCATCCTGGGAGGACATCTGGCTCCATCCGTGGGGGGTTGATCCGGGTCTTCAGGTCTGACTGAACTTGGGCTGGCGCAGGATTATCAATCTCCAGATGGAGGGCTCTTCGGGCTCACCTGGACCGAATGAGGGTAAATTACGCGGCAGTCGTCCACATCCCTTACTGTATGGAGGGGGCTCAAGTTGACCACTAACCATTCTTCCCGTTGCATATAGACACGTTGTTCCAGGTCCGGAACTTGGAAGTTTGGAGTTATAATTCATGACGGAGGTCAGGCACTACTAGGAGGTAAGGTACCTACCTACTGCGGCATTCGATCTGACTAGAAGTAAAGTAGGTTAGGTACCTACATTGATAGGTACTTAATGTATTGTGTATTGTCTTTAGACTCATCCCTCGGAGGCTCGTCCCCTAACCTAAGGCTACCTTGCCTAAGGCCTGAGTTTTGTTTCCTCGGTTCCGGGCACGGCTCGCCCGGCTTGCTTTGAAATTGCCAGACCGTAGACGAGTTGCCGGCAGCACCGAGATTTGATTTTATAGGAATTACTCCGGGGGCGCTAGCACTTGGATATTGGGGTACGACTCGGTCCTTCGACTCCTTCCAGACCATGCAGGTCAGAGTTCGTTGGTACCTACCCCCTTTATTTATCTAAGGCACATATTGACAGCACAAAGCGCATATACCATAACGTCCACCGTCCACAGTACAATACCTCCATAGATACCGCGCCTAAGTACTATTAGGTAAGGTACCTAGGTACATCTTCCTTTTCCTTCTCCTATCTTGACTTTATGCCTGTACGTACTCAAAGAGTCAGCTCAGTTCAGGTTCCTCAAGAAAAGACGACACACAGGTTCGACAGGCAATGGCACATCCGAGTCAACAGCAATAGCAACGGTGATAGCGACGGCGATGGCGACTGTTTGAAATTTGAAACCGAAACCCGAAACCCGTTGCTTGGTTGGGGGCCAGATAGCCCATTTCAGCTCATGCTCCCATGTGCAGGCACAACCTGGACTGGCATGCGACCCCTTGCACTACTTGCAGGCTTGGGCGATGCGGCCGACTGCCAATGAGGAACTCACAATTGTTAGATACAATGCGCCCCTTCTTTCAAGTTAAAAAGGGGCTGTTTTTTAACGCTCCAATAATGGACGACAATCAATTCGAGGTTGGTTGGCGAAGCACGCAGAGCATAGAGAGCCTCCGGTGTTTATGCAGTTGCTGCCGTGGGCAAGATTGATGCCGTTTTCAACACCTTACCTTACGAGGGAGAAGCCTACTAGTCCCCACGGACAATATCGCATCTTCTTCTGTTCTCTTGTGTATCGACCGATCAACTGTGGTGAATTCAACTCTGCAGGTCCCGTGCATGGACGGCGCTGACGTGAAGCCGCCGTGAGCGCCACATCAGATCACGGCGTCAGCCCTAGACTCTGTAGGTAAGTAGGCCGACGCCACACCACTCCATCCGCGCAAGGATATGACGGCATGTATACGGAGGTAATGATCCCAAGTAATTATTAAGGTACCTCGGTGACCTGAGAGAAGCACGGTATGACAATGAGGCTTTAATAGGGGTTGTCGTCCGCGCTTCTTTTTCAGTCAAACCGCCTCGGTAGACACAGCGACCCATCGCTTGATGGGCATTCCATCGCAATGGCTTGGTAACGATAGGGAGGACAGGAACTGGCGATGTTGCACGGCCGCGGTTTTTATTCAAGGGCGAGCGCCCCAAGCCCAGCCCAGGTTTCCAGGTCGGCAGATCGTCCAATCGCATCTCCCGTCACTGCCGTTCTCAGCCCTTCGTCCTCCCCTGGCAGTCTGAAGTCCGGGGCCGAGCACCACACCTCGCACCAGATGATGACCCGTGTTTTAACGTTAGGAAGGTTCCATCTCCTGTCATCCATCCGGCCTGGCTGACAAGCTCTTTGCTCTGCACCTTCCGTTGCGTGTATCTTAGCAAATTCATTTCCCTCCTTTCTTGCTGGATTGATTATCTCATCAATAGATATCTCCGTGAGACAGATTCCCAGCTGGCTCGGTCGCACGGTGATGGCCATAACGAAACTGTCGACAACAAACGCCCGTGGCGCTGCGGAACAACTGTGGCCGAGCCTCGCTTATCGTGCCTTCCACTTCTCACTAACGTGAACGGTTCCAAATTTGCTCACCGGCGACGCCATTGCCGAAGCAAGCGCAAGCGCAAGCCACTTGCACTGTCCATTAAAGAAAACGCCAATTCTGTTGTGAGTTTATCTCGAACTCTCGACAACAATCCGAGTCACGTTCCGATCGGACTGTGGGGACCCCGCCCTACCGTCTTGGTGTGGTTCGCCTGGGCGACCAACGCAAAGTTTTCTGTCCACTCGGGTCGCCAAATCGCAGGTCGAGTCCACTTGGCAAATCTCTAGTTTAGTGAGCGCTATTCCGTTTACGCCCACGTTACACAGTAACTAGTGGCTGGCCTTTAGCCGCTACCATCCTGCCGTTTGCCCACGCCGTGGCCGACCGTGGTTCCTGGCTGACTCGACCGTCGCTTGTCCTACCCTTGCAGAGTCTAGAGCCGACAATGCTAGTTCATCTAACGGGAGCGCCGTCGTCCTTCTAAACTTTCCGCTCGACGACCTCGCTGGTTTCGAGATACCTCCAGCTCCTGCGACTGTGTAACTGTATTTCAGCGACCCCTTTCTCCTGCTGCCGAATCAACGCAACCCTGGACAGCGAGCCGGCCTGCTATCATCAGCGCTCAGGCATCGAGCCTGGCGTGCCCCTTAGCAGACCACCAGGCTCGCAGCACAGCGGCTTTGCCGTTAGTAATTCGTACATCCGACACCGTGGATTCCCAGGAGCCCTCGGCCCGGGGAGACAATTTCAGCCCCGGTGCCAAAGCCGCCTTGGGCATCGGCATCGCCCTCGGCTGCGTCGCCATCGGTGCCATGGCGGCCTTTTTGTATTTCAGGCGCCGACAACGGGGGCAAGGTGGTGAGCTGAGATGGGGCGTTTTCAGTCGTGATGGCCGTCGTGGGAGGAAAGGCCCTGAAAAGAGGAATGGAACTTCGGTCACATCGGGGCGGTCCGATGAGCCGCTCTGTCCTATACAGCCGGTATTCGACGGCTATCCGGGTTCGATGGGCTATGATGACGTCCGGTCGCTCCAGTCAACCTTAAATCTGCATTCGCCTGGCGAGTCACCGACTATATCGCACAACGGAGGCTTCTGGACAAGTGAACGCAGCATCGAACGGGAAGAACTCACAGCTGCCCGTCTTAAGTCCCAGCTTCAGACATCCACGCCGGCTATCATATCTTACGGGCCCAACCCCGTCACACCCACCCCGAAGACTCAGTTACACTCTTCTCCACCCGATGCGGACCCCCCGCTACCGAAAAAGCCCGCCGTGCCGATCGTCGTATCGTACGGACCCAACAAGGTGACTCCCACACCGCTGGTAAAATCACCAACAGTGCCGCCGGACGAAGCGATTCTCAACCGAAGGTACATGGAGATGGACGCCATGGACGCCAGCGCGCCCGCTCCCCCTATCACTCACGAGCGCCAGTTCTCATGGGTGCCAGACTCCCCACTCCTCGGCGCCTCCTCGATGGGGCCCCTCCCGCCCTACGCTTCGACTGCCGATTTCGAGGCCATGGAGAAAGGCGCCGTGCGCAAGTTGGCAGAACCTCAAGCCGATGCCGAGCTACCTCCCACAAAAGACGGCTTCTACCACTACACGTCCGACACGGTCGAGTACGAGCTCCCCGGCGCCGCGCCACAGAACGAACCGCAGCTGCCGTTCCGCCCCTACAAGGTACAAGCGCCGGCTGGTCCCTCGGCCAGCTGGCACAGAGAGATTGACGAGCAGAAATTCCTGCTGTCTGATGAGGAGATCATGAAGATGAGGGCTGAGAAGGCAAAGATACGGGCCGCGGCCGCGGCTGAAGCTGCAAGAGCTGGAGCGGATGAGTCGTATGACTTGGGTGAGCCGGTATCCAGGAGGTGACGATTATGACGGGTCGAATATGGCCATTACCTCCTCCGGGACGAAGGCGGGCATTCGCCCCGCGCAAACAAACGTATACACAACGCCATCTAATACAATATATACCGAGATAAGCTTGGCACGGGTTCTGGGCATGGCACTGGGATATAGAATATGGTTGGAAGGAGCATTATACCATCGGCGAGGCGCTTTGGGTTTCACACATTGCTTTTCTTTCAGCGTTAGGGGAAAGGAGTATTGTAGCTTCAGTGTTGCTTGAAGGCGATGTTCTTAGGCCGCTAAACTCATTTTTGGATGTTACCTGCTCAGATACCTAGAGGGCGAGTTTTGTTCTCCGTATGTTGGAGACTGTATTTCTCAAAGTTCCAAGCAAACTTTTCAGGTTCAGAAAGGATTGGGAGGCGCGGTGACGTCGAGATGGTATAATACCATGCAAATCAAGTCAATAAAGTCCGACAAGGGCGTTATCATCACCACATAGTTGTCGTTCACGAGGTTGTGTTCCAAACAGTCTGGAATGCTATATGACTTCTCCAGATCCCTCAGGACCGACCACGCAAACCTTCTGAATCTCGGAATGCAAAATATCTTGGCCAACACTGAGAAGTATTACCTAGCTTATAAGGTGGCCTCGTCTCGAGTACCTCAGCGGTCAATCCATAGGGCGGCGTAACGTCTCGGTGGGAAATCTTGTCCCCTTCAACTCCCCAAAGCCCCTGTTAGACTGATCCACCTCGGCCATCAACCCACCGAAACCCCCTGTTCCAGTATCACACCGCCCGGCAGAAAAAGTCCCAGCACTCAATTGTTCCCAAAACTTTTGCCTGGCAGCTTTCACGGCCAAGCCCCGCCATCACCACCCTTTTACCTGCCTCCCTTACCTTACCTTAGCTTACCTTCTGGGTTGATTGGCGAAAGACAAAGGCACCATAGCCTGATAAACTACAATTCAACTTCCCGGCTGTGTTATCCCTCCGCCACCGCTCCCGCTCCGTTCCCAAAGATGGCGCCGTCGCACAAGCGAAAGGCAGACCTTGACGACGACGACGACGACTTCATCCGCACCATTTCCGACAACGACGCGGACATACCCGATGAGGAAGAAGAGGTCCTGGAGGATATCCCCGCCAACAAGAAGACCAACAACAACAAGAAGAAGACAAAGACCAGCGGTGGAAAGAAAAAGAGCAAACAACAACAACAAGCCTCTGCTAATGAGGACGGGGATTGCGCGGAAGATGATGGCCTCACCGGCATATGGGGACAAAAGGATGAAGACGACGGGGCGATGGACTCGGAGTTTGAGTTTGCCTTGGAGAACGGCGCGGACGGGGTTGTTGATGAGGAGTTTGCCGGGTGGGGGTTTGAGGGCGCTAAGAAAGGGGTGAGTAGTGAGAATCGGAAGGTGGGGGTGGATTTGGATGAGATTATTAGAAGGAGGAGGGAGAGGAAGGAGGGGAAGGGGAAGGGGATGGCCAAAGGGAAGGGAGGGAAAGATGAGGGAGAGGAGGAGGAGGGGGAGGAAGAAGAAGAAGAGGTGGATGGTGATATGGATATTGATCTTGATCTTGAGGATGATCGGGAGGGGCTGTTGGCTGAGGATGGGTTTGGGATGGGGGTTGGGTCGGATGTGGAGGAGGAAGATGGGGATGGGGATGAGGAAATGGTGGATCGGGATGAGGATGAGGATGAGGGTGGGGGTGAGGGAAATGGAGAGGAAGAGGGGGATGATGATGACTCGGTGGCAACACCAGTTGAACATCCTGATGATGTGGAGGAGTCTGAGGACGAAGAGGACGAGGAAGAGGATGCTGAGGAGGCAGCAAAACGGAAGGACTTCTTTGCTGCGCCCGACGAGTTCCAGAAGCCCGGCAAGAAGGGGCAGTTGTCCACTTTCCAGGGCATGTCGCTCTCGCGGCCGATCCTTAGGGGTCTGACCTCGGTTGGGTTCACGAAACCGACGCCTATCCAGGAGAAGACGATCCCCATCGCGCTCATGGGCAAGGATGTGGTTGGTGGTGCCGTCACCGGTTCCGGAAAAACTGCCGCGTTTGTGGTCCCCATCTTGGAGCGTCTTCTCTACAGGCCCAAAAAGGTTCCTACGACAAGAGTTGTCATCCTCACGCCCACGCGTGAACTGGCTATCCAGTGCCATGCCGTGGCTACGAAGCTGGCCAGCCACACAGACATCAAGTTCTGTCTCGCTGTGGGAGGACTCAGTCTGAAGGTTCAGGAGGCGGAGTTGCGTCTGAGGCCGGATGTGGTGATTGCCACTCCTGGTCGCTTCATCGACCACATGCGCAATTCGGCCAGCTTTGCCGTCGAGACGGTCGAGATTTTGGTCCTGGATGAGGCGGACAGGATGCTCGAGGACGGTTTCGCCGATGAGCTGAACGAGATCCTCACGACCCTGCCCAAGTCCCGACAGACAATGCTCTTCTCGGCGACAATGACGTCGTCGGTCGACAAGCTGATTCGTGTTGGGCTCAACAAGCCCGCCAGAATCATGGTCGATTCGCAGAAGAAGACTGCTGGAACCCTGACGCAAGAGTTTGTGCGGCTGCGGCCGGGCCGCGAAGAGAAGCGCATGGGCTACCTGGTGCATATCTGCAAGACGCTGTACACGGAGCGTGTCATCGTCTTCTTCAGGCAAAAGAAGGTTGCGCACCGGACTCGCATCATCTTTGGGCTGCTGGGCATGTCTTGCGCAGAGCTCCACGGAAGCATGAATCAGGCTCAGGTATGGCACTAACCCTTTGTTTATACTGCCATGATGCTAACCATCTACAGCGCATTGCTAGTGTTGAAGCATTCCGCGATGGCAAGGTAAAATATCTACTTGCTACAGATCTTGCTTCTCGCGGTCTGGATATCAAAGGAATTGATACAGTCATCAACTACGAAGCACCCCAGACCCTTGATATATACGTTCACCGTGTGGGTCGTACCGCACGTGCCGGTCGCAGCGGCGTTGCTATCACGCTCGCGGCAGAGCCGGACCGCAAGGTGGTGAAAGCTGCTGTCAAGGCTGGGAAAGCCCAAGGCTCCAAGATCATCAGCCGAGTGATTGAGCCGGCTGAGGCGGACAAATGGCAAGCCCGGGTGGACGAAATGGAGGACGAGATCGAGGAGATTATGCAGGAGGAGAAGGAGGAGAAGCAGCTGGCTCAGATGGAAATGCAAGTGAAGAAGGGCGAGAACCTGATTAAGCATGAAGAGGAGATCCACTCACGGCCGAAACGGACGTGGTTCGAGACAGAAAAGGACAAGAAGAAAGCCAAGGAGGCCGGCCGGGCTGAGCTTAACGGGGTTAGGGAACAGATGAAGAAGAAGGGCGCGGGTAAGCTCAGCAACAAGGACAAGAAGAAGCTCGATTCGAAGGCGGAGCGGAGCGAAGGCAAGTCCTGGAAGAAGGGCCGCGCTGAGAGAAGCGGAAAAGGGGCGGTCCTCAATTTGAAAAAGGTCAGGAAACCGAAGCCAAAAGGGCCGGCAGGGAGGAAAGGGTTCAAGGGGAAAAAGTAAGTCAGTCAGTGATACCAGATAGAATACATGTGTACTTCTACTGTACAATACCGGCTTTGCATCGCATTGGACTATGTTTTCCATTTGCCTTCAACTTTGGCGGTAGGTACAGGGGGCAACTTGAAGCCACTAGGTTGGGCGTGCAGTGGTAAACGCTAGCAGGTGACGTAACCGCTGTTGGCCAGGACTTAGCAACCACCAGAACGGGCTGGCTGACCACGACTTCCAATTCTCATCGTTCATCCAATTTACTAGTAGGAAGAAGGTATTAGGGACTGAGGTTTGTGGTTATCCATTCCCAAGCTCCGCCGTCCCGGATCCATCAGCTGGCTTCATGAACGACCAATACCTATCTACATCAACCTAAGCTAACTGAGAGATAATTCCAGCGGACTCGCCAATACAACCGCCCTTAAGTGATCCTTCCTTGTCCCGTGCCTCAACCAAGCACACACTTGTTGTCCCCCCACACCATCAACCTCCCAAAACTTCGGACCTTTTATCAAGGTTCAAGCCAGCAACAACCACCACCCTGGCGCCCTTCAAACGGCTCCTGCGCTCCTCGCCGCTCCCGCGCCCGCTGCAGCAACACCCGCACCTGCACCCGCACCCGCACCACCGCCCATCCCTCCTGCGCTACCTCTTCCCGCGCACCGTCCGCGACCTGTACCGCGAACGCCTGCTCCGCTTCCGCCTCGAGACCCTCCCGCGCTACAAGCACCGCCTGCAGAGCCGCATCTACCGCTTCATTGTCGAGCGCCAGCGCAAGCGCCGCGAGCAGACCCGCCTGGTCGACCTGGTGCGCTCTCACGGCAGGCGGTTGCTTCTGGGGACAAGTGGGACCGGAAAAGCGGCGCTTGGGAGAGTGGCAAAGGGGAATGCGGGCGTGACTGCGGCCGTGAAGGCGAAGGACTCGTCGTCGTCGTCGACGTTAAGCGTTGCGACAGACCGAGGCGCAGGCGCAGGCGCAAGGAGGAAGATGCAGCGAGGGGAGGAAGAGAGTGCCTACGGCTATGGGGCTACTAGGTATGGGTATGGGTATGGGTACGGCAGCGGTGGGAGTGAGTCCCCGCCTCTGCCCGGTGGCCGAGAGCGGGGCGCCAGACGGAAGAGACTAGCTGCCATGGCGGGCAGCGTGTACCGCGCCGGAGTGGCGGCTGCCACGGAGCTCAAGGAACAGTATAACAACACCCGGACCAGAGGCGCGGTGCTGGACATGTCGGATGCGCAGTTCTCGATCCCCGGCGCGTTCCCGCAGGTGTCTATTGTTACTAAGGGGGAGGAGCAGATGGTGCTCTTCCCGACGTACGCCAAGAGGCATGTCAGGGAGTTTGGGAATCCGGGGAGGTTCCCGCCGGGACAGCACTCGTTCCATGCGGCGAATGCGGCGCAGATGGGGGTTAGTGAGGAACAGTACTGGAAGCAGGAGTGGGCGAGGGTGGAGGACGAGAAGGCGGTGGCGGATGTTGATGTTAGGGGGTGGATATACATGCCTAGCAAGGGCCCGATGACACGGCGGAATCGCATGTTGATTGGGCTTGCGAGGAGGCTTAGCGGCATTCCAACCCCAAACACGCAGCCGGGACCAGAATTCAGTCCGCACGAGGATCATCAAAAGATGAAGGAAGAGCAAAGGATTGCGCGGGAAGCCCGGGAAATAGAACGGCGAGGGCAAGGGGAGGAGGAGGTTGCGGAAAGGGGAGGCTACAGCGAGTTTCCCAGTGGCCCCGAGGCGGCTGCCGGATTCGATCCTGTTGGGAAAACGCATGCTCCCGTCTCACCGCCGCCATCGCCTACGCTGTCCGCGAGGACGCCCACTATGCAGCAGCAATCGGACCTGACGGATGCTGAGCTGGCGGTCGCAAATGCCAATCTCATGGCACGCATAGGGCCGTTCATGACGACGCCTTTGGTGCAGATTCCCGTCACCATGTTCTTTTACAACGACGAGCAATCACGATCGCATACAGTAATGACGGACGACTCGGGCCACTTCATCACCCGCATCGCCCTCGAGTTCGTCCCTACACACGTGCGAGTCCTGGCGAACGAGGATTTATCGGCCACCAAGCCTATAGAGATCATCGAGGACAGGGGTGTCAGCCTGATCAGCGACATTGACGACACGGTCAAGCGCTCAAATATTAGTTTGGGCGCCCGTGAGATCTTCAGAAACACATTTGTCCGTGAGCTGGCAGATTTGACCATCGAGGGAGTCAGGGAATGGTATGGCAGAATGCATGATTTGGGTGTCAAGATCCACTACTGCTCCAACAGCCCATGGCAGTTGTTCCCCGTTTTGGCGACGTTCTTCCACACGGCTGGCCTACCCCATGGCTCGATCCATTTGAAGCAATACAGCGGCATGCTGCAGGGTATTTTCGAGCCGGTGGCGGAAAGGAAGAAGGGCACGTTGGAAGCCATCCTTCGAGACTTCCCGGAGAGGAAGTTTCTTCTCGTTGGCGACAGCGGTGAAGCGGACCTGGAGGTGTACACCGAACTGGTTGTAGCGAACCCCGGGAGAATCTTGGCCGTCTTCATCCGCGATGTCACTACCCCTGATCAGGCGGGCTTTTTCGATTCTTCATTCACCATGGGTACACCACGCAGCAACACGGTGAGCAGCCGGACCAAACCGGAAGATCAGTCAACCCGTGATGAGCCAAAGAGCAAACCGCAGTTGCCTCCTCGTGCACCTGCACCGCCGCCCGCTTCTACAGGACCAATCATGGGGACGTTGATAGACTTTTCAGACGAACCGGCCCAGATCAGTCCCGGAGAGATGCCGGCGAACGAGGTAAAACCGGAAAACCCCGTCCGAAAGGCGCCGCCACCGCGTCCCGCCAAGCCCGCGGCACTGCGAAGCGCCTCATCTGACGCAAGCAGTGGAAGCCAGAAGCAGCGCCCTTCCCCGGCCCTGAATCCTCGGCTCGAAGACCTCTCGATGGCCGACGACAGCCTCCGCCCGCTACAACGGGCACAGACTCAGTCATCCGTTGCTTCTTCCAACAGCGCTAGACCAGCTCCTCCGCCACCGCCGCCGCCCCGTCGCGGAGGTACTCCTCTTCTAGCGCAGCAGCAGCAGCAGTCGAGGGGGGATTCCAACCCCAACCCGGATGTTACCGAGATGGATGCTTCCCTTCCTCCTGCTTCTGGGAGTTCGGGCTCCTTCCCGGTTCAGGCTGCTGCTGCTGCTTCTGCCATGTCGGAGACGGCAGCAGGGGCGGCGTCATATGGACCTGCGGGAACGGCGGCCGTGAACAAGAAGGTGGACTTGTGGCTGCGCCGGCTGGCGAGGGCGCACGAGATCCTGGACGCGCACGGCGTCAAGCTGTATACCTGGCGGCGGGGGGATGAAGTTACTGCTGAGGCGGAGGGGATTGTCAGGGAGGCGTTGGGGAGGATTGAAGTTGATGGTAGGGAAAGGGGGGATAGAAAAGGACTATAAAACTTAGAGGAGACTTGGATGAATTGGGGAGGGGATTTACTGAATGATTCAATGAGAGCGGGTGCATTGTATTTACTAGGGGTTACACCTGTGAAGTGGGCAGGAGCCACTGCATCAATTTCCTGTATTTATTGTGGCTCGGCTGGGCATCTCCCATCTTGAACTCTAAGCCACTCCAACCATAGGAAATACAGCCCATTCTTCCCAGCTTTTCTCACACCCCATTTCTATAGGCCGTGGGGAGACGGCTTAGTGAATTTGCAACCGCAACCTGTTAGCTGTCTCGCTCAGTGGCTGCTTACCTGAGCTATCTCGTCTCTATCTCGTTGTCAGGAAGCCGCGAAGCCGACTAGCGGCTTCAGGAGCAGGAGGACCGCTTGCGACTGCCTTGATCCGGCTTGAACATTGTAGGCACTTGCCCCTACTAAGTGAATGGAAATTTTCAAGCCGGCTGGCTTTCTCCAACCGCTTACCTACTTGAAGAGAGCTGTCGAGAAACTTACAATAGCCGCTTCCCTGTCAACCGCAAACTTTTGGTTCTGAAAATAGGGAGGTGAGTGAGGTGGTAGCTGCAGTGGCCAGACCCTAACCCTCAGACGAGACTTCTTTCCCAAATTTGTTTGATGAAAAAAGTTACAAAGACATCCAATTGCTTGAGAGGCTTGCTTCAACATCTGCAACGTCTCGGACCAACTGAGTCACCGGCCAGACAACAGCACATATGAAGATTGGAGGAGTGAGAAGATAATACGGCAGCGGCTATTGAAGCCGTGGGGAGACCATCTATTTTAGATGCATGCAACTAGAAGAAGTCTCTTGCAGAAGCTGCCAAAGGGCGATTCGATTCGAGTACAGCTTCAGCCTCAGAACTTGTCCGAGAAGTTGCCATCGGCGAAGAACGAGGCGTTCTGGCATGACTCGAATTTTTACGCTCGATCACCGACAAAGAAGAATAAGAAGCTCTCACCACTCGTTCAGGACTGGCTCTCACCACGCGTTCAGGACTGGAAGCCTCCCCAAAGGCCAACCATCCTTTCTTCCACCGTCTTTCCCAACATCATCTCGTGGCGGATCCCGCACACTCTGCACCACCGTCACAGCCTGCGCTTCGTCCTGTTTCCCACGGACAAGACCCTCACCCTCTTCCCAGCGAGCCCTCTCACCTCGCAGCTCTCACCCAGCCTCACTAGGCGCTCGGCCCGGGAAATGCATAGCTACGTCCAGATCGTCAGCACGCCCACGGCAGACACGCCGGGGGCGTGTCTTATGCTGCACTTCGACACCCAGCGCTACCTCTTTGGCTCCATTGCCGAGGGCACCCAGCGCGTCATGGTGCAGCGCAAAATACCGCTCGCCAAGACCCGGGACATCTTTCTGACGGGCAGGATCGACTGGCAGAGCACTGGCGGCCTGCTGGGCATGATCCTCACCATCGCCGACATCAAGGGCTCCAAGGCCGAGGCCGAGAAGTCCCGCCCCAAGGGTAAATCGTCCCCGGATTTCTTTTTGAACGTGCACGGGGGGCGAAACCTGATGCACAACCTGGCCGCGGCTCGCCGCTTCATCCTGCGCAAGGGCCTGCCCCTCCGTCCCAGGGAAGTCCGCCACGATCCCCGGCTCGCCCACGGCAAGACGGAACCTGACTACACGGACGAGAATATCCGGGTGTGGTCCGTCCTGCTGTCCGGGCAGCCTCCAGACGCCGGCTCCGTCTCCGGCCAGCGGTCGCCAAAGAGGCGGAAGCTGAGTCCCTCCTCGGGCAAGAGCACAGATTCGGATGGCAGTGCTGCTGAAGGCGACTCGGATGTTGACCAAAGGGTCAGGGAAGCCATCGTCAAGGACATGTTCGATTCCAACTGGAAACTCGACACTCTGCGCGAGCTAAAGTTGGGGGAAGTCGAGCTGCCCGCCAAGATCTTCGTCAGGAGCGACAAGGGCCATCTTGAACCCTACCAGGGCCCTCTTCCCGGCGAGGAAGGCTGCGACAAAGACCTCAAGGTTCTGGTGCGGCTGCCCTGGCCGGCATCCATGATAGAAGAGCTGCCCCGCGCCCGGCCCTCGGGCGAATCTATGTGCTACGTCGTCAAGTCTCACCCGCGCCGCGGCAAGTTTGACCCCGCCGCCGCCACCGCGCTCGGCGTCGTCAGGACCGACTTCAAGAACCTTACAGCGGGTTTGAGCGTCCCTGGCAAGGATGGCGTCGTCGTCACCCCGGAAATGGTTATGGGTCCTATGATGGCAGGCCGTGGCTTCGCCATTATTGATCTTCCCTCCCCGGAGTTCGTCGATGTGTTCCTCAATCGCCCAGAGTGGACTACCCCGGAGATCATGGATGGCGTCGAAACCATGTACTGGATCCTCCCCGACAAGTCCTATGTCGAGGGCGAGTCTAGGTTACTAGACTTTATGAAGGCGCACGCGTCCATGAAACATGTCTTGCTCGGCCACGACATATCACCCAACACTCTGGCGCTCGAGTCGCCTGCTGCGCAGCTCATCAAGATGCACCGCATCGATCCAGACAGGTTCCCTCTCCCCATTTTCGACAGCACAAAGTTGGACATCGAGGACTCGTTAGCTACCACTGCCGATGTCGGCCGCCCGGGGGCAAGGTTTCAGCTTGCTCCCAAAGTCTCGTACCCAACAGATGCCCTCGTCCCGATCATGGACACGGGAGAGCCGCTCCGGGAGCTGCTCGACACCCCACAAACCCTGGAGCTCGCCGATGCCGCCCGTGCCAAGGTATCCGATCCTTCCTTCCTCGCGCAGGTCGCCGAGTCCCAGAAGGACCTGCCCGTGCCCGACGCCGAGATCATCACGCTCGGCACAGGCTCGGCCTTGCCATCCAAGTACCGCAACGTCTCAGCCACTCTGATTCGGGTTCCGGGCTGGGGCAGCTATCTGCTCGACTGCGGTGAAAACACGCTCGGACAGCTGCGTCGATCGTTCGGCTACAAGGGCGCAGATGAGATCCTGACCGACCTCCGCGCCATCTACATCAGCCACGCGCACGCCGACCACCACCTCGGCACCGTCACCGTCCTGACCCGCTGGCTGCAGCTCGACCGCGCGCGCGATCCCAAATACGGAGAGAAAAAACTCACCGTGATCGCCACGCCCAAATACCACGGCTTCCTCGACGAAGTCGAGTCCATTCAACCCGGCCTGCGCTCTAAACGTATAGCCCGGGTCTCCCTGCGGGGCAACTTAAAGCCCGTCCCCGGCACGCGCGCGCGCGTGGTGCTTCCAGAAGGGATATCCTCCCCCTCTACCCTCGGCCTGCCAGAAATCAGCGCCTGTTTCGTAGAACACTGCTACGAAGCGACCGCAGTAGTCCTCACCTTCCCCGACACGGGCTTCAAAGTAGCCTACTCAGGCGATTGTCGCCCCTCTTTTGATTTATTCACCGAGCTTGGCCGCGGCGCGCACCTACTGTTACATGAATGTACCTTTGACGATGAGTTAAAAGGCGACGCAATTGCGAAGAAACATTCCACTCTCTCCGAGGCGTTGGATGTTGGTCGTCGGATGGCAGCGCGGAGGATTTTGCTCACGCATTTCTCGCAGCGGTATCCGAAATTGCCGGTTATCAATGAGGAGTCGTTGAGGAGGGATAATACGGCTGCGGGTGGGGACGTGGAGGTGTTGTTTGCGTTTGATCATATGCGGGTCAAGTTGGGGGAGTTTAAGCAGGCGAAGGAGTTTATTCCGGCGCTGAGGGAGCTGTTGAGGGAGGAGGAAGAGGGGGAGGGGAAGGTGGAGGATGTGAATACTAGTGCTCCGTGAGGTAAGGTGAGGAAGATGGAGATGAAGATGGGGATCAGGATCTGTGATGTGTGTATGGCTATCTAGGGGTGAGAAGTGTACGAACATTGTGTTTCCGACGGGGTTTGGAGATGTTCGGGGAGGGGCTAGACACATTCTGTATAGACGGGCCTTATACCTATCGGACGGACGGTAGCATACAACGCGTCATTGTGCCTGGGAAGATGATGGAATGGGTAGAAAAATCACAGTGTGTTCAGTAAACAAGGTGTCCCCTTGGCCAATTCTGCTGTATAATACATCATGGTCTATGTTTCTCGCTCTCCAGGTCAAGTTGGTATAACCTTTCCTGATCCACTTTGATAATGTTTAGATTGTTCTAATCCTGTCTCTTTGTCTTCCATTGCACAGAAAACACTATCAGGTATGGTAACTGGGCCAAGCTCACTTGAAGGTTCACATTTTTATCAAGATAGTTTAGTCGTTTCTACAAGTGTGGAAGGGGTAATATGGTTGACATGCTATGTACGGTGCATATGAGATGTCTGCTTTGCTAGCTAGGCAGCAGGTCTGCCTCAACATAAGATGATGGGGAAAGGGGGGCCGAACCAGTCTGTCACAGCGTGGATGGGGCATAGTAAAGGGTCGTCACGAGTCTGACTTACCTTATCGTGAGGCAAGAAACCGTAACCTGGGTTGGTATCATTCTGGGTAGATAGATTTCAGCCAATATCCTCGACCACTGGCGCTGATTCTGCACCTCAGTCAGCTCTCTAATTTATGTTGTTTCCACCGCATCAGGTCGATCGGTCACGGTAAGGGCCCTCACCGTTCACCCACTTCCTGCAAATCTCTTCCCAGGTGGTGACGGCGGACTCGGCAACTGACTCGGCCCGGTTCCGGTTCTGGGTCTGGTTCCGACCCGGATTGCGGCTCTGCCTGTGATGATGCTCACGGTTCTGGGGGTTCTGATCCTGGCCGCGGCTCTGCCTGTTCCGGTGATTCTCGCGGCTAGACCTATGCTGCCGCGGAGGAGTGCGGTCCTCGGGTCTGTAGAAATCTTCCCACCTGGTGAGATTGGTGGACGTGGCAGCATCAGCATCTTCAGACTGTTCGTCCAACCGCTGCAGCTGCCGTGAGCTACGATCAACCCGCGGCACTGGTTCCCGCTGGTGACGATCATCCCGCGGCTCCTCCCGCACCGTATCGAGCGTGTTAACCGACTGGCGCCTGTTACGATTAGCCCGCGGCTCCCGCTCCCGGTCCCCCGGCGTAACTGTGTGAACCGAAACATCTGTCCACTCGGAGGCAACTGCAGACGCAGCAGCCATAGACTGCCGCTGCTGCCGGCCACGACCGTCCCTCCGGTCCATATAAACCGTTGAAGGCGCGGCCATGGCGGCTGCGTTAGCTTGGGTGATGCTGGCGTAGTCGCTCGGCCGTGGCAGGCCTGGGATGACGGAGCTGGCCGGCCGGCGGGTCCGGGTCGACGGGACGTTACTCTGCGAGTAAACGCTTGACGAGACTGAACGGCCAGGTGGGGGGACGCCGTAAGTCTGTTGAGTGGTAGTGGCAGGGTTGGGGCGAGCCCAGTTTGCGCGAGGAGGGATATACTGGCCGTTCTCATCGACATCGACATCGGCATCGTCCTCGTCCTCTTCGGGCGAGACGTCGGCAGAGCAGTGTGAGCCCTCCGACACAGGCGAGGGTGAGCGTAGATCCCAAGGGTCAGGGGGTGAGAATCCGCGGGGCGCTGGGTTTGCGTTGCCGCCAACGGGGAATGATGCCCGCTGGCCCTCACTTACCTGAGGCATTGGCATCCCTTCGCGATGCTCGCTCCTGCCCCTCTGGTCAGCAGCCTTATCCTCCTCTTCTTCCTTCTCCATCTCCTTCTGCCGCCGTCTCTCCTCTCTCCTCTCCCGTCTGACCTTCTTTATGGCCTTTCTCATCCTCTTGAGCTCTTTCACCAACAAATCGCTCTCCTCCCTCATCAACTCCCTCTTTTCAGGCCCACCAAAGGCATCTATCCACGCCTCAACGACCCGCAAAAACTTAGGCTCGCTGCTGCCGCTCTTGTAGCGCGCAATCATATTCGCCCGCAACGCCACCAGCACGTCCCCCTGGCCGCCAACGACGGCAAGGATGCAGGCGGGGCAGCCGTTCTCGACGGCATCGAAGCGGTCCGCCGTGGCAAACCGCCCAAAGTACTGCTCCACCTGCTCCGGGTCGAGGTACAGCCCCACGAGCGAGCTGATCTCCTCCACCATGACCTTGACCGCGAACAAAGTCGTCAGCTGCATCATCTCTTCATCATCATTGCCATCGTGAGCATGATCACCACTGTCCGTCCTCACCCCACCATTCACCTCCAACTCCTCATGCTCCACGATGAACGCCCGGGCGGTGTCGGTCCTAGCCGACACCTCAACCCTCAGCAAGCGATACACCTGGCCGATGAGTTCAGCATCCAGCCGCTTATGCACTGGACACAGCGGGGGAAAACGGTCCGCGAACGGGTACTGGACGAGGTTGCGAAGGATCTGTCCGCGGCGGGCGCAGAGCTCGCGCGGGAAGGCGGACGACTCAATCATGGTCTTCTGCGCCTCCATAAACTCCTGGGCCAGGATGGCCGTGGAGACATGCGAGGGCGGCGGGACATAGCGCAGGAGCCAGGCCAGCGCCAGGAGAGTATCATCCGACAGCGCCGCGAGCGGGTCGTGTCCCATCAAGCTCGAGCTGCGGAGGGCTAGGACGTTGGGACGAGGCATATTCTCCTGTTCACTCCCTTTCTTGGGGCAGAGGGGTGGTGCTATGTTAGTTTGGCTGGCTTTGCTAGTGGAGGACGCTGTCTTGGCTGGTTAGTTAGTTAGCGCTGGGTTTGTTGTTGAAGTGGCCGATGACAGAGAGATTCCTTGAGAGCAAGAATAACTCTAGATCTAGGCCGATGCTGTTCTTTGATCACCAAGTGAAGCACTTCCTGGTGGCGCGGCCATTGGCACCACTTTTATACCGTCCCTGCCACAAAGACGCCTCTCCATGCCTACGGGTGCTCAGCAGAACAAGAAGGGCTTTCATAAGTGAAGAGGAAGATGCTGCACTCGTATTCCTGAATACTTGTGGTGGGCATCCCCCCAGGCTAGGAGTATATTGAACAGCATGGTAAGCGGGTAAACAAACCCCTTGTTTTGGCGTGAACCTGCAGCTCAAGTCAGTAACAAAGAAACTTGGGTATCCGGAGAACATACTTACAACGCATGATGGCACTCCTCCTCCCTGGGACTTTTCACGGCTGTCTTGGCCAATTCTCGTTCTGGCGGAGATTGCTGATGCCATCTTCAGCAGCGATGATAGCGGCAGACGGATATAGCGGTAGCAACGACAAAAGCAAGACGCTCCCCATTTTACCAGGTTACCGTGCTCCGATATCTGCCATGTAACCTGCCATTGCTCATCGTTGAAGCTGCAAGCCGTAGCCTCAGTATGATAGTCGATGCCTATGAAGAACCATCATTTGCTTCCCTCTCGACATGCCAAAATCGCGGATCCCGGTATGAGAACCACTCTATACACTAAAACCTTCATACATCCATTATTGACACCTGCCCCAAAGAAATGACGATGAAAAGGGCACCGGAACCCCCGTACTCCTCTCCCCACTCATTCCCCGTTCGCCAACCAACCGTGCACCCGACCACCCGTATATGGAGGGTCCAGGAGAGCCTGGAGAAGTACTATCATTATACCAATCTGGTACGAGATATACTTTGGGGCCTCTGTCATGCTGTGCTCTACTACCGTGATGCTCGCGGAAATTATCGGTCTTTATTGACCGACCAAATCATCTTCGTATCCCTCGTTCCTCTCCAACGGACGCGTGGCTGCCCGAAAGTTGATCTCGCATTCTCATCATCTTCTCGGCACGCTCGGCGCGGATCCGCGCAGCTTCCGTTCCGTCATCAGGAGCCGCAGTTTCACGGAACCAAGGATGCTGTAGTGCTTGCTTCGCAGTTATCCGTTGGTTGGGGTCGTAGACAAAGATCTTTTGGAGAAGGTCTAGGAACTGGGCGAGAAACTTGGTTGTTGGAGGTATGATTTCCTAATACAATGTTAGCAGCCTCCTGGTTGTATCAAGTTGAATTGGGCACCCACCGGAAGTGTCTTCATGGCTTTGACGAATCTCCTCGACGCTCGCGTTGTTTCTGGTGTAGGATAGTCGAGCTTCAACCGCTTGAAATATCTGGCTAGAAGTTAGTTCTCAGATCTCGGATACAATCGTCGAGATACTCACTTGGCCGCAGGGTTCCCGCCATTTCTTGTCATCCTGTTGACCTGATGAACAAGAGGAACATCAATCCTGGCATTGACAACAGCCTCCATCATGGCCAGATGCTCGAGATTATCGTGTGTCTGGAATAGTGCGTCGCCGGTAAAGAACTCGACGAGAATGCATCCAATGCTCCAAATGTCACAGGGGAAAGACCATCCCAGTCCAAGGATGATTTCAGGTGCTCGATAATGCCGAGTCGACACGACAGACGAGTGATATTCGTCCTGGAACGTCGCCGAACCGAAATCTATCAGTCGAATCTCGGTATCCAACAAGACCCGTCTTTGGGTGGCCTGGCGGCCGATGGTGGTGCTAGATGACGGGATCTTTCGGTTGTACGTGAAGGTTTGGTACTCGTTGTGGCAGAGGAGGATGTTCTCTGGTTTGAGGTCGGTATGGATCAGGTTAAGATCGTGCAAGACTGCCTGATGTCAGCGAAGGAACCTTGATATGGCACGGTAGGGGAATTCGTACAGGCAACGCTAGTGAAGAGCTGACGTGCAAAGTGCTGGATCTGACTGTTCGGGAAGGGCACGAAATTGTTGCTCTTCAAAAAGTCGAACACGCTCTGGCCAAGGAGATCCATGACAATGCAGATATGTCCTCGGAAATCGAAGCAATCTCGGAAGTGGATGCAACGGTTCCGGTTCTCCTCGTCGTTGGCCCTGAGTGTCTCGAGAACCCGAAGCTCAATCTTGCTGGCTTCGCGGTACTTCTGGACCGAGCGAATGATCTTGATGGCAACGAGCTTATTGGCAATCTTGTCTCTCGCCTGCACAACTTTGCCGAACGTGCCCTGTCCGAGTAGCTTGATCATTTGGTCTAGCAAAACTGTTAGCCGCAATTTCTCCAGCGTTATGACCGAATCATGCAACACCGTTACTCACATCGATCCGTCAGGTCATTATCGGGAACCACGATGTAGTGCCCGTCATCGTCATCACAGCGAACGTTCTTGCTATGCGGTGGCTATGCTATCAGTCAGCATTGGGCACGGCGACGCACTCAGAAGGGCGAACGGCTACTTACGTCAGGTATGACAGTGATGGGAACGTCGCGGGCCTTCTTGGGAGGGTAAGGCGGCGGACGGTACGAAGCGAAGGCATCGGTCACGGTGCCGGCATCGCGGCGTCTCGCTTCATTGGCGATCTGCTGGCGGGTCGTCCGTTTCCTCTTCTGCCCGGGCTGTGCGTCATATTCGTAGTGGCCATTTGATGAGAGAGAGCCCAGTGATGTAGCAGCAGTGGTGTGAATAGCCGAGTTTGTTCGGTCGCTCGGGGCCGTCGACTTGCTGGGAGATCCATCCTGGCGAGACGTATGCGTAAAGGATCCTACAATGCTGTTGTGGTGGACAGGGTCATATCGGGTGGGTTCATCATCTCGTTTCCGCCTCTTAGCCTGATGGGCAACAATATTGCCATTCGCAGCGTGTGCACGCCCGTTTGCCAATGTCTGAGAGAGAGCAGTTGCAGGGTTAGGCCGCTCAGGTTCGGGTGTGTCCTCAATGACAATGATTTCCTTGGGCAGCCCATTCTTGTAGAACGTGTCCCAGTCTGGGCCCCTCGACCGCCTTCTCTTGCGAGCAGGTTGCTGCGAGTCAGCCACAGACTGCGTCTGCGATCCAGCGGGCATTGTGTAGGCAGAATCGGACCTAGGGCTCGGGTTCGCAGTTTCTTGTGGTGGAAGTCTCGCGGGCTCGTGGGGAACCGCTAGTACTCCATTGGAAACGGCGTGGTTCGCCGAAACTGAGTAGGTGGCAGGAGATGGGTAGGCGAGACGTGAGGCGGGAGAAGGAAGAATTGGGTTCGGCGGTCGGTACGGTGAGGAATTTGCCTGTGTATACGGTGGGTGCTGATGGGAATATCGGAAATGATGATGATTATAGGGAGGCAGCGTTGCGGTTGCAGTAGTCGGCGTCGACATGGTTTACCACTCGCTGTTTGTTGAATGAGTAGAAAGAAGATTGAACGTTGGAGTGCGTGGGTGGGAGGGTGTCCTGGCTACGCAGTCGCTTGTCAAGGTTATCCTGAGGACCAGCCAACGTGACTGGCGAGCGTCGATGGGACCTGGAAAAGTGATTCCTGCGAACGAAACCCTGGTGCTGTCGGCTGGTGCCGTAGCTGTCACGGAGACATTCAGGACAAGGTGGACATTTGTTCGAGGTTCATAATTCCAAACGATAGCGTAAGGGCAGACAGAGCGGATCAATCGTGTTCCAAGCAAGCCAACCTCGTTTCCACGGAGGAAGACGGGCGAGTGGTGGAATGGAAGGATGCCCAAGCCAGCCCTGGGTTGGCCCGTTGCGCAGTGGCCCACGGCGGCGCGCTGTGGGTGGCAGACTCTGGCAAAAAGGGGACGCATTCGCTAAGTTAATGGCCAGGGAGCGAATGGCTGCCCTAGGATGTCTCGACCAGTGATTTTTTAACGTCAGACACGGTTTTTAGGTACGCCGATTCACGACCCCCGGGTCATTTCGCTATTGTGGCATTCGCCGATGCGCGAAAAGCTGCCTAAGAAACAGATTTCACACTCCATTCAGGAACTTGCCTTCAAAACATCAGACAATGGAATATCTGAAGCATGATCAGGTCAGCTACCTCAGATCGAGGGGCCAAGTGATACTTTTGGGCGGGCAATTGACAGAACTTGCTGCCAACCTAAGCCGAGACCCCTCGCCTTCCATCTCACGTCAATGAAGTGGGCTTGGCCGCTCCACTGCCCGCTGTCCAGAGCCCGTGGCTGCCATCAACACGGTGCGGCTACCACTGGCAATGAGAAACAAGAAGTTAGGCCTACCTCGGCCGCCTTGGTCACTAACGTAATCTTAAGGCAGGCACTTGCGACGCGGGGCCAGGCGGTGATGCCCTGTAGCAGACCTGAAAAGGCTCTGCACAGCGCACCTTCCAGTGGGGAACACCACTAACGTAAGCACCCGTTATAGGTGGTAGGTAGGCTAGTGACATCAACATTAACTTATTGGTGCTTCACTTGTGTAATACACAGTGCCATCTGCCCTGTCAGAGACTCGCTGGCAGCGAGACATGCCATCACCCCTCGCCACCACTTGGGCAGTTCCGGGCAGCTGCAGGGCACCTGTTTCCTTTCTCACTGCCGCGGAGAGAGTCAAAGCCCGTTGCGACCTGCGGGCTCAGGGCAAACGACAGTAACGACTGGCACCTTACCCATGGGAATCGCGCTAAATACCGAACAGGATAGATCCGGGCCCTACATGCACGTTGCGGTTGGCCATCACCCGTTTATTGATTTTCGAGGAGAGGGACAGACCGGCTGATCCGCTTTCCTAGAGATACCTAGGTAGACGAGGTAGCCAAGCTCCCAAGGTAACTACGTACGGGACGCAGTGGTATATCATCAGGCTCTATGTAAGCCACTTTAAAACCCTGCCTCGGGTAGTATCTCACCAGGACAGCTAAGGCGGTTGAGGTGGCAGTGATGCGGATGGCTTAACGGTGTCAACCACCAAGCGGTCAAGGACAGCAATATATAGGCCATGAGTATGTACCTTCGGGATCAACTGTGCCGCTCGAGAGACTGTAACGAGGCTTGGTATGGTGTTTCGAGAGTAGCAGGATGCGACAGCTGACAGCTATTCGAGTCTCGAAAAAGGTTGTTTCGTCCGCTCTTCCCTTTGCAATTTGTATGGACATGCTATTGAAGGTCACAGTATTCGAAGTCATCATTTAACGCCGAATATCGAGGAACAAGCATAGTACTGCGCGTGACGTTGTGCGCTTTTGTTAGCGATGTTCCTCCTTAAGATGGTCATCTGTTGGTGGGGCAACAATTCGTCCCAAGTCATCCTGGCCATAGATCCGGTAGACACAGATGTGCACAACCACGTCGTCGGCGTGTTACCCATCAATTATTCCGAGTCGACAGCGTGTGATAGATATCACCTAGAGTCAGTCAGAGAGCCTTATGATGGCAGTGAACCAACGACCTGGAGAAAGCTATGCTGAGGCAGTGCAGACAGTCAAGAATTCACCACTGGAGTCTGGGGCGGTCCGTAGGTGATCTGTCCATGATGTCAACAGGCTGCCAGCCCCTGGAAACTCGAGGAGTCCAACTCTTTAACTGCCTCGAGTCTTGTCAGGACAATAGTAACCGATATACGGTACGAATGCCCTCAGGTGCCCTCAGTGCTAAGGCTCATGCTGTATCCGTAGAACTGTCCAGCTGTCAAGTGAAAGCCGGCAGTCGCTCTGCACTGTCTGCACTTATGTGTAACCAAGGAGATTACGGAGCAACAATCACCGATTCCTGGTTCTCGGGGTCCGGCAACCACGCCGATCAATCTGCGACTGGTCTTTAATTCTGTTCTCTACACTCCAGGTCTCAGGTCACTGCTTGATTTCCCCTCGACAAAACGAGTTTGACCCTTCTTCAGTGCTTTTTCAAGCTCTAGACATCATAGACTCCTTGTCCTCTAACTGTGGGACTGGGAAGGCAGGAAGGGAAGTCGACAGGTCGAGTCTCATCCGTCTGATCTTGGAGAGTAGCCCCACTGTGGCCAAATGACTTAAACCCCTCAGGCTCCTTTCTTCGGTTTCGTCAGGTCAGCAGCCCATGGCACTTGGCAAGCGCACATTTCGATCATTTCAGAGCGAGAGTTTGCAGGAGATATGAAGTAGATATGAAGTAGATACTCGCGCAGAAATCTTGTGTCTTGGGGGCATTTTTCTGCTATCTATTCTTATTGTTTGTCTTTGTCTCGTGATTTATTGAATGCGTTCAATCAGATGCTGACCGGGACTTGGGCTCTCGGTACTTGAGAAGTTGAGGGTTTGCCTTTTTCAGACTGCGGGGAATGGACACCGTCACGTTTACCACCTTGGGAATCACCATCCAATGATTCAACTCCCCAACGGGCCAACTAACAGACCCTGATTCGATTTTGACATTTCCCTTCTCCCACTCCCGCATTTACAGTACTGTCACACAAGACTCCGAGTCCGTAACCCAGCGAGAACTGTTTACGGAAAGGACTGTGTCCAGTACATCACTCGCCTGAGGCCCGCCGCCCTCTACAGACCAGCGTGGACCGGGGGCACCGCTTTGCCTGCTCTCACTTCTCCGGCGCTCCCGCAATGCGCGTAAGCCCTGATTGAGCCTCGAATGGCGTATTCTGCCTGACGAGGCTATGTCTGTCTCCCTTTTACCACTTTGTGTAAACAGCCCCGGAGAAGCTCCGCGCCCGCCAAGTCAAGACCCTGCGGGAACGCCTCGGAGTCGTGGGGTCGTGGCATGCTATTTACTGGGTGACGGTTTCTGTTTATTTGGCCTTGTGCGTGCCCACGGGCATTTGATGATGGCCTGGCAATATAACCCTCACCCGACAAACGTGGACATGCTCCCTTCACTCAACTGAAGTGAGCGCTGTGAAGACTGTGTAACAAGCGGCATTATCGACGTTACACTGCGCTGCCCAAATCAGCAACCAGTAAATCATATCCCTCTTATTAACGACCCGACTCGGTAGCCTGAACCGGCAATGCCGGCAGGTGGAATGTCTATCCTCACGTAAACACACCAGGTATCGAGCAGACCAGCGTCAAAACAGACCAGGGATCAAGTAGCACAGGCATGTCTATCCCATCTACACCCATAGAGAAGAATACAAGGAGCGTAAAGAACACGGGTATCTCGAAAAAAGAAAGCCCGCCAGCCATTACAATGGCACTCCAGACTTTGCCCTTTACCTAAGTCCTCAAATCCCCCTATTAAACTCAACCAACCCCCCAATACCTCCCCTACCATGGAACTCCTCCTCCAAACTCTCGGCCCTGACCTTTTGGCGCTGCGGAAACGCCGCCAAGGCCAACGGCAGCGCCGCGTAGCTGGTCAGGAGGATCAGACCCAAATTCACGGGCGTGGTCCAGCGCGGGTTCTTCTTGAGCCAGTCCGTCCTCTGCAGCCTGACCAGAATCAGGGGCGGGATCACCATAATGGGGGAGCTGTTCAACACGCGGCTGAGCGCCGTCTCGGCGACGGCCAGCGTGGCTGCTTTTCGGCTCTTGCCCAGACTGTTACTACTATTACTAGCGGCCTCATCCGCGCCGCCGGTAACAGGGACGGCGACGGCATTTCCGGGCTTTCCTTCAGCGGCAGCGGCAGCAGCAGAAGAGGAGGTCTTGTCGGTGACGGGGTAAACGTCGATGCCAGTGCGCATCTCCTCGCCGCGCATCAGGAACACGTTGAGGGCGCCCGCGCTCGCGACGGCGGCGAACGGGGTCAGGCGGCCCAGGATGAGGCGGGTTGACGGGGAGAGGCTCTTGAGGCGCGGCACGAGACTGTTTAGTCCGACGGCGACGGAGCACGAAGCTGTGACTGCCAGGAAGTAGGACTGGGCGATCTTGGACCACGATAAGGGGGAGGACTTGTTCGAATTGGAGTAGTTGATGGCGACGTTCAGCGATTGGTTGGCTACTTGCCAGGCTATTGTTCCGCGGTTCTGTTGGGAACGAGAAGGTCAGCTAAGAGCTAAGGTTGGGTACTGGGACGGCAGAGAACGTACGCCGAGATTGGGCGTAAGCATGCCTGCTGTGACGACCAGGTTTGAAAGTACGAAGCAGGACATGCGGAAGGGCAGGAAGACCGGTTCGCCAGTGTCCGGGTGCAGCGTTGAGTCGACGACCTTCTTCGCCCTCCAAAGCTCGGGAGTCATGTCTTGTATCTGGCCGGTCTTGTATGCGACCAGGAGATTTTTGGCTTGTTCGAGACCGGCGCGGCCAACGAGGAGAGTCCTGGACAGTGAAATTACGCGTTAACAGTCTGACCAAAGTTAAGTGCAATGCTATCCTCCGCCAATTGGCGTTCAATTGACACCTAGGACGTTCGTGCTGCAAAGTGGCCGCCTACCAACCAGGAGGACACCCAAGTGCCGCTGCCCGTCACCACTGCCCGTCTAGCGTTCTCACCTCGGATCCGTAATGCCGGCGGTATGCCTGACGCGTCCCCAGTATGTGCTGAGGTCGTATTGTGAGTCGGGGAGCGCCCGGGCGCCTGGCAAAGAGGCAGACATGGCGATGACTGTTTTCGGTGTTGCAGTCGCGGGCGGAAAGTTGATACCAAGGGCCAGAGGTCGGATAGATGCCCGTACGAGGATCACTTGTTTCGGATCGCCTAGTAAAAGATGGCTTGATATTCCTAAGAGATTTTGCACTATTCCGCTTAAGAAAGATGTTGAATCCGCAAACTGAATGGAAGCGGTGAAACCGTGAAGGATACAGCCGATTTCTGTAGATAAGGAGCGAGTCAAACTGCTCCGACTTCGGTGGGGTACAGGGGACTGACAGGGACAGCGGGGCAGGCGATTGACCCGAGCGTTTGGCGGGGAGACAGGGGTTCTAAACAGGGCGCGCGGTCCGTCTGCCCCGCTGAAATTCGGAGTCCGGAAGCTAAGTTGGGTTGGTGACGAACGGGACTGCAGAGCGCCCGGGCACCTGTGCTGCCGTCGGGACTTGAAGCAAATCAGGCTTGCAAAGATTTCGACGGTGCAACACCATGTGAAGAAGGGTGCACAGCATTCAGCGTATGGAAGGACGACTTACTTGATAGCAAATCAATTGATTGCCTTGGTTCCCAATGGCGTTAAGCCACCAGCTGCTGCGGCGGCTCCCCTTCTCGGAGTCGACAACACCGCTCCAGGCTCTGACGTACCTGCTCGGCATCTCCCTCTTCAGCATCTCGTTCCTCGTCTTCCTCAACAGCAGCGTCTCGTTCGTCATTACAGACCTGATTGGCGTCAAAGAGGGCGTGGGCGACGTTGTTGGAACACTGGGCTTCGTTGACGAGGTAGTGGCTCTGATCGCCTGCCCTGTCTGGGGCCTCGTCTCGGATCGAGCCGGCGTGCGGAATGTCGCGGTGACGGGATACGCGATAATCGGCCTGGCGCTGTTCGTCTTTGTACAGGCGCGCAATGTCTACCCGCAGCTACTCCTTGCAAGGATATTCTTTGCCATTGGTGCGACGGCTGCGTGAGTGCTGTCCCGTAAAGGAACTTCTATGAACCTGCGTCCTGATGACCGTGGATATTCACTATACAGGGCAACCATGGTAACTGCTATCCTCCCATCGCTAACCGATGAAACTGGCCCGGCAGCAGAGCACGTCCGCAAGCCATCGCAACTTGGGAGGCCGAGCGTCGCGCTGTCCGTGGATTCCGAGGTGACCATTACCCCTGAACGTTTTCGAACCAGCGCCGGGTATACACCTTCGGGCGAAGCTACGCCAATCAGCGGCCCGCAGAGAAAAGGGAAGCCGTCGGTTCTGGCTGGCTATGTAGGCCTGTTCACCGGCTGTGGCGCCCTCGTTGCCCTCTCGTTGTTCCTTCCGCTGCCGGCCCGCTTTGGACGCATTGAGGGCGTCACCATGGCTGACGCCGTGAGGTATAGCTTCTATGTCGTCGGCGCCGTTTCCTTCTTGGTAGCTATCTTCGTCTTCATCGGGCTGCGCGGTATCAGGGGTGAGGAAGGGAAAGGATGGAGGATGCTGCTCGGCCTGCGCGGATCGACGCCGCAAGGTGTTGGCTCAGAATCTTCACCTGCGCCGAAGAACGTGAGAATACTCTAGCTACCTGGTTCACCGGCCTCTGGCTAATGAGACTGACAGAAAATCCTTCCCTACTGGCACCTCCTCAAAGACTCGGTACGACTTGGCTTTACCGACTCGGAAATCGCCCTTGGCTATCTCGGCGGCTTCGTCGCGCGAGCCTCTACGGTCGCCATCTCGCTCTTCATCCCACTGTTTGTGAACGCCTTCTTCATCGGCAATGGTTTCTGCCAAGGCTCGCCCAATGACCCTTCGCCTGAGCTCAAGAAGGAATGTCGACAGGCTTACGTCCTAGCCTCTATCCTCACGGGCGTCGCTCAACTACTCGGCCTTATCTGTGCCCCCGTCTTCGGCTACCTATCCAGCAGGAGCGGCCGAGTCAATTGGCCAATCATATTGGCTACTACCTTCGGGATGGTAGGCTACATCGCCTTCCCTCAGCTTTCCAGTCCCGAGTACAAAGACGTCAATGGGCGTGGCGGTAGCCCAGTCGTCTTCCTGCTTGCTGCTCTGATAGGAATCAGCCAGATCGGCGCTATTGTCTGCAGTCTGGGCTCGCTGGGCCGAGGCGTTGTCAAGGTTGAAATAGTCAACGTGCTCTCTACACCAGATGCAGACCAAGAAACGCTGATTGAAACTGGCGATGGCCAGAATGAGACGGCGCCGCTGCTAGAGAACTCGGCCGAATTGGCTGAGGACACTGTGTCAAGAGTCCGCCTCAAAGGGTCCGTCGCGGGCGTATATTCGTGGTGTGGCGGCGCTGCGATTCTGCTTTTGACCAAGATGGGGGGTTACCTGTTCGATGTGTGGTCTACAGGGGCTCCTTTTTATCTGATGGCTATCTTCAATGGTGTATTATTGCTTGCAAGCATTGCTATTGATGTCGGCCGGGCTGCAAGGAGGAAACGAGCTGTGCTTTCGGAGGGCCACCTGAATCTAAGTGGATAGGAGACCACGATCAGCTAAGCCTCCTAGTTAGAGCCATCTGTATTCGTAGATAAATCAGCATAGTATTCGACAGTGTCGATCCTTTCAACCGGCGAGCAGCCAGGGGCTATGTGTCTGGACTGTTCCCCTTGAGATCTATGATTCTCGATGTTCTCGCACCGAGGCCCAATCTGATGTTCTCCGTCATGTCAACCGTAACCTTCGCACTTCTCTCGAGCCGCCGTCCATAGTCTGTGAATAGGAAAGCCCAGGTCTTGAGTCCAGCCACTTCGTCAAGGTAACAACCTTGATCAACATCACGCTTGCCCTTCGACCAGAGCATAAAGACCGGCCTCCCCAGGCATGGCTGGATCCTATTAATAGCCGTGCAGTGCCACCCATCATGCCACCGGTCCCTCCGGTCACAAGAAGAGCCTGAGCAACGATGACCTCGGCAGAAACCCACAACCCGCCCGATTCTGATCGCGTGAGGTAGGGTAGGCAAGGAGAACGAGGAACTGAATATCCCTGATAGACGAACAGAAAAACCATAATACACAATTAGCCCAACTGGCAACTGGCAAACCTCGTGGGTCAGCCGAGAAAGTAAGTACGGTGCGGTATCAATGCTATGAGCACAGCCTGGGACAGGGGCAGGGCAGGACACGGCAAGGACGGCATCGCGGGGGGTCACAACACCCACTCACCAAGGGCTTAAACAGAACCGGCCGGTACCATAATCATCAGGCGGACGAACGACGAAGGCGACATTGGCAAAGTTCCAAGTCAGAAAGAAACCCACCACACGTGGATGTAGACCAAACAATCACTGCCAGGGGGCATGGAAGGGTAGGGGAGCCATCAGGCGGCGGAGGAAGACGCAAAGGCGTCCGGACGTACGAGGGAGGGTTTAAAGAGAAAATTTCCCAATCAGAAACCAGAATCGACTCTACCAGTACAGAGATGTCCGATGTCCGAGAAAACAAAAAGGCCACCACTGCAGGACGGGAAGAAGGAGGAGGTTTGTTTGCGGATAAAGTACGGAACGTATCCCCGAATTTTGTTTTCTCGTTTACCCCTTTCCAGCGGCCAACCCATTTTCCGTTAACACACACGAGACCCGGTATGTGATCAAAAGGGAACGAGAGAGAGATAGAGAGAGAGAGAGAGAGAACTCAACCACGTTCTTTCCGAGAGACGAGTGAGAAAGAGGGAAAAACCATTTCCGTTTCAGGTGGGAGAGCAATAACTTGATGAACCTTTCTTTGCTTGCTTGCTTTTTAGGTCGTGGAACCTTGGGGGTGGAGGGGGCAGTCGTTGTGTTAACAACGCCAACATGATGATTATCCGTGATTCCCGTCCGTCACCACCAACACCTGCCGACTACCTGATTTCCCACCCCCCAAAGACTCCCTGGTGTCACCTCGCAGATACCAGGAATAGAAAGACCATGACCAAGCTGTCTGTCTAGACTCCTATGGAGTATTCCAAGACAGGAGAGAACTATTTGCCGCCGAGGCTTGGGAAGGCGTCCTGATCCTGAGGATTCAGGGTAGCCTGAGGCGCTTGGCCACCACGGCCACGACCGCCACGGAACTCACCGCGCGGAGCGCCACCACGGAACTCGCCACGCGGGGCACCACCACGGCCACGTCCCCGGCCAGCACCGTCACCGCGAGCACCACCGCGGCCGCCGCGGCCACCCCGGGTGCGCTCGGGCTCAATGTAACGGTTCTCGATCTCGAGGAACTGCTTGGTCTTGCGCTCACGCTCGCGCTTGGCCTTGCCACCGGTGCCGGCAAAGAGCTCCTCCTCCTCATCCTTCTTAGACAGGGGCTTGAGGTCCTTCCACTTGTCGTCCTTGACGCCCTCGTTGGGCTTGCGAACCTTGAGGGCCGCTTCGGCTTCGAGGGCGAGCTTCTTCTCAGCCAGCTGGGCGAGATACTGCTCGTAAGAAATGTGCTTATCCTCGGGCTCTTCCTCCTGAGCCTCACCCTCGGGGGCAGCCTCGCCTTCGGCGGCCGCCTTCTGCTCGGATTGGGCAATGGCCTCGCCAGCCTGCTCGTCCTTCAGCTCGGCATTACCCTCTTGAGCACCCCAGGCGACGGCGGCCTGCTTGTCCGAGTTCGCGCTGCAGACAGTGTTAGAGAGACGGCTGGTAGAGAATCTGCAAATCTGCGCTTAGGCTTACTGAGGTGCGGTCTTGGTGGGGTGGCGTTCACCCTCTTGTCTGCCGCCGCGGCCTGCGGGTTTCAAGGTTAGCTCGGATGGGCATTGAGGAAAAGTTGGATTCCCTTGAAGGCTGCGACCTACCGCGGTAACCGCCCCGGCGACCACCACGAGGGGCCTCATCGGTGGGCTTTCCACGGTTGGAATCCCGCCCAGCATTGCGATCGCGGAAAGCTGTTTACGAAAGACGTCATCAGCAAAAAAATCAAACTCCGCCAGCCCCGAGATCGGTAATCGGCACCAGCTACGCACCAGCCTCGTTGCCGCTCACACCGCCACCGCGACGCCCGGACGTTGGGACCGGGCCCTTGGAAGGCGCCAGGCCATCGGTGTTACGTTTGGCCGTGTGGGTCGATGTTTTCTCGACGGGGGGCTTCAGGACCGGGGCGGGAGTGTCATCTTCGACGTCGTTCCCTGCAATCGGGTACGTCAGTATTGGTGTGCTGCTGTCATGGCTCGTCCGGAGAGAAGACCAACCGAGGGCGTCGTAAGGGTTCTGTGACACGAAGCATCAAGTCAGCTACATCAATTCCATGAAACGCACACAGGCCACAAGTGACAGATCCATCCCCGCCCTGCCCGTTCGCGATAGCGCATGACCGGCCTGCAACAGAGCAGCTTCCACGGCCCTGTTCGGCTAGAAAAACGCAAGAAGGGAGATTGAGACAGAGAATCCCCCGCCCTCGGCTGCAGCAAAAAAAGAACGCACCTTCGTCGCGACTGCCGACATTTTGTCGCCTTGGTTTATCGCCTTTCAAGGCGTCGTCGGGTTTGCCGGCCACAAAGCTTCCGTACGAAGCGGATTGAAGGGGTTGATTGAGGTGAGCAAGCACCGAACAGGAGGGCCCTGATTCAGTGCGCTTGTATTCGTCGGCGAACGCTGACGGTGGGTTTTTGTAGTTTTCCCTTCCCTCGTCAGCGACAAGAAAGAAAATGGGAGTTTTTGCTGCTTGGGCCAATTCCTTCTGTAGCTGAGGGAGCTGCACGGATCACTTTCTGCCCTGCTGCTTGCTGCCCCACCTGCCTCAAACTTATCGAGTTAACTTTGTGGCCCCAGCTTTTTTTCCCTTTTCGAAATTTCAGTGCGCAAGCTCCTTAATCATTTTAGGGCTACCGCGCCTTTGTCGCTTGGAATGCCCGCAACCGTCGCATTCAGAGCCTCAACGACAAGCGGACGATCAAAGGCGTACCTCACTCCATACTCTAGTCAGCATAGCGCTTTGATCACAGAGCTGCCAGTCTAGAAACTATTGTATGCCACCAGGTTAAGAAAAAGCCGTGAGTCGCTTCAATCGAAATACGTCAATCAGCAATAGTTCGTGGTTCTGCATTGCCCTCAATATGCACGGGGCCACAGCCACCAGGACGACCCGGCACATGGGATTACGCACACCGAGAGGATATACACCGCGCGCAGCATCTGCTACTAACTAATTACTTCATGCATTTGTTATGCTAGCTCGTGCGTACTGGGTATTCCTCTTTCTTCTGCCTGCAGCCGATCCAGAGAAAGGGGTATGAGCCTCGCGACGCAACGGACATAATACCATCTTATATGTACATTATTGATTCGCCGCCTTTTTCATTTTCACGATAGATCATGGGGATCGTATAGTGATGTTTGAGCAGAAAACAAAGGGGGGGGGCGGAAAGAAGAAACACTGCATCTCACATCAGACTGTGCCCATACACACCTAAAAGGCGGCGTCTGAGGGAGGTGAATTGAGGATATCGACGACACAGACCATGTTGCTCTCCGCCGTAAGCCGACTCGGCGCCCCCGGGGCACCCTGATCTCGGGATTACGGCCGGGATTTTGTCGAGCCAATCCAGTCACCGGGACGGGAGGAGACGTCTCGGAATCCTAAAGATGTCCCATCATCCTCGTAGGACGTTGCTTGCCGTGTCCCATGGCATACCGAAATGCGAGCCTTGTCGTTGCTGTCGTCTTGGTCGCTATCTTGCCGTGAGCTGCTTCTTAGATTACCCTGTACATGCTACCTGCCCTGTCCCGTCCCCCTTGAAAGATCAAAAACTTTTGATGAGCCAGCTGAACCTAATATGCCGAACAAATGTACATGATGCGAAATTTGGACAAGCCGTCCCCATCATCGGGTATAATTTTTGGATTCCGGAAATGCGTATAAACCTTGCGCCGTAGATTGAATGAAAGTTCATAGGCGAAGCTGAATGTTGTTGAAGTGACCCCAGAGAAGGATCTAGTGCCGTCAAAAGGCCGTTTCCCTTCCCGAAGCAAATGGCCCTCTGGCATCTCGAGAACGTCAAAATGAAGTCCTCGAAATCAATGCTCTGGATGGTTTCCAGTGTGGTCCTGGGTGCAAATAGTGGTGCAATCTCGCTCTCAAGAACCAAAAGAGGCTTCGTACCTGGCGGGGTGAGGCGCCCCGTCAACAACCGTCGTTCTCCCATTCCGTGGGATCAGCACTTTCACCGCATGTTGCTGGTATCGAACGTGAACTGAGTGGGAAAAGCCATGCTTGCGCTCAAGCCAAAGGGATCGAAATCGTAGCCGGGATCGATTAGCTGCGTCATGGAGGGATAAGGTGGGTGCTGGCTGTGAGGTGTGTTATCAATGGGCGATTGCCCAGCGATCTGTTGGTTGCCAGGCGGCCCAGTGGTGACCGGAGACGACAGCGCCATGGGTTGCGTTTCGGCCGTGTATGTCGGACCAGGGTAGGGGCCGGGCCCGCTCGGGGTATCCGGGGGATCGTCGTCCATCATCTCGGGAGCGGCATCGTATTCCTGTTCTAAATTGACGCATTAAAACCTCGGACCCAAAGTTCTATTCAACAAAGAGGGGGAAAAGGAAACGGGTCAGCTTGCCGAGCTGCTCAATATGGTTCTGAAAAGAAGGCGTAGGGTAGAACGGAGCCGCGTTCCCCGTGACCCCTCCTCGTACGTGACTGGGCGCCTGCTGAAGTCCCGGAATCTGCATTTGTCGAGGTCCGGGTAACCCATGCAATGGAGCTAAGTGGGGTGGTGGCGGCGCCTTCATCGTCGTCGGCGGCGGCATCGACGGTCGGACGGGGGGATTTAGATGGTCGGATCCCGCGGGAGAAGCGCCGTGTTGGGATCCGAATGACGTCGTCGCCGTTGGTGAGGCCGAGTGAGAGGAAGGAGTATGCCGACTCTTGGGGGAGAGCGCTGAGGGATGGGGATGAATTGGAGGCGGCAAGGGGGACATGTTGACCCCTGGCTCTAGTTTCGGCGCAATGCTGGAATTCGACCTGCGGGCATGGTGTCTGTTCAAGATGGCCCGTTGAATGGGCGGTGGCTGTACCAAATTCTGGGGCACATGGGTTGGTCCAAGATTTGGGCTGCCGGTTTTGGCCCGCAGTTCAGCTTGCACATCGATCCCTAACAGAATAGGTGTTAGCCATGCGTAAGGGGCAGTCACGGGTAGAGAGATACTTTAGGGGGGATTGAGTTGCTCCGGAAACGACGGCTATTGGCACAGTACCTTTCTCCAACAGGATGCGTTCCAGAAGCGAGTTTTTGTAACGCAACATCAAACACTCGTCGGCGGCATGGCGATGGGCAGCCTGAAGGTTGGCCAAATTCTGCTCATGAGTCCTGATGGCTTCCTCGAGTTGCTTAATGTACTCGGTCCGGCGCTCTCTGAAAGCCGCCTGAGCCTGACGGTTCCTTTGTTTTCTCTCCTCGGAAGTTGCATAGATCTGGCAGCTGCATTAGCACATGCGGATGAGAGATTGGCTCAATGCACACAGTCGTGATATGGGACGAAACGAGACGAGTGACATGCCCGAGGACGGGTCGGGCTGAACGTAGTGGATGTGCTAGCCAGACTCTTCAACGTCAACGTACCGGCTTCCGGCCCCCTTTCCGCTTCGGTTGTTGATTTTCGGTCTGAGTAGGGGGTGCAGGAGGAGCCTCACCCTCCGGGCTCGACTCCATTGACTCTTCACTTTCCTCTTTGGGCGGATCTTTTTTATCGACGGACATCTTATCAGACATATCCCCGCCTGCACCGGACGAATACCGAGAATTACACCCTCGGCAGAAGCAGGCGCACGATAAGGCAACCGGACCCTGTTGACTTTGGCGGCAATGCTCAAGTCAAAGATAGGGGTAATTTTTGGGGGGGCCGAGGGGCACCACACTGCGCTGCCACCACTGACAAGCAGGGAATTCTGCCCAGTGTGCGGGGCAGCGGCAGTGGTGTGAGGCGGGATCTCAGCACTGTAACCGCCTGAATTCAGTGCGGCAGGCACACTCCGGCAGCGACAAACTGGCTTTAGCCCACTCGACGCAACAGGAAATATCCGAAAAAGAAGCACCGTTCAGGGGGGGGGTGAGATCGAAGTCAGAAACCGGGGACGGCACCAATCAGTGCGTCATCTGGGGAACGTTTCGCGGGATCCGACAGCCTGGGACCGGGTTTGTGGCAGTCCCGGCGATAAGCTTAGTTTGGAGGATCAAAGGCGGCTCCCCCGGATTCTGTGTGTCAAGAAACAGATTGTCGAGGGTGACCTGCGGGAGGGCCAGAGATAAGCAGAAGATCGATGACAGGTTGGGAATGTGTCAGGGAAAGAGAAAAATGGAGGGTTTTATGTAATATGAATGTCGACTGTGGTGGGAGGGTCCCGCAGCCCGTCGCTAACTTTTGTGGCCTGCCACAGGTTCAAATAGCACCTAGCCCCGACTCCGTTTCTGGACTGAGAAAACCCGGGTCACCTGCGTTTCTTGTTGTTGGGCCAAGCTCCACTCACCACCCTCCAAAGAGAATTGGCGTTTTGCGCAGAGTACCCGCACCGCTGTTCCACCTCCAAGGGCTGCTGGCTTCGAGTATATTAAAACTTAAAACTCCGGAACAACAAGTTCTGTCGAGTCGTCCTTTGCCGGCAGGAGCTTCCGGGTCAATTCGATCTCGTCCGCAAGCGCATCCAGCCCTCTTGGTTCCACAGTCCACGACGGCTCCTTCCAGCCAGCTTTCTCCCACGTCTCTTCCCACGTCGTGCGATCAAGTTATCGACCAGCCGATCTTCGCTGCAAGCCCTTCCAAGCCTGGTGACCCTCGAAAATGCACTATTTCGGTGTCGAATGAGCTGCTTCAGTCGACATGCAGGTTCCGATATCCAGCTGGCTGGGTTGTGGTGCGAGTGCCGTTGTTCCTTAGTGGCCGCCCCCTGTGTCTCTTATTCGTCGGGGAAGAACGACATGCCTGTTTCCTCGGGCTCAGGTCGAAGTGCTAGCGAGACTGCCCATCCGGCGCCTTGAAGTGGCCCAAAAGATGATGGTAGCCGGATGCTGTACTCTCTCGCCGGTTCCTGCAGAAACAGACGTCAAGCGAGAGGCTAGCCAGCGCTTGAATCGCTGGTCAGAAAGGACGGCTGTTCCAGAATAGGATCAGCCAGGGACTAGTCTCTGTGCGTACCCTTGGACCACGGGAAGCCGATCAATGGCGGAACTGTCGTCAGAGTCTCAACAAATACATCATCATGAGGGCGTAGAACCGAATGTTGAGGGAGGGGCCCGTTCCCAACCGGGTGGCACACCCAGTTATACCCAACTGACTAATAAATGAGAACCAGGCAGGCACTGCACTTACTTTGGCAACAGGTCACCCATAAACGCAGGGCATTTCTGCGCAGGCTTCAAATGGTGTGCTGTTCTTTTCAGGAACTCTACCGAGCGCATGGGCCAGCGTACCACCGGATGCCTGCCTCAACTCCTCGAGTACTACACTTACATGAGCACCTCAACGGGCGGTGCCGGCAGCATGGGTCATGATAGGATACAATACAGTATTGTGCATACTCCCCCTCACCGTCGAATCGGCCTGTGCTTCACAAAGTCGGTGTTTCCGAGTTGAATTTCTACTCGAGGGCTCGTTCCATCAGGATTGCAAAACCCTAGCTACCGTATGGAATACCTAGCACACCTGTGCCAAGCATTGATCATTATCCCTCAACCAGACTACGGTAACGAAGATGGGTATATTCGAGGGGAAGCACATTGCGTCTCTTTCATGAGAGGTCTTTGTTCGACATTCACCTGCACCACCATTTCAGCCCACCGAGATCGGTGTTCCCGAGCTAACGGGGAGAGGGTGGGGAGGTGGAGACAAGGTCGGGTTGATCTCACACTTCTACAGCTGTCGTCCAATACATTCCTGGGCGTCATGCCGTCTGCGCATAGAAAGCGGGGATCCTGCTCGACGCCTCGCCAAGGCCAAAATTTTTCGTGATCACCTGAGCCAGCCGGGAGGGCATCATTCGTTTTCTACGTCGTCTCACAAGAGATTGAATGCAAGGGCGGCGGCGACGTACCTTACCCAATGTCTATGGTATGTTGGGTACTTGAACTTCCAGACTCCATGTCTCGTCAAATGGAATGCGGCTTGTGGTGACTTTAGCACTGAGGAGAACAGCCCTCGTCCAAACGGAGAATATACACTCAAGTTGCTCACGTCACGGTTGTCACAAGAACCTGCTGAATGCTCTGAGTCCCGTTTCGAGGTGTGCACACTAACGTTGCGACCATTGAGTCGGGGCTTTTGCCAAGTGTGAAGGCAACTGCGGGGAGAGCCCCTCTGCAGGGGGTTGCGGCATCACTTTGGTCTCTGTCTGTGAGATCGATACTGCAGGAAATTCACTCCAAAGGATCGCCAACCTAGGTCGGCATTCGGAGAGCTGACGCTGACAAGGGATGAACGCACCGTCAGCTTTCGGTGTCCTTGGAGAGAGCACCGGGAATTGCATGGAGGGGCTCTCAAACTGCTCCCCGCAAAGCATCGATACTGCAAAACAAGTGAACAGTCTCCCCTTCAGAGGAACCTCAGTCCATTATTATACAACAAACCCCAGAGCAGGGTAACTGGACGTATTCTGCCGTTTGGATGCCGGCCGAAGGATGAGCATAAGCAAGAAGAGGAAAGCGGAGAGGTGTAACGTCACAAGGCCAGCCGACTTTCTTAGGGCCGAGCCAGTCGGTGCATCTCCGAGGAGATGAGTCTTTTGTGCAAAACGCTGAAGACAACGGAGCAACGGTGGCGGAAACTGCCGCCTTGCAGCGGCTATTCCTTCCCAACACGCTGTTGAAGCTTGATGAAAGTGGAAGGATCAGAACGCTGGGAGTACTCCGTTGACATGGCTCGTCGCGGAAGGCACTCTGTTCAAGTGCTGTAACGCAAGTACCGAAAGCTAACGGTGGGAACTCCGTGCATTCCCGATTCCCGATGAGGATGCATCGTTTTGTTTGGTTGGACTGGACTTTGACGCCCCAATAGGTAAAAAATCGCAACGTTCTCGAAGCCTTCTAGTGCCCCGCTAAACAGAAATGACGCGGTTTGAGTTTGTAGGCGTGATTATTCCATTGTCAAGGAGAAAGATTGCGAGTCGGTTATCTGTTTGCTCGCAACTTACCTCAGGTAGGTACTTGTACCTACCCTTATATTAAAGATTACAATTTGTCAGTAGATGAGCCGGTCACTGCCAGATGCTAGCTTCAATTCCTCCATGAACTTGTTCGCTCGTTACTAGTACTACCCGCTAGTAAGTAGTAAGCAATGAGACTAATCTCAGGCTCAGCTTTGAGTCCTTTGATACCCCTACCACCCCTAAAGCTGCTTACCAGTAGATAGGTCTTGAAAACAACATACTTAGGTAGGCAGGTACCTTCAGGTACCTATCTATGCCGCTAGGTTGAGCAGTCGACACCGAACTGCAACAAAATTCAAAGCAGGCTTTATATACTAGGTAATACTCCATAAGTCCAAGGACTCGTTGTGGTTCATGTTTGAATTCATTGGTGACTGTGGTCGACTCGTATGGGGCAAATCGTGATGATAAAGCACATTGTGAGTCTTGATTTTGTGGATCAAACACAGACATAGTCCGACCTGATCTACAGCTTCTTGGTACTCAGCTTAGCTACATCAACCCACGAGCAAATGGCTCCAACCCATACCCATTTGGTTGAGTACATTATGATCACGGTACTAGGCAGTCAAGTGCTTGTTACTGGTTCCGCGAACACTTCATCTTGGAGGCTAACAAAGCTCTATTCGGTCAAAATAACGAATGTGAAGAGTACTTGACGGAGAGCTTCGTAACTTGAATGTAGCCCCCAACCTCCCTGCCCCTTAGCTGATGCCTTCAACCTGAGATTGAAGTGTGCCTTCGAGATCAAAATGATGATCCCCTCCACAGTTCTTCGCAAGGTACCTAATACTAGTATAGTACCTAACAGAAAAGGCACCTGAGCGTTGTGGCAGTTGGGGCACTGCCCAAGCACTACTGTACTGTAGCTCTCCCAGCGAGGCGAAGTCCCCTCCCGATATCCATCCTTCGGAGTCCTTCATAATCTAAAACTTGCCGCCGAGATGGCCATTGACGCAGTTGGGGCACTGCAGAAGTAAGTATTCCGTTAGCTCTAGCATCATATACCTGGACAGAGCGCCCCAAGGGCTACTAGATAGAGACTTACACCACGGTCGCAGAGAGGGTAGGAGCCACTGGGGCAGTCGTAGCAGCACTTGCCGTCAAGACCTCTAACCTATTTCATCAAATGCCTAGTGAGTTCCTAGATCAGGCGGCGGCCAAGGGAAAGACGACATACGCAAAGTTGGCATTCCGAAGGCTGAAATGGCTGGGGTTCGCAGCATATTCGTGGGCTTGACGGGTTTCCTTGCGGACTCGGAATAGCAACCCCCAGAGCTGCCATGGTGGCGAGGAGAACTGCAAAGGCACGCATTATGATGACTTGTACACCGTGGCCCGAACTGAAAGACTGCAGTGGGGATTCGGATTGCGTTGAAAGTCGGAAATAAAGAGCGAGGGAGAGAGAAGCAAAGAGGCGGCTCGTCACTCCTTATTATACCTGTAGGTAAGGTAAGTAGGCAGGCAGAGGCAGGTCAAACTACCTAGTTACCTAGTAGTCAGCTCCTAAAGCATCGGCTGGAACCTTGTCTGTGAGGTCAGGTAATACTACGGAACAGTATCATGCCTTCCTACGGAGAGCCACCTGAGCCACCTATTACTCCGTACAGAAGAGTGACAGAGAAACGCGAGCATGATAGGGTGTTGTCAATGGCAGAGTTCCGTTCGGTCGAGTATTCGCCTAGACTATTGAATCCCACGGGTTCCTACCACAGGGGTGATTGAATGTTGCCTTGTGCTCTTGTTGGCTCCCGCACCACCTGAAGTTCATGCATGCGGCTCCGACCGCGTTACACTAGGGAGTTCCTGAACACAGCGGCATATATTCGTATTCCAGTCGCCGAGTCGACGAAGGATGCCGATCTACACTAGGTCCCAGCCGAGCGCGGATGATCCGGCATGTGGCCGGGGGTGATTAAGGTAGGAATAGGGCAAGGATTCACAGACTTGGTCCCCACACGGGACCCCTATCATTGAACGTAATGGGGGCGCTCTCGTGGTCACTGACCGCAACCTGCTCGAGAATCGGTATCGCTCCGAGATACACCGCCATTGCTTTTAGTCTGCTTTTGTCCCCAGTCGTTTTTGCAGATTGCTATTAGGGGTGCTAGAAAATACAAAAGCGTGGGCGTTGGCCATGTCGGAAAGAACCTCTGTCCGAGGTTCAGGGGATGGCATCAAGCCCTTCGGTGCTTCAGCTGGTTCACGTCGTCCACTTGCAGAGTGCTGGTTCATCTCGGGCTCAGTGCGCGGAACTTCCATCCTTCAGGAAGGGGGCTAACGTTAGGGGTCTTAGCTTGCCTTTGCTTTCTCTCCGACTGCGTGCCATCTGAATGACCTCCGGATGAACTGTCTGGGCGGTTATGAAGCCACGAAAGGGCAAATGTCACCTCATGTCAGGCGGGGATGGGCAAGGGGGAACAGGCGACTCTTGACGCCTAAGAGAGCGGGCCGCTACTCCACGCATTCCTCCAGGAGAAGACAACGTCTTCAGGTGGATCGAGTATCTGGCCAAGGACGAGAGCCTCCCACATCCCGAGTCGAATCGCTGGCCACATCAAGAACTACTGCCGTCAGGGTCACGATCAAGTCCTTCCCACCGTTGCGAGCGTGGTAAGGAAACCAGCCCTGGGAATATCCAGGTCGTGGGCGTTGAGGACACTGGCTGCCAGTGAGACTAGCAAGAAGTTGGGGCAGGTAGTCCTTGGTTGGCAAGTCGGGGCGGGAGCGTCTTGCACTGCCGGACGAGTGATGGCAAGCCGCATCGGCAGTTGTATCACTCAGCACGGATACCACGAATTCATGACGTTCTTGGTATGGGGATACAGGAAGAGCGTCCTGGAAATGCTGGACTTGTCGGCCCGTTGCAAGGTCTTTTGTCTCGTCACTGTGGTGATGCTGACGGCGAGTTCGCTGATCCGGTCGAAGTAATGGATTTTTGGAGAGAGCTTTCTCAAGCAACTTCCATCCTGCAGCGACTCCCGAACAAGACCAAACACCTACTGCTGGTGTCCACCACAGAACGGTCAGAACCACATGTTGTTTGTGTCAAGGGCGTGGTACGCGTCGCCGCGGTCCCAGATTGGTTTCCAGCTCGACGCGCCCGCCGTTCTGCTGGGTCAACCACCCCATGGACGACGTCGAGAGACTCGTGGTCGGCACTACCGGTGCGGAGGTGTGGGATTGAAAATCCAGTGAGTCGAAGATTGTTGCGGGTTGGTGACACGGGCCGCCTGAAGCTAAGAGTTGGCCTCGATGACCTGCAAGAGTCACAGGCCTTCCGCTGCGCCGCTCAAGACATTTGGCACATCGTGGGCAACTGTGGATAAGTGCCTGAGTATCCGCTCCATCCTGTTCCTTGATGGAGTCCGGCTGGGAGTTAAACACGTTGATCTCGTTAATCACTGTTTTGTTCCCAACGACTCACTGGTATACGGACGGGTATTTGGAGTTTAGAATCTACCTAGAAACGGCAAGTGACGTTGCCTGGCCCGTGCACGTGTGCAGGCGCGCCTCCAAGTTTCCGCCGCATGTGTTTTGGTCGCACAAAATCCCACTCAGGGTTTGTTTACTTCCTGACAAGACCAACGAATCAAACATCACCCCACCCATCGACATCCATGTCGCGCCCGGGCTTGACCTGACATCATTTCTCATTCCTCACTACCGAAAAAACCAACTTCTATCAATCCACCGATATCAACTATCTCTCTCTTCGCTTGAGATACCCGTTGGAAGATTTCACCTGTACTCTTCTTGCAGTGAGCGCTCGGCACCATGGCACGCCGTTCTGCGCGCTTGGCCAGCATGTCAAAGGTGTGTAAACGTCCCGTGTAAACAATGGGCGAGCGCGAAAGCCATCGTGTCTATGCTGAGAATTGATCCAGCTTGAAGATTCCCTTTGCTAACAGTCATCGCGCTCATCCTACAGGCGCCTAAGCAGCAGCCTACTGAAGCCCCGAATCTGTCATCTGTCGCCGAACGAGACGATAGCCCTGCCGAACACGCCGTGCAGAACATGGATGCCGTCGCTGCGTCCCGAATGCCCGAACCCAGAACACCTGGCCACTCATCGCCAATGAAGCCGCCAATGTCGGAAATGCATCCCAGCAAAGTTCACCCTACCATGGGCCCGCCCTCGTCTGGCTTGCGCCTTGGCTTTACCGACATTAAACCGAAGGCCAAGTGCGACGACAGCCTCCCCGCTGTGGCCCAGACCACGCCCTCCCGAGTTGCGCCGCCTTCCTCGCCGTTCACCTTCAGCTTCACCACGCGTCAGACTCCCTCAGATCTGAAGCTAGGACCCGAGGCTCAGCGTATGATGGAAGAACTGCGCGAGGATGCGGCTAGGATCAAGGCAGAGCTACTTGCTAAACGAGAGGCCGAGCAAACGGAGGAAGCAATGTCCAATGGACGCAAGATTGCCCCAGCGAAGGGAAAGGCCGGCAGATTCAGTGCTGCTCACATGGCCGAGTTCAAGAAAATGGACTCGATTGAGAACCACCCGTCAGCCTTTAGGGCGCAGCTAGGACGAATGACGCCGCTCAAGGCAGGTGTCAAGCGAAGCCAAGCCAAAGCGGAGCTTGACGAGCCCGAGGTGGTCCGCATCACACAGCCTACTCCTGCATCCACCACCTCCAAGGCCAAAACGCTTGCCACTATCAATGAGCCCGTGTCCGCCAAGCGTGCACGGCAGAACCTGGACGACGATGCTTCCAGCAAACGCCCGGTGTCCCGGGACGGAAGCTCCATTCCAGCACCAAAGCTGCCCGGCTCGGCCATTCCCCGGTCCAAGCCTAGTATCGCTTCCCTGATGACCCCGACAAAGTCGTCTCTGGCCAGATCAGCCAGCGTGAAGACTCCCGCCACAGGCTCACTCGCCACGTCGCCTTCGAAAGCCACCATCAGCGGAATCCCGCGGTCCGCTACGACCAACAACCTCTCTGCCGTGAACACGGCTACCGAGAAGGAGCCGACGCAACACCGCGAGATCAAGAGCCCCGTGAGCCGACTTGATAGAGTCAAAGCGATGCTCCGCGGTGCCAAGGCAAGCGCCACCAAAACCAAGAGCTCCCTCCCGCTGCCTTCGGCTTTTGCCTCCAAAACCCCTGCGCCTACTCGCTCGGAGAAGCAGCATAGTGTGCTGCTTCCCCTGACTACACCCGGCCGCAAGCTTACCAAGCGCGTCGCCTTTACCCCGGAGACGCAGCGCGCCGCGCTCGCGCAGAACTCCCCGTCCCCGATCAAATCAAGCATCCCTCAGGCCGCCAAACCCAGACAGGTCCTGGGAGAGGTGCACTACCCGTCTCTCGACGGCATCATGGCGGCCGAGCAGCAGACCGAAACAGCCGAAGGCGACGTCTCGTACCCAGACCTCTCAGCCTCAGTCAAGCGCCCCCTCCCAGCACCTCCCAAGACCTTCAAAACCGGCTCCGCCGAGCCCTCGGTCCCCAGCGAATTCACCTTCCGCAGCGACCACACCATCAGCTTCGGCAGCGCCTCCAAATCCTTTGGCTCCTCCCCCGGACAGGCCAGTGTGCGTGCCGTCCGCCCCTCGATCCTCCCCTCGGAACACATGCCGGGCAGTTTCCCCCGGTCGACATCCACCGCGCCACCCCCACTAGCAATTGTCGAGACTTCCAACTCCAGCCCGAACAAGGAGAACGAAGCCCCTCGCAGTGGTAATGGCAATGGTAACAGTGTATTGCTAGCCCTACCACACGGCATGACCAATAAAAAGCGCCACCGCCGTGTGAGCACTGATGAAGAGGAGGCTGAGCGCGAGGCCGCCGAGAGAGCGGCCAAGAAGCGCAGGCAGGAGGTTGTGCCCGAGGGGGATGCGCTGCTTGCTCCGAGATTGGTTGCTGCGGCGGCTGGGAATGGAGGTGGGAGTGGGAGTGTGAATGGGATGGGAAAGAGGTTGGGTATGAGTCTGAGTGCCAGCCCTGTCAGGAAGACCAACAACAAGATGGTGGGTGCGGGAGCGGGAGGCGGTACGCCGAGTCCGATCAAGAGGGGCAAGGGTATAAGTCTTAGTCGGCTGAACATGCTTGCCAGGCCGAAGATGCGGAAGTGATTTTCCTTCGGAAGGAAGGTTCGGGGGTGAGGGGTGGTTGGGGGAGTCGGGTTTTTGCCTGATGGTGACATGACATCCACCGGGCCCCATTCGGCATTGAGCATAGCATGCCGGCTTGAGCTTCTGCCGGCTCGTTTGGGACGTCTTTTCTCACATCATACCATTGTCGGGCGTTTCTGTGGGGTTTCGTGTTGTTAGTATTGCATACGGCATTCATCGGTTGCGAGGGTTCTGAATCGGCTCCGGCTTTGCAAGGGGAATGGGCAGGCATCAGGTACCTCAGGTATCTGATACCCCAGGCAGCACCCTTACTTACCTTACTTACCTTACTTACCTTACTCACTCCAGCCTGGGGGCATGCCCTCTTCTCTCTTCCCTCTCTCCACACAAAGCCTGGGGTTGTTCTGTTCTGGTTCTGGTTCTGTTTTTCGTTATGTACGGATCTAACATTTCCTCGGGTTGATGAGGACTTTCATCATCGGTGTTTGCTGGCGGTGGCGTTCGGGGTGGTTCAGGAAAAAAAGGGACGGGGTTGGAGTTTGCCGGATGGGTGCTCAGTCTGGAGGCAACGAACGGGCTTGTGGGTTTACTGCTGTGTTTGGAGTAACTGGGTTGTTTGTAAGAGTACATTCGCTATGGTATCGTAGTGGCTATCATACGTATCGTGTTCTATCAAAATGTTGTGATGGTATATTGGTGAATAATAAACAGTACGACCGGAATTGTTCGCGCTGGTCTTGCAACTGGGTAGGTGAGGGCGGGTTCTCTTCTGAAGGCTTGTTCTATCATCACCCTCCTTTCTATAGGTGATTATTGGAGTCTCCTTGGAGACAGATGGATGATTGGTGCTCGCGAGTTGGGGTCTTGACTTGGTCGAAGGAGATGCTGGGTCGCTGCTGGTCGCGGCGGTACTTGTCGGGATCAGGTAAGTTGGAGGGGTTTTCTCGGAATGACGCCAGCAGGATTGGATAGCTGAGGTTGATAGAGTCATGAGTAGATCAAAGGAAGCTATAAGGAGGATGGTGAGGAGGAAGAGGAGGATGGAGATATTGGTGTGGCTTTTGTGGGTATAACTGGCGACAGGTGTCCGGATATTCCTGACATGGGGGAACAGGAACATAGTTTTCATCTTGTGAGCACTGGCACAGAAACTGGACAGTGTATGGTTCATCATACGCTATTATTACCCTAGATATCTTGCGGCACCTTATAAGCAACTCAAATGCTGGAAGTTGCCGGACGGCAAGCAAATTCAGCAAATGCTAGAGGAATGCTTCTTCCCCATAGTCCCCGAACCCCCCATGAGCCTTGCTCAGATGCTCATAGCACTGCTTGCCGCTCTGAAAAGTGGCCATACAGTTCCAGCAAATGTGCGTCCCGCAGCCTGCGCAGGTCATGTGGTTACAACCATACGTCTTTTCAATAGGCGTCTTACATTTCGGACAATCCTTGATTCCGAGACGCTTCTTCGCCTCCTGCAACGCGGCGTATCCTCCAGATACCACGTCTTGGTGCTCAGCACAGGTCATGCCCACGTGAGAAGCATGACAACTTGTGCACACGGACGTGAGGCAGTCCGGACACGTAAAGGTGAGCCCCGACCCCGGCGGAGAAGCTCGGTATATCCGGGGACAGTCAGGCTTAGGACAGTTCCGAATCGAGTCTGGTCGGCGTCGTGTGTACGCTTCGAAGGAGGCCTCTAGCATTTCCTCGAACGTCTGAGAAGAGAGGTGTTCCTGCAACTCGGCCAGTGTCAGGTCTTTCTTGCATCTACCTGAATCGCCTTCGCACTGGAGCCGAAAGTCAGCATTCCCGGACGTCGCTCCAGAAAAACAGAACCGCTCAAAGCAATCCGCGCAATAGATATGTCCGCAACTAGCACTGATGGGGTTTTCGGCTTCGTTCCAACAGATGACACAATCGGATGCCTCAGAAATTCTCTCTCTGCCAACTGTAAGAGCCTCTGCCTTTTTGAGGCTAGAAACCATGTCGAGAGCAGTGCGGTAATCTTTGTCGGAGCCCGTGACCAGAAGACGTTTCGGCTTTGAGATGATATCAAAGGTAACCTTCTCCCCGAGGATGTTGGCCATTGCCTTGAAACCTCCCAAGCACGCCCATGTAAACTGCTCGTCGTTAAGAATGATAGCGTTCAACGTGGAGGTGTCTTCTTTTGCCATTTTAGCGAGATGTACTTGGGCCTCTTTACACTTTTCGACCGGGCCAAACAAGTGCAGGCGAGACAGTCTCTTGTCCCGCAAGATGACAATGCCAAGGGCCTGCTCCAGATCCTTTAGTTTCTGGAAAACACTTCCACTGACTGTGAAAGCAGGCGTCCATATGACGTTGTCGTTCTCGGTTGCCACTTGCCCAGACAGGATGCCCTCGAGAGTTTGCTTCGCCGCGGCAACGGCTTCCTTGTCTTCTCCCTCCAGCCTCAGAACGCGATATCGGTTCGCCTTTGAGGGTTCGTAGGGAGTAAATAAGACATGCTTGGCAAGCCAAGAAGGGGACTTCGCGTCAATTGCTGTCTGTACGGCCTTGAATATGCGGTCGAGGACTTTGAAGCGGGCGGTATAGAGAGCTTGGACGGCGAGCTTGGGTTTACCGTCTATGAGCGGTGTGGTCATGGTCCAGCCATTGAGAGAGGCCGCTGCTGTAGCAGCATCACCATCTTGCTGGAAACGCGCCTTGACCTTGACCCTTTTACCTCCTGGAGTTACCGCGTCATCCCACCACTCCAAGGGGCCGATCTCCTGAAGCTTTACTTTGACCAGAGCCTTTGGTTCCGCCGGGTTACAAATGTAGCTTGGTCTTCCAAGCTCGATGTGGGTTGGCTGTAAGTTCCATGGAATGGTGTCTTTGACATCCATGGGGCTCGCATCCGCAGGAACCCCTGTAAGCATAACAGTCCATGGCTGCTGGTTGCGAAACTGAGTTCTAATTGGTCCATGAGTCTTGACGGTCTGATTGCAGATTGTGTACGATTTCGTCTCGAATCCATCATGGACTCTCTGGGCAACTGATTTGGACTGGCGGAAGTTCAACCAAACGGTTTTGAAGGGACGATACCAAGAGCAAAGGACCTTCTTGCATTCAACCCTTTGAAAGCTGGCCCCTGGGGCCATTGGCGGATTTATGGAGATGGCCTTTATTGTGGATGGAGCTGTCCTGTCTCCAGCACCGGGCCTTGGAGCAATGGCGTTGCAGAAACGCTTTGCGAAGAATGGGTCCTCCACACAAATGTCGGCAACGGGGTGAGTGTCGTCTCCGAGAGACGACACCCGAATGCTCTCGGCAAGCACCCCAAAACCCAGTTTGCTAAGTAACTTGGAGATGCTGGCCTGATCGCTGCCCGGTGGCAGCATACTGATTCGGACCGCAGAGAAGTCGGACTGAAAAGACGTCTTTCGGACGACGACCCCATCTCCGAAATGAACAGCAACGCCATGTAATTCCCTGACCCAGCTATCAGGCTTAGTTTCGGGCTCGGGTTCCTCCTATGCATTGTTAGTGCAATGTGAGACAATGGGACGAAGATGCCATAATATCGCATACCAGGTTAACGGCAGCAGCATGACCTGCCACCGAGCTTTCACCGTCGGTATTGGAGTGAGAGAAAGGACAGCTGCTGCCTTTCAGGCAATTGCCCCGTAAATGGAAACGGCAAGGAACCTGATTCCTCGTATCCTTCTGCTCCACCGGGGGTGGAAAGCCCCTTCCCTCTTCATTACGACTGGCGGTGGCGCTTGCCGTTGGCGCTGAGATGGTGCCGTGGGCAAACGGGCATGTCTCTCCGTTGCGACAAGTCCCTCGAGCGTAGAATACACATGGAATCTTGTCTCGCTGTCTAACGGACTCGCGGGCTGTGGCGAGACGCCAGGCAGGGCGAACGGTTTCTTTCTCCATTACGGAGGTCTTGAGATAAGGATGGAGAGAAGCATTTGTTGGAGCTTCCTCAGCTGTGCCCAAGTTCCAGACGGCATGGTTTTATTGGTGTCGAAAGTGAGGCCTACAGCGACTCGAACAATACCCCGCCTCGTTGCAAACGCAAAGGATTGGACAGAAGGCCGTTGGTAGCACAAGGCACGGATTGCGCAGCTTTACCTACCTACCTTATCTGAAAGAAATGCATGGCTTCATATGATGAGTACCTATTGCAGTATTTGTCAAAATTCAGCGAAAGCTGCGACAGCCATGGAAATTCTGAGGCAAGCAGCAAGATATTGCCTGGTGCAGTGGTGATGCTTGGCAGGTGTAGTTGGAAAAGCCTGTGGGACTCGAGAAGCAGTCAGCCCATGGTTGCTAGGCAACGGGGACACCCTAGGCGGGTAAATAACCCCCATCCATCCATTTCGAACCTGCACATCCTGGGAGCTACAATTGCGACTGCAACCACATCAACGACTTGTCGACCTCCTTTTCCTACTCTTGCCAGTGTTGCTGGTATTTGTCATTACAACTCGTGTACAATACCTCATCCCGAGTCGAGCTTCACAATGGCGACGAGGACATTGGAAGCGCGCTTTGAGCGCATGTCTGTCAATGACGAGAACGACCACAGCGACAATGGCCGACTGTATCAAAAGCCAAAGGTTCGCCAGCAATTGATTCAGCCTTTCGGGCACTCATATAGCTAACTCTCCCCGACTCCAGGCCATCGGCTCCTCCACAGCACAACTCGTCCCGAGCAGCAGCAGGCAAAACTTGCTCAAGGTTGCCTTACAATCACAAAGTGCAAACACCGTCACCGCCACAGTCACTCTACCCTCCAAAGCCGCTCAATGGAAGAGCTCATCAACTCTTCCGAGCAACCCGTCCTCGCCCAAAAAGGACAAAAATTCGTCTCTATCCTCCCGCAGCTCCGACGAGCTTGCCCTTAGCGAGCACACATCATCTTCTTCCTACGTCGACCAACCCTTGACCCCAAAGCAATTCCACCTAGGCATGTTCGAAATCGGCCGACCGCTCGGCAAGGGCAAATTCGGACGAGTCTACCTCGCGCGCGAGCGCACCAGCGGCTTCATTTGCGCGCTCAAGGTGCTTTACAAGTCGGAGCTGCAGCAGGGAAGCGGCGTCGAGAAGCAGGTGCGGCGCGAGATTGAGATCCAGAGCAACCTGCGACACCCCAACATCCTCAAGCTATACGGCCACTTCCACGACGCCAAGCGCATCTTCCTGATCCTCGAGTTTGCCGGTAAAGGCGAGCTCTACAAGCACCTACGCCGCGAAAACCGGTTTCCAGAGTGGAAGGCCGCCCAGTACATCGCCCAGATGGCGTCCGCGCTGCGATACCTGCACCGCAAGCACGTTATTCACAGAGATATCAAGCCTGAGAATATCCTGGTTGGTATTCATGGCGAGATCAAGATCTCCGACTTTGGCTGGAGCGTGCACGCGCCCAACAACAGGCGCAATACGATTTGCGGTACCCTGGATTACCTGCCGCCGGAGATGATCAAGCCGGGCAGCCGGGACAATTGGTACAACGAGAAGGTGGATCTTTGGAGCTTGGGCGTCTTGACGTATGAGTTTCTGGTGGGCGAGGCCCCGTTCGAGGACACGCCCGTCATGACGCACAAGCGGATCGCAAGGGCCGACATGACCATCCCGGAGTGGGTGAGCAAAGAAGCCAAGGATCTTATCAAAAAGGTATGCATTTCCGTATGAATATCCGTGGAAAAGCGTCCCTGCTGACGTATTGATGCAGCTTTTGGTGCTCGACCCGGAGAAGCGGCTGCCTCTCGAAGAGGTCCAGAAACACCCCTGGATCATCAAGCACTGCGTAAAAGGCGAAAGGGCGGCAAACAGGGAGAAGCCGCTCAAATAGCCGAACGTTGACATTTAGCTATGCTTGTGCCTGTAAGAGTAGAGTAGTGGCGTTCCGGAGTCAGGGAAGCGGGGGAACCACATTGAAGGCGTTACTTGTGCAGCGGAGCGGGCCTTTGTCTGTCTATCTTCATATGTCTACTTGATTTCCAACGCTGCTAGGTCATGAGAGAAGCTCATTATAGTATACAAGCATTGAATTACACCAGGTGGACCAAGATCGTGTGGCAGCAACTCAGCGATAAATTTCCTCAAACGGCCGTTTGTCTGAGAAGCACGAGTCCCAGACCTCGTTGACCACCTTGGTCGCTTGTACATCGTCCTTACACGTCGGCCTCGCCATGACAGACTGAATCGCCCGCTTCCGCACGCAGTCTTGGAACTGCTGTGTGAGCGTCCAGTTGCCTCGTGTCCATGATTCTCTCACCCACCGGCATTCCCCGCTGAGCATCGACGCGCGGATCTGTAAATTGAGATTGTTTCAGTCAGCCTTGCCCTAATCCCTCGCTTAGGAAGGAAATAAGAACCTACCTCGGTACAAGCCGCATGCCTCAACCCCTTCCCCCCCTGCCAATCCACCTTCCACCTGAGATGATCCCACGCATGCACCATCTCATGGGCCAGTGTATCCTCCAAATGCCCGCGATCCCTCATCTCATTGGCACAAATCAAAATCCCATGCTCCGGACTGAAACCCCCGGACTGACGAACAACTGTCCCATCCTCGGCCACACGAGCCGGACACCGCCTGCACACGACGTTGTTCTTGTCCAGCTCGCCGTTGAGCGCGGCGACTTTGTCCCGCAAAAACCGGATCACGGGCGAGTAGGCGAACAGGTAGTCCCGGTCGGCCTCGCACCGCGCACAGTCGCGCGCCTCGTTGGCCTTGTACCGGTCCTCTCGGTAGTGCTCGACCCCTTCGGGTGTGATTTGGTGGGTGTAGATTTTGAACAGGTTGATCCACCACTTTACTTGCGGGTCGTAGCCTGTTCGGGCTGGGTCGTTTTCGAGGAAGCGTGGGATTGGGCGTGGTGGTTGTTGTTGGGAGTGTGGTGGGGTCTGGGGCTGAGAGCTGGGGGAGCTGCTGCTGCTGCTGCTGCTGCTGCTACTGTTGCTGGGGGGTTGTGAAGGTGAGAAGGTTGAGGGTGCCGCTTCTGGTGGTGATGTTGATGTCGAGGCCATTGTGAGAGCGGGCTGGAGCCGAGTCTCGGTTTTGTCTACTTCATCCAAGCGCCTGAAGCTTCAATGGTATTGTCCTTGTACAAATGAGTACACCTCGAAAGTCGAGGATGATGTTGTAGGCTCGCGTTGTATGTATACGAGGCCGACAATTAAGGGTTGTTGCAGGGTTGTTGCCGTCGAAAATTACCTATGTTTGATGAATCGGGAATGGACGTTCCCGTCTTCTTTCTGCCACATCTTCCCCAGAACATGTGGAACAAAACCGGCTGGGCCTGACCCACAATTTGCACGCCCTTCCGGGCGGTGAGGCCCAGCTACAGGGCGCGTTCAGCGCGGTCAACCGAACTGGGCAAGTAGGCCCCGCCCGATGTCGGCCAATCGACCACTGTCACCGGCTCTGACAGACCCTCATCCTGTGCCGCTGTCACAAAGCGGTCCCACTGATCGTACTTTGGAGTTACGCTACACAGCACCCTGCAGCCACATAAGCCCGGTCGAGTCTTACGGCACACCCCTGGCCGGATCTGAGAGTTGGTTGTTCGTATATAATGGAAACAAACTGCCCCATGTGTAAGAGACATGCACCCTGAGTCCTCTCATGAGAAATAACGTTTCCTGAAGTCTCGGTCGGGCTCGTTGTATATTGAACTATTGGCTCCTGACTGTGTGAATCTTACAGCGATGAAGGGCCCTCGTCCGCTTGGCGTCGTAATAAAGCTCGGTGAGTAAGCCCCTTAAAAATCACATGGAGTTGTGAGATTGATATTTTTCGCCAGGGACTAGTTCTATCGTAGACGAAAAGACCCATGAGCCTCTCCTCTCGATCCTGACGTCGATAGTAGAGACGGCTGTCAAGTTGAGGAAAGATGGGCACAAGGTCATAATAGTTTCCTCCGGAGCCATCGGGGTAGGGCTCCGGAGGATGGACGTTGAGAAGCGGCCCAAGCATCTGTCAAAACTGCAGGTAAGACTCGTTGTCCGAGTCTTTTCCAAAGATGTGTAACTTACAAGTCTGGCAGGCCCTGGCAGCCATTGGCCAATGCCGCTTGTTGAGTCTCTGGGACAGCTTGTTCAATCACCTGCGGCAGCCCATTGCCCAGATTCTCCTGACAAGAAGTGATATCGCCGACGTAAGTATATGCTGTTGACAGAACAAAGATGTGTGTTTTCAGTGGCTGACAAGCTGGCCCCAGAGATCAAGGTATCTCAACGCTCAGAGAACCATCAACGAGTTGTTAGAGATGGGCGTGATCCCCATCGTCAACGAGAACGACACGCTGGCCGTGTCGGAAATCAAGTTTGGCGACAATGACACCCTCTCGGCCATCACTGCCGCCATGGTCCACGCCGACCTCCTCTTCCTCATGACCGATGTCGACTGCCTGTATGACAAGAACCCGCGCACAAATCCCGACGCACAACCGATCGAAGTGGTGGAAGACATCGGATCACTCGTAGCAGATGGTATCACGTTTCCGCCCTTACCATTCTCCCTATTTCAACTGTTACTAACCACCATACAGTCTCAACTGCCGGCTCCTCCTTGGGGACTGGGGGCATGTCTACAAAGATCGTTGCCGCCCGCCTGGCGACCTCGGCCGGCGTGACAACCGTCATCACACGGTCCTCAAGTCCAGGCAACATAGTTAAGATCGTGCAGCACATCCAAGCCAGCCGCTCACCACCTTCCCCGGCGACCAAGGCTAACCAGCCAGCCGAATCATCCACCGACAACCAGCAGCAGCAGCAAAATACCGAAGCCCTTGTCCACGCCACGGTGGACGCTGCTACCACCACCACCACCACCACCAACAACCACTCCAAAATCCCGCTCCACACACGCTTCCTCCCCTCCCCACACCCCGTCCGCGACCGGTACTTTTGGATCCTGCACGGCCTCCGTCCGCACGGGACCATCTACATCGACCAGGGGGCGTACAAAGCACTAATCGGGAAAGCCGGGCTGCTGCCGGTCGGGGTGGTTGACGTGGAAGGGGTGTTTGCGCAGCAGGAGGCGGTGCGGCTGTGCGTAGTCGACAGGAAAAAGAACAGCCACAACAACAACAACAACAACAACAACGGGACAGTGTCAACAACAACAGCGGACGACAGCGGAAGCGGTAAATCATGGGAAGGCGTCGCACACGAGGTGGGCAGGGCGCTGACCAACTACTCCAGCGCCGAGATTGCGCGGATCAAGGGACACCAGAGCACCGAGATTGAGAAGCTGCTGGGGTATGCTGATAGTGAGTATGTCGCGCAGAGGGAGAGTATTAGTTTTTTTGCGGGGTCGGCGAGGGGGAGTAGGCCGGCTACGCCGGTTACTGTTAGGGAGGTGCTGGATGTGAGGGGGTTGGGGGGGTATGAAGGGGAAGGGGCGGTTTTGTGAGGGGCGGAGGGGTTTCGTGCTGGGAGATTTGCGGGAGAAGACATTGCTTTGAATACGTGATAGATATGCCGGCGTTAGCGGGAAGGCAAGATAAAAAGGATTTCGCTTCGTTGGGGGGTATCGTCTGTACTGCACCGCCAGGGTTTGAAGATGGAGAATCGTTTCATTATGCCTCTTGATGAACACCCTCTTGAACGCCAAAACGCCTACCCAATCCCTTCATAACTTTTCCCTATGCTTTCACCTCTCTTGCCCCTTATTACCCAGCAAAAAGCGTGTCCTCATCGCGCAGATACTCCCCGCAATCTGCTTGCCGGAAGCACACGATCCCTGTAGGATCCAGGCGTCGCGCTTCAGCCGTACTCCTTGCCGTCTGGCACATATCATTGTCAGCCACGATGTACTCTCGCCTATCAACCAAGCTTGGGGACCGGCCAGACACCACTTACAACGCCAAACCCAAGGGGAATATCCGCCATGCTGTAGACCACACAGCCCGAGTGCTCAGGACAGTCCTCCGACCAGCGCCCAACATGCGCTTTCACCACTATTATACCACCGTCAGTCCACGACCCCCCTTTACTTTTGTCCATGACTATTAACATCCGCCCAAGGGAAACGCACCATTGGAGCCATAAAGAAAGGGCTGCGCGCCGTTATCCTTGACCCAGATCTTGTGCCGCGCGCCCTGCGCGAGGATGGGCAGGGCCGTGATGTGCAGGCGGAACTTGCCCGTCTTGGTCATCTTGCCCAGGCACGTGCCCAGGCTGAGCAGGGCGTCGCGGCTGATGCTGGTGGCCAGGTTGGCGATGGACAGCTTGACGTAGTAGACGCGCGAGTGGTTCAGCCGGAACACGTAGCGGTCGCCGTCCTCGAGCGGCGCGATCAGGCTTTTCAGGTCCGACATGTAGTTGGCCAGCTTTTACAGCAAGGGGGTGTCAGCTCTGTAGTCTCGCCTGTCCGGTTGTTGAGGAAGGACAGGAGAATGACAAGGGGGGAGGACAGGTAGATACCTTACCTTGTCCAACACGGTCTTCATTTCTTGATCTGTTAGGGCGCGCATCTTGAAGGGTTCAATCGGTGGCCGTGATTAGGTACTTTGGTTTGGTTCCAAGGCTCTGTCAACCCGAGATGCATTCGACGATGGCTTATCGGGAGCTTGTTCAGAAAAAAGTTATCGAGCTTCAATTGGACCCCACATCTGCCGATAAGATCAGATCATGTATTTCATACGGTTATTTACACAGCATCTAGGTACACTTCTGTAAGGTACTGTACAATACAACAAGTCGATCACCTTCAGGTTGTGATGAGGCTTGTTGTGAAGTTTCGTCGAAATCCGCAAAGATCCCGATCCATCACCGCGAGATGGGCAGCAAGATTGGCTGTTAATGCGTTCTCAAACTTGGAACGAGGATGTCAAATTAAGATTATACTACACATTTCGCGCGTCACGAAGCACCTTTGTAAGCAAGTTTGCGGCATCTCGCTGGCATCAAATCAAACTAGGCCCGCTGGCCAAATGGTAAGGCGCCAGATTTCGGCAGTGAAGCCTCTCTGGAGATTGTGCGTTCGAGCCGCACGTGGGTCGAAGTTTCATTTTTGAGCGTGGATCTTACTTTTTATTGCATACCTCCACTGTCCTGGCCTCGAAACTCGAAAGTCAGGGACAGGGCTGTCAACTTTGCCTCTCTATGAGCGATCAGCCGGATCCCTCACTGCATGGTCGCCATCAAGCTTTCCAGCTCTGAGCTGCTTCCCATCGCGTTGCACCGCGCGTAGCTAGATGCCTGGCAGTCTGGCGAATCAATGCCCTCCATGGCTTCAGGTCGTTCGAATGGAACCAAACTTTGAAAGGTGCCAAGTTACAGTGTCCAAGTTACAAGTTACATCCGCTCAACGCCCCGTCGTCGCCAAGAACCTGGAAGTTTCGGGGCACATTGCTGTGGTGGACCGGGCCTTCCTTTTTGGGCCCAAGGTAAGGTCCCGTCTTTCCGTGCTCACAGGCTACGTGGGTTCTGATGAACTTTGTTGCTCCTGACGCCTGCTCCTCCGCATCGCGTGGTTGCCTTTTTGAAGCTTGTATTCCGCAAACCTGCTCACTGCTTCCCCACGCACAAAAGACTGCGCGATCACCAAATTTGACAGTTTGACAATCACCCGGCTTGCGGTTGGCTAGCCTTGCTTCGGCCGCGGACCCGGATTTGGGAAATCTCGGAGGCGATATGCCGTTGAACCACGTTTACGGAATGGACTCGGCACGGCGGGAGGCTAAACCCAGGAACCTGGGGCGCATTTGACACCCCCCTGTCTCCATCGCCCTGCAATTACCGGGACTTCTATCCGCGACGTCCAGCTGCCAGAACCGGGTTGCCAACTTGCCTTACCATCATGACCTTTGCACGTCTCCCGGCGGATGTAGAGCACATTGCTACGCTGTCCTGGTTGGGGAATCCCAGATCTGGCATCTCTTCCCCCTTTTACCCCCTGTCCGCCTCTAGTAAGCTAACCTCTTTGTCAGCGAGGCCAAGGTGCCAGGTCGCGCTCAAGGGAGAGTTCATGCCTTGCATCCCATGTCCATCTCGGATAGTTAGATCGGTAGAGTTACATTCTCCCGCACCGGCGGGTAAGGTTGCCGCGTTTCCACGTAGCGGAGGACCGGAGGTTGTTTTGCTGGTCACAATCCCTATTTCGCTTCCTCCGTTATTTTGTAAGCTTAGCGAACGGCAAGCATCAGCCATGGGATTTAATAGACGAGGCACGTCCTTGGCTTCGCCGACTCTTTCTCCCTGTTGGCGTGCGGTTTCCAGGTGCTGTTGTATTTGCGCGTCAACATGAGGACCTCCTCTCGCTTTCTCGGAGCCCTCGCGGCGGCGGCCTCGTGTAAGTGCAGATCATAACCAACAGGCCGCCTCTCCATCACTAACCTGTACGGATTGTTGTAGTCGCCCCGTCCGTCCTAGGGCAAAACAATGCGCCTGTGACCTTTACCGACCCCCAAACCGGCATCATCTTCAATAGCTGGGGTATTCCCGCAGACTCGCCACAAACTCAGGGGGGCTTTACCTTTGGTATGGCCCTGCCGTCCAATGCCCTCTCCACAGATGCCACCGAGTTCATCGGATATCTGGTACGTTATTCTTGGACCAGAGTACCTGTTCAGATTGAGGATGCTAATTATCTTTTAGCAATGTGCCGCCGGCTCGGCCGGTTGGTGCGGAGTCTCCCTGGGAGGACCGATGACCAATTCACTTCTCATTACCGCATGGCCGAATAAGGACACCGTTTACACCTCTCTGCGGTACGCTACCGGTTACTCCATGCCGGACCTTTACACCGGAGACGCCAAGATCACTCAGGTCCGGTCAAACATCAACGCCACGCATTTCACCCTGATCTTCAGGTGCACAAACTGCTTGAGGTGGAATCAGGGTGGTCAAGAAGGCGGAGCTTCTACAACCGGCGGCGCATTAGTTCTCGGCTGGGTGCAGGCATTGCCGTCACCCGGCAACCCGACCTGCCCGGATCAAATCACCCTGGAGCAGCACAACAACGGCATGGGCATCTGGGGCGCCGTCCTCGATTCGAATGCCGCTAACCCGTCTTACACGGCTTGGGCTGCCCAGGCCACCAAGACGGTTACTGGCGACTGTGGCGGCCCGACCCAGACGGGTGTTGTTGGCGTGCCTGTGCCGACGGGCACCTCGTTCGACTACATCGTTGTCGGCGGTGGCGCCGGTGGCATTCCCATTGCCGACAAGTTGAGTGAGTCCGGAAAGCGCGTGCTGCTCATTGAGAAGGGGTTCGCCTCGACGGCCGAGCACGGCGGCGTTCTCGGCCCAGAGTGGCTGTCGGGCAAGGATCTCACCCGGTTCGACGTGCCCGGTCTGTGCAACCAGATCTGGGTCGACTCAAACGGCATCTCTTGCACCGACACGGATCAGATGGCCGGCTGCGTTCTCGGAGGCGGTACCGCCGTGAACGCCGGCCTGTGGTTCAAGGTGAGACTGACACACCCGGGCAACCTAGCACCAAATGGAAAAGTTGCTGACTCGGCTAGCCTTATTCTTTGGACTGGGACTACCTGTTCCCCAGCGGCTGGAAGTACAGAGACGTCCAGGCGGCCATCAACAGAGTGTTCTCGCGCATCCCGGGCACCGACGCCCCGTCTATGGACGGAAAACGCTACTATCAACAGGGCTTTGACGTTCTTACCAGGGCCCTACGTGGCGGTGGCTGGAGCGAGGTAACCGCCAACAACGCCCCGGACCGCAAGAACCGCACCTTCTCTCGTGCGCCCTTCATGTTCTCCGGCGGTGAACGTGGCGGCCCTCTGGCGACCTACCTCACCAGCGCCAAGAAGCGCAGCAACTTCAATCTCTGGCTGAACACGACGGTCAAGCGTGTCATCCGCGAAGGCGGCCACATCACTGGCGTCGAGGTTGAGGCGTTCAGGACCGGCGGATACCAGGGCATCGTGAATGTCACTGCCATCTCTGGCCGTGTGGTTCTTTCTGCCGGTACCTTTGGCAGCGCCAAGATCTTGCTTAGGAGCGGTATTGGGCCGAAGGACCAGCTCGAGGTTGTCAAGGCATCAACCATTGACGGGCCGACCATGATTAGCAACTCGTCGTGGATCCCGCTGCCGGTTGGATACAACTTGGATGATCATCTCAACGTGGGTTTGCCAATTCAGACGTTACTTGAGACAACGGATAACTGACACGCGCCAGACTGACACGGTCATCACTCACCCCAACGTCACCTTTTACGATTTCTATGCGGCTTGGTCGACACCCATCGAGTCGGATAAGAACAGCTATCTGAGTATGTCAACCCTTCATTCTGAATCAACAGTCTCTTAAGCTAACCTCCGAAACAGACAGCCGCAGCGGCATTCTCGCCCAGGCCGCGCCCAACATTGGACCCATGTTTGTCCCCCCCACCCTCATCCTTCCAATCGCCACTAACCACCTTTTCTGTAGGTTCTGGGAAGAAATCAAGGGTGCCGACGGCATCGTCCGTCAACTCCAATGGACTGCCCGCGTAGAAGGCAGTTTCGACACACCAAACGGCCGTACGTCTCCCTCATTCCCCCCTGCACAAACCAACTAACAACCCCCCTAAAATCCAGACGCAATGACAATGTCGCAATACCTCGGCCGCGGCGCAACCTCCCGCGGCCGCATGACCATCACACCCTCCCTCTCCACCGTAGTCTCCGACGTGCCCTACCTCAAAGACGCCAACGACAAGGAGGCCGTCATCGCGGGGATCGTCTCCCTGCAAACCGCCCTGTCCAAGGGTCTCCCGGACATCAAGTTCACCTACCCCAACTCTTCCATCTCCGCCCGGGACTACGTCAACGGCATGGTGGTCTCCCCCTCCAACCGGCGCTCCAACCACTGGATGGGCACCAACAAGCTCGGCACCGACGACGGGCGGTACGGGTCCGGCACTTCCGTCGTGGATCTCAACACCAAGGTGTACGGTACTGATAACCTGTTTGTCGTCGACGCGAGTATCTTCCCCGGTGTGCCCACTACCAACCCGAGCAGTTATATTGTGACGGCGGCCGAGCATGCGGCGACCAAGATTCTGGCGCTCGCGGCCCCGAAGCCCATTGCCAAGTATGGACAGTGTGGAGGAAGGCAGTGGACGGGCGCCTTCTTGTGCGTTGCCGGGACCAAGTGCACGGTGCAGAATGAGTGGTACTCGCAGTGTTTGTAGAGCTAGACCACTACCGGTACTCGTCCGACATGCGGACTCATTTTCGGAGGATGGGGGTTTCTGCTTGATTTGTTTCTCTTCTTGTGAATAGTTCACTTTTGCTACCGTACATATGACAAAACATTTCCAGGTCTGGAAAACGGTCCTCAACCTGGTGTAAGAGAACACTGTCTTTGCTTGCCCTCTTGATTCCTCCAGCCCCAAACCGTTGCAGACGCCATCCTATCCTCGGAATTTCTTGAAGATGGCATGCCAGGGCCGGATAATTCTCCATACAGAGTGATGACATTGAGACAAGTATGGTGGAGCAATGCTAGTCTGGCATTGCGCCTGTCCACATCAGAGTATATTCGTCGCCCTTCCCACATCAACCAACACTGTCAGCCATATAAACCCAACTCTTGCAGTTGGCGTCCAGAATATGGCTCCAGCCATGCAGTATCCCGCTCGCTAAAGGCCGCACAAACACTCAAAATTCGCCCAGAGACCGTGGGTCAAACTGGCACGTGTGCTCAAAGACCACGGAATCAAGCCAAAAGGCAGGGCCTTCGCGGCACTTTGGAGTGCGGTGAACTGCCTCAAAGCGTACCTTCTCGGTAAAATTGAGGCCATCCTCCAGCATCTTGCGGACCCAAACCAAATCGTCATCGTACCCCTTCTGCTCCTCCTCAAGCTTCTTGTTCCCCTCGGCTATGTGCTTGTGTTTGACAAGGTAGTTGACATAGATCCGAAAGTACTTTCGCTCGTGACTCTTGGGGCTCTTGTAGATGGGGTTATCGTCAGCGTCAATAAAGTCGTAGCCGGAATGCGACGAGAAGCGATCTGACACCGTCGTCAAAATCATGTCCATCAGCGAGAAGCCGATCTTTTTGCGCCTGTGTTCGTGGTGAACAAAGACATGGAGTTTCGCAGTAGCCCTGCTGCTTCCCGTACCACTTCCTGTGAGTCCGAGCTCCCATACCGACAGGAACGCAAAGCCCAAGATTTCACCGCTCTTCTGGCCGTGGCGGTCAGAGTCATCACGGGTAATTTGGCGGTAGGGCGAATGCAAGATGTTTCCCCCTTTCAACCGCAGGTCTCTAGCCGAGCCTCGGACAGCTACAATAAACGGAAATCCCAATTCCTCAGTAGTGTTGAGAATTTTCTCAAAGTCCTCAGCTGATAGAAAGTGGAAGTCGAGTGTCTGAAAACCAAACTGCATCTCTTGGTTGTAGATCAGGTGCACCCCCTCCATATCAGACTTCTTAGCCGGGCGAAGAAAGCAGGGAATCCGTGGTACGTAGTGCATGTACTCGGGCTGCTCGAGCTTTGGTGTGTCAACTGTCACAAACCAACTCGGGTGAACGAGCATTGGGTCTTGCTGAAGCTCCGGCCTAGAATCTTCCTCCTGGTGGGTTTGTGACTGCGGACGGGAGTTGGAACGCAGATTGCGACGCAGATCCATTCGCCGGCGCATCATAAGTGCTGAGGTCCAGTTCTGCCGGCGCCAGTCCAGCTCGGGATCGAGCTTCGATTCGTTGGCCATGGTATAAGGGTAGTCGACGGGCGGTAGGAAGACGCCTGTATCGGTGTCGATGTCACAATTCCAATGGTCATGCCTACCCCAATGGTCATGAAATGAAGAGGCTTCGGGGAAGCGGGGATGACCCTTCGACCACATGGAAACGAAGGGTACGAAGTAATTCGGGCGAGCCAAAGCTGCGTCATCGTCCTGGTGCCAGTTATGCCACTTGCCGTCTGACATGAAGAACTTGTGTTCCAGCGCAATGGCATTCCGGATGTCTTTCTCGGGCTTAGCCACTGTGTTGCTCAAAGCTGGATTTTGGGTACCAGCATCGCTGCCATGGAATGTGATGACCGATGAAGGAGGACTCCGTGGCGGTGATCCCCGATAGTACCTATCTGGGCGCGGCGTCTTTCGGGCAACGAGATCCGGCGCATAACGGTCCAATTTGCTCGGTTTGGGCACAGGCGCCATGGCCATCTTTGGGCGAACCATGTTTGGATTCAAGGCGTGAGAATGACTTGGATATTCTCTAGAAGCCTGGAAAGTAGTAGCGGCAGGACGCGATGCGAGATCAACCGATCTGCCCACAGAAAGACCTTTATTTCGATCTTCTGCTTGGTCCTCGGCGAGGTCTGGCTTCCAGCCAACCTCTGACTCACGGGTTTCTGCTGGACGCCAGGCGTTTGCATTCACCGTCTCTTTCTGGCGAGAATCAGGGTGGCTTGAAGAATCAGCGAGGCGTTGCGTGATCCTCAGGGCCTGAAGATATTTGGAACGGGCTTCCAATTCGCCGTCGGGTAGCTGCTGTTCTGGCTGGGGGGTTGGGGATTGGTTGGAACACCCGTTCTGGTTTGTGATTATGTATCCAGATTCACCAGCGCCGTCAATTGGTTGATTGTACTTCTGGTAGTGACTCGGTACTCTCTGGGCAGCTCGGGGAGTCGACTTGTTTTCCCAGGCAGTCCCGGCCAAGCCGGCGGCGGCGAGAAACTCGGCCGCAAGCTCTGGGGAATCCAGATGGTGTCCACCAACCGTGGCCCAGCTCTGACCGTGACTGAGGACACTGCTGGTCGCCTCGGCTTTGTTAGGCATGGAAATGGCTGACAAGACTAGGAAGACAGAATGTGAGCGCAGCACACGAACCACATACACCTACCGTCTACTCACCGCCAACGAACCTAGCAACCTTGTAACTCTCTGATACTTGTTGCATGTTAGCCGCTGCTGGTCGGGCCAGGAACAAACATCGGAACCAAACAGTGATAAAATAGAGGGAGATGATTGAACAGCGATCAAATGGAGGGAGATATTCGAGAGCAACAACCAGGACAGTAAAGAAAAGCCGCCCCCGACTTACCTTAGTCGCACAGGGAAGGGACCAGGTAGGAAGAGGATATCCGAGAGAAAAACAAAACTTGCGCTACTGAATCGTCGTAGCCTGATGGAAAATCGAGACTCGAGTTTTCAGAATATCGATTTCCTGAGGTGAACAGAAATAAAGAAAGGTTGCAGTCGATAATGACACGAAAAGAGGAGGAAGGAGCGCCCCAAATCTCCAGGTTTGTTTGTGGAAGACAGTACGAATGAGGCTTCCACCAGTGCGAGGAGCTAAGTAGCCAACGCCCTAACTACCCTGTGGTCGAATAGGGTCCGGAAGAGGCTTTCGATTCGAAGAATGCGCAGCACACTGGATGCTCTCATTTGGCCGAGTTCGACATTTCGACTCCCTTTTACAGCATACTGGTAGCCCAACCTCTTGCGCAGCCTCTAAAATGCCCCTGATCCACGTCTGCTCTCTGCCCAAGAGAGGCCTTATCAGTGACAGGCCCATAGCTTTCAACCCCTCGTCTCTTGAAGATGATGCATCTTTGCCAATTCGGGGCGAAACCTGCTAAAAGGAGTGAGGTATAGAAACATGTTTCTCTATCTAGGGTTTGCAATGGAACTCTAACGTGGACATTCAGGATGGTGATGTTGAGGGTTGTCACGTGGCATCAAAGATCAGTCAAACGCTCCTACAGCCTGATTGGTCCCAACCAACCTGCTGCCTTGCCAGCCATTCTACAGCCATCCCCGTCTACACTGCACCGTCTCTACGTTCCATGTTATCGACCTACCGCAGTCACGAGAACCCTGCTGTCTTGTAGATACCTATCTGACCGCCTCATTCGTCCAAATAGCCGTGGCAATCAACTAGTTGCATCCAGTCATCCCAGAAGCCACAGCAAACATGCTTTCGATCCTGAGGAAGGCGAGACTCAAGGACATGGAGCTTCGGATCCTGATGCTGTATGCGACTATCAATATCCAACTTCAATAAGTTGATGTAACACTCATCAAAACGCAGCGGCCTTGACAATGCGGGCAAGACCACAATCGTGAAAAAGATAATGGGGGAGGACGTCAATACAGTCAGCCCCACCCTTGGCTTCATTATCAAGACGATCGACTACGATGGGTGTGTCCAATCCTCATGCCACTCTCTGCAAGACCTGGCGCTGACAGGGTTTTCAGGTATAAACTGAACATTTGTGAGACGGGCAATGTTCGCCTGCCCTTCGCTTCCTAGGCTTACTAGGCACTCAGGGGACGTCGGGGGTCAGAAGACGCTGCGCTCATACTGGCGCAATTATTTTGAGAAAACGGATGCCCTGATCTGGGTCGTCGATGCCACCGACTGGCTACGCATCGACGACTGCCGAGAAGAACTGCATGGCCTTCTCCAGGAAGAGGTGCGTATCGGCATTACCATATACACAACACCTGCTGCTGGCAGCTGACAACGCTTTCCAGAGACTTTCGGGGGCAAGTTTGCTCGTGTTTGCAAATAAGACCGATGTTCAGGGATGCATGACAGGCGGTGAAATGCGCAAGGTTGGATAACAGCGATGTCCATGCCTCTAGGAAAGAGCTAATGACGTTTCTCGATCCCAGGCCCTACAACTTGACGAGATTCGGACGCATCGCTGGCACATTCTGCGGTGCAGTGCTATAACGGGCGAAAACCTCAAGGAAGGATTAGCTTGGGTTGTAGAAGACGCCAAAGCCCGCCTCTTTCTCTATTGATCTGAGACCGGCTGCTCGATGCGGCTATTTTCCTTGCGACGTCATTGGGGATCCCACCCGGACAGTCAAGTAACGGCCGAAACAAGGTCTGGTTGCTAGGGCAATTGGATCTGAGTAAACAAAAGAAGTGGGACTCGTCGATTGCACCGCCTTGCTCTCAAGACCCTAGCCTTGAACAGACAGTGCGATGAGAAAACATATTCAGACTATTAGGAGTTGCATGTTCATGAAGAGGATGCCTAGTTACTTAACCACGGTACGGAAATATCCTGAAACAGTGGGATTTTCTCGGGTTGCATCACGATCAGAGTGCCGGTGGGAGGAGTCACAGCGCCGGGAGAGCAGCACAGGGCTGTGTGACAGGGTGCGGCGGGCCTATCAGATCAGCGAATCGGTCGGGTTGGCAGCGGCCCGGAGCTAACAAACCACCCTGGCTCGCCTGGCCAAGCCCTGTGGATGCCGCGTGCCGGGGGTTCGTTGGGGCTCCCGTCCAGGACTTCTCCTGTCAGCTGGAGCTGCCCCTCCGGAACGGAATGCTTGGATTGCAGTGTTTAATTACAAACTCCAAAAGCTCAACTTCGATTTTGGATTCTGAATATTCGCACCAGCCCACCGAGATTGCCAATAACAGTCTGTGCCGCGTGCTCTATCCAGATTTAGTTCATGTCATGCCTAAGACGGCGTCTCAGAAACAGCCATGTCTGACGAAGTTTCCGATTTTCTGCGGTCTGTCGAGTTGCTGAAGGAACGACGGGAGGAAGAAGATGAAGCGCGCTCGCGTGAACTCGAGGAGAAGATTCTGCAGGAAAAGAAAGAACGCCAGGCTCGACGAGCAGGTACGCCAATCGTGATCCATTTCGACCCTCCATGGGCTGTGTTCTGTGTTCTGTACTGCACCTACCCATCCGTCGACTCGTCGAATCGGCACGCGCACCATGCGGAACCGCGCGGTGTGGCATTAGAAGTCTCACAAACCGGTCACCAGCCGCACGGGTCCGGACCAGCCCGCGAAATATCTGATATCCGTTTTTGTTGGCATTGCTTTCCAAGTCACGTTTGACATGAAGGATCTGACTCTATTTCCGTGTTCTTACAGAGCGTGCACGATCAATTTCACCTCAGAAATCATCACCTGCAAACACTCCGTCCCCTGCGCCCCATCGCATCGGCCTCCCTCTGGCTTCAGACGACGTAAGCCTGCCATCGCCTGGCTTTGAGCGCACCGGAAGCCCCCGGCCACGCGCCGTGCCTGCTTCGGAAGTCATGGAGACCCCAGCCGACTACTCGAGCTCCTCGACCAAGGAAACCGAGTCCCGGTCCGACTCGGATACCAAACGAAGTAGCACGACAATGACATCGCCCTCCATTGGCATGCCGTCGGCTCGGTCCACTCTGTCGTGGCAGAGACGCCCGACATCGCAGGCCTCCGAGAGACCCCGAAGTCGAACCTTGACTATGGTAGCTGCCGAGAATGCTGCTCGCAATTCTGCTAGCCCCGCCGAGCCAGAACAAGCAGCAGAGCAAACCTTGTCGCGCGACCAGATCGCTCAGTCTCTGTCCGGCAAAGACCCCTCCTGGTTTCGCCAAACCCCTGATCCGGGACGGGGCTCGGCAGCCTTTAGGAAGAATCAAGTCGAGGATGAGGACACGGTGGATATGTCTTCGAAGCGTGTGCAGCTTCCCGGCATGTCGCGCGAGCCGTCAATAGAACCCTCCAAAGACAGCTCGTCTACTCGGCCGCAGACTCCTACAAACATTCCTAGCACGCTAGGGTCACCTCTGCCTGTCGTCGCCTCCCAACGTCTTGAACCCCCTACCGGAGATAGCATAGGAGCCGAGGATGCCACTTCTATCAGCCGGCAGTTCGTAGCCTCGCCCAGCGGCCGGACATCGCCGATCAGACCATCCTCGCCCACGAAAGGCATGGGTGGATTTGTCCAAAGTGCCATGATGAAACGGTCAGATAGCGTCAAGCGATGGAGCGTCAATTCCCCAGGAGGCCTACACCGCGCAGATTCTACGCAGAACGCGCAACGCAGTTCTCCTCCAAAAGCTGGTGCTCGCCCGGCGAGTATGCTGATGGACTCCTCAAATACAGCCGCGCCCAGACCGACCTCAAGTCAGGGCGACGAGAAGGGTATTCTTGACGCCGACGGTGAGCAGGTTGCTGCTAGATCAGCGACACCAATATCGTCAAAAACGAAGGGCGAAGATGAGAAGATAACACCGCCGTCAAGCCCTTCCAAGACGATGGATCCCCGGAGGTGGAGCCCTAACAAGAACTCTAGCTGGCTCGACGCAGCTTTGAACAAGCCGGAATCGCCCAAGGCAAAGCCAACCCCGACTGCACCGAACCAGCCGGCATGGATGGTCGAGCTGAACAAGGCAAAGGCCCAGAAAACTGGCAGCACAACTGTGGATCTTGGCCGCACCGCATCCCTTCCTACCAAGAAGCCTGAGATTAGAACCGGCGGGCTTATGAGGACCACGCCAATGGGTGTCAATCTCAAGCCTTCTGCACTGAGCGGTCTCCCGGTTGTGCCTCCTGTCTCGACGGCCGATAAACCCCCTGTTGGTGGATTCCGAGGCACACTGCGAAGAGCTTCGCCGACAACCGAGAGCCCAGAGGTTGAAGGCAGTGGAGACTCCGCGGTCAAGCCCAAGCCAGAAACTCCTCCCAAGAAAGACTTCCGAGCCAATCTCAAATCTCGACCCCCGGCCCTCGAAGCTAAGTCGGAGCCGACTGATGAGTTGAAGAGCGTTTTCGGGTCCCTACGACGGACCAAGACGCAGAACTATGTGGCTCCGGACGAGCACAAGGAGAATATTCTACGGGGTAAGGCGGCTCTGAATCTAACAGGCGGTCCTAAGAAGACCGAGCGCAAAGATGAGTTCAAAGAGGCTATCCTGAAGAAAAAGGAAGAGTTCAAGAAAGCCCAGCAGGAAGGCTGGGCCATCTCGAGGGAGCCCAGCAGTGCCAATGACAAGGCTATCCCTGAGGGCATCGCAAAGAGGTTGGAGTTGCAGCGAACAGGAACGTTGCCCAAGAAAAGTCCAACCACATCTGACTTTGCATTGCCAAGTCCCAGCCTAAGGGAATCGAATCGGTCCAGCACTGTGTCTTCGATTTCAAAGCGGGATGTGCCTGATGTGGGTTCAAATTCAGGCGGAGAGCCTTCGCCTGAATTGACCAAAGAACCGGCCGTCCGTTCTGTTGCCCCGGTCACTCTGCAAAAACAGACAGATGCCTCCAGCAAGATTCCAAGTAGAGTTGGCGGAAGCTTGGCAGACCGTTTCAACCCTGCATTGGCTGGCCTCATAGCAAGGGGCCCTCCACCAGCGCTGGAGCCGTCCAGGGGCTCTGGATCGTCTAATACTGCCGGATCAACAGCAGACACGGGAGAGCCAGCGAAACCCGGTCCCCAGTTGACTCACTTGACAAAGAACCGGGCACGTGGTCCTAGGAGGAACGCTCCAACTTCTATCGCGAAACCAGCGGAAAAAGTTGTGGAAACCTTTGCCGAGCCCGCGGGGCAGGCGGTGTCAGAGGTTGTGAATAAGCCGATTACTTCTCCCAAGCCGGAGAAGTTCACCTTCACCCCGAAGCTGGAACAGCCGAGCGCTTTCTCGAAACAGGAGAAGCCTGTGACCTCCCCCAAACCGGAAAAGTTTTCAACGTCAAAGCCTGAGAGCGTCCCACCAATGGATTCTAGGAAGCCTACACTGCAGGAGGACAAGCCAAACACTCCCAGCAATGTCATCTCCCTGGTCGACTCCTCCAAGAACAACTCGAAGGAAGAACCAAAATCATTGGGCCAGCCCATCGCGCTGGTCAGCCCCAACACTGTCAAGACTCGGCCACGTTCACCGACCAAAGTCCAAGAGCAGATAGCAGCCATCGCCGCACTGAGCCAGCAGACACCGAAGCCTGCTGAACAAACTAGTGAGATTCCTTCGCAGCCCTCTTCTCCTAAGAAGCTCGATATAAAGAGAATATCAAAGTTTATGGACGAGCAGACGCAGTCCAGTCCTAAGCCGGAGTCTGTGAAATCACGACCCTCTTCGCCGGTCAAGAACCAATTTCCCGTAGATGCGAATTCCCGGTTTGAAAACCAGCGGGGAAGCAGAGATTTTGAGCTGAAGACTACACTCCCAGCTAGAAGCGGTGCTGGACGTTCTGTGGGCGCTGGCTTAGAATCGATACAGCCAGCTGGAACACCGAATCCCAAAGTTGGCGAGGCGTTGGAGGCCGAGAAGCCACCACAAGTACCCCTCAAGGGGTCCAGGCCGCTTCCGTCGCCCGAGAAGCCACCACAGCTACCCTTCAAGGAGTCCAGGCCGCTTCCGTCGCCCGCAGTCGCTACGCCTACCCGGATACCCTCTCCGATCCGGTCACCAGGCAAGCAGTCCTCGGAGGTGTCAGCGCTTCTCCACGACTTCTTTGGTCCTGAGCGTCCCGAGCGGAAGTATACCGCCGACGCGGCTGAAATCCTTATGAGGCGCCCAGTTTCAACAGCCACGATTCAAACCCAGCGCGCCCAGCTACTGCAGCTCTCTGCCGAAGGCAAGAAGATCCCCGTGCCGACTCACCACGAGAGGGTCTTGTTCGAGCGCGAGATGTACCTCTGCCTGCACACATTCATCGACCCTGCCGGGAAGAGGGTGAACAAGGTGTACTTCTGGGCGGGCGATGAGGTGCCCGAGTCGGCCGCAGAGGATGCTTACCTCTTTGCCGCGCGAGAGGCTAGAGCATTCGGCGGCAAACTGGTAAAGCTGTCGCAGGGCAAGGAACCATCCGAATTCCTGCAGGCCCTCGGCGGTATCGTCATTGTCCGCCGTGGCTCAAGCAACAAGTATGACTCGCTCGCGCCAAACATGCTCTGCGGTCGGCGCTACCTGGGCCAGATCGCCTTTGACGAGGTCGACTTCTCTCCTATGAGCCTCTGCTCGGGGTTTCCGTATCTCATCACCCAGCAAGGGAAATGCTACCTCTGGAAGGGCAAGGGCAGCGACGTGGAGGAGCTGTCGTGCGCCCGGCTCGTCGGGATGGACCTTGCCTTGATGGGCGAGCTGCTCGAGATAGAAGAGGGCAACGAGCCGGAGAACTTTTGGACCGACGTCTTTGGCGGCGGCTTGCGGTTCGGCTCGGCAGACCATTGGCGGTTGAAGCCCAACTATGACAAGTACTCCGGCCGGCTGTTCTGCGCCAGCGCGGATGACACGCAGCAGGTCAGTTTCCCCCATCCTCTATGTTTCCTCCCCTCTGCTCCTTGCGTGCAAAGTTCCTAACCACCCACCAAAATGACAGATAACCGAGATATCCCCCTTCAGCCAAGCCGACCTGCTCCCGTCAAACATTTACGTCCTCGACGCCTTCTTCGAGATGTACATCATCGTCGGCGCCCGCTCGCAGCACCAGTACGCCGCGTTTCGCAACGCGCTGGACTTTGCCCAGGAGTATGCCATCCTGGCGGCTGGCATGGAGGACCGCCCGTTTGTGCCCATCTCGACTGTTGTGCTGGAGGGCATCCCCCGCGACCTGAAGAGTGTGTTTAGGAAGTGGAGGGACGCGGCGAGCCCGACGGTTATGCACGTCAGTTCGCAGAACGCGAGCGGGAGTGGGAGTGGGAGTGGGAGTGGGAGTGGGAGTGGGAGTGGGAGTCCGTTGAAGAGGGGGAGGAGTTTGAGGGTTGTGCCGCTCACCCAGGCGTTGAATGCTTTGGCTCAGGAGTAGTTGTTGGGGTGGGTTATACTGTTGGGATGTCTGTTGGGTTGGGGTTTAATGAATGGCATCCATGGATATGGTGTGATGCGTGGTTCCTTGAGACGGAATTTTCTTGACCGTCATTCTCCTTTAGTATCAATCCTCTTTGTTCTGCATTGGGGTTTACCATCTAGATGGAGCGGGAGTTGTCGTCCAAGACGGCCGGGCCGGCGGATTTGCTGCATGTGAGGTTTGCTGACTGTAATAATTATCTGTATCTACTGTGCAGTTTTGTCTGTGGCAATGTCAATGTATATGTATTGATGGCGGTTCATTCAGCAATATGGGTCTACGGACTTTCAACAGTTGCCAAATAGCGCACCTGTCTTTGTAGTGTAAAACACAGCTCAACCTAACGCCTGGTATCATGGTATCATATGCCTCTGTTCCCACTTCCCAAACCATACGCCTTCCTAACGCCAGCTGCGAAACCCTATTCCACCCTTATTTCAGATAACCAAACCGACCGAATAATCAATGCTGCTGCTGCTGCTGCTGTTGCTGCCCGGTCCCTTGCCCACCACCACCACCTTCATCCCGCCCCATGCCTCCTGCCCCAACCTTCTTCTCCATGGGACCCCCCGTAGCCTCGACGACGCGGCGCGCGTCCTCGGCCAGCTCGGGCATGGCGGCGCTCATCTCGCGGGCTAGCACGTCGCGGAACTCGCCAAAGGCGTGCATCTTGCCGCGCGCCAGCTGGTTCATGCGCCGCACCAGCTCGACAAACTCGCGCGTGTAAATGTCCGGGTTCCGCCCGTTCTCGACATACTCGATTAGAGGTTCCGGGATGCCCGGGGTTTGGGAGGGTGGGAGCGTAGAGGCGGCGCGGTGGACTTGCAGGAGGGAGGCGTCGAGGGTTTGACTGCGTGTGTTTGTGTACATGGTAGTAAGTATGGGCCCAGATTGGAGGAAGGGCGTAGGAGAGGGAGAGAGGGATGTTACATACAGGTCTTGGGCGAGCGCTTCTCGTGAGGGCCGGCCGGCTGAGTCGTAGTTGGATACCTGGGCGAGAATCTGGAAGAGATCCTGGATCACGTTCTTGACGCTTTCTGCGAGTGACGTTAGGTGGGCCGGTTACCACAGGAGGGATTGAGAGCGACGCACCTTGAACGGTTTGCAGATCGGTGTTAACCGGCGCCATGGCGGGGGATGTTAAATGGTGTTTGATGTACCGTTATCGACTTGGAGGCCATTCAAAGACGTGAGGTTAATGTAAACTCAGCGAAGCTGGATTACTGTATGAGGATATGATTGGTTACCTATCAAAGGGTGGGGCTGCTGCTAACTACCTTACCGAGGGTCCGAGTTAAAAGCATTACTCTCCTGTTGTGATCTTGGGATTGGTGAACGGTATCCGGGTAATCTAGCAGTACATATTTTTGAACAGAGCCCCCATCTCTGTCTTTGAGATCTTGATCAGTTTTGACTGAATCTAATGCGTGGGTGAAGTCCATGTAAGTAGTGAGGATATTGTGGGTCGTCATTGAGCTTGGCCTTGGGTTTTTGGAACATTTGAGTTAGGGACCGCTACGGAGGCGCCGAGCTGACTTCTTCCGAAAACAACTTCACCCCACCACCCGACCGGACCCCTCTATCAACCGTCCGTATCGGCATATCCTTTACCCAGTACCAGTAACTGCCACGGGCCCAAGGCCTGCAAAGCATTGAAACAAATCGGGGCAATTGGAAGACTTGCGCCGTAACTGAAGCCTCCAATTGGAATCAGCACCAATAATGTTCAATAACCCGACTTGACGTAGTCCAAACCGCCAAGTTAGACCCCGAAAGCCCGACCACACCGTTACGGGTACATACATATCACCACCTTCAGACTGCCTATCTCAGTACCACAACCACCCTCGGCATCCGTCCCAAACTTAGATCCCAAAGAGCCCCGGCATTACAGCAGACAGAGCACAAGAAGGGAAAAAAAATGAACGACCCCAACGAAGCCTACCCCACCCCTCCCTCCGCCACACGCACGCACACGCAGGGGGGGTTCACCATCTCATCACGCAAGCTGCCGATCCTCAAAGCCGGGCCGATCGACGCCATGTCAGCGCGGATCGGGATCCCGATCCCCGAAATGATTTTCGGCGACAACCTGGTCAGCATATCCCACCCGCGCACGGGGTGGTCCATCTCGTTCAGCGCCGAGCCCGCGCTCGACACGGTCGACAAGACGGGCGCGTCGGGAATGCTGCGCGTGGCCTACGCCGGCGAGTGGAGCAGCTCGCGCGAGAAGGCTAGCGCCAGCGCGGGGATTAGTGAGGTTGTGAGGCCGTTTGACTGGAGTTATTCGTGTTCGTACCGGGGGGATGAGGTGAAGGGGGGGAATGGGGAGGGGTTGGTTGAGGTTGAGGGTTGGGGGCAGGGGCAACAGCGACAACAGCAAAGGGCGAAGAAGGAGGGTCAGCAGCAGGAGGGGGAGGTGAAAGAAGCCCCGGCGGGTGAGGGGATACCCCTGGAATTGCTAAAAAGGAGAGACCCCATCTTGTTCGCCGACGAGGTGGTCCTCTACGAGAGCGAGCTGGACGATAACGGGATTAGCGTGCTGAGCGTCAAGTTCAGGGTGATGGAGCAGCGCATGCTGGTGCTCTGCCGGCTGTTTATGCGGTTGGATAACGTGCTGGTGAGGGTGAGGGATACGAGGGTATATGTGGACTTTGAGAGGGAGTTGGTCATTAGGGAGTATACGGCGAGGGAGGACAAGTTTGATAATGTCAAGCGGGTAGGTGCTCTTTGGAATTCTTTTGAGGTGTCGCCCGAGGACTGCAGGCTCGCTGACGTGGTAACAGAATCTTTACATGAGCGGGCTCATGCCAGACGCAATCACTGTGGCGCTAAGAGACTCCAATCAGGTGGCCCACCTCTTGCCGGTGGTCGAGCACTCGCTCGAGAACGCTTGGCTAGCACAGAAGTCATAATACGGTATCATCTTCCGTGGCGCCGGCCTTTGGAAGGGCCCCCGTACCAGGCAAATCATAAGGCATGACGGATCATTATAACGATGACTTTCTTACCGATTATCGTAATCTCTGTTCAGCATAAGATACCAGGCAATGCCAACAAGCAAGCGCTTACCCAGTGCCGGGCCCCTCGAGCTAATGGAGAGAGGCTGTGGGATATCCATTCCCGAAATAGCAGCAAATCCGCAAATACGGCTTCCGAGCCAAGCTCCTCCGTCCTGCAAGCCAAGAATCGCCTTCATCAGTTCCCAGTCTCATCAACGTGCAAAAGGAGGTGAAGAACTCCTCGTGACTTCCTCAAACGACAACTCCCACTTGTCCACTTCCTTGAACTTCTTCACAGCTTGTTGGAGCTCCTCCCCCAAGCGTTCCTTCATCATCTGACTCGTCTCTTCTTCAGGCGTCTCCTCATCGAGAGCCTCCTCGACTCCACTATTGACGACAATCTCCTCCTCGACTTCCTCGTTTTCCTTATCATTTGACCCATATGTTCGTTTGTTGCGTCGGTTCGCGGCTTGGACATCCTTGTCCCTCCGATTAGGCGCTGATTTGCTCAGTGGCTGCTGCGCGGCTTTTCTCCTCCGCGCGGTCCGCGCCTCCACGTAGGAAACTTCATCGTCCACAGTAGTGGAGGCGTCGTAGCGATCGTCATCTGACCCCTCTGCGTCGAAGGGATCATTGCTGTCACTGTTGCGGTTGGACACTTTGTGTCGCCGACGTGGCAGAAGAGAAGTTAGATCCGCCGTGGTGAGTTTCTTTTGGGGCGCGGAAGCCTTTTTCTGTGCCTTGGCCTTGGTGCTTGCGCTCGTGTAGTTCGGTGAGTGAGTCAGCGACGGCGGAGAAGAAATATCCGATGCAGCATCGCCCGGCTCCGGTGTTGTCTGGGCTCTTGGTGGGGGTTTTCGGGTATAGGTGCGGTGAGCGAGTGTGTCGAGAGAAGGCCAAGCAACTGGACTGCTTCCTTCGGAGGAGCTGCTGCTGAGAGGAGGGGCCATATCTGGATCGTCTTCCCGGACCGGAGTGGAAGGAGGCTCCCGTTCTCGGGCACGACCGCGCCGGGGCGAAGTAACAGGTTCGTTATCAACCTCTATCGACTGATGAACATCGTCTGCCTCCGCATCCTCCGTCTCTAGGGCAGGTCTCTTCTCCCGGCCATCCTCGTGGCTCTCCAAGGATTTTCGCTTCTTTGAGGTTTGGACAGGCGACCCTTCTCCACTTGTGGCAAACGACGCGCGTGTCTGTCTCCTCGTCTTGTCTATGGGGGTTGATTCGCCGTCCGGTCCGGAATCGTCGCCATCTCCCAGGATACTGGCGTTCCGCGACGCCTGTGAAGTCTGTGACCGAGACCGCTGTCTGCGCCGTCCTGTCCCGAGAATGCTCGGCTCTCGCGCCCGCCGCTTGAACATTCCGAGATTGAGCCTTGTGCTAATACTTGGAGTGTTCTGTCCTCGGCTGCTCGGTCGAATTGGCGCATCATCCCTTCCAGCAATGCTCGACTGCCGTGGCCTGCGCTTGAACATGGCGATATTGAAGGAGGAGGTATCCGTCGAGCGGTACCCGGACCGCGTGTCTTCAACTGCATGTTCGCTATCATTCAGACTGTCGTCGAGATTCCCAAAAAGCTCGTCATCTAGATCCAGGCCTGACGCGTCAGTCAGTCGAGGTTTCCCGTCCCTCTCCGACTCTGGGCGACCGTGCGTGATCGCTGGGCTCTCTGCCTCATTCGGTCTTGATGTTGAGGTGAGATCGTCCAGTCTTTCCATTGCATTGTCCCGCCTGCGTCTAGAGTCCTCCAGGGCCTGTGCTTGCTCCGGGTTCGGGTTAAGCTGATATGAGGTGCGGGTCTGGGTTTGCGACGCGTTGGCATTTGCCTCCCCGGCGGCGCGCAGCCTCCTACGCTCCTTCTCACGGTCGCTGACGTCGTAGATATCACTGCTGGGTTCTTTGGGTAGCGCGACGGCGGACTGTGTCGCGGCCATTGGGGGCGTTGCAGAGGACTCGTGCGCATCGCTTGGGACAGCGGGGCGCGCCGGAGCGACCCGCGACCGCTTTGGCCGAGGACGGGGCATTGTGAAATAATAGATTGAGTTATCTACCGTAGATGGTGCCGCGTGGGTGTGCCAGCTAAACCAAGTCGTATCACTGCGATGCACAAAATGGGTGGTGAATCAAGAGGCCGCAATATGCAAGTGGGATGGTGGAAATCCAGACGCGTCTGGCGCGTCGATAATAACATCGTAACATTACGAAGTGCAAGGTCGATACTTACACTGCGCACGGGCCACTGTTTTCACTCCAGCACCATTCAGTAATTTCAGTTAGTGTATCGTACCTGGTAAGTTACAATACCAATTCCTTTCCACAGTGTAAGGGTATGGACCCTGCCAACTAGAACCCGTTGGAAATACAGCAGTGAGGCACGAACACTGGGCGAATTGCCCAGTGGTAATGGAATTCTTTGTGGTTGTCTTCAAGATTGAGTGATCAATTGTTGTTCAAAGTTATCCTAAATCTAAGGAGCTCTCTAGAGCCAATTTATCCTGGTGGGCGCGTAGGAGCAGTAATTTTCCGACGTCACAGGCCACTAAGTGGCCTGTGCCCAGGGGTGGTATTTCCAACAGAACCCTTCCAGCGGGCAGTGATGAGCACCTGCAGCTGCACATGCAATTACGTCACCTTACACTGACAAACAAACCACAACCTCACGGTCCTCACCTTCCTTCTCAAGCTTCCAACAAGCTCAAGCAGCATTCAAACTCCTGCTCTCACAATACAAGCTCTCTACCAATTCAGAGCCATTGTACCAATAATACCACCCTCAACCGACGAATAAAAATCCCAATGGCCTCCACAACATTCACCCTCGCCCGAACGACGCTCACCCGCAGCTCCCCGATCCTCCGCCGGGCAGCACTACCACTCAGCCTAGGCCTCGCCTCGGGCCTCATCGCGGTACACAGCCAGCGGCCGCTGCGATTCGACGCTCAGCCAGTCATGGCCGGGCAGTCCCGGGCTTTCTCGAGCCGGGGACAAGAAGAAAGTCCAAGGAGGCGTGACGGTCTCAACTCAAACACCGTCAGCCAGCTATCCGGGGGCAGTTTATCAGGTAACACCGCACAAACTGGAGTGGAGGGATATTGAGACAAGCTGAATGCTAAACAAGGGATTTGAACTCCAGGTTTCGTGGCTGGTGTTCTAGTAAGCGTATTCTCCAAAACGCTCGTCCTGCTGGCAGGCATCGCAATGGTACTCGTCCAGGTAAGTCCGCCTCAATACGGTTTACTATCCAATCTTCTCGATTTTGGGTTCTCAATGCACTCTGTAGCCCGCCACAAGCTACCGCTTTACCACCGAGCACTCTATGAAATTACTTCCCCCAATTAGACCCATCCCAAAATGACTTGATGCAAATGCTGACATCTCTCCCCCCTTTGCCCCCTTAAAACAGGTGGCCCAGAGAAACGGGATAGACCTGATCTCGCATTTCAAGCTCAAGCAGCGCCTCCAATCGTCTCGTATCCTGGCAGCGCTCAACCGGCATACCGCTTTCAGGCTCTCATTTGCCGTCGCCTTCACCCTTTCGGCCTTTATGTCCTTCTAAGCAACCACACATCATAGACCTTCGAGCATCAAATCACATGCACGTGGATGATCCCAACGCATCTTTATTTCAAAACGGCCTCGTTTCTCGTGCCAACCACTCGCGCGTCAGCGCATCGTCCTTGAAGTAGCCTTCCATCTTGGCGAGAATCTCTTGGTTGGACTTGTTCAGCCACTCCTTTTCCTCGGCGGTCAGGAGCGTCTCGTCGATCAGGTTGCGGCAGTACGGGACCATGGTGACGTGCTCGAAGCCGAGGAAGGGCTTGTCGCCAAAGGTGTGCTCCGTCTTGACCTCGCGCACGAGCGCCAGGTTCTCGATGCGGATCCCGTACGCCCCGTCCTCGTAGTAGCCCGGTTCGATGGACAGCACGTTGCCCGCCGCGAGGGCGACGTCGGCGTACTGCTTCCGAGTGCCGATGCCGATGGGTCCTTCGTGCACGTTCAGATACGATCCCACGCCGTGGCCCGTGCCGTGTCGGTAGTCAAGGCCTGTTTTCTGTTTGGAAGGAATGGTGAGCACTTGGGACGATAGAGATGGTTTCTGGGCTTTGACTTACCCAAAGGAATTGGCGGGCCAGGCAGTCTATTGCAAAGCCTGTCGTGCCCTTGGGAAAGACGGCCGTGTCTAGCGCGATGTTGCCCTTGAGGACTAGCGTGTATGCTCTCTTTTCCTCCCGCGTTGGGGTGCCAAAATGCAGGGTTCTGGTGGTATCCGTTGTGCCGTCGAGATACTGAGCGCCAGAATCGCATAGATAAATCTTGTTAGGGTCGATCACGGCGCAAGCTCCTCGTTCAGGCTTATAGTGAATAACAGCGGCACTGGCAGAGGTTAGTACGCGGTGCGTTTTGGTTGTTCAAGAGCAAGATACCCACTTTGGACCAGTGGACGAAATGGTGTCAAAGGATAGGCCAACGAAATCCTTCTGTTTCGACCGCAGCTCCTCCAGCTTATCGGCAGCAGCCACTTCATCCAGAATTGCCTTCTTATTGACAAGCTGGTCTTCGAGCCAGGCAAAGAACTCAATTAGTGCGGCGCCGTCCCTGATGTGGCAGTTCCTCATGCCGTCCAATTCTACGTCGTTCTTGATCGCCTTGGCGTCCCCAATCGGACTTCTGACCTCCTCCACAAACTTGTCGCCTCCAAGGGCCAACTTCAGCGCCCAGGATGCTTTATTAGAGATGAAGTACTTCTTGGGCTGCTCAGATGTCGCCCTGGCCTCGACATTGCTAGCGAGTGCCTTTGTATCCGCAAAGAGCTGGTCGTAGGGCTTGACGTCTACCTTGTTTTCGTCCAGGTAACTCCGACACTCTTCCGAGAGTTTGGAAGAATCCACATACAGCGTCGCAGAGTCCTGGGTCACAATCGCATATGAAAAGAACACGGGGTTGTAGTTGATGTCGCTGCCACGGAGGTTGAAGAGCCACGCAATCTCGTCCAGCATTGACAGGACAAACCCAGCCGCCTTCTTCTTCTCCAGCTCCTTGCGTAGCTCGCTAAGCTTCGTTGCCGTATCCTTCCCCGCGTACTTGATGGGCAGGAGTACAACGGGGTTGTTGGACCGGGCAGGTCTTGCGTCGCCCCAGACCAGATCGACCAGGTTTTCGCTGACGGCTTTTAGCCCGGCACCGCCGTTCTGCCTGACCGTCTCGTCCAGCTTCTCGGCCACCGAGCTCGAAATCAAGGCCGGGTCGACCCCGACGGTCTTGCCGCCTGAAGCTTCCTCGGCCGCCCAGTCCTGCCAGGTGGGGACATCTTGCATGCCCGTTTTGAGAAGGTGCCAGTTGCTGTCGAGCTGCTTGGCGGCCTGGTTGAAGTACCGCCCGTCCGTGGCGAGGGCCGCCTTGTCGTGCGTGACCACGGCGGTGCCAGCCGACCCCGTGAAGCCTGAGATGAAAGCACGGCGGGCGTCGCATGATGCTATGTACTCGGAGGCATGGCTGTCTTCAGATGGAACGACTATGGGGTTTGGTAAGCCATCTAGGGGGGCCAGATTCTAAAAGAGAAGGCGGAAATACCATAGACGTCAACTCCCCTGTCCTTCATCAGGGACCGCAGGGCGGCCAGCCGAGACGTAGTATCAACCGTCTCCATATCTTCGACAGATGGGGGACCGGCTTGGTTTTGAAATGCCCTCTTAGTTCGAAACACGGCAGGTGCGGAGCTGGCGTGAGAAACACGACCTGGGAAGCCCACTGAAGTCCGTAGGAACGAAAGAGCTGCAGGACTAGGTCGAGCCCATATATAGCGCATCGAGGCCTGGACCGAGACGCTAGATGAGACCCAAAGCAACGTGTGCCCGCACAGAGCCCAGACACAGCAAAAGAGGACCCGGGACGGCTACTGCAGCAAGAGTATATACGTGCAACTATCTCAGGATGAGCTTAATCGCAAAGGAGCGGGTATTCGAGGTTAAGGATGGTTGTGGTAGCGGGTAGGACCCCACCTTCAGCCCACCCCAGGCTGCAGCAAGCCGATCCCTCACTGCAAGTGCTCCGCAGCGGGGCGCTAGCTCTTATCAAATGGCAGCAATCTTGGCATCGCAGCATCGAACCTTAACCCTGACTACACACGACACCAGCTGCCGGGAAGTTGAAGGAACGCAGAGGCTCTACTTTGCTCGTTCTCACTTTATTGTCTTTCAGATCATGGTAGGAGGATTGAAAGTGCTATGTTAGAGAAGGCCAGCATTGAAACCCATTCAAAAGGACCCCCGAAATATGTGTTCTTTTTGTCCGAAAGCTCAACCTATCAACTCTATCCTGATACCCTCCGTTGGACCGCCCGTATCACTCCTCCATGCCGTCCTGCCCCATGACTGTTAATATTAGCCGTTCAGCTACCCATCTGCCTTCAACACTCATCCTCGGTCAGCATTCCGAGGGCAGACGGCAGCAGGGATTGTGGGTTACTAATGGACTCGAGGACTAGACGCACCGCAGAAAAACCAATTTAGCTTTCTCCGATTCTACCATTCGTCTAGTCGGATCCGATTTCGTGGAGGCGGTGCAGGCCCAAAGCACTTTGACAGGATCGTTCGCGACGGTGTCCGGCACGCCATAATACGCTCCAGCAGTCCCTGCATACTGGTCCATTCGTCCCATGAGCGGAGTCACTAAGTGTTCCGTGAAGACGAATACCACGGTCCACAGCCTGCCAGACCGCCACTCATTCACCAGCTTGCCCGTGAAGCTGTTATTTAGGGTCTTAGAAGCTTTCTGCCTTGAGAACTAGCCACCGGGTACCTGCTCGAACATCCATAGAACCGGGCATAGATGCTGTGATGCGGAAGCGTAATGTCTCGCTCTCGACCACCACACTAGGCAAACTCGTCCTATTCACATCGAGAGTCCCCCCCATCCAAAAATTCAAATCCTCCCACGACGGGGTCTCCCGATGATGTCTATCCTGCCATAGCCAGGCGAGAACATGCTCATACCCCGCCGGGTGGATAAGTAGCGATTGGGATGGAAAATGGTCATGACTGGAAAAGAGGAGATGTAGGGTTTTTCTCGATACCATGAGGGAGGTTTATCGTGAATTCGACAGCTTGTAGATGCGAGGGTGACTGGTGGTCCCAGATGATGTAGTTCCTTGTCATTTCCCAATCGCAATGTGGCAAAACTTGTCGTACTTTGAAATGACAACCTTCGGCAGCATCTAGCCAGAGATTGGAGTAAACCAAGCCCAGTTGTTGATACTCGATAGATGAGATGAGACATGTCTGAGAAGGAACCCGAACATGCTGATAGGGGAAGCTCAAGAACTGAAGGCCATGGCGTGCGCGAATGAAGTGATTCGGTCCGAGCTTGTCAAGAAGAATTCCTACCTCATTAGCATTCCCTAGGCTTTTTGGATTTAATCGCTGACGAGACTGAAACCGCCCATCAGCAAGTTTGAGATAGTACGAGGCGCTGGGTGGCCAAACCCCACCCTGGCTGTCTTGACTCGGCAGCACAAAGAGCCGGCCAGCTGAGTTCAGCCGGATACCGTGCGCGGTAATGTTAACCTCGGTCGTGGCGTCCCAAGGAGTGCGATCAAAAGACCACGAGACAAACCTCTTCCTGAGAAATGCAAAATCGGCGGGAGAGGAGGCAAAGATTGGCAAAGGTCTGGACACCCTTCTCACTTCTGTATGCGGATCGAATTCCCACGCGAAAATGGAGAGGTCGCCAGTCCGCCGGATAATCTCCTCCTGTAGTCGTTCGAAGGCCTTGTCGCCCTCACCGTAGATAAGGGGCATGTTGACGTCGAAAATGCCGACCAGGCTATAGGCACGATCTTCGGGCCGTGTTGTCGTATGGTTTGCCGCCCACGACATTCTCTCCGCGACAGCTAGGTCTTTGAGGCTTGGGAATGGCTTGTGATTGAGAATAGCGCTCGAGATGCCAGTGATGATGCTGATGTACTCAACCATATCGTCCTTAGTGCCTATCCTATTCCAATCCTTATCGAAGAAGACGACATTGCGAGGGGCAATGAGTTCCTGCAGGGTCCAGCCGCGGGTAAACCACCGACAACGTGAGATGCCCCCGAAGTCTCCGTTGGTGAAGTCGGAAAGGAAGACGTAGCAGACGTCAGCTCTCTGGTACCATCGGTACATGGAGTTAATGCTCTCTGTCAGCTCGGCGCTGCTTGACTTGTCGATGCAGCAACTGTCGACCCAGGCCCATTCATAGCCCTCTTCTAGGGCTACCCGACAAGTCCCCACAATCTTCAGGTAACCGGCCTTGGAGGTCAATGAGGCTGGGCGATCAGTCATGTCCTGGAAGGACCCCTCCTCGTCTCCCCAGGTGTGTGAGAGGATAGCATAGCGTGGTGCCGATATTTCAAAAAACTCTTTGAGCTCCCCAGTTATTGTGTTGATCAGTCGCATTTCGCTGGCTTAACTGAAGCATGTTCGAATTGTAACAAGGTACGGAGTAGGTGTTGTTGACTGCACACGGCGATGCGAAGGGGCGTACGGCGTGGGAACGAGGAGCCCAACCAACCTGGACGGGAAGTTTTTCTTATTGTGCAGCTTGAATGCACCTTCATCATTTGACAGAGTTAGGGGATCGGGACGCGTCCTTAAGGCGGCAGCCAGGCAATGGCGCGATCGAGTGCGGCTCTGTGTGACCACAGCCGCCGCCTCCTCTTCCCTGCCCAGGCCGCGGCTTCGCGGCTGCCCTAACATCCCTTCCCGGGCAATTACAGCACTGTACTGTATGTACATACATACCACAGCGTCAGCACCACCAGGATGGTCTGCTTTTGGCCCTGGTCGCTCCATACGGCTGAGGATGTGGGATAGAAGCTCGGTTTGCGTTGGGAATGAGATTGAGAACATTGGCAGGGCGAAAAGTCAACACATTTCAGCGCGTAGGCCGTTGCAACTCGCAGTTGCGACACAGCGTGCGGTTATAACTCCATTCAAGGAGGGGATCGTGGGGATGCAACGAGGAGCGGGTGAGGTCATCTTTAGTGCATAAGGATCCACCCTTATCCACTAATCAGTGTTACTCCGTTAGGTCTTTGATGCCTGATACAAGCATTTTCAGGTACCTAACAGCGCTGTAGCGGCCCACTGAGTGCTTGCTGCGACTTCACGACAGCATAAGGTAACTCGGCATTTACAGAGCTTAAGCTTGAGAGGGTGAATGCCTTGCGCAATTCATCAGTTCACAGCTTCGACACCATTGGATGTCATGAGTGCGAATCTCAAATATAACGTAAAATCACCACACAATCTCAGGGTCAATTGGATCAAGTAGAAACACTAGATCGGGAAATAGTTCAAAACGGACGATGGAACAATTGCCGCTACCAACAAGCCTCGCTGAGGTCGAGCAGGTACGTATCGCCGGACATAGAATGCACCAAGGATCCAATCATCAGAAACGTCTGCTAACATCTGAAGCAGCTAATCCGAGCTCTATATCAGCCGAATCCTCCTGAGACCATCTCCAAAATCCAGGAGCTGCTACACCGGTTGCAGAGGTCACCAGAGGGTTGGCAGCTCGCCCAAAGCTTGATTGCGCACCCCGAGGACAACGTCAGGTTCTATGCTGCTCTCACCCTCATTGTCAAACTTAACAGAGACAGGTAATCAGTCATGTTTACTCCTATCGTAACTGTGCTCGATACCTTTCCAGCTAACATTGGGTACAGCTCTGGTTTGAACGAAGATGATGCAAAGGGACTCCTCGAAAATATTATCAACTGGGTCATTCAGTCGGTGGCAGATGGGACGGCCACATTTGTGGTCAAAAAGCTATGCTCCGCTCTCGTCACCTATTTCATGCAATTCTCACATCTGTGGCCCAGTTGTGTGCGCCATTTCGCCTACTGCCTGGACCTTGGCCGGGGCACCCCTATAGAAGGTCTGGACGATGCCCTCAGTGCCGACATTCTTGCCAGCAAGCTCGACCGCCCGAAGCTGAGGGTAGCAATATGGTTTGCTACGCTTCTTGTCGAGGAGGTTGGCAAGACAGACATGAACGCACCCAGATAGTAGGTCACCCCGTCCACGTTTGTAGCAGATGTGACTAACTGAATATAGTATCCAAGTACATGGCCGTCTCACCAAGAATGGCTCCGACGTCACATGTCTTGTCGCTCGCGGCTTCTCTCCGCCACAGGACAATCCTGGCCTGAAGATTCAAGGGGAAGCGCTTAGTTGCTTCCAGGTAAGAATGGACCACGAATACCTCACATGTGTTTTACCCCTCAAACGTGCTAGTAGTATGCGTGCGATGCGGAGATGCTAACTACGAGTCACAAGGCGTGGATTCTGTATGCACAGCGGGCATCTCCAATCCCGGAGCTGGTCGTACCGCTGAGGCAGTTGGTCGCCCCAGCCATGAGCTGCTTCACCGATGAGGACCTCTATCAGCCCACCGCTGAATTGTTCAGCGACGTGCTCTCGAACTACTCCTCATTCTTCACACAGGAACAATACGCTGCACTGTCCGCCATGTTCGAGAGCCCGTGGGCGGCAGAGCGCTACCAGCAGCTCATCCACGGCAACCACCACGAGGACGGCATATCGTTCGGCCTGTTGCTGCTAGCTTATGGGGACGCCAAGGTGCAGGAGCTCATGACTAATACTGACGAACGATCACAGAGGTTCCTGGGAAGTCTTAGTGGGCTCCTTGCCGCCGACGGGTACCTCATGGGAGACGATCTGATATTTGTGCCTGCCCTCGAATTCTGGTCCACATTTATTGAGACCATGATTGACAATGCCTTCACCGAGGGCATTGAGACGAACAGTTGGAGGCCATATGCCGAACAGCACCTAAAGACAGTGATTACGAATTGCTGGCGCAAGATTCAATGGCCTCCTGCCGAGATTTTCGCGGAATGGGACTCAACCGAGCGCGTCGCGTTCGGCGACGCTAGAAAGGACGTCTTTGACATGCTTCAGTCCGTCTTCACTTTAGAAGGCCTGGGCCTGATATCTTTCTTTGCTGATCTGTTTCTCCAATCACTTGGCACCCAGTCCTGGGCCGAGCTGGAGGCATCGGCCTTCTGTCTCGGCGCCTTGTCCGATTGCATTTCGGATGACGCCAAGTATGATCACGAGCTAAGCAAGGTCTTCGATTCTCCCTTCTTCCAGCTCCTTGGCCAGGCTCAAGGCCCGATCCCACTCCGTCTTCGACAGACCGGGTTGGCCCTGATCGAACGGTACTGCGAGTACTTTGAGCGGCACGCCCAGTACCTTCCTGATGCCCTTAATCTGCTCTTCGCCGCCGTCGGTGACTCCGTGCTCGGGGGACCGTCGGCGCGGTCAATTTCTACCCTGTGCTCCTCGTGTCGCTCCATCCTTACTGGGGAAGCCGGCGCGTTCATCAGGCATTATCAGAGCATCCGCAGCGCCCAGGTGCTCGACTCACTCGCTGAAGAGAGGATTGTTCTTTCCATTGCTTCCATAATTCAAGCCATCAAAGACGAGTCTCACAGGTTGGATATGTTTGGGGATCTCTACACGATCCTGAAGAGCGATTTTGAGCTCGCTATCCAACTCAAGGCCCAACCCGGTCTCCTGAACCTCTCCCGTCCAGACTTTCTGAGAGGACTGGACCCGCCCAATCCCCAATCAGTACCTCCTGTCGAGGATATATCGTTGCAGATGACGCTGAGGTCCATGAGATGTCTCGCCAGCATGGCCAAGGGCATGCAGGACGTCAAAGAACACCCGGTCGATCTGGACAGCGAGCCTCAGACTTACCACACAAGCAGCAGGCTCGCTAGCCTACAAGAGGATATCATGAGGGTTCTTGTTGAGGTTCAGCGAACCTACAGCACCAGCGGCGAGGTCGTGGAGATCATCTGCAACATCCTCCGCGCCGGCTTCTCCGAGACAGAACCGGGGCCCTTCGTCTTTCCTCCGAATGTCGTGACGAGCTATTTTGTCCAGCAGCGCTTCGAGACTCCCCGGGTGGGGACTCTACTGAGCACCGCGTGCTCGTTTGTTGGATCACTCTACCGGGGCCCAAAGGCGTACGTGCCGAGCCAGCTAGCCGAGCTCTTTCCATGGGTGGTTTCCCTTTTGCAAGCCCTGCCTGGTAAGTTCCGCCCTCTATCTGCGTAGGAATTTCGCTAAACAATACGACCCGGCAGAACCCGAGGCGGACACAGAGATCTCGCAAAACGGCATCATCTTCGTCGACAAGGTCATGTCCAAGTACCCAGAAATCCTCTTCCACCCGCAGTATTCCCCTCTTCTCGAGTTCTTCTTCCTCTTTTCCCTCAAGGTACTCGACGGGAAGGAACCCCTTCCCAAAGGTGCATCCGCTGAGTTTTGGGTAAGTACCCCTCCTCCACCCTCTTTCCCTTTCCTATCTCCCCCCAAAAGTATTGATGAACTCATAACCGTTATCGACCTATCAACCAATAATTGCTAATCATAGAACAAGGCAAATTTCATCTCCCTCAAACCCTCCTCCCTCTCCCCGCCCAACGGGCCAGCCCTCGGGCAGACCCTCACCTCAGCAATGTCCCACCTCGGCCCCCTCCTCGCCCGCAGCCTGGTGCACAACATTGGCGGCAACGCGGCCCGCAGCGAGCTCGACAAGCTGTGTGAGCCCCTCAAGAAGCTTGTCGCGCAGCACCCTGGTGCGCAGGCGTGGCTGGAGCAGGCGTTGCTTTTTGATGGGGATCAGGGGGATGGAAATGGGGGTGGGAGTGGGAATGTGGGTGGGAGTGTGGGGGATAATAAGGGGATGATGATGATGCCTTTCCCTGGTCGGGAGAGGGTTTCCAGGGAGGAGAGGTTGCTTTGGTTACGGAGGGTTATTTCGTAAGTGTTTCTTTCTTTCTGTTTCTTGATGGAGTTATTTTGTGAGTGGGTTGCTAATGATTCGATGTTGGAAATGTTGCAGGTTGAGGGGTGCGCGGCAGACCAACCAGGTGGTCAGGGAGTTTTGGCTTGCGTGTAGGGGGTCTAACTTCACCTACGTTTCTTGATGGGCTTTACGTTGGCCGGCAGACGGGGAGAATGGCAGTGTCTTGGATGGGAGTAGGGGCATGGTTACGGGCATGGAAGATACAGGCTCTAAGCTGGGTTGGATGTGAGGGGGATACAGACTCTGTCGATAGGGGAAGGGGCGTGAATGATGTTATGCGATTGTGCCTGTGAACTTTCTTGTTTTGACGACATCATGTCAAGGTTACACTAAATCGTCGACGGTTTGGCGATAGTTTGAGTTCTCATACAGCATGCGGGCGGAAAGGATATGGTTACGACAGTGGACCAGCGATTATGGTTGGAAAAAGGAGACGGTAAAAGGGGCAGTTTCTGTCACGGCAATTGTTGCAATCCAAGCCTCACTCCCACCTTTCAGGGTAAAGTGAGGTGAGTACTTAGGGTTCAATGTCTCGTCATGAGGATCCAAGCGAAGACTGCATCAATGATCCCGAGTATTATTTTGACGAGGATGGGAATCTATCTAATTGTCGCTGAGAGCTCTATATGCTTAAGCTTATAGTTTTACATTTACAAATGGTTTTACACTCCTCATTCATTCACCCCCAAACGTCCACCTCATCCGTCGCTCTCTCCGTCTAGCTCAAACCAAGCCCACAGCCTCCCTGACCAGCCTCATAGTCCTCCCCGCACTTTCCTTCGCCTTCCTCGTCCCATCCTGCGCAACCTCCCGGAGATAATCTCCTCGACTAACAAGCCCCAAATAACGTTCCCGGACCTCCTCGAGCTCCCTACAAACGGCACTGGCCACAGCCGCTTTCAGTTCCGGGCTGCGAAGCCCCTTCAGGTCCCCATCGGCCAGCTCCGCCGGGGTACGGCCGAGCGGGTCGCACGCGGACAGGATGTCAACGAGATTGGCCACGGCCGGCCTGGTCTCGGGCTCGTACGTGACCAGCTCGATGCTGTCGGTACGGGCCTTTTTGATCTTGGTTTCAATCTCGGCGCGCGAGTCGGTGATCAGGATCCGGGACATGGGTGATGGGTCTGATTTGGACATCTTCTTGCTCGGGTCCGTGAGGGACATGATCCGCTTGGATGGGGCTACATACGTCCATTCAGCGCGAGTACAAACAACCAGGGTGAGTAAAAACGAGCCGGGTGGGTTTACGGACAGTCTACTTGGGGCTAAGGGTTGGGGGGGCGAACTCACCGATAAGAGTCTGCGGTGCGACCAGGCAGTCCGTTTTGTAGGTGTGGTTAAAGTTGGTGACGCACTCGCGGGCGAACTCGAGGTGCTGCCGCTGGTCCTCGCCCACGGGGACGTGGGTGGCACGATGCACGAGGACGTCGGCGGCCTGGAGGATGGGATACGAGAACAGGCCATGCTTGAGAGATCGTCTGGCCTTGGCATCGTCCAGCGACGCATTCTGGCCGAGTTGCATCTTGCTCTGTGTCCGATTGAGTCAGATAACCTGGTCTGGTTCACGACATCGGGTACGGGTTATTTTACCTTCCACTGCGTCATGCGCGACAGGTAGCCCGTCGACGCGGTGCAGCTCAGGATCCACTGCAGCTCCGAGTGCGCCTCCACTGCCGACTGGTAAAAGATGGTAGAGCGGTTCGGGTCGAGTCCGATGGCGAGCAGGGCGGCCAGCATCTCGAGTCTGTTCTGGAGAAGCTCCTCCCTGGGCCGCGGCACCGTGATGGCGTGCAAGTCGACGATGGAAAAGAGCAGCCTCGTTTTCGAGCTGGCCCCGTCCTGCATGCGCTTCCACTCGCGTAGAGCTCCGAGGTAGTTGCCCAGATGCGGTACGCCGGTGGGCTGGATGCCCGAGAAGATGACGCGCTCATCGGAATCGGATGCTACCTCAGAGGCGTTTTCATTACGCAGCGTATCTGTCCCAAGTGTTGTGAAAGAGCATCTTTGGCCATAACTTGTGCAACTTGTTGTTGCTGCTGGTGTTATTGTTGATTGTCGTGTCGCCGTTGCTGCTGCTGTTGTGCTGCGGACTCGGAGGTTTGCATTTGTGGTGGTCACCAATTGCTGCCAGGCATGGCGGCTAGCTCTGCAGCTGCAATTCATCTCAATCCCGCAAATCTCCCTCAATATGCAACGACCACCAGTGGCAAACGACAGAATCCGACCGACAAACCAAACCTCCCGATGAGATGAGGCTTTTGACGCAACAAGACGAGGGAGACTATGAGTGGTGTGTTGGTGGGGCGGAAACTCACATCATGACCGAAGCCAGGGAAACTCAACTAACAGGTCACACAACGACTCCGGGACACGAAGTTCTTTACATGGGAATAAGGGTCCCCCCGCTCACTAGTCACGGTATGCAAGAGTAAAGGTGATCTTGGCTGGAACCATTTATGCTCTACTTGGTATTTATACAACACAAGCTTCTGCAAGACGCGGTCTATCATTACACACTGCATCGTCTTACAACCATCCCTCTCACCGGCCCCCAGAAATTCGTCGTCTCTCTGTCGCCAGATACTCCTCAATTTCCTCCGGAGCAGGGAACTGCTCTCTCGGACCCTTGGAATGGGGCTTGTGTTCTGGTCGCCTCTCGAGGTAGCTCATATGCTGCCACTTGTCCTCGAGCAATTTCTCCGCCTCTGCGGCCGTCTTATCCATTTCCTTGGCGACATCTGTCGTACAGAGTTAGCAATCCATCTAAGCCTCCCTCTTACAGATATCAATGCAAAACCAAGAGTAAAAACAAGCCCAACATACCCAACTTGCTAAACTCCCAAACATTCGCCTTCATACCAATCCCGTAGTAGGCATGCTTCTGCAGAAACGCCAGCCACAGCTGCACCGTCTCCGGGTGGCCGTCCTTGATTTGGATCAGGCGGCGGAGCGTGATGCGCTCAAAGTTCTCCTGCGACTTCTTGTAGATAAAGGTCGACTTGGGCACCGTCCACCGCTCCACCATGCGCGGCAGCGGCACCGGCCCGTACGCGGGGAGCCCCGCGTAGTAGGCCGCCCGCAGCGCAAAGTCGCAAAAGAACTCGAGGTTGCGCACTGAGTACGACCGCAGCTGCAGGTTGCACGTCGGCACCCCGTACTCGGCCTGCCGCCGGAGCGGCTTCAGGTACAGCGCCTCGAGCGCACGCGGCAGGCGCGAGATTTTCGTGCCGGGACTTGGCTCCGTCTGGCTTTTGCTCTCGATCGGAGGTGCGGGCCTGCTGCGGATTTTTCGATCGGGTGGTCAGTCGTTACCTTGATTTGCGGATTGATCTGTTGGGTTTGTCTTGTATGGCGGTATGGCGAACTAACCTCGACTCTTCGACGGAACCAGACTCCGTAGCTCTGTGTAATCATCTTGTCAGAACTTGGAGGCATAGCCCGTCCGTATCGTTTGCTCACATCGAGGCATTGGTGCGAAACTGTGTCGAGGCCCGCGGGACGCCTATCTGTGCTGACCGGGGGGTTATAAGGGGCTGTGGCTCGGTTAGATGAGTTTATCGCGACCCCAGAAGAATTTCTTTCTGTAGCCTTACCGATTGCCCCTGAAGGACAGGCCGTAGTGGCCGTATTAACCGTGGTGAGCTCATCTCTGCGGACCCTCAAGTGATGGATGATAGGTGCGGAGGATGCTAACCTGTCGCGGTCGTTGGAGTTTTTGGCGCCAAATCGGCCAGGGTCGTTATCGATAAGATGGATCACCCACACGAGCTCACTTCGTAGCACTGATCGCGATTCACGAGTAGCAGCCAGCATAAGAAGACATGAGACCGACATTGTATTGGCTTGGCATTTATTTAGCTTTTGATAGCTCTACCAGCAATGCACGGCAAGTGGCAACTCTAGCTATCGAGACGGATCATCTGCCCCATGTCCACGCCTCTGACTGCGTGATACGGTCGCAAGATCTCTGTCCGCTCACCGACCCTTTCCTTCCAAGACCCCAAGTCCAGATACGGGTTGCTTAAGCATACCGTATCCGCATCCTAGGTGGCTGCCCAGTGGTGCCTGAACCTTCAACCAGGGACACGGGCCGCCCCGCTCCGGGCGATCCTCCATGGCTGCAGGGCACCTGGGAGACCCTCCTGGACTCTTCTTATCCTGTAAAGCTGTGGCACGTGTCCTCCCGGCACCTTTCAACCCTTGCGTTTCCTCCGGCCGGCAACCAGCTTCTTGTAGTAGCCCTTCCTCCCGCTCATCTTCTGCTCCTGAATCTCATGATACTTGCTCTTGAACTTGGAAAGGTTCTCGCCTGACAGAACCTCCTCCACGATGGTCCGCTTCCTCTCCTTGCGCGTCAGGCGGCCGTTGACGCCGTCGGTAGCCCCCGCGATGATGGTGCCTTGATGGCAGTACTCGGGAATGAAACTCTTACGGGAGTCCTTCTTGAAGAATTGCTTTCCCATGGCAACAACGTCGCGCATCCTCAGCAGCCGCAAGTCGCGTTGTAGCTCGGGCGTCAGGTTCGTGCGAGGTAGGTTATACCAATCGTCAAGGGTGTCCTTGGGTCCCTATGCAGGGTCAGTACCAACCTGGCGGTAAAAAAGCAAAGTAGATCTGTATAAAATAGGATCGATCTCAGAGTAACTATGATAAAATGGAAATCATTGTGGTGCCAGCTCGAGTCCCATGACGGGATCTTGCCAACGTCATGATATTATTGGGATTTACTTCATCAGAGAACACGTGGAGCGAGGGGGCCGAACGAGCAGGGTCTGACGCATACCTTCTTCTTCTGGGCAAGCTGGGGAATCCGAACTGCCAGCTCCTCAGACTTCTTTGAGACAGCTGTCTGCTCCTCAGCAGTCGATTTGAGAACTGCCGTAGCAGTGGCCGGAACCTTTGCCGCGGTTGCGGTAGCTACCGGTCCAGCGTCAGAGCTGCCACTGCGAGATAGCCGAGATTCAGCCTCGGCAAGAAGCCGATCAATCTCAGCATCTGGTAGACCAAGAATCTCGGTCGTCATGGCGTTAAAGCCACCCACTGTCCGGGGTGAGGAACCGGTATGCGTTCGATAAAGAGTCCGGTGTAGAGAAAATGAGAGCAAGCAGCAAAGGGAAAAAAAACTTCAAGAGTCGACCACTCGAAATCCAATGTGGGGCTGACGGACAGACTAGCGGAGTGGAGCAGAGGGTAGTTACTGTGTACATCGGGTGGGCCGGCAGAAAGGGCCGGTGCTTTTGACGAGACGACATGTCTCGGCAGTGGAGAAACGTTGATGCTTCCTCCTTTGGTTTCAGAGGCTAAAAGTCCTGGCTTTCATTGGCTATGCCGTCATAGGGCGGGCTGGTGAGGCTGGTGGCATGCCAGTTGTCAGCGGGTCGGGCAGCTCGAAGAAAAATAGTCATAAAAGGCCAGCCAATCCCCCGCCCGCATTGGGCTGCTAACAAAGTACCTGCGCCACAGCCTGTTGTCCTTCCACGCTGATGCCCAACTTCTGCAGCTGGCTGACCGCTTGCACAAATCATCACTTGGTCCTTCCCCGAACTCTCGAGAAACCTCAGGATTTCCCGGTCAAGTTTCCGCATCACGATCGCATCGCTATTATAAAAGGTACGTTTTTTGTGTGTTCAATCTTGTTTGTTTCGCTGCATCTTTACCCCGGCAAGCTTCGCCAATCTCTCTTATACAATTTCATATTTCGATGCGTCCATTCAAATCTCACCAATCATCTCATACCGCTCGCAACTAGGAGCTGAGTGGCTCGCCGTCTGTCAGTCGCTCAAACAACCTTTTTAAACTCCACCCATTCGCTCCTTTTCCCACACGCGCTCACCCAATCATTCTGCCCAATCAACAAGAGCATCCTAGGGTGGGAGAGGCTGGTTGCGACGGTAGAACGGGCGCCAGTCGCAAAGTAAACAAATGCTTCGAGCGATCATCGCATTGCTTATGAATTCTCACGCACTTGCAGACGCTGAAATCCTGTGAAGCAGAGACGTTGAGACGAACCCGACGCGCGATATCGGACCAAAATCTCAAGCCATCAATTTTCTGAGCTGCTGCAATTGACGAGGCGAGCTGAACGTTGGATACACATACCCCGAGACACGCGAACCAGTCATGGACCCGCAGAATCCCTCCCAGGCGCCCCACGGGCAGCAGCCCCGGCAGATGCCCGCCTACGACCTCAGCCTAGGCGGCCACTATGGCGCCAGCGCAGCAGTACGTGCTTTCAACCCATCTCGCCTAGAACCAGCCTCAAGGGGGAACGAGACACTAAGATGCAAATGTGCTAGATCTCCGCCCAAGGCTTTGCCCCGTCCGAGTTATACACAGGAACATGGGCGAACGTTCACCAGGGCCTGAACGGGTCTTACAAAGACATCCTCACAGCGTACTGGCAGCAAATGATCACACACCTCGAAACCGACCAGCATGACTACAAGATGCACCAATTACCACTGGCGCGGATAAAGAAGGTGATGAAGGCCGACCCGGAGGTCAAGATGATTTCGGCCGAGGCGCCCATCCTGTTTGCCAAGGGCTGCGACATCTTCATCACCGAACTTACCATGAGGGCGTGGATCCACGCCGAGGAGAACAAGCGGCGGACGCTCCAGCGGTCTGACATCGCCTCGGCCCTCGCAAAATCCGACATGTTTGACTTCCTCATCGACATTGTGCCGCGCGAGGAGGCCTCGACCCACGCAAAGCGTGCGAGCAACCAAGCCGCTGCTGCTCAAGCGGCCCCGGCGCAGCCCCAAATTCCCGGCGTCGGCGCGCCGAACCATGGCGGCCAGCACCCCATGACGGCCGATTACACACTTGGCGGCCAACACATGGCCCCTGAAGCCGACTACCGTCAACCCCAGACCATGTACCCGGGCCAGGTACAAGCCGGGGGACCTGCGTACGGTCAGCCCCAAGCGCAGATGTACAACGTTGATGACATGTACGCCTACGGCACCATGCCGCCACCCCAGGTGTGTTGAAACCCTCGCCCGCGCTCCTTGGAGCCAATTGGGCTTCTGTCGACATTCTGACACCCGTCTGATACTGACACTTCCAGTAGAGCACTTAGGAGGATGCTCAGGTGAAGACGGAGCATGATGCGGCGTCAGGGAGCGACCCAGAAGTGAAACGCGAAGACAGCCCCCTTACCCTTTAGGATGCGGCGGGGGCTCGAACGGACGTCGCCACGGAAGAATGGTGCCAGCTGCTGGAGCGATTCGAACAGACGGAGTAGTTATGCCTGGGCGAGTTTCCAGCTCACTCACAGCAGGCGCGGGAGGAGCCCGAGTCCGGTGAATGGTTAGGGGGAAGAGGGTCGTTGTTGATTCCTTGTCATGTCAGTCTGAGTTGAAGCCCGGTGAGACTGCAAAGCTCGGTGGGCTCTGGCGTAAAAACAAGGATCATGTCTGGATTGTTGGGACGGAGGCAGAGGAGGTTGTCTGTGGTGCAGTTGAGCGAAGAAGTGACTGGAGCGACTAGATTGGTTTTCAGAAGCAAAGCTCGCGACGTGTCTTGCCTTCTCTAAACCTAGCGGTCAAGTTCCCTGTTGATGTTGGATTTCTTGTAGGTACTCGGGTAGTGGGTAGGCAGTGGCGGTGTGTTGGCGGTTTTGTGTTAGCTTCTTTAATTCATGATTTCAGCTAACGACATGCCTTCACTCTGAGACCTGCTGGCATGTGGTTTATAGGTCAGTGACGACAAAGCAAGTGTCGATCAGCTCAAGCGAAGCGTGACCCAGTTCTAGCGAGCATGTGACCTCTGACTGTTTGGGTAAGCCTGGATATCGGGGTCAGCATTTTTGCACGAGCCTGACCTTCGAGCAGATAAACTGAATTGGGGTCGCCAATGTGAAGAACGCGTCCGTCCTTCCTCAGAAAGATAGGCCGATTCATAGAGCCGTGCGGCCGTCTTTGATTCTATAAAGAGATGCCAGTTGAGGCAATGAGGAGAAATCCATTTTGCACAGGTATCAGTTAGCTGAGGAAAATCGACTTGGATGGTACGAGGATAATATCGAGAAACAGACCGCAAGATAAGCAACAACCGATCCATCACCACGCCAACGAACCGTGAATCTGTGTGGGCGACTGCAGGGTCCGAGTCGATCATGCATGTCTAGATTCTGGACCTTCTTGCGCATCCTGTCGAGTATCGCAAGCTTAAATCTCTTTCGGGGTCTCTGATAGTTAGGTATGCTCGCTGCCTTCTTGAACTTTTCTCCTGGGAGGAAAAGCAAACATTCCTAAGATGCGTCGACTTCAAGTCGCTGGATGCAGCGGTCTGTGCGTTCGTTAGGCCACTTTCGTAGACAAACAAACCTGTGAAGTTTAACAGACCCGAGAGAATGGAATGATTGCATGTGTAGCGGATTTAAGAAGGCATTTCCAGGCCAAGAATATACGTACTGTAGCATAATTATTGCAGCGTCATGAATCCATCATGTCTGTCTAAGTAGGCCATTGCAAGCTTCGCGGTGAATGCCATGGGGAATCGTCATGGCTTCAGGCTGTCAAGCTCTCTATTCAGCTGTCACCAAGTGGCAGCTGGCTTAGCGTCAATGTCAACCCCTTTTCAAATCCCGAGAATCGTCGTTCAACAAGTTCATCTTAGCCCAGGGAGTAGACAAGTTATGAAGGTCATCAATGCATTTTGTATGACAAACCCGCTGGCAGATAGTCCCTTTTGAGACTGATATCCTTCGAAGAATCAGTCCCCTATCGAAGGTTTCTTGAGTCCTATACTGTGCTCTCTATTGTCCTAGGCATCATTCTATCCACTGCGTTGTACTCGTAAGGGGGGGAAGAGTTTGGTGTAAAAGGTAAGAACGTCTGTTTCTGTGCCCAAAATCTAAGAAAACTCATTTTGGTGCCCGGCACATGCTAAGATGATCGATTGTTTAGGTAGCCAATAGCAACTGGAACCATTCTGTAAATGGGAGGTGATCCCATTCACGAGAAGAATGGGATGTCGCCGTTGCCGGCTGCAGCTATACAGCACGCAAGAATTACATGTTCATTTTCCAGATACGGTCATCTCAAGAGATATAGCCCTCGGTGTCTGCTTCAATGATCGGATTTCCACTCACTATTGACCGGTGACGGTGAATAGGAGATGCCGCTCCTGCCTTCCATCCCGGCCTCCTAGGCCGTGCAAGTTGCACCTTCTCCGGGCCTTCCGCTGTGCTTTCCCGGCTCCGGAGCGCGATCCGATGACGGTCCGGCGGGTATGGTAGCCCTCGATTTATTCCCAGGAAATCCTGATATGCGCATCAATACGCATCAATACAATGCTTGGGGGTGTTTGGATTTGGCACAGTGAGCAAGCACAATCGCAATTTTCCTTACCTCACCAGCCCTCATCTGGTGTCTTCGACTATTGTGTTATTTGGAGTCGCCTTTGGTAGAATTCCTCCTTCTGCCATTCAACCTTTTACCATCACGGAAACATCGACCGACCATATATTTTGACCTCGGGCTGCTTGATTCCCAAGTAATCATTCTTACTCGTAGTATACGAAGTCGCGAGAAGCCCACCTTCCACTTCAATTTTTTCCCTCACCATCATACCTACCGTTTTCATCCAGCAACCGTTGGAGGTTCCTTCCGCTCCTGGGATTGCTGCTCACGAGACCAGTTTTGGAGGAACGACTGCCAGTCCCGACCCAGCGATCTCGTTTGGATTGTTCCCCTCCCCTCTTCTCTCTCTTTCCTCATCCAAAGGGAACTTGCGAGGATTCCCGTTATGTTCCATCCTCCTTCGTCAGGTCCCATCCACAGACCTTACACCCATCTCTCAAGCACGGCAGCAAGTTACCGGAACCGTAATCTTAACTTCGCCAGTTCCTCCAACATGGCGCAGGCGCGAGAGCCCACGTTTAACCCGTCCTCTCCTCATTCGTCGAGTGGTGGTGCCGACTCGTACAAACATGAAGGCACTCCAGACACCAGACTCACTGCTTTCTCTCCCGACGGTGATTCGGGCAGGTCCAACAAGCCGCTTGCATCTCTCAACTTGAATGTCTCCTCGGAGCATCCCGTCCACTTCCATGGCGCGTCAGCGGATGGTTTTGGTCCTGCCTCGGCTGCTGCTGAGAAAGATCCTTTCATTTCAAGCTCAATTGTGCCCAAGCCAGAGCAAAAGTTGTCCCCGACCGCCTCTTCGTTTCGTCCAGTCTCTGTTCCACTTATCGCCCATGGCTCTTTGGGCGCGCCGCCAGGACTGAACCTAGGCCCAGGTCCCAACCAGCAGCTTTTCTCCCAGTATGCCGCTGCAAGATTCAGCGCCGAGTTGCGAATCTCCCGCTATCTCGTCGTCTATGCCCTGACGCACCCAGTCTCTCCTTCCGATGTCGAGGAATATCTGGCGGTATGATTAATATCAGCACTCTCTTAGTCCCGCCTTTGGATCATTGACAGGAAATGCAGAAGTTGGACCGGCTTGGTTCGCCATGCCAGGGCAAATGCAACATGTCTGTCAAGGATGGCAAAGTTTGCCTTCAATTGTCAAACATACGTGATGCCCGCAATGCCCACGATAATAGTCAGCTCGGGTCCCCAGATTGGCGTATCGAATACATCGGTGCGTCCGAGTTTCGCCAGGTATGTAACTTTTACCCTGCTGTATGAGATACTTTCCCGCTGACTGGCATTAGGTTTACAACCTTGCCCAGACGCAGGCCCTGTCCGATGGTCTGGTCCAAATCACGGCCTTCTCTCAAGGAATTGAGCATGGCGTTGTCCGTCTTGAGGCCGTGGTGCAAACCTTGCTGGAAAGTCAAGGGGACATTTTCGCGTTCCAGCGGCAGAGCGACGCCAACGATTTTGTCTTCCGCGCCGTAGTGGAGTTCTCCGATGCTGATGTTGCCGCCTCCGTCGTGCACAGGTACAACGGGGCTACCCTGGGCGTAAGTCCTTAAAGTATATACTTTCTAACTCTTGTCGAGCAATACTGACTCGGAGTCTCTGTAGGGCGCTCACTTGGTTCTGACGCTCTGTCAGTTCAATGCCACAGGGACAGGCGTTGAACCGATACAGGTGCTTGACCATACTCCTGGCGGTTTCCACGGCATGACAAACAACTTCTTGAATACCAACGCTGCCAACGCCATCCAGCCACAGCCAACACATGCTCTCGTTGCAGCCGGTCGTCTCGGGCAATCTCCAGCCGGACTGCCTCTGGCTCAGCAACCCATCCCAATGTATCCGATCATGTACCATGGCCATGGCCTCCACTCCGCTGGGCTGACACGGATGATGTTCGATCAGACTCCGACACGCAGCCAAAGTCTCTCCATAAACCCATTGGTCCCCATGTCAGGTGGAATGCCGATCATGGCTCCCACGTACCCCCCTCCCGCGGGTCCCATGATGATGCACGACGACTTCATCGGCCCAAGAAGGATTCAATCGTACGGACGCCTGGAGAATCGCCGCCAGAACGCCATGAGGGTCAACCGGTCTCAGTTCTACAACGCTGCGAATCACCATAATCACGTTGATGTCAACCGTATCCGTGATGGGATTGACGTCCGAACCACGGTAAGTGGTTTCTGGCTTTTCAAGAGATCGTGACTGACTGGCATAGATCATGTTGCGTAACATTCCGAATAAGGTCGACCAAGCCATGCTCAAGCGAATTATTGACGAGTCGAGCTGGGGCAAATACGACTTCATGTATCTGCGGATTGACTTCGCCAATGACTGCAAGTACGTACCAGCCACCTCCTTGTCCCGGTCCGCATTTTATTGATCGCCATTTAGTGTCGGCTACGCCTTTATCAACTTTGTGGACGTAAGTTGCCTACATAACTCTCCCGAATTCCCCTTGCTGACAATCGAGCAGCCACTGGACATTATCGATGTAAGTTGCCTTCTGATGATCCCAGCATCACACCATCTGACCCTATAAGTTTGTCAATGCACGGGGAAACCAGCGTTGGAACTGCTTCAAGAGCGACAAGGTCGCCGAGATTTCATATGCCAGTAGGTTCATGAAGTTCGCATCAGAGTGACATCCGTGTATTGACTTGACCAAGCGATCCAAGGAAAGGATTGTCTCGTTCAGAAGTTCCGTAACAGCTCTGTTATGCTGGAGGCGCCTCACTACCGTCCGAAGGTAAGGAATCCCTTCTGGCGAATCCGCTTTGGCTGACACTTTCAGCTCTATTTCACCCTCAACGGACCCAGACCCGATCTGGCGGGTCAGGAGGAGCCGTTTCCAGAGCCTGACAATCAGTCCAAGATGAAGCGCAGCTGCGAAAATGCTGAGCACGTGGGTGAGTACTTACATGCCCAGGGGATTGCAGATCGTGTGGCTAATATGTTGGCGCTTCAGGACTCTTCACACCGAATGCCGGGCAACACTTTCGCGACGAGCAGCGTCGCCGCCGTTCCCAGTACGACCGCGGGACCAGACTCGCAGCACTCGAGGAGTACGACTATGATGCACACATGCAGCAACGGGGCCTCTTCCTGCCTCACTAAACATCAGGGAGGTGGTAGAAGAGTACGGCATGCATCCGCATCAAAACGACAATTCTTGAGATCCCGAGATTTTTTGACGAATCATTCGATACAGCAGAACTGCGTTGCCTCGGCTTGCTTGCCATCTTTGACAACTCGACAAAGGTGTACACCATCTGTATTTGCAATAACCTTTTGTAATTGAAGGTCTACTACTCTTGACAGGTCAGCTGAGATATTAGACGAACACGGGGAATAATGGGTTGGCGCAGGGACAAAACGGAGGGGAAGGAAGGGAAGAGGGAAATGTTGCAGTCATACGGGGCAGGTCTGACGGGAGGGGATTGGACTATGCCGTTGGGGTTGTTGAAGCCTTGGTGGTCTAGGAAAGGTCGTCCATACCGCAGAGCCCCGGATCTTGAGCAGCCTAGCTCGGAGCTCGGATGGCCAGAATCTCTATCCCTGTATACCTAAGCCGTCGACGATAGCTTTGGTCTTCCTTCTATATTAGTATTGCCTTCTAGACCACCTGTCTCCGAATCGCCTCTTTGCGACGTTGCCTAGTGCTGTGGCCGGAGTCCCGGGCTTAGACCCCCATCAACATTTGCATAAGTGGATGTCTCTCAAAAGCATGGCCAAGATGGAGATGTTTGAAACCATTTAGCGGCAGAGATGTGAAAGATGCAAGTACATTGACATTCGGGACCCTATTAAACTACACTTAAGTCATGTCATTCATTCATCCATCAGTCATTCGTCAACTCGGATCTTCTGGCAGCGCTGGCAGCGGTTTCAGTTGCGAGTGGGTTGACCGCACCCTCGCCAGCGTCGGGTGCTGCTGCTGTCTCTCGCGCTCTTGTTGTTCGACTCCCCGTACATCTGCCCTGTCTTCACCACCCTCCTCCCCCTCTTCTGGTATTGTTATTGGTTGTGGTGTTTGTGGAGGACTTCCGGTTTCTCCCTGTCCGCCGCGAGGGGGGCGGGGTCGAGCCTTGGGGCGCCGGACTGGCGTGTGGTTTTCTTCATCTTGTTGTATTTCTACTTCCTCTCTTGCTTCCTCCTGGTCACGTTCCTGTTCTTGTTCGTAAAGGGGGGGCGAGGAGCCGGGGCTGCCGGAGGAACGGATACGGACCACTGCCGGCGTGGATTCGCGGCTGGGCTCTGACGAGGAGGGGGTTAGCGGGAGGGATTTGGACGAATAGCCGCGTCGTGGCAGGGCTGAGGCGGCGAGGGGGGCGGCGGCGGAGGAGGAAGTGGTTGTGGTCGTCGTGGCGGCTGGGGGCGGTGAAGGCGGGGAGAAGTCCATTCTCCCGACGGCGTCCATCATCCCCTGACCTGAGATGGAGTCCGACCGTGCATGTGCATGTGCCGGTCCAGGAGAGGCGGCGGACATGCCCGATATGGAATCGGACCGGCCGAAGCCGGTGTACCGTCGGTAATAGGCGGAGGAGCCGCCGCCAGGGGGTAAGGGGAAGGAGCAGACATCTAAGGACTGGGCGAAGCCGCCCCGGCTGAAGATGACGAGGATGAGGCAGGAGAGGAGGAGCACGCTCTGCAGGATGGCCATGCGCTTTTGGAAGACGACCTCGTCGGCGAGGACGTTGAGACGGGAGGTCAGGGCGACGATCTCGCGCTGCGATTGCTCGCGCTGGGTTTCGAGCGCGAGGACGGTGCTTTGCCAGATCTGGTCGTACTGCGTGCGCACGTTGCGGAGCTCTGAGAGGACTGTATTATTGAGCCTGTCGAGAAATGAATCGACGCGGCTGATTTGCTTGCGCTCCATCTTGAGGAGCACCTCTTGGAGGAAGCGAGATTGATCTTCGATGTACTGGAGCGAGAGCGACGTGTTGGATTCAAGGAGCTGGAGGCGCTTCGTAACCGTCTTGAAGAATGATTCCTGGACGGTGGGCGAGGCTGGCGGGGGACTGGAAGCACTGCTTGTCTTATTGCGGGAAGTGGTTGTTGTTGTTGCGGGTGTGGTAGGTGGATCGTGGCCATCTGCGGTTTGTTTACTGCTCGGGTTACTTGCGGTACTGTTGCTGCTGCCATGTGGTAGCGCTGAAGGTATGCTAGAGGGTGAGCTGCTCGTTGATTGTCGCTGGGAGGATGGAGACTCTGCCACGGCTGGCGCGGGCGAGGAAGAACTAGATGCACCATCAGACCCTGTAGCTGCCGACAACTGTGTAGTCACTGTATCCGGGTTGCCCGCGGGTTCACCCGGGCTTGGTGATACGGGGGTAGGCCCGTCCGTTGTGGGAGAGCGCATTTCGCAGGTCTCGAGAGAGAAGTTGTACAGGAACACAGGTTGCCACGGAGACAGACCCATCTCGGTGACAACCTCGGGCATGTGTGTCACTGTAGCATTCATTGATGAATTGTCGCCGGCTGAGGAATTCTGGACTTGCTGCATCTCGGCCACTGGCTCTTGGTCCGGGGCCTGGATCTGCTCCGGCTCGTCGTCGTGACTCGGCTCTTTCCACGTATCTAGCATGCGGGTGCCGTGGATGCGGAGTAATGATACTGGGCAGTAGAATTCGTTGCCGTAATGAGTCAGAAATTCAATGCGGATATACTTTGTGAAGATCTGGGGGTGCTCGACCAGGAATGCTTGGATGTCCCGCGAGTTACGAGCCTCGAATGTGCCTAACTCGACCCATTTGTCCAATTTGACAGGATAGCGGTCACTGGCGCTGACTCTGAACTTGCGGATCATGCTAGAGAAGAACTCAAAATTGGCCAGGACGACGGTATCGACGAGAATATCATCGCTTAGCTCGACAATGACGAATTTGTTCTTGGCCCGGCACTCGAGCAGCATGTACGAATCCTTGTTTTCGACCAAGATGGCCTTTGCATTCTTTGCGCCAGGGCTTGTCTTAAGCACGGTTGCTCCGGCATCAAAAGACGCATATGAGAACCTCTCCTTGCAAGTCTTGCCGGCATCCTTGCTCCGGTAGTACTGTATGTTGCCGTCGTCGTAGAACAGTTGTTCTTCCTTCGCCTCCTCCTTTGCGTCTGGCACAGCTCCCCCTGAAGATGACGATGCCATTTCTGACACTTTCTCATTCAGTGCGTCGAAGTCGAGCGAGATCTCTCCATCCTCGCCGAAACTGTCCCCTTCGCCACCATTCATGCTAGGATCGCGCTCGATTCGCTGTTCACGCGGCTTGTGGGCCTTGATGTTTGCGGGATCCTGACCCGACTTACGCAGCATCATCTCCTTCCACTCCTCGAAAGACATGAAGGAACTGGCTGCCAGGTCCTCGTCGTGGGCCTCCTGCGTACCATTGACCTGTCTTGCCTCCAAGGTCTCGCTGGTCGCTGTTACGGTGACAGCAACGGTCGGTTGCGCCTCTGCGGTACTGGCGGCGGTGACGTTGGGGCTCGTCCATGATGTACGCAGGCATTGTTGAGGGAGCGTGTGGGTAATGTAATTTATCGTCTTGGACTCGCAGATCTCTGCTTGGGTGGGAGCCGGCGCGGTGCTCGGGGCCGTCTCCGAAGGCGATCTGGAGCCATGGGTGGCTGTTGCTTGGAGACCCAGCAACAAGAGCGCCGGCGCAATTCTTCGTCCCTGGCTACCTGGAACGCGCATGCTTTCTTTTCAAGTCGTTGCGCAAAGTCTCTGTTCGTCCATGGTGCCGCTGCAATCTGTTGAAACGGACTGGAATGGAATGACCGTTGAAGAAAATACCAGAGTTGCAGACTAATATGTACAATAAGTTACAGTCTGCAGTTGCCAGGTTGGCATCGTCATGGTGTTGTTGGGAGGGATGTGCAGGGATCATTGACAGGCTTGAATGACTGCCAAGACAAAGATTGCCATTTTTAAGGTTACCGGAAATTATCCGTATTGGGTCTGGGTTAGGGTCGGCTATCGCTATCGGGCACCCAAACCACTGTGGGACCCGAACGTTAACACTTTCACAAGCTACAAACTGCTTCGGCCGACAAAAGCCCGTTCAGCGAAGCCACGAAAGATGGAACAAAAGACCTGGGCCGTGATAAAGCCAATGCCGCAGTTCAAGAACTAGTGTACAGTACTGATTTGCCGACATCGGGGCCAGTATACATACCAGCTGCAAAGAAAGTCAACGGCAAGGCCATGCGCCGTGCGACTCCACGACCCTCAACTAACTTCCCGCCAGAGCGGCCAGACTGGAGACAGTTCTGCAAGCGCCGCGTCGGGATTGGTCAACTCGGATATCAGGCTAAATATCACCCGACGAGGCTGCTCTCGGCTCTCGACGGCGAGTTACATACAACAGTGTGTCAGGAACACTTGCCCCGCCATATCTCCAGGGTCTAGGTCCTGCTCTGCAGTATATGACGAAAAGGAGCCCCACGTTAGAACGAGAGGAACAATAAAACTCTCTACTTTCTCCGTTGATTGCGCGAAATTCCCGCTTGATTTGCACTACTGTGGTGTCTCTTGCTACTGATTGCGCTGCTGTAGACTTCTCATTGGGTCTGTTCCCAGTTGAACCAGCTCGCCTCACTCTGAGGGAGAGCTCCTTCTAGCAAGATGTCCGACGGACCGTTGTATCTGGGGCTCGACCTCTCCACTCAGCAGCTCAAAGGTGAGAGGGTTGCCAACTATGACCTACCTAGGCAAACGAAAAGCACCCAAACTAAAGCCTTCTTCACTGTCAAGCGATCGTGGTCCAATCCGATCTCACCGTCGTTTCCGACGCCAAGGTCGACTTCGACCAAGACTTTGGGTCCAAATACAACATCAAGAAAGGCGTGCTCCTGAACGAAGATGAAGGGGAGGTGTTCGCCCCTGTAGCCATGTGGCTCGAGGCCCTCGACCTGGTACTACAGCGCCTTCGGGAGAAGGACACACCGCTGCGCCGAATCCGAGGCATCAGCGGCTCCTGCCAGCAGCACGGAAGCGTATACTGGAGCCGTGAGGCCGAGCAGCTACTCAAGAACCTGAATTCGCGCAAGCCGCTGGTCGACCAGCTAACAGGCGCCTTCTCCCATCCCTTTGCGCCCAACTGGCAAGACCACAGCACTCAGCAAGAATGCGACCAGTTCGACGCCAAGCTGGGTTCAGCGGCGCGCTTGGCCGAGGTAACAGGGAGCGCTGCACACCACGTTGGTGCCCCTACACACACCCACACGCCTGCCTCCACCTTGCTCCAAAGACAATGACTGACGGATAACCCGAACAGCGCTTCACCGGCACGCAGATAATGCGACTCCGGCGCAAGCTCCCCGACATGTACGCCGCGACGTCGCGGATATCGCTCGTCTCGTCCTTCCTCGCCTCCCTCTTTCTGGGCGCCGTCGCGCCAATGGACATCAGCGACGCCTGCGGCATGAACCTCTGGGACATAGCCGGCAACACCTGGTCGGAGCCGCTCCTGGAGCTGACGGCGGGCAAGGACGGCGTGGACGAGCTGCGCAGCAAGCTGGGCGAGGTGCGGCAGGACGGGGGCGGGAGCATGGGCCGCATAAGCGACTACTTCGTCTTCAGGTACGGCTTCGACCGGGACTGCGAGGTCGCGCCCTTCACGGGCGACAACCCGGCCACCATCCTGGCGCTGCCGCTCCGCCCGCTCGACGCCATCGTCAGCCTGGGCACCAGCACCACATTCCTCATGAGCACGCCCGTGTACAAGCCCGACCCGAGCTACCACTTCTTCAACCACCCGACCACGCCGGGCCAGTACATGTTTATGCTGTGCTACAAGAACGGCGGGCTGGCCCGCGAGAAGGTACGCGACGCGCTGCCCAAGCCCGCCGACGGCGACGCTTGGGCAACGTTCAACAAGCACGCCCTGGCCACGCCGCCTCTCGACGTCAGGCCCGAGTCCTCCGACGACAGGGCCAAACTCGGCCTGTACTTCTACCTCCCGGAAATCGTGCCCAACATCCGCGCTGGCACATGGCGGTATACGTGCTCGGCCGCCGACGGCGGGGATCTGCAAGAAGTCGACACATGGCCGGCTGAGACGGACGCGCGCATCATCATCGAGTCGCAGGCCCTCTCAATGCGTCTGCGCAGCCAGAAGCTGGTGAACAGCCCCGGCGAGGGGCTCCCCGCCCAGCCCCGACGCATCTACCTGGTCGGCGGCGGCTCGCTGAACCCGGCCATTGCGCGCGCCATTGGCGACGTGCTGGGCGGCGCCGACGGGGTGTACAAGCTCGACGTGGGCGGCAACGCCTGCGCGCTGGGCGGCGCGTACAAAGCTGTGTGGGCGTTTGAGCGGGCAGAGGGAGAGACGTTTGATGAGCTGATCGGCAAGCGGTGGAAGGAGGAAGGGGCCATCCAGAAGGTTGACGAGGGGTATAAGAAGGGGGTATTTGAGAAGTATGGAAAGGTGCTGGGGGCGTTTGAGGAGATGGAGGAGAGGATTCTGAAGGTGGCTAGGAATACTTGAGTAACCAAAAGGAAAAGAGGTGGAGGGATACAATCCAACGCTCCAATATACAATATAATGCCTACCAGAGGATGGCTCTTCGGCTCGGCCCGCTGCAACAAGCGCGTGGTGTAACACTCCCCCGTTATCTCTTGTCTTGCATTGGGCGTGGTCTGACCATTTAAACTATGTAAGACTGCTGTGTTTCCAAGATTCCAGTGAAACGACTCGGGTTAAACTTGAGCAGTGCCAAGAAGTTGATGCGTGGCATGATGGTTCCGACGTCATCACGCCGCGAGGAGCTAAACGCCAAATCCCAAACCAATCGATATCATCAGACATTGAAAAATCGGGACATGGTCGGAAGAGAGTCCAATGGTGGGCGGTATTCCCTTCGGCATGGAGATGGGGTTCATGGAACTGCGTCGCTGACTCCTCGGCTCTCAATGCCTACAGCACGCTGGCGTGCCTGCCGATCAAAGAAGCAGGGAGAGATGATCCTCGGGGCAGTGTCGTACTTGGACTGCCTCGTGTTCTGTATCTTCTTGGCGCCGCAGCTGCTATGGCAAGTCGGTTTTTTCGAGACGCTGTCGTGTGTCTTGCAGACGCTGCCATTTCTGAGTAAGTTGAATATGGCCCATGACCGCGGATTGACACAACTTGGCTGACCGGCTCGCTGGGCTCAAGTGATAAAACTGCCTCTGGCCCTTATTCGTGAGAGGTATATAATCGGCCGAGAGAAGCGATCTGCCTTTGTGCAGAGGGCATCGCCGTTTGAGGACCTGGTCGTCCGTTGTGTGCGGTATGCCTTTGCGAACATTCCACCTAGAATCGGACGGGTATTCTTCGTCAAGGAGGTCGCGCTGCCATTTCTCTGGTTTCGGTGGCTTCGTCATGGGTATCTTGGGTCTCCGATATTCTGGAGGGAGCATCGCGAGGTGAACCAATCCTGGCTTCAAAGGGTATCTTGAACCCGCATGCTCACCGCGATAGTCGTCATTTCGAGGCATATGGATCATCAAAGATCCCACGAATAAGCCGGATGTGGTTCTATATTACGCTCATGGTGAGCCCGACAACCGTCAACTCCATGGTCTCACATGCTGGTATTGACGCAATCTCAGGAGGAGGGTTCTCCATGGGCTCGGCGTACTTTTATCTGGAGTATCTCCTGACGTGGCTGTCAGTGCTGAGCTCGTCTGGATACCGCAATCCAGCCATATTTGCGCTAGAGTACACGCTGGTCCCGGATGCCTCGTTTCCCGTACAGGTCGATGAAGCAATGAAAGCCTATGAGCACGTGTTGACCGTGGCAGTGGATCCCTCTACCGTCTGTGTTAGCGGAGATTCCGCAGGCGCGACGCTCATCTTGTGCTTGCTGCTTCGTCTCGGCGCCGACAACGTGAATGGCCGTAGCGCAATAGCCGACAGGCGTCAGCACCAACCCGCGAGGCCTGGGCTTGCTGTTCTCATCTCGCCTTGGGTGACTCTCCTCTCGGAACGACACAGGAACACCGTAAGCGACTACCTCGACGTTCAACAACTCCATCAATATGGAGAACTGTTCGCAGGGCGCAGAATATCCTCTAGCGATCCATCGGTATCACCGGGTTGCTGTGAGGACACGGCCTGGTGGAAGCGGTCGTCTCCCTCTAGGGGGATTTTCATCCACTATGGCACAGACGAGGTGCTGAAGTCGGATATTGAGAAGTTCGTTGGCGGCCTCCAGAAAGCCGGCATCCTTATTGAAGCCAAGGCTGAGCCCGGCGGCATCCACGCATGGCCAGTTGCCTCTCTGTTTCTTTGTAGCAGTCGTCATGACCGGCTCGAAGGACTGGTGACTATGACGAGAGAAATTAGCCAACGCATGCCATCGGCGTAGACCAAATGCTAGGGAACGTCTGAGGGAGTCAATGCGTGTTCAGATTAGATCAAGTAATTATGCCATCATAGACATGAGAGCGAAGATGACCCCAGAGGCGGCGCTCGGTTTCTTCACGCTCCTGTGTTCTGCGTCTCTGGTTTTTGGTTGTGTTGCTCTTCAAAGTCATCATGACACGGATACAGATTTAGTTGAGCTTGGGGGGAAATCGTTACCTTAGCTGCATAACGAAGGGTTCGGGTCAGTGAACATGGCAAAGTCTATGTCGTTGCGATTTCTCACTGGGAGTGGGTTCATAACTTCATGCCAGTTCATGGTCCTCGCTCAAAATGCTTTGCCCCTGCCAGGATACCTAGATGCTCCCGAAACTGGCATGGCGTCCCGTCAGACTGCCCCGCTCGGACCGCCCGACGCGACGCGATTGATTAACGTTACACACCGTAATGGGTACGGAACAATACATATATCAGGAATTATGTACCATTATAACCACCTCACTTAGGATATTCAAACAGCATCTGTCAAAGGACCCTTGGAGAACCCTAGATAAGTAATATGCTTACATCAGTCAAGTTGTAAGTCAGTAATGCGACATATGAGATTCGCGAATAGCTTTGTATAAGCCTCGATTCAAACCTACCTGAGGGAGTACGATCATTAGAGCGATGTCACCTTCATGTCAGCTGAAAGCTGTATAATCCCACGTAACGTCATTTCTCATTAACATCTGTCACTGGTGCGCCAAGGCGTTTTCATGATGAAGGTACTGTATGTACGTGGTAAACCCTTATGTATATATAGCGAATTGCAGTGCACTGTAGACAGGCTAGCTACAGGAGTGTCACCTCAGCATTGGTGCAAGGAAAACTCGGCCTAACGTTATGTGTACGCTGTGAATGCGAAATACGGCGAAATACGGCGAAGTGCAGTTTTCTCACAAGAACGGGAAGGAGAGACTTGGATGGATGAACAAATTCATCAAGGGGCTGATAGGAGAGCTATCTTGCAACTATGCCTAATTGGGTAATGATTTGCAAACCCTTTTGTTTCCAGACCCAAAGACAGCGGCACGTCACGGTGCATATAAACGCGCTGGTGCCCCGGATGCGCTTTCAGAGTGAGGCGTGTAAGTCAGCATCCAACCGGCCCGAGTCGACTTGCAAAACTCAGTTTGTTTGACAGCAGGTAATTGGTCCCTTCTCCTTTTCCAACATTTTGCCATCCCTTTGCAGCATTCCAGACGTTTTATGTTTCTCTACGAATCGTGTGTACTTGTACCTCAACCTCTCGCTCATGCTTGATAATGTCCCCTGGCCGAGAAGGTTGCCATGGATACCAGGCAGATCGATGCACAGGATTCTGCCCTTCCAGGTTGACTCCGAATAAAGCCTGGTGCTTGTGCTGACTAGCTGCGGGCTCTCGAGTTACCAACCATGAGGACAGAGTCAGGGCATAATGGCTTTGCCTTTGCTCTGCAAACCAGGTTGGCAGCTCTCTAGCCCTTGCTGCCTGGCCCGGTCAGAGATAGGCCACTGGCTGGAGCGTGTATCTTGGCCGCCGCAATGCAGCGTAAGTTATACGCTAAGCAGCAGGCATCTTCATGACTCTGACTCGGCTGCTGCATCTGAGATGGTGTTGGCCTGTCGTTTGGAATATGAATACTCCGTTTGTGCTCATTGTGTGCCTGCCCGACTTATACAACCTGAGCCATACGGAGGTACCTGTTCTCTTGCTGTCTGCAGCTGCTCCTCTTTCTGCCCCGCATCCCAAGCCCCTCCGTTTGTCATCGCCCGTTGAGAGCTTTCAGTCCTTTGCCCCAGCCGCAGAGAAGCATGAGCTTAATAACCCAGCCACTTGTAGCTCCAAACCCGGCCCGCTTAATCTGTATCGACACATTGCCCCACCAAACGACTTGGAGCTACCAGCTAGAGGACCAACCTACGGACACGGCAAACAGGGACCAGCCTATCATAAAGCTCGAGATCCCGAGACGGTTGCAGTCTAAAAGGGTCCCTTTGTCAATTTGGAACTTTCTCCCATTTTGTGTCGGGAGTCTAAGAACATGTCTGGTGACGGCACTGACGGATCTTATGCACCTAAGAGTCCGGACCTTTCATCCTTTTACACGCCGGGCTCCACACCACCAGCGGAACCACCAGAGTCCTCCCACCGACTTTTGTCCCAGCAATCCCGGTCAAAGTTTGCGGGTGTGCAACCTCACTCGAGTCCATATTTCTCGAATTCATTTGAGCAGCATGCGCATGCACCACCGCATCTGCAAAACTGGCAACAGCTGCAGCAGCAAGTCGGACGAGTCGCGACCCAGCCACATACCCTAGCTCAAGCACGGTCCCTAGACTACCCCAACTCCAGCCAGTCTCCAGGGTTTGCAGCAGGAGTCGGTGCGGGATATTTATCGACCGGTGTGCACTCACACTACTTTCCGCCTCGAACACCACCGTCTGCGGCACAACCCGCTCGAGGATACACGGCACCAGGACTGTACTCGGACAATATCGCCTACCAATACCATCAACACATCACGGCACAAGCAGCGCAGGTGCGCCCGCAACAGGAGCCCTACGGCTATCCCACTGCATCTACCTCGCCAACAGCAGCAACAGGAGGGGGACGGGGACGAGGACGAGGACGAGAGGCAACAGCGCAAGGATCGATACACGAATTACCTACGGCAGCAATGCCCCCAAGAAGGGCCGCGGCGGCGGCAGCGGCAGCCGCCCTTCAACATCAACAGAACCAGGAACAGCAACAAGACCAAGAGATGACGGAACATAACCAGCAACAACAGCAAATCTCAGCAAAAGCGGCGGCGGCTGGCCCGTCGTCATCCTCCGCTCCGGGTGGTGGTGGTGGTGGTGGTAGTGGGATGATGATCGAACCGTCGCCGGTCAAGACCAAGTTCCCGACGGCGCGCATCAAGCGCATCATGCAGGCGGACGAGGAGGTGGGCAAGGTGGCGCAGCAGACGCCCATCGCGGTGGGCAAGGCGCTGGAGCTGTTCATGGTGGCGCTCGTGACCAAGAGCGCCGAGGTGGCGCGCCAAAAGAACTCGAAGCGCGTCTCGGCCCAGATGCTCAAGCAGGTCGTCGAGTCGGACGACCAGTGGGATTTCCTGCGCGACATTGTCGGCAAGATCGAAGGCGGCGGTGGTGAGGAGAAGGGTTCTTCTAGAAACTCGCAGGCTGCTGCTGCGGGGAGGGTGAAGGCTGAGAGTGAGAGTGATGAGGATGCGGGCGGTGGTGTGGTTAAGAAGAAGAGGGGTGGTGGGAGGAAGAAGAAGATCAAGGGGGAGTGAGACTGTTTGGTTGAGAAGGGGTAATGAATTGTAGGGCCAAATGATGTTATGAATCGCGGGAATTGGCGTTGGGAAGGGACGGTATGGGTTCGAAGACGCTTTCTGAGCTTGATACTGTAGCTTTGGCGATTATTATGAGGGTTTGGGCGAGGCAGCAGATATCTAGGGCAAGAATTGGTCATTCCGGGACTGCAGGGCGAGGAACATTACCACATCGAATATAATAGCTCTGCCCTCCTTCGCGGGGAGCTTCCTGATCTCAAATCTCGGCAGCTGTTAAGGGTTGCGGTGCGCGGGACCGCATTTACGCTAAGACGCCGGTAGTCTGGAAGCTCCCGATGCTGTGGAGGCATTTTGGCCCTTTGGGTAGTCGCGTCGGAGTGGACCGCTGCGTTCCACACGATAGAAATTACAGTACCGCCATAATACCTCCGTAATACGCTTGTTGACACTTGACACATTCTGAGCACGCGAGCAATCAACGACTGACGTTGTCGGTCCCCATTCCCCAAGTTCCGTCTGGGTGGACACCCTCAAACCTACATAGCTCAGCCTCTTGCCGACGCGCTTCTCTGTATCGCCTTGGCAAGAATAGGGGAGATTGCTGTCCAGAAGATACGCTGATACGGAACCCGCCGGGGACTGACAAGCGGGCTCTGGAAGGGGTTTAGTCTTTGCGCATTTGGGTGGTTCACTGGACTCTTGGAACACCGCGGATGGACGATATGCATCCTCCAGCCCAGCCCGGCAAGCTGCAAGTCTGGGGCTACCAAATACCAATTGTGTCCTGTCTACTCCGTACCGGTATAATATCTCTTCAACAAGTTAGCTTTCCACACCCAAGCACACGACTGCGCTTCTATTAACACCCTTGTCCCCTGTTCTTCTTATCCAAGTGCAACCTTTCCAGCTGCGGTTGTGCCTTCCACTCTCAGCTTGAGCGAGAGGCGCAGAGAGGCTACGCCTGCACCGTGCCGATCCGCTCTCTCACCTCAACCTATCCATCCCCCGTGCCCATAGCGACACCTGCGCAGCGTCATGGCCGGTTGAGCTGATGGGGCTTGCGCGGCGTCGTCCATGATGCCAAACCCGAGTCGTCCCGCGGCCCCTCGCCTTCCTCCGGTCGATGAGGCTGTTGTACCCTTCTCCGAACTCTTCGAAAATGGCTTTGATCGCGCGACCATCGACGCCACTGCCCAGCTCGCCGATCAGAGCATATTTGTAGCATCTAACGGTCGCCGCTTTCGCCTGGAGCGCATCCCAGACCCCGACCCCGGCCCCATCCAAGCCCGCACGCCAGGCGCTTCGCCGATCGCTTCTGTTGGTCTTGGTCCCGCGCATTCTGTACCTCTGCATCCTCCTCCGGCCCCGAGCCCCACATCCTCCAGCGCCCCCGTAGTTGCTCAGATAGCCGAGTTGGACGCCTCCGACAGCGCCCCAAGTTCAAGTTGGAGACGGCCTCCGTCTGATGCTAGCTTTCACTCCCGCTCGCCCGACGGCTACCCTGTTCGGCCCGGGCAGGGAAGGTGTGCCGTCCCAGGCGCACAAGCCAACATCGCGACCCACGAAGTCACGAATATGATGTCGCATCTCAGTGTAAGTCGTTTCGGTGCAGCACCGCTGTACCGAGAGTCAGACGGCGGAGTGCAGGCAGCCGAGACTCTCACAGATCCATATTGGGCGCCAAGGTCGCCCATAGACCCCAGCAGTCCGATAGCAGCCACGCCGATACTATCGCACAGCCAACTCTCACAACCAACGGACCAGCAGCCGCCAGTATCCGGGACGCCATATCACGGCCGAGACAACTCGGGGATTTCACCGGTCACTTGGCCCAACATCAACTATGTCGACTACACCGCCCAGGCGAACTTCCACGTTCAAAACTCACGGCAGGCGGCAGTCACCCCCTCGGGACTCCCTTCGCTCATGGAGGGTTCTACCCCACTGTCGCCTGCGCATGGGACATCTGACTCGGATCCAATCCCAAACTTCTCGTCGGACAGTGTCTCATACGTAGCCACGTCCACTGAATATCCCAGCCCGCCGGTCTATACCTCGGCGACAGCGCCGCCCTCTCTTGTAGGCCGGCGCCCGAGTTATATCACGGCGGTAGGGAAACACCGTGACATGATCGATACTTTGACCCCTGTTGTTGTGCTCCCGCACACCCCGTCCAACTCGAGCGACGGCGGGAGTACCGTAACAGGAAGGGACAATGTATTGCCTGGCGAAGATGCCTTGTTTGACGGGTGAGCGGGTTCCTTTCAAGTGGGATATATGGCTGTTGTGTTCTAACATGTATCTGTTCGGTTCGGGGCTTAGACCGGTGAAGAGCGCGCCGACGCTTGCAGCGCCCATGTTCCGGGAAGGCGTGCTCAAGGTGTTCCGAAACACGCTCACCAACGATCTCAGGTTTTACTGCCGAGTTGATCGCGAGTCAGAGACATATTGGAGTACGGCCGCCCCGCCTCCGATCAGCCAGGGAAAACCCATTTAGAGTTGTATGTACTGACGGTTAACCATGCATAGTGAAAGCGAACAACGCCCAACTTGTCCCCGCCTACGCCTACGACCAGCGGCTGTCAAACATTGTCTACGTTCGTGACAGGGAACACGACAAGGGCGGCAGCGGGTACGTGCAGGCCTCGCAGGCGAACGGCAGGCCCAGCGGGATATACCAGTTCCCGAGTCTCAAAGGTACTTACTTAATCTATCTATGTTTGCATGCATCGAGACTACCTTAGCCACTCCATCAAGCATATTTGGGCCGTTTGTTGACGCGCAAGACAGACCTCTTCGATTTCCAGGCCAAACTCACAGGCGAGAAGGTCGTCCTGGACATTGGCAGCGTGCGCATGGTCAGGCTCAGCAAGGCCAACAGCCGGTCGAGCACGGCCTACTCGAGCGCGCGGCTGCAGATCTGGCACGAGGCCGAGGGCGGCCGGCGCAAGACGCAGTCGGACGGCGCCTCATTTGTCACGGCCGGCACGGCGCTGTCCGGCCCGCTCAGGACCAGGACAGTGGTCAGCTCGTCGAGGCTGCTGCTGTACCTCGGCCGGTTGGGGGAGTATATCACTGTCTATAGTACGTTTTGAATCAGCCCGGGGTAGTTAATATGAGGGTGAATGGGGTTGCTGACGAGGTGGAATCGCTCCAGTTACGGACGATCTCGAGGTCGTAACCGAAGGCTCGACGGTGGTTAAGCTGAAGCCGAGGAAAAACCCCATTCCGTTTTCGAAAATGGGGTCGAGGTTCACATGGGTCAAGGGTAAGTGCTGGAAATCCAAAGTGTCTGATCAGTTGATGGGGTGTCGAACTATGCTAACAGCGCTCGAACCAGCCCATCAAGAACCCAGTCATGGTTCAGAACCGGCGGGGCTTGATATCTCGGGGAAGGTGGTCGAGGTCGATGTGGACAGTTACGACTCGTACAAGACGTTTGAGATTGAGTTTGAGAACTCGCCGAGTATGGATTGCCCCACAGGCCATTATTGCTCGCTTCCCCGTCCCTGTTACAAAGCTGCTGACACCCAAGGCGAAAACAGGCCAGGATAACTTTCTCCGCAAGTGGGACGAGGTCATTAGGGAACGCAGACTCCAGCGCGCGAGATTGGCGCAGATCGAGGAGGATATGAAGAGGAATGTTTTTACGGGACGGCAGGCGAGGGCTATCAAGACATGAAAAGGGGTTCAACCACCAAGGAGAGGGCGTTGTGGGATGGTTTGTCAGCGGTCGGTCCCGGCGCTCGTGGCTTTTGTTTCGAGGCTTGGCAGATGCAGCTATTTACATACAAGCATGTAATTGTTCTGAGCGCGGTCTTGGGATATCTGGGAAGCGGCTATTGCGAAGCGAGAGGGAGTATTGGGGTCTTTGGCTTTTGGAATGCTGGAAGATGGGCATGTGTGGGCAGGCTACCGACAATACCACGCTGTTTTTGATCCGTTCTGCTCAAAGTCTTGTTCTCGGCGAGGAGATAAAACCTCAATCAGAAAGGGCATCGTATGCTTGGAAAGAAGATGCTTGTGAGTCTTGAGTGTCTTCATTGTTTACTCTATTGCACTATACCTAGGTACTATTGGACAGGGCTAACATTTGCGCTGATGCTGATGGCTGCCTACACGGGCAAGGCACACTGAACGACTTGAGATTCATCCCCACGGCCCACAGTGACAACTCACTTACTGTACAGTACCTATCACGCCGGGGGTGGGAACAGCAGCAAAGGATATACATCCGATTCATCTACCAACCGTGTTCATTTCACTTCCTCACCCTTACCTTCGTCTCTTGCCCATTCCCCATAGTCATCAGCAAGATGTCCACGCCGCAGACGCCGTCGCGCAAGCTATTCATCCAAATGTCCGGCACACCAGGGTCCGGGAAAAGCACGCTAGCGCGACTCCTCGGACGCGCCCTCGGCGGGGTGGTCATCGACCACGACGTGCTGCGATCCGCCTTTCTCGAACCCTCCACACGCCTCGCCTTCGAGCAGGCGGCAAAACACGCCTACCGGCTCCAGTCGACGCTGGCCCAGGACCTGATGGAGCAGGGCGGCGTGGCCGGGATCATCATGGACAGCCCGTGCAACTTCCGGGAGGTCCTTGACCAGGGCGCGGCGCGCGCCAGACAGCACGGCTACGAATCCTGGTACGTCGAGTGCAGAGTGCAGGATGCCGAGCTGCTTGACAGGCGGCTGCGCGGCCGTGTCCGGCCGATGGCGAGCCAGCGCTCGGGGATCGATCGGCCTCCGGCGGGTGCGGTTGCGCCCGCGGCGAGGGGTGCTGCTGCTGTTGTTGGCGAAGACAAGATTGAAGGGGATGGCGATCGAGAGACGTTCGGGAGGTGGATGAAGAACCCGTGTCGGCCGGAGGAGAATGTTGTCGTGGTGGACTCGACGGGAGACCCGGAGATGCTGCGAGACTATGTCTTGGAGCGCATTCTAGGTTGACTATTTATAAGAGCCTATAAAGGCGTGTCCTGGTGGGGTCTTTCATGAGGCAGAAACTGTAAAGAGTTGTGCCTGGAACTTCCCCCCCTGCGGCGGGGTGGTTTTGTGTCAGGCAGCCTTACCCACGCATAGCTCTATGGAGGTCCTCAACGTTGTGATTTTGTCTAGACGGCCCTGGATGAAGCATAAGAACCGCTGCATGTTCCGTTGGGGTTGAGCTTTGATTTCCGGATGTTGACTGTAGGTCACTGTCGTGTGCAGCCCTTCTATTAGGTGAAGCGCAACCTGGAGAAGTGTCCGACAGGCATGAGACGCACCGCACCGAAGCATCAAGAAGCAGGTTCCCGCTCGAGGCAGGGAACCGACGTCTGACCCGCAGTGCAGCAAGGCGCGGCGCAGGTCAGAATTATTGAATCCATGCAGGTGTAGGGCAAGCTCGTTTTTCTCGAATAAGGCTGTTCCCAGGGGAAAGCAACTTGTTACTACATCAAGGTGTAGCAAGCAAAGGGTGCTGTATGTACAATGACGGTGCTGTCAATCCAACCTTCTTCTCAACCTGGAAATGGTTGAGGATGGGCACACGACAGTTGATGGGCGTGGGGTAAATTAATTGAATTCTCGGCGGGTGATAATTACGCTTAGTTAAGTTGGTAAGGTAATTACCCGAAATTACCTAGTTACTGCCCAGACCACACTAGTGTAACGTCCAGTCAGATGACAGCGGGGTCGACAGCCTGAAGCAGCGTTGGAGTTTCCATGATTCCATGGAAGGTTGGTTTGGTGCTTTAGGAACGTCTGGTCTTCTATTCCCGACGGTTTGTGACCTACTTGTGTTACGGTACAATGAATCACTTGTATTCGTTATTAGGAGACGCAAGAAGGAGGCGCTCTTCTATGAAATATTTAGAAGCCAAGCAGCAGCAGCGGAGTGTTGATGACCCGGGCCGGCGGTTTCCTATCATTGCCCGCCGTCGCTTATCGCAGGCGGGCACACTCGGTTTCCACTGTGGAACCCCTCTGGGTTGCTGAGTGTCCTGCATTGTTACCCAACCCCCGTCTAATTGGATCCTCTGTTTGGCCCCCCAGCTTTCCCTGCCCACCTCTTCTTCAGCTGTCCACCTCCTTTCCATGCCCGGCCTCATGCAATTTGGTTGCACTCGGGAACCATATGAAAGTGGCCGGGGATGGGTTGGCCTCGGCTGGTACGGCGCTGGTTTCTTACATACACACATACCGTTACAGGGCACTGGACGTACTGTAACAGGCTGTATGAACCACTAACCAGCTGCTTCAGTCAGGTTGGTAGCTTCCTAGTAGCTTCGGCTAATTGAGCTTGTGATTCGATAGCAGCGAGGCTATCCCACCGGGCAGGGCAATCGTCACTTGGCTTCTTGCCCGTCTCCTCCTGTTTTGTTTCGACCACTCGCATTCTGGGTTTGCGCCCGCTTCAGCATCATTGGGCCGAGAGAGGTGCTTTACTCGAATTCCAGACCGAAGCATGCACTTAGCAGCGCAATCACCAGAAGTGCGGCTTTGCCCGAGGAGAGAACAAGGCCGCCCAAAGATATAGAGCAGCCTTAAGCCGGGCTGTGTTGCCGTTAACGTCAAGCGCCGTGAAAACCCCAGGATTCAATTACCCGATCAAACCAGGCAGCATAACCATCTTGCTACCACCGTTACGAGGGCGAAACGAGAGGGGAGGAAGGCTTGGTGAGCCGAGAGAAGATCGGTATCTTGACTAGCAACAGGCGAAGCAGTTCCAGGTTTCTCTGGAATTGCAACGGGAGCCGATGCGAGATGCAAGAGCCGGAGATCTTCGAACAGCCAGTGGCCGACAAGGACCCGGAGGCCCTTGGTGTGATCGACGAAACTGGTACCTATCATACCGTGCTGGGCAGCGGCAGCGGCGTTGGGCAAATTACTGTTGATGATGCACATGACGACTATCATGACTTTGTCTATCCCGAAGGTTCGTCGTCTTCTTATCCCCCTATCGGCGGAAAGTTGGGGGCGACCTTTCTGACAGCGACGTTACGCCCACAGACAGAAAACTAGGGACTTGGTCCACGGCTTTCTTGATCATCAACCGGGTCGTTGGGGCGGGAATATACTCAACCCCGTCTGGGATCATTTACTCAATAAACAGCGTTGGTATGACGTTGCTCTTTTGGGTCCTGGGCGGCTTGATGACTTTCTGGTAAGTTCCCCGCCTCGTCTGAAGAACCCAAGCTGACTCTCGAAGCGGGTATGGCACTAGATCGCTTTCCAGAGCCTCATGTTAATGCTGACATGGAGTCAGACTGTTTGTCTACCTGGAGTATGGCACCGCTTTGCCACGTTCAGGAGGCGAGAAGGTTTATGTGAGCTACAAAACCCTTTTGTGGCCATTTCTATGCCAGTTTTCTGACGCCAATGACCCTTGGATAGCTAGAGCGGGTTTATCAGAGGCCACGCTATCTGGCAACATGCATCTTCGCAGGTATGTACCAAATTGCCTTCGACAACTTCTGCATGCTTACTCAATTGCAGTCCAATTCGTTCTGTTTGCCATCTCCACCGGCGGTAGCGTTAGCTTTAGCAGCTATATACTGCGAGCGATAACATATGACGCCCAAGACGGGAGCTGGCTGAATCGAGGTATTGCGATTGCCGCCATTACTGGTCAGTGACGCATCCTATCCTTTTAACATACAATACCTGACGTCTGTTGAATATTGTAATTAGTGGTTTGCCTTATCCATGCCTTTGCTCCCCGCTGGGGTATCTGGCTCAGCAACGGCCTCGGCGCCTTCAAGCTCATTCTGCTCAGTTTACTCGTCTGCACCGGCTTTGCCGCTCTTGCCGGACGGACAGCTACACCGAGACCCCACCCTGGCAATTTCTCAAGCTTTCACGGACCCGACATGCCGCAGCCTGATGAGGAGGACTCGGCCGGTGCTGTCGCCGGATATGCCACTGCTCTGCTCCAAATCCTCTACGCTTATAGCGGGTGGGAGAATGCAAATTATGTACGCGGTCATTCCTTAGTCGAGAGAAGAAGGACCGTTGATGCTGATCACATTGAAGGTCTTGACCGAAGTTCGGAATGCGCCAAAGACATTGCGCAAGGCAGCACCGATTGCCATCTCGGTTGTTACTGTGCTCTATGTTCTCGCCAACATTTCCTATGTGAGTTATAGAAGGATGTTACCCTGCTTGTGTGATACAAGCCACTAACACGAGCCCAGTTTGCCGCCATGACCAAAAGCGAGATTGCCAACTCAAAGGTGGTCGTTGCCGCCCAGTTTTTCCAGAACGTATGGGGCAAGAGCGCCTTCGTCGACCATGTGGTGCCGCTCTTCATCGCCCTCTCGGCGTTGGGCAATGTATTTGCGCAGTCGTTTGCCATGCCTCGCGTCAAGCAGGAACTGGCCAAAGAGGGCATTCTGCCTTGGTCTCGCTTTTGGGCCAGCGACTGGCCATTCAACGCTCCTACTGGTGAGCACTCGTTAGATGGAGCATGATACGAATGATGATAACTGACTTGCTGTCAGGGGCTATCTTTCTCCATTGGATCTTTTCCTGTGGCCTCATCCTCGGGTCGCACACCTCAGACGTTTACATGTTCGTCACCAACGTCTTCATTTACAGCAGCAATTGGATCAAGGGTAGGCTCTTCCAACCTCCCTTTATTCCTTCCATTCACCTAAGTGAGCATGTCATGCTAACCCTACTCGGCTGAACCCAAGTCTTCCTCGCCATCGGCCTTGTTTACCTCAGCTTTGCCCCGTCGGAACGGTGGGCCGAGCAGCGCACTACGTTTCGGAGCTCGCCGCTGCTGACCATTTTCTGGATCATCTCGTTGCTCTATGTCCAAGCGGCGCCCTTCATCCCGAATTCGCTGCTTCATACGGTGCCGTTCTTTGTCGTACCTACGCTCGGCACCAGCCTCCTGGTCCTCGGCACCGGTTACTGGCTGGTCTGGGCCAAAGTGCTCCCGGCGTTTGGGTACAGTATCCAGCATGAGATTGTGCAGATGCCGGATGGGAGCGAGCGGGTCAAATACAAGGTGAGTCTCTGTGGCTTTCTAGTCTGGGGGGCGGGCTGTGAACTGACAAGACGCAGAGGGTCAAGCCGAGCAGGAGGAGGAAAAGGCGGGGACAGTGGCAGAGGCAACGGAAAAAATCTGTTTGGTAGCATTTGGATAGTGTTGTTTTTTGCATCCTCGCGTTAGCTGGAGTTTGGCCGCTATTTACGGTGCAGATTAAAGAGACATGTTGAACTTGAACGACTTGGTGTTCATGTCGTGACCTTTTACCGCCCCCGCTACCCCTGAGACTTCGGATTGTTGGGTTAGTGATACACAATGAGAACTTGGAAGAGAGGGAGATCATCGCAGGAGGGAGATCATCGCAGCGACAGAAAAGCGAAGAGGGAAACCTCGTGGCAACCCTCACGCATTGAGTCGACCTAGACAAAGCCATCATTGTTCCATCTCAACAAGATGCGCACATTGATCCGAGTGCCGGAAGGTAGGAGGAGTCAAGGCAAGTGGACAGTGGAAAGTCGGGGTTAGTTATAAATTGAAGGCTCGGCAGGTGGGGCCCCGTTAGGGGCGCAGCGACAGCAGCCGAGCGGAGCGAACCCCTTCGCGAATTGGCCAAATGGAGAGCTTTGGCTCAAGTTGTCCTCTGGATCAACTTCGTACTTCTCAACAGACGAACATTCCGCACCTTGACATCCCAGATCAAACCCCGAACCGGATCCCTCGGGTGGCCGCCATGCTACAGCTCCTGCGCGCGCCTCCTTGTGCGAACCTCTGACGAACCAGGCAGATATGCCCATGAGCATGCTGTCTCCTCCCTGTCTGATGACTCTGATCGCTCCTTCTTATCCCCAGTCCAGCCCGCCTCCCTGACCAGTCGGGACCAATGTCTTGGGACTTGCTGAAGCGGTTCCTCGAAAGCGATGTTTTCAACCAGGACCCCTTCCTCTCCGTGTCCTATCTCTCGTGCGCCGCCCTCACCTCATAGCAAGAAACCGCCCCAGCGCAGTGCTGACAAACCACTTGTTCTCGCTGCAGACGATACGCCGATCATGTGGGCATCCACTACGTGCTCTGCAGCAAACTTCGCCAGTTTCCCTACGAGGATATCGAGTTCTTTCTTCCGCAGCTATGCCACCTCATAATCAGCCTCGACAATGAGTCGATGGCCTTGGAGGAGTTCCTGCTGGATCTCTGCGAGGAGTCGGTCACCGCAGCATTGCTGGTTCGCGCTTCTCTCTCATTTATCCCCCGCTCCCCCAGCTCGCTGGCTAATACCCTTCCCCCGCAGACATTCTGGTTGTTCCAGACCTACCTGCACGACCTATCATCGAATCCCCAGACCGAAGCATTCAAGACATGTCGCAGGGTATACAACAAGGTACAACATGTCGTATTTGGTCTGTCGGAGAGCGGAAGGCATGAAAAGATTGTCGAAAATGTCCTACCCGTAACGGTTCTAGGGAGTTTCGTTCTTGGAAGCATAGCCTGCCCCTTTCTGCCACACTGGGCTGGACCCCTAGCCGTTGCCCAAGCTAGGAAGCCTCGCCCAGTTGTCGAAACCATTTCCGAGGCCGCGGCTGTCACTGCGAATGTGAATGTGCCGGCCCGCGCACACACCATGACCGGAAATCCTCGAGCAAGGCGGCCAAAGGATGGGCGCGTTGCGAGTGCCCCGGATTCTAGGGGTACGCAGGGCAACCAGCACACAAAATCACCTGCCAAGGCACCGCGACCGTCATCAAAGTCGGCAACCGTGGAAACCCCGTCACAAAAGAAGGAGGATGCAGGTTTACCGTCACAGCTCGAGAATTTGGCCCTCGACGGACGTCTCAGCTCGGCTTCTCTGCCTTTACCTGAGTCCAGGCCACCTCGTATCGTTACAAGGCCATCTACGCCACAGTCGGCTGGCCTGCGGCCGTCTGAGCCTATACAGAGGAGACATTCTCACCATCTAAAAACTCCATTGAATCTAGCCGACATGACCCCTCTGCAAAAGACGCGCCTGCTGCGCCAAAACTATTTCCGCTGTCAGACTGCGTTCCTATCGGCATTGGAGGACATCTCGAACCGCCTAATCATGGTCCCCAAGCCTGCCCGTTTGAGCGCCCTACGTGCTGAGCTGGCACTCATCGCCCGGGATCTACCCGCGGAGGTGGACATCCCGGTCATATGCCCTCCTGACTTGGTGGATGGCTCTCCGGCCCGAAGCCGCCATCACAGGATAGTCCGGCTCAACCCGGCCGAGGCCACTGTTCTCAACAGCGCCGAGAAGGTGCCGTACCTGCTCATGGTCGAAATTCTGCGCGATGATTTCACGTTTGATCCCGACACCCAGGACAACCAAAGACTACTCACGAATCTGCTGGCCGAGCAAGGAACACGCAAGCGAATATTTGACCTGTCCGATGCCCAGAAACTATCTACCACTTCCCGCCCGCCAGAGTTGGTTGTCGACAGCGTCTTTGAGCCGGCATCGGGGGATTTGGGGAGTTCTCCCATGCTCAAGCCCGTAGATGACGACTTTTTTGGGCCAAGGCCGATGCAATCGAGCCACTCCCTCCGGCTGTCGAGCGCTGCCAACACCACGGCATCGACCGGCTCGGATAAGAGCACTCCCCGGAGCTCGGGTGACCCCACCTCAGGAGCTTCCAGCCCTCCATTAAGGAGAATGACGCTGACCAATCCGCGCAACAACTCGGTCGACCAGCCCGACTTCTCGGCCCTAGCGGTGCACATGCGCACGGCTTCGCAGATGCTGGCGCAGCTGGACGCAACAAGCGGCAAGCGGCCCCGCCAGGAGGTGGCGGCCATCCGGGCGCGCATCATCGCAAGCATGCAGAGTCTGGAAGAGCAGAGCTTCGATCTTGACGATGGCCAAGGACCCACGTTTGACATGATCATGGCCAGGGCGCAGGCTGCGTCAGCGGCGAACGAGGCTGCCAACGGAGGTGCAGAAGGGGGCAATGACGATGGCACGGCCCCGTCTGTCGAACCTAATCTCAACGCCAATGCAGGCATCGACCGGATGGAGAACGACATCAAGACGGGCGGCCTGCAGCGCAAGGGCGACCGCGACGACCCAAGCGCGGCCGTGTTTGGCGAGGCGTGGGAGACGAAGAAGGAGCGGATCCGCAAGTCGTCGCCCTACGGCTGGATGAAGAATTGGGACCTGGTCAGCGTCATCGTCAAGACGGGCTCGGACTTGCGCCAGGAGGCCTTTGCGTGCCAGCTGATCCGCGTGTGCCATAAGATCTGGGTCGACGCGGGCGTACCCGTGTGGGTCAAGCTGATGCGCATCCTCGTCACGGGCGAGTCGTCTGGCCTAATCGAGACCATCGCCAACGGCGTGTCGCTGCACTCGATCAAGCGCAGCCTCACCCTCTCAAGCATCGAGTCGGGCGCCAACCCCCGCCGCAGGATCGCGACGCTCAGGGACCATTTCATTAAGGTGTTTGGCAGCCCGGATAGTGAACCTTATCGGGCCGGCGTGGATGCCTTCAAGAGGTCCCTCGCGGCGTACAGCGTCATCTCATACGTCCTGCAGCTCAAGGACAGGCACAATGGGAATGTCCTTATTGACAACGAGGGACACATCATTCATATTGATTTTGGCTTCATGCTGTCCAACTCGCCCGGCTCGGTCGGGTTTGAGGCGGCGCCGTTCAAGCTTACCTACGAATATGTTGATGTGCTGGGTGGGGTCGGCTCGCCGGATTTCGATGACTTTAAGAAGCTTTGCAAACAGGCGTTTCAGGGTACGTTCTTACTCCTCCCCGCTCAAAACAAATATCTTACTGGGCGGTACATATGAGGAGAAGAGGGACTAACTCGTTGTGTCAGCCCTCCGGCGATCGGCAGACAATATCACGGACCTGGTCAGCATGATGGGCCGCGAGTCCAAGATGCCCTGCTTCGGGGCGGGCGTGACGCAGGTGACGGCGGCGCTGCGAGGGCGCTTCCAGCTGCAGCTGAGTGCCGACGAGGCCGAGCAGTTTGTCGAGAATGACCTGATTGGCAAGTCGCTTGGTAGCTATTATACACGACTGTGGGTTGCCTTCTTCTCCCTCCCGCTCCCAATCTAGTCATGTATGTGGTCTGGCTGACTTTAGGGCTCTGCAGTTATGATACTTTCCAGTATAGGACGCAGGGGATCTACTAGATGTGTTGAGCGGCGGGGGACAAAAAGAGGGGTGCGTCTGTTCATAGCGCTGCTGATGAGAATGATTGACGGAGCGAGAAGGATATCCCTTTCCCAGTTAAAGAGCGGCATCTTGTTAAGGGCATCTTGACGGCGTTGGGTTGGAGATGGGCGATATAAATAGATGGTGGCATCTGTCTATGTGCTCTTGTTGGTTATCGAGTACGAGTAGGTCGCGACGTCTGTGAGAGGTTCAGTCTGACGAGCGCACCAGACTTGCCTCGCTGCAGTGTTGTGCCTACCTGCCTATTTACCTAGTGTAACTGAGCGAGTAAAGGGTTTGCAAAGTGTGAGAGAAGTAGTTGTGATACTCGTTGTGAAGTTGGGCTGTGATATGTTTCATTGGGCTGGTCGAGACTGGCAGAACCCCAGGCACAAACACGGACGAACTGCAGTGTCGCGCCTTAGAAGGCAACATGTGGCTGTCAAGTAACGGATGGATCCTGGCACAGAGCCAGGATGAAACAGCTGGTTATTGTTCATCGGTTATATATAGGTATGTAGAGGCAGTTTGAACGTCTTGTTCCAGCTTCTTGAGCCGAGTATACCTCAGCCAAGCTTACTCTCTCACATTTCCAGGTTGGGAATGACATAGACTGGCGAGACTAGCAAGCCTTACATTGCCGATCTTGAAGTAGCGTTTAAGTAATTTATGGTTACCACGTTCTGAATCAACGCTTATTTTCAAGATCGACAAATGCCGGACGGCATTCCTTTAATTTCTTCCAATCAAGTTAGAAGCCCAAGATTCAGGAACAGGGTTTTACACAGTAACGTTAGTGTTCAGGGAATTTCACTCAAGGCTTCCCACCCAGCCACCCCAGCCCCATTCGAGGCTCTTCACTTGTTGAGACTTGCAACTCTTCAACCCACCCTGAGCGAATCCCGGTTCCTTTCATTACCTTGAACAACAGTTACTGCTTACTGTATCCGTAGTTGGTGTTGTTTCAGACAGGTTGGCCATCGCCTTCTTCCTATTCTGCTCTTCATTCTTTCACTTTCCTGAAACCTTCACTTTCCTGCTTCTTTCCTCTTCGCCTTGCTTTCCATTCCTTGCTTTCAAACAACCTCCAGTTCTCCGGAACCCCCCTGGCGGCTGTATTGGAGTATGTATGTACTTGCATGCTATAGGCTGCAGCTTTCACAAGGTTTGCAACGAGCTCAGGGATGCTGCCCAAAGTTTTGATGATTCACGACATTTGCGTGTGTCAGCCGCTCCCTTTCTAGACGAGTGGGAGGCACTACGGGGAAGGCTGACTTCTGGAGCTATGATAGGATTGAGTAGGTAGACGAGGCAGCGAATGGTGGAACTGTGTGAATGATTCCTCGGAAGATGAGAGGAGATGCAACAAAAGGTCGTGTCGTGACCAAGAGCTTCAAGCTTTTTTCCCATGCTGTATCTCTTTTAATTTCTTACTTTGCTCTTTTACAATTTTCTCATCCTCGCCCTGCTTTGACCCGAGAGCGATTTTAACTGCCTTCTCCGTGGACGGCGTCGCGCGCGTGGGATGGATGTCTTGTCCACGCCTGCATCCCCTTCCTGTGTGGGTGAGAGACGGATGGTGGTGGCCTCCAAGTTCCTCCGCGGAAACTGGTAACTGCAAGCATAGGTACCTACACACATACTCTAGGGCGATCAGAGTGCTTCTCGTCGCTATGTTGTTGCTTGTCGATGTCTAGCTGTGCGCAGCACAGGAGACAATAGGCAAGCCGGGGACTCGGGGACTCGGGATCCAGTAGTAGTGGATGGTGCGTCATTGGCTTTGTGTATGGTAACCACTACTACTAATGACGAGAAGCACCTCTCTGTCGTTCTATGGGTGAGGTCAAGGCGGGGCAAGAATAGCAACTAGCTGTACCCCCAGCTGAGATCCCGAAAGTGGTTTACTGTGCCGGTAGTTGTCCGCGCTAGCCCTACCGGTCTACATACATGTGGCTTCCTGTGGTGTAACGAGGTCCGTAGGCCCGACACTACATCTCGGCACGTCCCGGCTGTCCCGGCGCTTGATAAACCGAGGGACGGGGCTACGGTGGACGGACGGAACGAGGCGATCGAAGGCATGGAAAGAGGTAGAGATCTACAAAGTCGGATTCGGACTACCTGATATTGCTTCTCGGGGTTACCCCCTTTCAGACTCCTACTGCCTCTGCTGCTTGGCAAGGGTCGCCGATCTCGCCCTGAAATGTTGTGTGATGGCTCCAGAAGCCTTGCCTATTATGCCAATGGCTAGATAAACTTAGGGGAAGCGTACAGAGCTGCAAAAAGATACAGCAGGGCGTGGTGCAATAAAGTGCTCAATATAGAACTCCAAAGTATCTCTGCATTGGGGAAGCGTCAAGGGGCGGTGATGTTGTTGCTCAAAAAGTAGTATGGGCTCATGTGCAAGTGTTGACCGACCAAGACATGGGTCTGTCAGATGCCCCATACCGTTCCGTCCTCCAGCACCATTCGTGGCGTTGTGATGGTGCTGGTGCTGGCCTAAGTGTTTCCTTGGGCAATAAGATGATGCTGTCCTACTTCCGAGTGTATCCTTGGTGTATCCCATTGTCTGCATGACTGCTCTTGCTGTCACCAAGCGGTCCACGTCCCTGCGAAGCCTCACTTTCGAAAACAGACCGCCCGATTTCTGGCCTGTATCCATCCCATCCGCTTCAACCCCCATCCCTGCCTACCCATTCTCAGTGGATTGCCATGGCGTGACATGACGTCCCAATCATTCCGGCAATCCCGGGCTTTGAACCTGACCATGGACATGCCCATTCGCAAACTGCCGACGAGGCTGATGCCCGTGCCCCGTGGCCGGCGGCAAATGCGACAGCCCTGCCGCTCCGACTCCATCATTCAAACCCATGGAGCCAGCAGGCGATCGTGATGGTGGTGGTGGAGGTGGCGGCGGCGGCAGGCCGATCGCTTGCCCAGAAGAAGAACCATGAGCACTGCCCACAGCACCAGTACCAGGCACCGGACCAGCAGGCCCAACGGGCGGCATCATCCCCCCCAGCCCAGTGCCGCCTCCTCCCACTCCAGTCCCAGGACCACCACGAACCGGGCCCTCGCCAAAAACATCCACCTCCACCCTGGGAATACCGGAAGAGCCAGCCCCAGAGCCCGCCACCACCAGCCTCGTCAGATCCGCCGAGCCGGTATACCCGCCCAAATCAACCTCCTCTCCGTCACCCACGATCAGTGTCTTGACGGTCGCTCGCAGCTGCCACAGGCGGTGCGAGAGCAGCCCCGTCATGTCCGGAGGGGTTGGTCCACTGGCAGTAGTGGAGGTAGAAGCAAACGCGCCGGGTTGACGCCTGACATAGGTGAGCGCGGCATCCTGGATCTGGCGCACCGTAAGCGGGTAGGGGAGCTGCTGCAGCGTGGCGCGCGGCTGGTTGTGGTGGCATGGCCCGTGGTGACGCCAGCGGACGACGAGGACGAGATCCATTAGCTGGGGCTGCGGCTGCGGTCCGGGCTGGGAGGCAGCAGCAGTACTAGGACTATGGGTAGGCATGCCCACGTGGTTTGGGCCGGTAGCAGCAGGGCCCGCGGGCGGTTTGGCCATGGCCATGCCCGCGCCCGTAACCACTCCAATGGGAGTGTAGCCGCAAGATGTCATGGCTGCTGCCGCTGCTGCTGCTGTGCTTGGAGGCCCGGGCGGCCGGTTGGCTGCTCGTTCGAATTTCTCGGCGGGTTCAATGGTAATACAGGATGGATCTTGCAGGAAGGGGCGCCAGCGTTCGTGAGGCGGGATTTCATTGCCCGGGTTATTGCCCAGGCGCGCCGTGGGCTGGGGGAAGGGGTTGAAGCGGCCGGGCGCCTGGCGGAAGGGGATGGGAGGAAGGCGCGTTGAGCCTCGGAAAGCAAAGTCGTCGTCGGACTCTGATGAGCTCGACAGGGAGCGCTGAGGGGAGAAGGGAGACCGGGATCGTGAGCGGGACCGTCGCGACTTGTGCTTGGTCGATCTTTTCGCCTTGTGCTGATTACGTCGCTTCGCCCTGCCGACTGACGTGACTGAGACCGTCTCATTGTCAGACAGAGACCCACAGTCCGTGTCAGATTGCTCTATGGTGACGGTCGAGGAAACCGAAGCGGCGTCGCTATCGCGCCCGTCGCCATGGTTGCCGGCCTGCTTGGCGCGCTGCTTCTTGACAGCCTGTGGCAAGGCGAAGCCATTGTTTGCGATGTAGTTCTGAACGGCCTCGGCAGACTTGACATGGAGGGCTTGCAGAGCTTCGTAGACGGACTGGCCTGCCTCGGACAGGAGAACGTCTCGGATGCCGTCTTCAGCCCTCAGTACAAAGGCCTTGAAAGTCCCAAGGGGCTCTTTTGCGACGACCAGTGAGATGCCGGCATCGGGCCGGCTGAAGAATTGACAGTTGTCTGCGTAATGGCATTAGCGTTCCGGGATATGGTATCATGCAACGCAGCTGGCGTGCCTGCAGCGGACAACTCACCGATGATCTGACCACGCAGATCGAGTGGATGAGGAGGAGCTGCAGGAGCCATCCTAGAGCGTGAAGTCGGTTGCAGTGGAGATTGGGCAGACTCAGTGCTGATTAGACGAACCAGCATTGGGATTTGTTATCCCACCGAGGACGCTTCAGTAACCTGTTTTCGGCTGGGAACCGGAAGGGACAGCCTGGACGCCATATATTTATAGCCGCTCTTTGCCCCCATGTTTCTGTGTCCTAGCCGGTAAGCCCGGGAAGAGTGAGGTTTCAATGGCACGGAAGTAGACGGGCGAGCGTCCTGTAACCTACGGGAGGACACTCAACAGCAAGTAAAAAAGTGAGGCGTACTTGCATAATGCACGGTGAGCGGCATTCCGAAGAACTTCAGACGGGTCTCGGAAAAGATGGATTTGGGGGTGGGTGCGAGGGGTGTCACAATGAATGCCGATGAACGGCGTGCGAGTCCGGACATCATCCTAGGGGGTGACGGAGTATGGGGTATATCGGTTTGTACAACAGAAGATGGTAGTATGCCAGAAGCGCCAAGTTCGGGCCAGGGAGCGGTGAGAGGTGAACCGGGGTGGGAAAGCACCGAAGTTCGGGTTGTTCTATTCCACATCGAAGCCACCGACGCTCATCATTGACCCTCGGATTCACGCCAAAGCATTCCAGAGGAGCCTTGGCACGATGTCAAGCGTGATGGGGTGGTGGACGCAGTTCTCAAAGCCGAATCGCGCAAATACACGCTTGGAGCGCGAGGTGCCAGACGCCAGCTGAGTGGAAGAATGCAAAGGCTGCCACAGGAGGGAACGAAGGGCGCTTTTTTCTCGAAGTTCAACATAGTGGTAGCCAGCGCATAAAGCAAGCACCCGTTGTAAGCGTATGAGACATCCCGGCAGGTTGCACAGCCATAAGGCGAGTGATCCGCGATGTGGAACCATAGGGCGTCGTCGTCGGGACAGCTTGACTGGCCCCAACTTGACGGTTGAATTGTAGTGCTCCCTCAGCCCAACAAAAACTCTTCCAACGTGTGTTGTGGCTCAAACCGGATTCGGGATCGCTCCTACCCTTAGCCCTGCACCTTATCCGGACTAGTTAGCATTGATTGGACTGGCTCACGCTGGCGGTACCCTCGTACGCTCTCTTGTCTCTCAAATGACGGCGATGGTACCCTGGACATGCGAACCAAAAAAACCCACAGCGCAAGCGAGGCGGTGCGTGTACTGTATCATATCAAATGGATTTGTTGTCCCACAAGATGTATCGAAACAAGCCTGTTGGGTGTCTGGCCCTGTCTGCCTCCCTAACATACCCTCCCCGACTTCCACGTCTGTCTCTGCCCAACGGGGCAAAGCTCTCCCTATCCAAGGCTTAGTCTCTCAACCCGGGCTTTGACAGCCTCTACGAGTGCCGTCTCCCGATCGAGCAGACCAATGACCTGCGCCATCTTTTGTTTCCGGATTTCCACAGGTATCTTGAGGCCAGGCAACGGCGAGGTAGGAGATCCTTGATCGGCTCCCTCTTCAGCTCTTTGCAGCTTTTCCGCTTCCGAAAGCAAGGCGTCCCGTAACGTCTTCAGGTCTTCGAATCGTTTCCACGGCTCAGGAGTCGACGATGATGCCTGGTCTGCTTCGGACCGGAGGATGCTGCTCTCGAGCTTGCGCACTTCGTCTGCCCATGCCTTTTCCTTGTCACTCAAATCACGCCTCGTAATTCTGCCAATCCTCCTTTTGAGGCCTTCCATTCTACTCGCCAATTCCTCTTGCCTTTGCCGCGCCGCCTGCAGTCTGCCCTGGACAAGCGAGTTTTCAGACACTGGTTCGTCATCTGCCGAATCGTCCCCAGTAATCCTGTCAATTCGCTTCTTGGCTTCGTTCACCTTCTTTATCTGTTCTCCCAGTTCAACCTGAAGGGCCTCGCATTTCCTGAACAGTTCCGCCACGGCGCTGTTGACTTCCAGAACCTCGTTGGTAATCACCTTATGGCCTTCGGTAAAGACTTCGAGGGTGGCCATCGAGAGTCGCATCTCCTGAGGCATCAACGTCCGCCTTCTACCCGTCCTCAAATGCTCCATCCATGTCGGTAGCGCGCTCCTGCGTTCCAGAGCTTCCGAAGGATGGAAAAGAGGTCGTGGCTCCCAGCCAACCTCGGACTGCCACGGTTCTGTCGGCTCGGGAAGGGCCAGAGAAGACTCTCTAACCTCAACCTCAACTTCAGGAGTATCAAAGAAAAGTGCGACCGGGTCGTTGGAAGTGGCGGATAGAACGAAATGGCCGAGATCCGGATCACGGATGGCTGTCGCTGCTGCAAGGGCAGCCTGGCTATTACTATGCGTGTAAATTCGCTCCCGCTCTGTGCCTGCGCTTTTGGCCAGTAAATCGATACGAAATCCTGCGCCAGCCTCGGAATCCCCCTGGAGTTCGGATTCAAGTCTGAACACCCACGAGGCCAGGGAAACCAGGGTGATGCCGCCTGAGTGAGTGACGTAGAACGAGTAGCGGGAAGTGACGTCCTCGCTGAACATCGGCCAGCTGTCGGCTACCACCTCGACGGGCTTGACGGTATCAAAGGTCTGAAATGTTAACAAGGACGAACTTTTAGGCGCTGAAGCGAATAGGTTGGACCTAGTCTTGAGACGAGGAGGAAGCCACTGAGCCTCAACCCCTTCGATATCCAGACAGATCTTGACCTGCCCGCTGGTGGAGAGGAGACAGATGATGTTGAGGGACAAGCCGTTTTGGTCATCGTCGCCCATCTCTAGCTCCTCCTCTTCCCCAAACATCAAATCAGACACATCAGCCTTCTCTCCAATGACATAAATGTCCTTCAGCTCCACCTCATCGTCCTGCTCGTCCTCGGGATTCAAATCAAATTCAAAAGGGCCCTGGAGCTTCGGGACCGTTCCGGGGTGGGTGGGGCGTGTGTAGACTTCCACTTCGACATTCCCAGTTGTGCTTTCCACGATCTTCGGTTCTTGGTTATCAAGATCCGACATCCAGTCAAGTTGTTGTCTGGCCAAGCGTCGAGCCTCAGGGGACGATTCCGGGTTATCTTCGGTTGCGGCGACCCTGGCAACGATGGAAACTGACAGAGACGGGATGAGGGTCGGGGGCGGGGCCCAACGCTGAGGGAGCAGTGGACAGAGGGCATACACGCTGCCCCCGGCCATAGCCAGCCATAACGTCATTGGTGCCCAGCCTCCGGAGTCCCTGGCAGGAAAGCATGCGGCCGCCACTTCCATATCGAACGAGTCTGGCGAAAAGGCCTTGTTTGTAGCCAATGGGGAGACACCAAAGTCCTGATCCAAATAAGTCCCATCCGCTAATCTCTTCAGATCGATTGCGAGGGTAGGCGCGTCAAAGGTCCAGCGGTCCGCCGTGGACAGCTCCCACAGTCGCACCACGGCGTCCTCGGTAACAGTGACCAGGCACGTCCCATTAACACCTAAAGGATGCCAGATCGCGGAAACGACTGCCGATCGAGAGGTAACGTGCGTTGTTGGTCCGAGGGTCCAGAACTTGAGTTTGAAGGGCGCGGTGTCCGTGGAGCGCAGGTGCGAAGCACTCATAGTTTCATCTGGAAGGATACAGACGTGCACAGTGTGGCTTGTCAAGACGGCGAGAAAATCCTGATTTGGGGACATGATAAGCTGGCGGATGTCATCGGCGACAGGCGTCTTGATTGTCTGTTTCCGTGGAGTTTAGCGGGCTAGAGTGCAACTGGAGTGGGGAGCAGAGTGGTCCTCCATATGACACTTACTCTGTATCCAACACTGCTATTACCAGCCGCTTCCTCGTCGTAAACCTCAAATGAGCCATCTGAAAATTCTCTCTTGATGCGAGGAACGCTGCTAGACCGTGTCTGCTTCGCTTCCCAAGACTCCTTGAGCTGAACGAGGTCGCCCCATCGTATCTCCTTGCCGACTGCCACGAACACCTCGGCGCCTCTCCGAGCAATTGTCCGCCGCGGACCTGGCTTCGCCTTCTTGCCGTACGGGAGGGATGCAGAAGCCTTGTTGCCATCGCTCGTGTGGTCAAACAGTTTGTGGCCGGGAGCCGGCTCATTGAGCCAGCTCGGCGCAAAGCTTTTGATCTTGGGCATTTGCGGAGCTGGGTGAGCTGAGGACACACTTTCCTTGGAGTTGCCACTATCGATGCAGCATTGAACAACTGGTAAATTAACCTTTGCAAAGCAAGGAATGAGATATTGATACCAAGCGGTGCCTCTAGTTAGGTGGTTGAAAAATCACGGGCTGCCGTATTTTTTTTTTCGCGAGGTTGGGAAGCTTCAAAGTTCAAAAAGCACCCGACCGGATTGTTTGTTTATCGCGTTCCTAACGAGCCTGGGCCCTGCACAGCTTCTGGCAGGCATGCTCAAGGCATGCTAACGTTACGTTACCGGAACGCGGGCAGGCAAGCAAGATTAGCGGCTCCCAAGACCCTTGCCGTGATGGGTGGACCCACTTTCCGAAACCACTCTTAGAACCACCACTATCGCAAGCACCACGGCAAGGTAGCTTCCACCAAACAATCTGCCCATCTCCAATTCAAGCCCCGGGAAGTTAGACGCTTACCGGAAAGACGCAACGGACACACAAAACATGCGGGGCCCACGGACAACAGTTGAGCGGCTCGACCAGCCGAGCGCCTACTTCCTCAATAGGGTGAGTATCTTGATGCGAGAAACATCTGTTCGCGAGAAGCATCAGAATTGTCTAACGCATGCCTCGCTGTCCGACCAGAACAAACGGCGACGTAGCGACAAGGACCGGCGCGATGGGGACGAAGACACTAACATGCAGGCTGAACAACCGGAGGAAGACCGTCTCAAGAATGCGACCACCCTCTATGTTGGCAATCTGTTCGTCGAGCCCCCAAAATCCCCGGATCACAAACCACGAATTTGCGAAGGCTGACAAGCGCCACTTCAGATCATTCTACACCACAGAAGAGCAGGTATACGAGCTCTTTTCCAAGTGCGGCGAGATCAAGCGCCTCGTCATGGGCCTTGATCGCTTCAACAAGACGCCGTGCGGATTCTGCTTTGTCGAGTACTACACCCACCAGGACGCGCTCGACTGCATGAAGTATATCGGGGGTACGAAGCTTGACGAGCGCATCATCCGGACCGATCTAGATCCAGGTTTCGAAGAGGGCCGGCAGTATGGCCGTGGCAAATCAGGGGGGCAGGTGCGTGATGAATACCGCGAAGACTACGACGAGGGCCGTGGCGGGCTTGGCCGAGCACTCCAACAGGCGGAGAAGTTGAGTCGGGAAGGGAGAGATTACGACGACGACTACGGACGGCTGCGGTAGATCGACCAGGAGCTGGCGCGGGAAGTGCATGATTTGACTGTTTCTTTGCGGAAAAGATAGGTAATACCCCAGGAAAACAACCTTTGCATCGCTCTATCGTCTGTGTGTGAAATCTACCTAGCCGATACTAAGATGCCATAATGAACGCCATTTGTTCCGTTTCGTATGGTACACAAAATACAGGACAGAAGGATGTCGGTTGCCTCGTTCAGTATCCGGGAGGGTTGACCCTCTGGGACACACGCGTCCACTTGGGAAGTTCTAGATGAGAATGTCAGATACACGCCGCACGATCCATCGCAAGTTCCAAGGGCCGACGTACTATGGATGCCCTTGCGATACCTCTTTTCTTTCCGGTCGAACATGGTGTATTTGTCCTTGGACAGCATCTCGGCCTCGGTAGGCATTTCGGCCTTCCATCGTTCCAATGATTTGAGCGTCTCACCCTTCTTGGCTAACGCGTTGCTCAGCGTCTCGACGACCTTGTCGACGGCCCGTAACCGCCTGCGCTGACGGAGCTTTTGAGTCGGAGAGAGGCGCCAGGGGATTTTCCTATGCCGAGTGTCAGATCGCGAGCAGTCATGCACAGTAGTATAGTAGACCAACCATAAAAGACCCCCACCAAGGGAACTTGTAATTCTGAACGGCCCGAACATGATTGTGACGGAGACCTTCAACCGGGCCACCGAGTGGATTGGAAGTTCTCCAAGTACGGACGAGACCTTTGTCTGGCGCTCCAAAACTTCGCGGCGCCCGGCTGCAAGCGCCAAGCCAATCATGGCACGCTCTACGTTGCAAGTGGGTCCCCCCACAAGTCCGGGACCCGCTCAACTTAAAGCATTGCCCTGCAGCCTTGGCGCGATCCAGCTCAACTCCCTCTGATGAATGCTTCACAGAGATGATGAATCCAGCCGCGAATGACGGAATGCGACAGGCCACAGTAGCAATCTGACGTCGCAACTCCTTGACCGAACGACATGCAGATGATTGACCGATAGAAACCAACGTACCGTCAGTCCAACCAAACGGCCAAGAAGCCACCATGAGCTACTACTTCGCCATAATCGGCACCCAAGACAACCCGCTGTTTGAGTACGAGTTCGGCACAAGCAAGCAAGGCGGCGATGGGCAGGCCCGTTTCAGCGAGCAGGCGCGCCACCTCAACCAGTTCATTCTGCACAGCAGCCTGGACATTGTCGAGGAGGTGCAGTGGACAAATGGACAGCTGTACGTATTGTACATAGATTCTCGACGATACCCCAACTGCTCCCCTAGCAGTTCGTTTGTCCCCTTCCGTCGCTAACCATGTGCCGCGTGCGGCCAGCTACCTCAAGGTGATCGACAAGTTCTTCAACAACTGGGTATCCTGCTTCCTGACGGGCGGAAATGTCAAGTTTCTCTTGTTGCACCAGCCGCCAGCCCCCGTCGGCGGCGCTGGCAGCTCAACCCGCAACTCGACGTCGGTCGGCGCAAACCCAACCAGCCCACAGACGGAGGAAGCGATCAAGAATTTCTTTAACGAAGTCTACGATAACTATGTAAAGGCCATTATGAGCCCGTTTTACAAGGTCAACATGGAGATTCGGAGCCCCGTGTTTCGCGCGAGGGTTGCAGCGGCAGGGAGGAAATATTTATAGCCGATTATGTTCTGTTCAAGATCCCAGGCATTTCGGCAAAGTAAGGGTGCTACTCTGCACACTGAGCCTAGCTGGAGGACACGCAAAACAATCACGACATGCAACCGACGAGTTCATCAAATCAATGTATTCCGCCAACACAGGGGTTGGACTGCCTATCCCATGCCAGTGACGCCCTGGTCACTCCCATTGACCGTGTCATAGTGTACCCATCCCCCCATCCCCCAAAACGCCGGGCGTAAAAATCACTCTCAGAAAAACAAATGTACCTGATCATGCCATGTGCAAGTCACACTGCCCCCCCACGCCAATCATGCTGCGTCGCTGAAGATAATAATGCGAATGCAACTGATCGCATAACGATGACGAGCATGAACTCGAACCCCATTTCCTTTCCCAAGCTCAACCCGCTTAACCACCGAAACCGTAGAGGGTGCGCCCCTGGCGCTTGAGGGCATAGACGACGTCGAGCGACGTGACCGTCTTGCGCTTCGCGTGCTCAGTGTAGGTGACGGCGTCGCGGATGACACCCTCGAGGAAGGACTTGAGGACACCACGGGTCTCCTCGTAGATCACTGGACATGGCTGTCAGTATTTGTGTTGTGGAGATGGATTTGATAGACAGAACGGCCAAAAAAAAACATACTGGCAGAGATACGCTTGACACCGCCACGGCGAGCCAGACGGCGGATGGCGGGCTTGGTGATGCCCTGGATGTTGTCGCGCAGAATCTTGCGGTGACGCTTGGCGCCGCCCTTGCCGAGGCCCTTTCCGCCCTTGCCACCTACACGACACGACGCGTCAGTATAATCAAAGGCTTGAAGTCATGGACAGGATAATTATCGTTGACGCCGCGATGCAGTGCAAAAATGCAGGAAACAGGACGCGATAGCGTGACGCGTTGTGAACCGCGTGCCCCACCCACGCAGGCAGTTCAAACCATCCAGTCGCGAACCTGGAAGAGCCATGCATATCGACGTCGACGCAGAAGTGTGCAATGATTCAAACTTGAAAAACTTACGTCCAGTCATATTGATAAATGTATCAACTTGATGTAGATGTGTTTTATTGATGGAATGGCTTGTCGCAATGGACAAATCGATGAAAAGTTGATGCTGTTGATGATGGTTCAACTGCGCGCAATTGTAAAAAGAGTGGTGTTTAAGAGGAAAAGCTGGCGAGTCAGAGGGGGGCACCAGTTAAATAGGTGTATGGCCAGGCAGCTGGATCAGTGCAGCTGATCTGGAAGTTGGAATAAAAGGGCACTAGTCCAGTTTCGGATGTTGTGTTGGTGCTTAATTCCCGCCAAATGAAAATTCGTTAATGCTGCGTTTTGAAAGCCTGGATTTACGGAGTAAAATCGAGTGTTAGAAGCGCTGCAAATGCGCGTGGCTTTGCTCCCTGTTTTTCTGGCCTGCAAGAGTCGCGCGTTTGGGGGCCGCCCCACAAACAAAAATGGCCCGAGCTCCTCGGCTGTCTTCTCAAGATGCAAGGCGCGCAGGCGCAGCCAAGCCGGGGGTGAAAGATGAGATCGAAGAGGCTGGTCCAAGCTTCCAACCGCGAAACGGTGAAAATGGCGAACGATCTTGCGTCAACGACGAAAAGCATACAACGGCTACTTATATTTTACGTATCAGAGGATCCTGTGGACACACCGTACACCTTCAAATCCTAAAATATCACCCGTGCCTGGGATGACCGGCAGTGCCATGATGCCGCCCATCCGGCTTTTCTCAAGGCACAATCAACAACTCATTGCCAAGTCTCGTTCAAGCCCTCGCCGGGCATCATCCCGGGTCTCAGGTATTACCAGGTTCTTCGCTGCCATCTGTCGGGATCTCCAACGCTGTATATAGGTAGAGGCTGGCGATGCTCAAGGATGTATGTAAAAGAGCATCTCTCACGGGTCGTATAGGTGTAGCTTCACTCCTCCCAGACCAGCAATCATCAATTCCTGTATTACCCATTTTGTATCCAGCCGGCTCTTCCTTTCTCTGCTGAGGCCGCGAAAACCGAATCCATTCCATCCCATCCCTTTCCATCCATCCAGTGTCCGCCCCGACTCCATAGAAATACACGGTTGGCCGATGCAATGCTAAGGTACTCATACAAAATCCACCCGGCTAAGTCTGCCTTGACCTGAGGGAGTCCACGCGAAGCGGAAGCATGCTCGATGCTCTCCAAGAACGCCTTTGCCATGTTTATGCAATGCAATGCAATGCTCACATTGCTGCGAAAGAAAATACCAATCACCCCCCAACGACTAGTTCCCGCCACTCCAGTAGGGCCTCCGTCTTATTTCCCGAGCCGGGATCACTAGGCACCTCCAAGCGCAAGCTAAGTAGCTCATCCGTAACGCGACCAAGTCCGTCCATGCGTAGGGCATCCTAGGATAACGTTCGTATTCAGACGTCATGACCAAATCGCGAGCATCAGTGCATCATGGAGTCGTTCAAACAATCGTCATCCTCAAGTCCTCCAATCTCCTGCTTGATTTGCCCGCTCGCCTGTATGAAGGAATTCGAGGTTAGCAGCCTCTCTTTCAAGGATAGTTCACAATGTGAGCTCTCACCTTAGGGTCCAGACTTAGGGCGATGGTAAAATGGCGGACGGCGGCCTTTTTGTCTCCGAGAGTTTTGGCGAGCTTGCCAAGTAGGAAATGGACTTGAGCCTTGTCTGGCGCAAGGTCCCTTAAAATCATGAGCTCCCGCTGCGCTTCCTCCAACTGCCCGGTAGCCAGCAGCGCCCGGGCCTTCTTGTGCCGGATCTCGGCCGCCCGCGGGGCCAGCTCAACGGCCCTGTTGAAATAGGGCAGCGCCTGTGCAATCTGCTTCTGCCTCTGCAACACCGTTCCCATACAGCAAATGAGGACGGCGTGCGTCGGGTGGATCGCCGACGCGGCGTAATAGTGACTCCATGCTTTTTCATAGTTGCCCAGCTTCTCGTAGACTTTCCCAATACCGTAGTAGGCGTTGTAGTGCCGTTTGTCTGCCGAGACGGCGTGCCTGTATGCCGTAAGGGCCTTGTCGTACTCCTCGTTTTCCACGTGTTCGTGTCCTTGCAATGTGTAGGCGTAGGCGAATTTTGGGTGGAGCTGAATAGCTCGTTTGAAGCACCGCAGTGCTTGCTCGTGGTCACAAGCTAGGGACCACGCATTTCCAAGCGCGCACCAAGCTTGTGGCGAGTCCCACACGGAATCGACGAGCTCATGCGCCAGGAATGACAAATCAATCTCTTTCCTGAGGTGCCATAAAACGGTCGAGTAGACTTCCATGTCGTCGTGGCGTGCTGGAGCGAGTTTTCGGAGCCGCCTGAAGTACTTCTCGGCCTCTGCGTAATTAGCCTGCTCATACTGTGCTCTGCCCATCCGGGCCAGCACCCATGGCGTCTCCTGCTGGCTCCGTGGGAGAGAAGAGAACGCAGCCAATGCCTCTTGGCATTGGAATTGCGATGAGAGCAGATATCCGGATGCCATCTTTTTCAAAAGATCCAGGATCCACCTCAATCCCTCTTCTACCCTCACCGGCTCTGGCTCGACTGGTTTGGGTAGAGAAATTTGCACAACAGGCTGCTCTCTGACCCGTGGTGCTTCAGCTTGGTCGACGTCCATACTGTTTTCCTCCAGAGGCTTCCGGTTGCCGCTGACAACCCGGCCAACGCTCGTTCCACTAGAGCCTGGGCGCAGAATCCGGGAGACTGGGGGCCTAGCCTTCTTCAGTTCGCGGGTCGCCGGCACACCATTCACGTTGGCGCTCGAGTTGGCTCTTGAAGCGGCCGTCCTAGGGACCACATTGAGCCTAGCGCTCCTCCTAGGTTCCTCGCCGTTGAGCAGGCGTGGCTGGGCGGGTTGGCCCGATGCTGTGCGCTTCCTCTCAGTTGCTGACAGAGAGAGGGTCGGCCCTCGTGTCATCGTTTCTGAGAGCTCCGTGGGCTGATCCTGAGCCCTTTCCCGCTTTTTGGATCCCAATCGGTAGCCCACTCTCGAGGACCCGTCGATAAGACTTGATTCAGCTGCCTGACCGCCCCGCGTCCGTCTAGTGGGAGCCAGCGGTGCCTCCGCGCCAAAACCATTGCGCGACGTCTGTATCTCGTAATTGGTAGCGCCAGTCACAGTGTCCGTTCCTTCATGCCCATTCTTGTTCCCCTGGCTCGCCGTATACCTGGGCTGAACTACGGCAAATTTAGCCACCAAGTCGTTCTCGCTAGGCTCGGCGAACAACATATTATTGCTCGATATGTCCTGAAACGCTGTAGAGCGGTAGCCCTCAAAAGGATCGCTTTCCTGGCTGACAGCTTGTATGCCAGTCTTCTTCTGAAGCGGCTCTGGCGGGCCGCCATTAAGCTCGGCGTGTGTTGCACCCAGTTCCTGGTCGAAAGTGCGAGTGAAGGAGTCATCCAGCTTAAAGATGTTCGGTATCCTGACATTAACGCCCATGTCACATAAAGTCGTGAAGGCATCCCACATGAAGGGGTTGGCTCTTAGTGCTTCCTCGAAAAACTGGACTGCCCTCTTCTTATCGTCGTATGCCCGGTACAGCTTGCCGAGCAGACAGCAGACAGCGGCTGCATCAGGGGAGGGAGCGCGGGTCGAGGCTGTGTGCCTACCCACAGTGCATTTTGGGTTCCACAGCGGCCGTGCTTTCTCCAAGGCGGTAATCCCATCCTTGTACCGTTCCAGATCCAAGCACGACTGCGCCAAGATGAAGGAACACCCTACATGAACCCCTCGTGAGCCGAACGGTTTGCTAACTTCGTATGCCGACCGGGAATCGCCGAGGCGGAAGTGGCAGAGCGCAACCAGGTATGCGGATTCGGGGGAGCGCGGGTCATGTGCATGCAGCCGTTCGGCAAAGAAGAGAGCATTCTGGTAAGCGAGGCTGTCGAGATGGTAGTAAACAGTCTGCCTTAGCAGGTTTGCAATCGCTGCGCTGTTCGGTGCCATCTTGAAGTGAGCACGAATGCGCCGGCTCGGGTGGGATGCTGTGTTCCAACTGCTACCGACGAGGATAATCCATGGGACCGCTCGAACCAACGACTGTCCTGAGCAAGATGGGCATGGAGGGTCTCACTCTTGGCGAGATAGCGCGCAGCCCTTCGCGAAGAGCGGTTTGGAAGGTCGGTGGCGGAATCAAAGGCGATGCCGGGGGCCGCTTGCCTCCACGGATACAGATGGGGCCCTGCGCGGGCAGGTAAGAAGGATACGGCCGATGCAACGGATGTGATTAAGAAAACGATTAGTTATCGGGAAGTCGATCGTAAGCGCAACCGTGGTCGAAATTCAGTGCCGCTCTCCGAAGCAACGATGAATGGCTCGGCAGGATCACTGGTGACGAAGTGATGGCGGGGCGTGGAATGTCGACCTCAGCTGGCCTGTCAGGGAAGGGAAAACAGACTGGGAAAAAAACAAAGGCACGGGCAATGGTGCGGGCCCACAACTCCAGTTGTCAGATTTTCCCAAGATGCAAAAACATAGCTTCCAAAGAGGAAAAAGAAAGGAAGCGACGAAGGAAGGATGAGCAAACCCATCAACTCCAGCACCAGGATTTCTCCGTGCAAAACGATGGCCTGGTGTTCTCGAATTCTGAGCTCGGTGGGAAGGTGTCAAGGCTTCAACAGCGCTCCACAGTGCTCTGAGGTTGCTGAGTCTCCCGCCCGGGACAATGTTGTGGTGGGTGCGCCAGGGGGTTATTGATTGGCTACCGAAGCGATACGCGCTGCAAGGTAACATTCACCTTACCGCAGCAAGCCAAGTGTGAACAACCCATAAACAAACGTTACCACAGTGAAGCTGATTCGCACACCACGACGCAGCAAAACTTATTCAACCCAAGCCAACAAGCCAACACGTCTTACAAGGGACTCGAATAAATTCGGCCCAAAAATGGAGCATCTCTCACAATTTCACAGTTTGTCCGCAAAACCCAACACCGTCCCGGGTGCCGTCCTATCTGCCACTCTGCCTTGATTAAGGTAGTCTTGTTGCTGGTAAGCCCAAGGCCATGAATCTCATGTTGACCATACTGACTGCCAGGCGTTGCTTATCGTGTGGTTGAACAGGTTGAATTGGCGTGAGAATGACGCTATACGATGAGATCGCTGAAGCAGACGCCGATGAAGAGCACAGGGCTTGGATAAGGAAACTCATTGACGCTAGAACAGAGATCGTGGAATTTGTAGACACTCGCATGAACGGCGAGGGAGCCGCTGCCTACAAGGGTTTCTTCAAGGGAGGTTTCAATCTCAGTTTCCACATCGACCTCGGAGATGGGCGCACGAGTGTCCTAATTCGCTTCGCGATGCCCGGCGAAACAGTAACGCCGTGGAGGGACGAAAAGGTCGCCAACGAGGTACGGGCGATCGAATATCTACGAGAGGAGACAACGATACCTTTGCCTCACATACATTGTTGGGGCTCTACCAAAGAGAGCCCAGGCAACTGGGGCCCTTCATCATCATGGACTTTGTCGAAGGCACTCGTCTATTAAGATTTCTCAGGCAGCCGTTCGATGACGAGTCTGAGCCTGTCATCCTGAACAAGGATGTGGATGAGGCAACGCTCGATACCATCTACGAACAGATTGCCGATTACATGCTTCAAATGTCTCGGCTTAGCTTCTCCCGTATCGGAGCCATCTCCAGAGACACACTTGAGCCAGGAACATGGGCCGTGACCGGGAGGCCGCTGACACTCCATATGAACGTTCTTGGGACAGCTACTGGTTACCCTGTGGACCAGTTCCATACTACGCCGCTGGACTCCGCCAGGACCTACTTTGAGCTGGTTGCGAGGCAACACCTCCTTCATCTGGAAACTCAGCAGAACCTCGCCAAGGATGCCGCCGATGTTCAGAGGCGGTTTGTCGCGCGCCACCGGTTCCAGCAACTCATCCCAAAGTACTGTGCTGCCATCGACGACGCAGGGCCGTTCAGAATCTTCTGCGATGATATGCAGCCCGCCAACATGCTCATCGATCCGAATACCCTCCGCATTACTCTTGTGCTCGACTTTGAATCTACCAACAGTATGCCTGCGCAGTTTGCCTACGATCCGCCATGGTGGTTGTTGCTCAGGAATCCCGGCATCTGGATTGATGAAGAAGGAATCGACAGTTTCTTAGCTCGCTATGTGCCCCGGTTGGAGCAATTCCTCCAGGTCTTGGAGCGCGTGGAAGAGAAATCCGCGGTGTCTCCGGCCAACGGCGAACGTCTCTCTGCCCGCATGCGTGAGTCTTGGAAGAGCGGTCGTTTTTGGTTCAACTACGCATCCAGACAATGCCTGGATATCGACGCAATCTACTGGGCGGCCTTGCATGACCCCGCGGATGGTGACGGCCTCTCGTTACTTGAGCCAGGAACAAGGGAGGAGTTGGCTCCGTTGGTGGAAAAGAAGATGGAACAGCTAAGCGCCTACAACGCTGAATACGCCGCTCGGTTTCCTGACGGATCGTCAGAGTAGGTTCACGTCTTTGCTATTCGGTTGCCCGAGGTAGAGGCAGAATGTGTTTGAAGATATTCTATTTCTATTCTAGGCATATGCTATGTAGGTACACGAAGTCCGCTGCTCTACAATTATGGTATCCTTTGGGCAGACCTGAAATGGGGAACGAAGGGAACAGAGCAGAGAGAAGACCGCAAACGCAAATCCCATCCAGAGCTGAGCCAGCCTCAACATTCCTTCCAGTGGAAGGCAACCTACTGTTCCAATAACGAAATCGACATCATTTGGGGCCTTGAATACTTACCTAGGCACCGGCACTCAGACTTGCCCATTGAGATTGTAGGATCGAGGATCCGCTGACATCGCACTCAGCATATCAAGCCGGGCTGGATTTCACTCTTGGAGCGAACCGCCGGATCTTGACTGAACCGCGTATGGTCAAGTCTTATTGCCGCCCTTCTTCCGCCGGTCGCGGGACGCTTCGCCTGCCTTCTTCACCAGGTCCTCCGATTCCTTTTTCTTGCGAGCTTCCTCTCGCTTCTCCTTGGTAGCTTGCGCTGCCTTGGTCATTAGGTCCTCATCTTGCACCCTGTGAATTTTGAAGGATTCGCCGTTGTCAGCCATTGTGATGTGTTGAAGTTGGAATAGCTCGTGATGTGATTGCAGCAATGAACTACTGAAGGTGGTAGGATGGGTCGATGAAGATGTGAAGCTCTCGACTTACAGAAGCTGGGTCCGGTATATATAGGCGGTTTTGCTGATCGCAAGGAGGGAGCCTGACAGACATCTGACCTACTTCCTGGTGTTGCAAGGCACTTCTCGGCGTTGTAAGGCGCTCTGCTCTGGCTAGATATAAGACTCTTGACAAGTTGACTGGCTGTTCTTCTGCCATGGACAGCCCATGACTAGTTGGCCCGGCCTCGTCGGTGGGTTGTAGGGCCGGCGCTTGTGCTCTCATGGGCAGAGTGAGGTAGACAATGTGACTTCAGTACGACTCAACACCTTCCAAAGAGTGGCTGTGGTGGAGGTTCCCGGCCCATGGAGCAGGCCCATGAGCCTGTAAGACGAGTTTCTTTGGCAAGCCAGCAGCGAGGCCATTGTCCCTGATTAAGCCCTCGTCGAAGCCTAACGTACTATAGCAACGGAGTCATTTGCCATTGTAAGGTTGATCAGCAAGTAGGCCAGCGATCAAGTAGCCGCACAGAGCTGGTGAGGATAAAACTCAACCTTGTCGCTGTTGGTTGTTGATTGTCGGCTTAAGCATGCTGGCCGCTGGCTGTTGGCTCTTCATTGTCCACGTGCAAATTGCAGCTTGTTGGCCTCCGATTTCCGTCCCAGACTCAAGACTCAGGTGAATGAATGCGCTGCTGGTTATTGCACGTCATTCTACCGTAGCGATATTACTGTACCGTGATGGCATAAACGTATGAACTACCTACCTTGGGCTTGCCATATTCTTCATCGTCATGACTCTCTTCGTGGTCATCACGTCGGCCCTCATCCTACAGTTCTTCCTTTCGCTCACGGCCATGGCTTCCAGCGGTGTAAAGTATGGGCGTGTGTTCCTGTCGCCGGACGCCCAGGGCGTACTGACCTCGTTCCTCCACGGCACCTTCAGGGCCTACTTCGGCGTCGCCTTTGCTTCCTTTATCATCAAATACCACCAGTTCCTCACCCTCTCCAAGCAGGGCCAGCGCCTCAGGTTCGAAGAGATGACGCCCGGCGGGATCCTGCCCATGTCAATCGGACATGTCAATGGTTCAGTTGTTGAGAAACTGAGACTACATGGCAAACGCAGAGGCATTTTCAAGATGTTGAGACGGATCCCTTCAGCCTTGTAGGCTGGTATATGTCAGAAACTTTAAGTTGCGTTATACGAGGCGGTGGTTTCTTTGACAAACCCGACATGGGTTCGTCAGGGGTAAATCAACATCAGTGACCGGAGAGGAGCTTGAACCGCATCATGAGCAATATCCACGATTTGTGTGGCACTCAGGGTTAGGGTCGAGCACGAACTTCAACTTTCAAGCGGGAACGTGGCCCTGAAGTTCTCCGAACTCTCTATCTCAACGTGTTAGTCCCACTCCAATCTAGCAACAGTTCCTCTCCTACATTCTGCAACCAACATGGCCCAAAAAGCACGCAAAGACCGAGCCAAGTCCAACGCGGCAGCGCTCAACAACCTGCACATCGGGTCGCTGATTGTCAATGGCGTCTTTCTCCTCCTGCACTTCGTCTTCAGGGCACGCTCACTCCTCCTCTGGTTCATTCTCTCGCTCCCCAGCTTTATCTGCCAATTCGCACTGGAGAGGACCGGACGCCCCAGCTATGACCCCGCCACTAAGGCTCTCAAGTCCTCTGGGGAGGACCTCAGCGCGGCTGGGCTGACCGAGTACATGTTCGACGTGATTTGGGTTACCTGGGCCGCGGCGATCCTCGTGGCCCTGTTTGGCAACTGGGCTTGGTTTTTCTGGGGAATTGTTCCCGCCTACGGCATCTACAAGGGCTTCGGCTTGATGGGTGCCGCGAAGCAAATGGCTCAGATGGGTATGGGTGGGAATGCGAACATGGACGCGAACGCGAACGCCGCGACTGCCGGCAATCGAAAGCAGCGGCGGGCAGCCTGACGTCTGGAATCTTCCAAATGTCTATTTCTTAGGCGTCAGATTGACCATCTACTGGGGCCCGATGCCATTCGCGCTCTCTCGTCCACTCCTGCAGCACGGCCGGCTCGACATCCCTCACCAGGACGTGTATGTGGTCCACCGTCCGCACGCTCTGCAGCGCCACCCAGTTCTTGAACCACATGACCCTGTCCTCGCCACCAGGTCCGAGGCTGTCTACAAAATACCGCTTTACGAACTGCGCCACCGTCTCCCTGCTCTCGGGCGTCAGGTCGCCGACCTCGGCATCCGTCGGGATCCGGGTCCGGGACCACACGACAATGTGCGCGATGCCCGGCGCGAAGCCGTAGGGCCAGTCGTTGACCAGCACCCGGTAGTCGGACGGGTCGGCAAACGGTGTTTCGGAGGCCGGCGTAAAGGGCGGCGGCCCCCAGGCCTTGGGCAAGCGGTGAGCCACGAGGTAGTCGGTCATGCTGCCGTACTCGGCCTTTGTTTTGGCAGTCCATTCCATATACCGCCGAAGATCGGACGGCTTTCTCTTGAGGAGGTAGAGCTCATTGTTTTCTGGTGCTATTTGTTAGTGGCGCGGAGGAGCTAGAGGCCCGGCATTAGAAAGGTAGCGAAAATGGTCGACCGTACGAAGTAGATTGCGGAGTTCATCCCAGGTGTGGTATGTGAATTCGTCGTCGGTTTGGGAAAGCACCCACTTATCCACCTCAGTGAGAGGAAACGGGGCCTCCTGGGTAGTGTTTTCTCCCATTTGGATGTCTTTACCCGATACTGTAGTACGTTGGTGGTGGTGGTGGGGTCATCGCAGAGACTTGGTGGAAGTTCGGTAGCTCAAGAGCCGGCGGCAATACCTCAAAGATGACGGTTTCTTAACACTGCAGATCTGCGGCGGAAAAACGAAAGAAGTGAACGATTGAACGGATTGGAACTTGACACGATGCATCAAAACTGGCTTTGCGACGGCCAGAGCAACTATGCCACTACGAGGCTGTCTGAGTAAGCAGCAAGACGGTGAGACATGCATGAGCGAATGCAGGGGTACGAATCGCGGCATTGCGAACTGCCGTTTATCGGAGACATGCTTCGCAGACGGAAGCTGCCCGGTCTGTCTGGCAGGCGCCTCCGTCCCGCATCGCGGGCCAAAATTGTTGATTCCAGAAAGGAGAAATGGTGGGGCACCCGATGGGCTCCACCGGCAGATTCGGCTCAACCCGCAGCAAAATCGGCCCATCCGCCTTTTTCATCCCCGCCTGTCGGACCAGCCTGCGTCGGACATTTCCTTTTTATCAATTGGCTGTGCCCCGGTCCACGTCGGCCTCGTAACTCACCGTCCAACAGCTCCCAGCTCGCCAGCCAGCACCTTGAGCAGCGTCAATCTTCTGTCGGAACACTTTGGGGCTCGAGAAGCGACGCGGAGGAAATAATATAGGAGGAGAGAGAATAGACAAAAATGGCCGAAGGCTCATTGCTTGCGCGAAAGTATGTCGACGGGATATACATTCCCGTTGGCCTGCTCGTCGTGGGAACAGCCATTGTGAAGCGGGAGTGGACAGCGTATGCACTGCTGCTGGGGGTCGCCCTCGGTGCGATCAAGTATTTCAATACCCGTAGGACACTTCTCTGCCCTCGCCCCCTTCATCCACAATTCCCACCCGCTGACGACATCCCGCCAGTACCCAAGAAGGTCCTCAAGCCGGACGTCTTCCAGGAATTCGAACTCAAGGAAAAGACCATCATCTCCCACAATGTAGCCATGTAAGCATCCCCCTTTTCCCACCCCTCAAGTTCCTGCTCTTTAATCTTCCGAACGACTAACACCCAACTTCCAAAGCTACCGCTTCGCCCTCCCAACACCGACCTCGATCCTCGGCCTGCCCATCGGCCAGCACATCTCCATCGGCGCGGTGCTCCCGCAACCCGACGGCACCTCGAAGGAGATCGTGCGCTCGTACACGCCCATCTCGGGGGACCACCAGCCGGGGTATTTCGATCTCCTCATCAAATCCTACCCGTCAGGCAACATCAGCAAGCACATGGCGTCGCTGGCCATCGGGCAGACGATCCGCGTCAAGGGCCCCAAGGGTGCCTTCGTCTACACGCCCAACATGGTGCGCCACTTTGGCATGGTCGCTGGCGGCACCGGCATCACGCCCATGCTGCAGGTCGTGCGCGCCATCATCCGCGGCCGCAAGGACGGCGACAGGACCGAGGTCGACCTTATCTTTGCCAATGTAACTGAGCAGGATATCCTGCTCAAGGAGGATCTCGACCAGCTGGCTAGGGAGGACAAGGGGTTCAGAGTCCACTATGTCCTGGATAAGCCGCCCGCCGGGTGGACCGGTGGTGTGGGCTACGTGACGGCCGATATGATTGCGGTGAGTGGACGGGATTTGACCTGGCTTGTGTTTTTGGAAGATGGGAAATTGCTGACTTTGATGGGGAAACCTGCAGAAATGGCTCCCCAAGCCCGCCGATGATGTCAAGATCCTGCTCTGCGGTCCCCCGCCCATGGTGAGCGGCCTGAAGAAGGCTACTGAGAGTCTTGGGTTCAAAAAGGCGCGGCCTGTCAGCAAACTGGAGGATCAGGTGTTTGCCTTCTAAGATAAAGGCTGAGATGGACGGTCACTTACATCGCAAACCGCTCTACAAACCTACCTCCTTCAACCACCCGGGGAAAGCGGCAATAAATTGAACCGCGTTAGTATAGGTAACTACAAAAGGTTCGGACGCAATGAGTTGTGTCCATGTTAGAATCCGACAGGATCCATTTGTTTAGATTGGGGATCTAAGCGGATGCTGAGGAGGGTCAAAGTCTAATATAATACACCCCTTCTGTAACCCCAACCGACCAGTATATGATCTCGTGCCAGCTAGCCAGTCCAGTGTGACATGAATGCCGAGCTGAGATGGGTATATTCCGTTCGCTTAACCAGAACCCCTAAGCGCCTTGTACTGCACATGCCACCCATGCTAGATCATGATGTTATACATTCCACCGAGGTAAGTTCCCATACCACATTGCGTCAGCAGTATTAGTTACCAGGTGCCCAGGAGCTCATGCCGCCGTTGTCGTGCGATTGCGACGTCCCAAGGCCACCATCATCATACTCGTTGTCGCCGCTCTCGAAAACATCGGTGAGCATGGCGTAGAACGACTCGGGATTCGCCGCACCCCACTCGCCCAATTCGAAGACGTCGAGGTTCTGAGCATCTCCAGCCGTTGCCGTTGCAGTATTGGTATTCGGGCTATAGCTAGCGCTGACGCCTCCGAGAGGTGCGCTGGTCCCTAAAGCCTGTTGTGTGAACGCCGTTTCAATGCGCTCCTCTGAGTTGTTCGTAGCAGTCATGCGGATGCCCCCCATATTGGGGACAATGTTAGCTGGTACTGAGCGTGATCCCGTTGCTGGGGACCCAGTCCGGTGAGGCAGTGTGGTCGTCGTCGTAGAAGACTCCATATATTTCAACGAGTAGAACCAGCCACCCGGGTATCCAAATAACGCAGGTGCCGGCTTATTATCCATGGAACTTGGCCCTGCGCGCTCGGAGGACCAGGAAGAGGAAGAGGGTACGTTTGTGTGAGCAGGCCGAGCTGCTGTCGGTGCAGATGTCCGTATTCGTTTGCTTGCGCGGTCGCCGCCGTCCCCTTTCTCAGAGTAGGGATATATTTCGATACGAGGGGCACACGATGCCGCCCCAATACCGGCTGCCGGGTCCGGTGCAATGCCTTGAGGTGCGCCCAGAGGCAGGCGTCCCGGGAGGGGCGGCTGGACCTTGCTGTGCCGAGAGATGGAGCCGCGGACGATGACTGGGATCCCCTGAGTGATTTTGTTTTCGTGTCCTGTGCTGGGACGGAAGCTGACCAAGCCTGAGACACCATTGCGCTCGAGGTCCTGAAGCAGTTGGTTGAGGTAAGCGTTTGTTATTAAGTGCTGGCGACCCACGGCTTCCATGGCCCTCATGATGAGTTCAAGGTTTGTGCTGTTGCACTCTATCGGATTTTCTTTTGCCTGCGCTACGTACACTGACGCTGCGCAGTACAAGGACAGAGCCATCAGGGGGCTCTGCGGTGGACAAAGTCAGATCAGATCCGAGAGAACGCACATAGCAAGGGCCACTCACGTATCCTCTTCTCAAGTGACTGGTGAGTTTGATAATGTCGACGATTTCCTGAGCAGCAGTCAATGCCCGGGTTCTGCTTGTCTGCTTTATGTGTGGCAGTTTGAATTTGTCCGCCTTCTCGCAAGCGGCGTTGTGGAGGCAGATAGCAGCGGCATGCAGGTTCAGATTTGCCTGAACCGCAAGAGGATCGCGTACGTTCGACGGCAGCCTGAAACGCTCTGGTAGGAACATGAAAGCACTCGATAGCATGTTGTCCAGTTCCCTGTGGCGCTTCCAAAAAGGGCCATACTCCGTGTCTTCCGGGCGGTCGTCGGGCATCGGGCGGTGGGCATGCTTCAACAGCTGGCCAAAGATATAGCACACGACCACATTTGCACCAAAGGTGGAGTACGAAGCCCCCTTGAACACATCCAAGAGTGGCCATGACTTCTCTTCCACCCCCGTGGTAAACGCCTCCTCTGATGCAGGCAGGTGTGTGGTGACCTGTTCCTGGTCAGCTTTGAGCCTCAAGTACATGGAAGTATAACCACATACCTGGTGTACGTCAATCATGCTGGGCCATCCCGTACTAATGCTGGCGTAGCTGTCAATACAGAAGCTGCCCCAGAAGAGTCTGCGGCGCTCCTCGGTTTCAGCCCAGGTTTTCGCCGGGGCAATCATCGGCGCCATGGGGAGCTCTTCAGAAAGCCCGTCGTCGAGGCGGTGGAGCCCCATCATGCCTACGAGCCTGACACATCTAGCAGAGCTCATAGCAGCCCGTGTGTACAGCAAGCACTTGGCTTCATCAGCCGCGACAAGAGCCCAGGCTTGCGCATGGCCAAGTGTGATGAAATACTCGCCAAGTCCCTATGAAGCCATTAGCGGTACGAACACTCACTCTGTGGGCGTCATGCCAACCTTTAGCTCGTCAGCTTCCAGATACTGGCGGGCACGCCGATAAAGGGCATCATGATAGCATCCATACTTGGGGTGGCCATTTGCACCCATGGTCCAGATGGCATACTGAAGACACATCGGCGGGCGCATATGCGGCGGTGAGTGAAAGGACCGTAGATAGTTATCCCGGTGGACCACTGGCAGAGATTGACCATAAGTCTCGAAGAATATGTTGTGACTACATTGGCGTTAGTACACGGGGTACAGTCATCGGTTGCTATTCACGCCTACAGGTCCTCTATCATCTCAAAAGGAGGCAAAGTTTCGAACTGGCCCAGTCCGAGCAGCTCGCCGTGCTGGTAGAAGTCGTCCTTCGGAGCACTCTCGGTCGGCGACATGGGAAACCAGGCCCCACCCATACCAATGGGCTCGTTCTGGGGCGGCTTCGGGAGGCTGGTGCCGACATTCTCGGCGCCGGCTTCGACCGAGGACGAGCCACCAATTTGGCCTACATTGGGGCTGGCCGTCTCCTGAACCCTTTGTTTACCGACGGCTTTCAGCAGGCCTTCCACCTGGGCTGCAGAGGCTTGTCAACATTGGGTAAATGACGGATAGGGGGTGCACGGCTCCGTACAAAGCCTTTCCTCGAGCTCTCTCACGTTCCTGCGCTTGAAGGCCGGTTTCCTGCGAGACTCGGGATACACACACTCGCCACCAGCCTTTGCGCAGCGAGCGCACACTGGTTTTTGGCGGTCACCTGGCAACTACATAAGCGACTGGGGCCCCAGATAGTCAGGGTTTTGAACACTCTCACATTTGAGCTTCCGAGACCGACAGCTTACACATGCCAGGGGCTCAAATGCCTGGGCGGAGGCAGAGGCAGGTGATGCTTCAGAGAGTGCATCTTCGGGCGAATTTGACATTCTGCGGTTGGTAGCAAGACCGAGACCGAGGCCGACGTGAGATTCGAAAGACGCCGGAACAGCCAAGATTGCCGCTCCGGGACCCGACACATGTATAACTCGGTCGTAGCGGAGACTTGGCGCGTCATTCTCCGGTAGTCGTCATCGAGGCGCAGAACAATTTGTGCCTGAAAGCCATGGCAGACGCCCGGATTCGACAATCCAAATCTCGGCCTTCTTGGGCGGCCAGTCTTTGGTCCGATCGCCGAGGCCGCTTAGTTAGGCGGGTACCTGAAGACTGCACATGCATTTGAAACAAGGCGGCCATGGCTTGTCAGAAGGACTGCCGGAAAAAGAAGCTGTCAGAAACTGACTGACAGTAAGGTTGCCGGCGACATTTTGTGGATTGTTGGGCACTGGCAGCTGCCAACAGAATTAGATTGGTTTTCGTTGATCAAGTCGTGCAGTATCATTTTCACGGGAGGGAGGCTCAGCCATTACGGCCGGGTGACTCACGCCTGCCAAATACAGCCAGGCAACGTGAAATTATTACGCGCAATATCCGGTGACTCAGACACTATCGAGCTCTTTCCGACTTTATAGGAACAGAAAGACATGTCCTCCTGACAAAGCCTCATCAAAACAAATGGTCAATTATGTGGCCAAGGGGATGAGATTCCAAGCGCCAAGGGGTGTCACATCTTTTATGGATCACGAAACTTAACCTTTTGCAGGCCGGTCGGAGTTCCGGGCCGGCTCGGTCGGCCTCGGAGTTAGATTACTGTATCTATCAAGATCGAAAAATACGGAACCACCTAACAGACCGCAAATGTTCACTTTGTCCTGAATCCTGATCATCATCAACGACCAAGAGCCTTATCACCTACTCAATCCAGCCCCAACTCCATATATTCAAGCCCACCTTGACCCCTTTCTTGACGGGCAGCCCAGCATGCCACGTTTCCTCATACCCTCTCCCCGTCGTATCGGCCCTGAAATTCTCCCAATACACCGCGTTGCCAGGCACAGGCTTGAAAACCGTCCCATTGCCCGCTTCAGCATCATCACCACCACCACTCCATTCATCATCTGCACACTCAACAAACGCACACCACCTTGCATCCCTTGCCCTCTTTAACAGCGGAAACTCAGTCCCGCCCCCTTCCAACCCATCACCACCACCGTCTGCACCTTCACCTCCACCTTCTTCACCTTCACCTTTGGCATCAACCCATACCATGAAGCTAGACACCCTCCCCCACCCGCCGCGCCCACTGCTCCAGTCAAAGTGGTGGGCGTAGTGGCCGCCCGCGGCGTAGCGCTGCACGCGCAGCCGCTCGATCCATACCTGGCTGCGCCACCCTTGCAGCGCGCGCGCGCGGTCCTCGACGCACCGCACCCCCTCCGTCCGCGGCACCACCGCCACCTGCGAGTCGCGGATTGCCGGCGCGTGCTCGCTCGTTGCCCCGCCGTTGTGCGTCACTGTGGACGGCTGGTAGAGCGGTTCGCTGCATCATCGGGCGCCCGGGGACAAAAGGGGGCGCGAGGTATAAGCATGGTGTTCTCAGGGGGGGGGGGGTTATTTGGCGGGGAAGAGAAAGAAGGGGAGGTGTGCTGACCTGATCTCTAGCAGGTGGTCCCGCTCCGAAGGGGAAAGGAAGTTCTCTATGTACAGGACGAGCGGCGCCCGGGAATAGATGTGCACCGTGTACCCGCTTGCCGGGCATGTGTAATTTATGCTGCCGTCCTCGAGCGCCAAGAGATCCGGGTTGAGCTGGGGCCGCGGGAGACGCCGGATTTGCGGTGGGGCGGCAGAGAACAAGCGTATTATGGGATCGGAGAAGAATAAGAGTAATGGGAGGATGGCGGCGAGGTAGTGGAACATGTCGGTGTGGTGTTGATGTGTCAGGCCGAGGTAGGTGTCATGGCTAAGGGGGTGTTGAAGGTTTGCGAGTGAAGGTGAATTTTATTAAACTTGAAGTCTGACTTTCAGTGGACCTCATCTCGATGACTGACCCTGGTATTGTACGTAACCGTTGGCTCAAGTTTCATTGCATTCAGGGGCCACTTATCTAGTGTGGCCTCTGAATGAATGTATGAAGGTCGAGCCCACGGGTACTGTACTGTACTGATACTTACCTGACTGAAGTGGGACCAGCAATGGGCAATGGTTCATTGTATATTCGCAGACTTGTCGACTTTGCTATTCGCTCTTCGTCTTGACAACTCGGGCACTATTGCTGCTAGGGGTTAGGGAAGTTATCGCTCCAAGGGCGACAACATCTGCAGGTTGCAACGTCTTGACGTTTAACGCAATCGATTTTCTCTTTTGTCCTTTCTTCCTGCCTCCCGTTTCGCTCTATGTCCCAAACGAAGTCGATCTGAAACCATCGATCCATTGTATCCCGGGTATTTATCACCCAATTCTCTAAGAGATCCTTCGAGGCCACCAATTGCCCAGCTTATCCCCTTTCATCCTTCATGATTCCTCCTAATTCCCCATCCACCTCCCTGTCTCATCAATATCCCCTATCCCCTCCAGCACCCACCGAAACCACTGTACAGCGACATCGAGCAGCTTCGCGTACCGGAACCCGTCGGCCTCGCACTGTGCTACGATCTCCTGATCGCTTTTGCTCCAGATGAGGGGGTCAAGGCTGACTAGGGAGGAGACGAGTTGTCTCCGATTTTGGACTGAAAGTTCACTTTGCTCCATATTTCCCTTGGAGTCCGCGCCGTTGCTTTCATCCGCCGTGGCAGCTAGAGCGTTGTGATCGGGTTTAGGTTGGCAGTCGCCTTGCTCCTGCTTCAGAGCATCTATCCGAGCCATGATAGCAACAATTTCATCTTTGAGGCTGCTGTTTTGGTTGGCGAGTTGCTGATTCTTTTCCTCGAGCAGGGCGCATCGCTCATCGAAACGCCCGCATTGAGCAACCAGCTGTTCGATTTGCTCACGCATCTTCTTTCTACCCCTTCAGTTTGCTATACGAAGCAACTAACTGGCGGTTCTGCTCCTTAAGTATCTTGAGCTCGTCACTCAGCGATTTACCTTGCTCTTCAGCCTTAGCGAGTCGGTTGTTGGCGATAGAAGCTGTAGCAATGCTCTCGTCCTCATCATGCTCGATTGTATTGATAACCCCCTGCGGGCTGGCCTCACCTTGCAGCGTCTTCTGGCGCTTCTCGCCCCCCGTGGTTAATGGCTCCTCTGACGGTGTACGCCGCTTTCCTAGAGGGCTTGAAGACCCAATAGTACCCTGGCCTTCAGTTACTTTAGTCTCCTGTTCGGACGACTTGGGGAGGTTGTTGTTTTGATGACAAAGTGTGCTGATCACCAGGTCGGTGAGGTCGTCCTCGAAAGGCAAAGGTGGAAATGTCGGCTCCTTTTTCATATACTCGCACCGCCACTGAGCACTGTCAAGCTCAGCACCCTTCCAGAATGTAGGGAGTTTGTCGTTGTCAGGTTTGTACCAGTCTAGCAAGAAATCTAGCTTGGTGTCTTTAAGAAGGTCCGATATCCCCTTAGGCAGACCAACACCATTCGAGCGGATAAACTCGATCGCCATAATGTCAGATGGCGTACCAAGATACGGCATGCGAGCTCGCCGGCGTACAGCTTCGTCCCAGCTATCACAACCGCGCATCCACTCCCTGATGTTTGCCAGCGTATTTTTAAGACTTCTCCATGCCCTATGGTCAGAAGGCTGTGAGCGGTCTGATCTCTGAAGTTGCCTGGCCACAACGCGGAGATCGATCCAAGGGGGAAGAGGGCGGGATTGGTAGCATTTTCGAACATGATCCACAATTGTTTTGACGCAGGGATGCTTGTCGGCCAGCTCAAGGAGTCTCTGCTTCTTCTCTGACTTGTTGCTGGGCTTGAATGGCTCCGGCGGCTGGGGCAATGGTTTCATTTCCGTTTGGTTGCCACTGGCAGCGGATCCAGATGAATCGCTGAGGTTGCCCGAAGACTCGCCTGACATGATTGCGGCTGTATGACAACGTTTGGGTGCCGATTTGATTCTCATCTCCGTTCCGGTTAAAGTAATCGTGAGATTTATTGGCCATTAAGGCCGGTGGTAAGCTTGAGAGTAGATGGGAACCATCTGGATGCGAGTGAAGTAAGTTGGTTGAAGGGAATACTCTGAGGATGAAGTCACGGTAGAAATTGTAGGCAAGGGATGAATGACTTGGAACTTCTGTTGAGGAAGCAACAACCGAACTGGAGCAAAGGCAGTCAATGAAAGTTTTGATACTGGATAACAGACTGGGGAGCGGGAGTGTGGTGTGTACGCTTGTTGAAGAGCTAAAGCTGAAGTGCCCAGCGGTGGCCCATTAAATACATGTTCATCTTGTAGTTGCTCCTTCCCACCTTACTCATAAACTTCTAGCTCGGTACTCTCAATCCTTTAAAAGTAAACCTATCTTGTGGAGTGAATCTCAGCAATGCTCTGGTGTGAGATACCTAGTCTTCGATCCTGCACCGAGGGATGAGGATCATGCTGCCTGATAGCCAGATCAAGGATTGCCGTATCTTATCTGAAAACTCAATTGACATTCTTGAGATGGCATCACGTTGTGCCTCAGACTAGAAAATAGCATCACGAAATCGTCACAAATCCTTAATGTAGCGAGGTCCCACCAAGATATCACGAAGGTCAAGATTGCAACAGTCATTGACAACTTGATTACCTAGGTACTGTTCTATTGACATTGTAGCAACTAATAGTATGAGAGTCTTTCATATCAGGAAAAAACGATTGAACAGCTGGTTCATATGTTTCCACTTTCCACGGCGCCTCGTGAGGCTCCCTCGGGCACAATTCAGGGGAAGAGTGTATAACCCTAACCCCTAGTTTTCTTCGAGGTTTGCACAAAACAAACATGCGGGAGAAAGCAGCAGGATTTAACTACAGAAAAAGGCATCCAATAAAAAACTCACCACTCTTGGTTACTTAGACTTTTCGTCGCTGTCTCTTGGCTTAGGAAAACAAAGGGGAAAGTCCGCTTTCCACCAGGCGACAGAATGGCGAGCAACTTAGGCTCTTTCGACTTTTGAGTGTCGTTGAGGTCCTTGCTGATTGGCTCTTACCTGAGAGGCAAAATCTACTTAGGTTCCATTTACTAAGCATTTCACTAACAATATCCGATATAGTGTAACGGTTAACATATCGCGTTTTCACCGCGAAGCTCGGGGTTCGATTCCCCGTATCGGAGGCTATGTTACTTTCAAGTTGACCACATCTGGACAACCAGATGTCGATGTTTTGTTTTTGTCCCCCTCCGCTTCGATGTTTTGTTTTGAACATTGCTTGTTGAACAGACATTCTTACCATTGTAAGGGCGCGACAGTATTTTAGTCTGCAAGCCTTCTGTCGGCACTCTTGGATCCCTTGCGGGATATGCTGTGTGGTCACAGGTGGACGCCAACTCTTTTTTTTTGTCTTCTGTGAACCCCCTTTACCCCTTTTCTGGATGTTTTGGTGTTGTGCTGATTGAGGAAGTGCAACTCTGTTCTTGCCTGGCACGCAGACCCTAACCCTCAATGCCGTTTACTAAACCGCTCCTTCCTCCCTCGCAAGCAGCCTACAAGAGCTAATACATTGACCCTTTCCAAATGTGGAACTGATCAGTCAAATTGGACCTCTACTCTGTTGATTCATGCGCATCATTCCTTGTGGTCTCTCGAGACTCAGACATCCTTGGAAGTATCACCTGCTTCAATCGACGGCCGATCGCTGTCCGTCGACCGCTAACTCCTAGTGGATGTCCAACCACCATGCTGGATAACGATGATGGAGGGGACACTTTGTGGCGCAATCCTCGGCTTTCGCGTTTCGACGACTCGGTCACCGGTGCTCAAGTTATGTCCCGACAGTGCGAAGAGTGCGCCATGCCTCCATGGAAGCCGCGGCAAAGATGGAAACATCCTCTCCGTCCTCTAGCCCAGTGTACCACGCCGTCTGCGGCACGGCTCACCGTGTCTACGCATCAAATGGTAGGTATTGCGAAAGATCGGCCGGGGCCTGAGCGAGGATATCAGGATAACAAAAGTGGCGCTTCCGGATCAACCCACTGATACGCCGGATTAGTTGCTGCATCTCACTCGTCATGAGTCCAACTGAGACGTCTGGCTGCGTCGATTGTTCGCGGCAACTCGCCGTCGCGCTCTCCAGCGTTATGCTGGCTGGAGGGCCTGCATTATCGAGCACACTCTGCTCCATACAATGTTTGGCAGATGTCGGTGGTCAGACTCTGCTGAACGAGCTGAGACAACGGAGAAGCGATGGCGGGCAGAAGTCCTCAAGATCTGGCAACCAATGCCGGATAAGGTCCGTCCTCCGAGACTCCCAGCATGCCTTCACCCACCGAGTGAAGAGCAGACGCCGGACCTCGAACTCTGATGAGGAAGCTGGCCGAGGGTAACCACGCCGTGCTGCCACATCATCGAGATCTGCGGTCTTGGTGACAATGTGCTTATGCCCACAGCTTCTTCATGACCCCCTCCGCTGGGAAGGCCCTGAGTTAAGCATACTGTGCCATCATTCGTTGGGAATCTCTAGAGAGCGCGCCCCGGCGACGCGAAACCAGTGCATGGCGGCGGTTCGTAGAGGCTTCTCCCTTTGAATCGCGCTGAACGCTGTCTCGATTACGCTTACTCAAAGGGCTTGAGTCACTGGGCTTTGAGTGACGTTACATCGACTGATCTGGCCTGTCATGGGCAGGACATCAGGACGTATTTTCTGGTGGCACCCTCTCGCTTTCGCGACTTCTCTGCCGTCCTACCAAACATGAGCGGACGTGTTCAGTGCCATTGGCTCAGTCTACCGGAAACATCCATGCTTCTCATCCACCGATCTGGTAGGATAGGCCGCCATTATTAACCTGACACAGTCTCAGCGCGGAGTAATCGACGCTCATACACCCTCTTTTGCAACAGCTGGCGCCGGATGAGCACGCCGACATTGGTCAGAGTTCGTCAAGGCCGATGATAAGCAGAAAATCCAAGCCGAGCAGGGCCAATGGCAAAGCCCCAGCCAGGGATCTTTGCTTTGACTTGTATCATACCGTCGTTGGCAGAGGGTGTTGGGAGGTGGGAGTGACGCGCTCTATAATGTAGGCTTTTCAGTGGCCTGCCCTGAGCATGAGCCTACAACTACCTATTGCTCTCAAACATCTCTACAGTCATCCCCAGAATGGAACGAAGGCCAAGAAGCCCGTCGGCGCATTTCACAAAGCTGGGCCGACGTGTTACTCCGATTCAGACCCCGAACCCACAAAGACGGCGGACAAGCAAAGTGGTCAGGCCCAAGACAAGAATTTGGGGCACAGCATCAGACCCTGAACTCGGTCTGGGCGGACAAGTTCTGCATGTACCCAAGGTACTCGCAATCTGGGTGTCTCTAGCAGCCTTGTATTTGCGGTGTCTATGAATCACATGAGACATGGACTCGGTCCGCCTGGTGGTGGCATGGTGGCTGGCTTGCTCCCAAAACTTACACTTCGCCTTTTGTTTTAAGATCGCTACTCAAGTCATAGAGGTGCTCACCGGAGCCATCAGTGGGCCCGCGACCAACGCTTGCGCGTACACGATCAACATCCCAGGGAGCTTTCCTGGCTGGTGTTAGACCCAGACAGAATTACACACGAAAACGAAACAACAAAAGTGGAAAACAGCAAAAGCAAGGTGATGAAAGCAACTACAGAGTTGAACCAACACACGGCGTCTGCCGCACTATGACGTGTATTTGCTTCCCCGGAAAGGGGCGGCCTGACAAGGCTAGCAGAGAGCCGGGCTTTCCAGGACTCATGTACCAGTACTTACAAGATGAAGCCGGCTCTCCGGATATGCACATGCACAGCCGAAGCTGTAGTACTTCCCTCGAGCTCGAGCGGTCTGCCGTCCCGCACCTCGGAGATACCAGTTCAAGAGGGATGACGGACCGGTTATGGTTGTCTGTCCGGGGACGTCACTGGGACTGCGGACTATGCTCGCAATTGGCATGCCGATGGGATCAGGGGTTGCTTTTCATGCATGGCCTACATGGAAGGAGGGCATGATCATTACTATTGATCTGCCTTCTCACTTTCTCGGCGGGAGAGGATACTGGAAGATACCTACGTGTATGTATGTAAGTCCTGGCTGTACAAGCAGGGGGAACGCATGCGGCGAGTTGCCATCTGCTCCCCCTTTCCAGACCCTTTTGATTTTGATTTGCTTCTCGTGTCAGATTGCGGTATCTGGTTTACGGGACCAGAGACACTAGGGACGCAAGTGAGTGGCCAGTTCCACGCCACCGCAAAACGAAGGTTTCTACTACACCTCCTAGCCTGGTATCAGTGCGCCGTGGTTCGCTGCTTCGCCCTTTTCGCCATCTTTCCCCTTTCCAAGCAACTGCCACGTCAAAGTCAGCCCATTAACACAAGGCTCTACGAGCAGTCTAGATTCATTTGTTGCTTTCACATGTCAAGAGACTTGGGAAGAACTTGGCCAGCGCCTACGTGCAGGTAGGTTCGGGAGGAATCTCACTTCGCTCACTCATGGCAGGTACAGATCTGTTTGTCCTCTTCAGTTGACTGTCAACCGCTTCCCAGACCGAGACAAGATATCAGACATTCAGCTTCGGAAGCTCTTGTTTCCATCTCTTCCCTTCTCCAGCGTGATACACATGCCGAGGATGCTTTATCCTGGAAACAATGAAGAGTCCGTAACCCCGATGGAACGTGGACTCACTACCTTAGCCCCTTTCGCTCGATCTTAGTAGTCAGCGGCGCCCTGACTTAGTAAGGATTCGTTCAGCATCAGTGTCAGCGGCCCTGTACTTTAGGCCCGCTCTAAGACAGGAGTCCATGGGCGCAGGGCTGCAGAAGCCCCGGCAACTCCCGAGTCGAGGCATCGTTCGTCTCCATCCAGACCTCCCCTCTCTCTGCACAACTTCCCTCTCGCTTTTCTCCACTCTCCCTTCTTGCACACAAAAGTCTCGAGGAGGGAGCAGGAGAGGGACTCAGACTCTGCTTGGTGCAAGAGCCTAACATGATTTGATATGAGAGAATTATCTTAAGTTTCTTAGCCCCCTCCGGTGCCCCCCTCCCCTGACCATGCGCTTGCCCTGGAATCCGTGATTGGAGTGGCAGCACCCCTCATCTCCCTCATCTGCCCACCCACTTTCTTAGTAGCTCTGACTAGGCTGTGTAAACGTCCACCCTCCGTCCTCCTATACCAAAGGCTGCCGAGAAAGGAAGGTGCCTGATAAACTTTGGCTGCGGTTGGAGGAGGGAGAGAGGATGTGAGGCGTTTGCAGACCAGACCAAGTAGACCGGGAACGAGACGCTCCCAGCCCGGTCTCGCCCAGGCCAAGACCGGACTTGAAAGACGGTGCCCGTGCCGGTGGCGTATGAGTCGGTTCACCCAAATCACTGTCACCGTCGAGGGGTGGGCACGTTCATGCCTGATCCTGCCAGGTGATGGACACGAGCCGCCTTCCCCTTCCTGTCTCTCACGGCCATATTGAACGCGATAGACTTAGCGATTCTCATCATCAACATCGTCGTCATAAATAGTTGGTCGCTAGCTGGGCGGGCGCTTGCGCTATCGGTGTGGTATTGTACACCTGTCCTTCCGATCTAAAATCATGAACCTCGAACTCCAGCTCAAACCCTCGCCCAACATTTTGTTTTGCCCCGGCCGCTGGTCCCTTATCCCCTTTTACCCAACCATTGCCCTTCTAGGTAGATCAACCCAACTTATTAGCCCATTCAGCCATGCGGAGGGCGGAGGCGGATGTATAGCTACTGATCAGGTGACGCTGAAAAATACCCATGCTCAGTGCCGTACAGCCTTGGGATGCCATAGCCATTGATTGTTATACAATGCTTTTCAGGAACGAATGAGGTATAAAAATGCTAAGATTAAAACAACAAAGAACAATCTCATGATGAGTAGTGACCCGTTGGGCCATTCACTCTAGACAGACTGCCTGCCAAAGCCATTGGTTCGGGACAACGAGCGTTCATCAACGGCCCCAGGTGGTACCAGCGGTGGTGGCGCAGTTCGCGGGTCCGAGATTCCGTTGGCACCGGCGGTGAGCGGTTCGCTGGCGTAAAGGCTTCCCTCGCTGTCGCTGAAGGAAGCATTGCGGTTTCGTTCGGTGGGTGAGGGAAACGAGGCGTCTGAAGCCCCATCGGGGCCGGGGCGTAAAGGCTTCTTGAGATAGCGGCGGCGGGCATTAATGAACCAGTTCGAGATTTGGTCTATGTGGTTTCTCGTGTCAGCCGTCATGTCCCATCATTTTCTTTGCGAGATCCAACATGTGAGTGTGAGAAGACCTACTCATCTGGAGGCCCGTCTCGCGCATCAGCGCCTGTTTCACCTCCTCGCTGGGGTACGGGTGCTCCTGGTGCGCGTCGAACCACGCGCGAAGCCTGTCGGTCGACTCCCGGGGTAGGTTCCCGCGCCGCCGCTTCGGCCTGCTCTCGCCATTGGGCTCTCGCATGTAATTTGAGTGTGCCGGGGAGTACTCGTCCTCGGGGAATAATGGGCGGCGATCCCAGTAGGTAGCAGGACTGAAGGAAAAGCTGTGATGGCGACGTGTTGGATAAGGACGGGCGTGGTGGGTGGGTTCATGGTGAGGGCGGTAAGGGAGAGGGGGTAATCTATAGAACTCCCTCGGCTCCCTCGGTTGGGGCTGGGACGGTCGTCCATGGGCAGCGCCTGAACTCGGGGGAGCTCTGTAGTAGTCGCCGCCCTCGGCATGCCGGGTCTCTGGCCAGGCGACTGACATCCGGGACATTGCCTCGGGGGCTCGCTCATAGTTCATCTCATGAGGTCTCGGGCGGCTCGGGGAAGGCACGAAGTGATCATAAGGTTCCATGGGAACGGACTCCCTGATCGGCGGAAAACTCGGGAGACGAGGTGCAGGAGGAGTCCGGGGGGGACTAGCCCAGCTCGAGGGGTTAGAGCGCGGACTTAGTGGTGCCTGCTGTTGAGAACCATAGCGCCGCGGAACCTGGCTCGATCTGTCATCTTGCATCGGAGCAAGGGGCCTCTGCTGGTGGTTGTCCGAAATCGATGCGTAGCTATAAGCTGGCGGGCTCTCGGGACGGTCTTCATATCCTTCCGGCGTAGGCACGGCAGGGGGAGAATTTACGGCGTAGGGGGTTCGGGAGAAGCGTGAGGGCATATAGTCTCCCGAAAGGATCTCGTTCACCGAGGGCAAGACCGGCCTGTCGGATCTGTCGGCCTCGCTCGGGCGCCTGGGTCCGCCATTGCCGTTGGCTCTGTTGGACCACCCGTTGTTAGATGGGGGAATGGGACCACGTGCCATGAGGAGAACTGAGGCCCAAGGCAATGGTCATATCCTCCTCAGTGCGGAAGGAGATGGGTGATGGATTCGGTAAGACCCTGAGGTGGGACAGGAATCTCCTTTATAGCACGGCAAGAACTTCCAGGTTGAGAAGGACTTGAGAGGCGGATTGTGTGTCCTGACGTCAAAGTCCTGGCAGAGGTGTATCGCGAGAAGGAGTGCTTGTGTGCTTGGGCGAAGTCAATGCTGATGATAAACCCAAGACTACTACCGGCCGGTGTTGGGCCCGGCATGGACGGGTCTCCACTGTTGATCAACAGGGCACTTGGGCGGTGTTGAGTGGGGGGGAGATTAAGATTATGAAGGAGCTGCAAAGGGGAGAACTCGACGGGGCGTTTATGAGACTGAGTTGAAGTAGGTAGTTTGGAGTCCAGTTGGAACGGCAGGGGCAGGTCAGCATGTGGCAGGGGTCGTCTGAGTGCATGTATGTATGTATTGTACAAGTAGGTACAATACCTTGTGTGTGCGGATGTCATTCTCATCTTGATGGACCCTGCACTGAGAAACATGCTCAAGCTGCCTTCCCTACCTCCCCTACGTAAGGTACCCATACCTTATTACTTCCCTTACCGCACTTACCTTACAACACACCATACCCGGCACTGCACCTTATTAGAGTGGGCCTGATCACAGGCAAGGAAAGAGCTGGGTCTCTGGGTGTCTGGGCGGCTCTACGCAGTACGCAGTAGCCCGCTTAGTCCCGACAGGTGGAAGTTGGGGGTGACGCAAACTGACGAGTCCAGCAAGGCTGCTGCTGAGCTGGTGTTCGGATCTCTGGTGGCGGCATAGCTAGGTAGTTCCAGTACGGAGTAAGGTATGTATACCACATAGTATATAATAAGAGCCGTAGCGCAATCCAGGGAGCAGCGTGCAAGTTTGTGTGTACATTTTGGTTGTAAGCCGAGGCGATGGGCGAATCGGGCGGGCTAGGCGGCCAGCGAGCGTTGGGCTCAGTGCGTGTCGTGCCGAGGATCAAGGTAGGTGAGGTAAGGTATCCCCGGTGTGTACTGTCAACGGTCTTAGAATCATGGGAGAGGCAGAAAGGCAGTGCCAGTACATAAGCGGCAGTAGCGGGCGGGTTACGCAGGTGTGGAAAATTCAGGGTGATCCTCGGCCACTGGGAATGGTGAGGAAGGCACTCCTGTTGTCGCTTTAGGCAAGTTCTATCCCCTGCCCAAGTACCCTTGTGGGGCGCTAAATAAGCCGCCAGGTTCGTTTGGCGAGCTAAGATGTCCGTGCAAGGCCTGCACACCACCATTGGCAACCTTCTCCAGGGCGATAACTTTCTGTCCCCCTGTTGGACAGTGCATGTTGAGTCCCAGGTAAGCTTCGAGTGGCAGCACGACACCTCACCTCATCAGCTAACAAGTCACTGTTATACGTATGCAACTTACCGTAAAGCGGATGTGACGGGCTCCGCCCTGCAAGGCGAGCCGCTCTACTGACAAGGATAGCCCTCCACGCGTGCCATCGCATGTGCAGACTGCCAGACAAGATACTTTCCCCCCTGTGCTTCGAGCCCGGAAATGCACCGTGCCGAGCACTGGCGGCCGGGAGCTGTCTCCTATTTGAGCTTCTCGGAAGCAGCGCCGTTGCTGGTCTTCTGCTCTCTTCAATCTTGGCAATGTTGGCATACTTATCATGGCACACGCACCTACTCTTCTGTAAGTGTAGATAGAGCTCTGGAAGATATTGGTTACCGAGCATGCAATGGCACAGCAGAGAAGGTTGCACGTGGCGAGGCCGAGCCACAAAGCCAGAGCAGCCGGGACAATTGGGGACTTGGGACCCTTAATAGACATCACCGTGTCCAACCATCATATGCGGAAGCTGGCCGGCGCATCCAGCGCTCCACCACCGGGCGTCGGTGATGGTATGTCGAAGCATCTGCTGGCCCAAACGCACCCGAGAGTCGGGTTCGAGGCATCGACTTTCCTCAGGTCTCTGGCGATCTGATGCGACCGCTCAGAGCGCACAAATGCAGGCGGCCGCGCGTCGGGAAACCGACCATCGCCCGACTTGCTGGAACGATGCGTTGGAATCCGCCAGGTCCCATCGTGTGCGCTATTGTTTAGAGATAATATCGTGATGATATTTATGGCGTCGGGTGAAAGTATGTAAGGCTCGTGATAATGATGGCGAATGATGGATCACGAATTCTGATGTGATGGGGTTCTGGGCTCCTGCCACTTCTGAAGGAGAAAGTCTTGACAAGTACCGACTTCTGATGCCTGTTAGTGCAGCCAAAAATTTTGTATGCAGAAATCATCTTCTCGACTACCCCTCTTAACAGAAGCCATCGCCTGTCGTTCCGACTTTACCTCTCGACCCTTTCACTCCTTCCATGACATGGACGCAAGTACGACAAGTCGGACTGGGCAGATTTCTCCACAGCACGTCGATAGTTTACAGTTTTAAACCTCTCAAACGTCAAGGGCACGCCAACCAAAGTCCCGGTCAGTGGAAGGTGCGCATCTCACTGCGGCTGCAACCGCAAACTGCCAGCCGCTTCATTCAACAGCTATCAGGAATATGAAGCGTCAACCTAGCTCCTCCGACGCACTGAATCCATCAGTTCAGTAAGTTCTCAGGTTGCCCGCTCATACAGTACATGCACAGCTCGCCCGTCAACGCAAGCACGGGTAAGAAGCGACGGGTTCGTTTTTGCAACCAGTTATCGGTACAATACACAATTCAAGCGCGCAAGAAGGCGAGAGAGAAAAATGTGATGGTAACTTTGCTGCCACATTACCGCTGCATCCGATGATCAGAAGACAATACATACACTACGCCTCCAATTCTCCGGTACGAGACGGCCTTGTGCATGCCTAACCCGATCGCCTCGGACAAGACCACGTCAGTCTGGCCCGTGAGATCTGAAGATCGGAAGATCAGGGCAGTGCCGAGTCGCTGGAAAGCCACACAAACGCCATGTCGACCTTTGAGTGCCTGAATTGAAGGGCAGGCCGGATAGTTGTGTGAAGTCGCCGCCTGAAAGGTTAAAGAATGGGGCAGTCGTCATCCAAGCTTTTGGACGGTAGCCTCATTCGTTCGAGACTGCTTTCCTGGTTGTGGATATCTATTACGCGGTAATGTACTACATGGTGAAGACAAGGTGATGCCGCATCATCGGCCCACCGATCTAGGGATCAGCAGCTCGCCACCAGATAAACTGGGAGCCGGATCCTACTGTATTGTCTCCAAGTACATACATAGCTTGTCTGTTGCAGCCATGGCTCGGCCACCTGGACCATCTCGCGGCTGCCCTCCGGGAATGTCGGTCGAAACGAGATCTCCAGCCAGAGTCGCAAATCGGGACACTCGGCCACGGTAGTCCGGGTACTTGGCAACGGCCCTAGGGTTTGAGGAGGAAAACACTGACGTATATGGGCAGAGAAACATCTGCATCATGGCCTCAAGGAGTCGAGACTTCCGACCCCAGCGGCCAGGACATGCGAGAGGTGTGCAAGCATTTGGGATACACAAACACGATTGTCTTGCGGGGACATACTCCTGGGTAGCATCAATGGAGCAGCGTATCTATTTTTGCGCCTTCACGCTGATCAGTACTGACTACAATCCCCCGTCGAATTGCAGCTCGGACGGGAAGCTCGCCGGTGCGTCTCGACACATGTCAAACAGCCAACCGTCACAAAAGATCGGCCCTCCCCATCGTCAGACAATACGGCATGTGAAGTACCATTGAGACCCGGCCATTGACCTATCGGCGAAATCTCCAGAAAGCGTCTCAGCCTGGTTCTTCCACCGGCTGCGATTGGCTCCCTCAAATCCGCGCGCTCTACCAGCTCTCGAATATTTTTGGTTCTGCTGGTTTACGGATACCGCTTAGTGGAAACTCTCAAGTCCCGTTCCCCAGGAGTCACAAGAGCTGACATGTACCGTCAACTTCCCCCTCGGGCCGTTAGGCTAGGAACCGCTAATGCGTAACACTTGTCTATGTCTCCGGCCATATGGAGCCTTATAAGTGTATCCTAATGGCGCGGATTTGAGCATCAGCAACCACGTCGTCAGATGCTGAAAGTTCTTTTCCTCATGTCTTACACGTCAAGCGGTGAGGGCTTCGTTCTCGTTACACGACTGGCTTCTTGCCAATCATCTTTTGGGCCAACGCCCTGGGCTTTCCCATCATCGGAGACAACTCGCGTTCTGTGGATTGCTACACAGCGCCGTGCTGTGTGGGAGAGGAGCAACGCTGGTGCGATTCGGAAATGGGACCCTTCAGTCCGCTCGACTGAACCTGTCTGTGGCCCTTGAATCACTGGCCATTGCAAGCCGCCCAGAGGAGAATCTTATACATACCTCGTGCCACCGTCATGCTCTGCTAACCCGCAGTCCCAACATTAGGGACTGGTTGGTTGCGCGCATCTCCGGAGCGAAGACGCCCAAGGGGAGGGGACACCCCAAAGTGATACAGTCGGCCTGTCAAGTGTCTGACAGCCAAGGGACATACCGTCCCGTGAAGGAAGCTCCCGACTCGTCAGATGGCAGAACCCTGAAGATCTCACATCCAAGACACCGCTACTCCCATCTAGACATATAGTGCATGATGCACCATCATAAACTTTTCCAGATGCAGAGCGCGCCGGAGCAGTCTCCGCACTTTTTCGTAGCACCCGTCATCGGTGCAGTTCCAGAATCGCTGGCTAATAAGGACCTAGGGAATTAGTGGAGTGGTTGTATCGGCAATCGGCGTAGGACAGCGAGTGCCCAGGCCCTGCCGTCGTGACAAGGCGGGTTGGCAAGATCTGGACGAGTACATCAAGCCGATTTTCATCTCGAGATCTGACAGCGCCACAGGTTCCCCCGTCTCCCCCGCCCTGCATTGTTTGCCGCACATCCACAATATGGGCAGCTGCAGTACGATAACTTCGTATTGGCCGTCGTCACCCTTGATGGTTGGAATCGCCCGTGAGGGCTGGCAGCTAGGAGAACATAAATTATTGACCGGATGTCGTGCACGACCCACAAGTTCCCGGGCCGCCAAAGACAAAAGAAGATTCCAACCGGGTCAAGGTGGATGGTGGAGGATTGGCTCTTCACAGTTGAAGATGTAGCGCCACAGCAACCCGATGTTTCCTTGTTAGGTGGCATACATATTCGTGGGGAGCATGCTTGCAGCTGTTAGCCCCCCTCGAGCTGTCGCTACCCATTCATTCCTCATGTGCACTTGTCGGTCGACGAATCTGGGCTCCCCTCAGACCGATTGGCTCTCGATACGGAACAAAGTCGACCATGAGAGTCGAGTTCTTCCCATATTCATGTCAACTTTTCGGAGGAGTTTTCGCGGTATGCCGTATCCAGGTCAACCTCGGGGGTGCTGATGCAGGTTGAACAAGGCAGCCTGCCCCAGGCAGGGTTATCTTCAGGTATGTACTGTACTTCGTACATACGGATACAGTACTGTTCATACATCAACGTCAAGGTTTATCTGCATCTGTCAGCGCCACATCCTCTCTTGACAGGTTCAAGTGTTTTCACCTAGCCTCCCACTCGCCCCACCGTTCGGCTGCAAAATGTTCGTTCAATTTGGCGCTTCCCCCCACACGATGGAGTGTTGGAGACAAATGCGGCTTCGGTGACAACTGACAAGGGTTCTGTACCAAGAAGAATACGGAAACGCGGCCGACAAGGGGGTTCCGGCCCGCTCCCATGGGTACCCCTGACTCGGCTTCAACCGCTTCTGCGGGAGACAATCGAGGACGAAACCAAACAATCACGGCAGGGACGATCCGCTCGGGAAGTACATGGCCGTCTCATCAAACTCCCAATGCCGGAATCTTTGCCGGTGATCTCAGCGATAGGGGTACTCCTCATGCAAGGCCCGGTTCTTCATTCCACTTTGTGTGGTTATGAAAAACTTTCCAGTCACACCATCACCGGCCGGCCGGAAATATCCGCAATATCTTTGGCGCGCCCACATTCCGGCCTTCTAGCGGGCTACGGTATTCGCGATCTCCAGGAACCACCCAACATCTACTAATCGTTACATGTTACAAAACCCGATTGAACGGGACCATCTCGGACACAACGGCTGAATGAGGATAGGTGTATGCAACCGAAGTTAAAAGGGGACACAGCTGGGTCAGCACAGGGCGTGTCGTCTTCAACAAGGGAGAGACATTAGACGATTAGAGCACGCGCCATCGGTAACCCGCTCCGCACTCCACCGTGTTGCGAGGCAGTTCGGCGGCCGGTCAACGTTAGCCGGGAACGCAAACCTGCTCCTTGGCCACTCCTTCGGGTCTGCGGGAAGGTTGCCGCCAGCGCCCGATCCGCAGGCTGGAGCAGGGGGGGGGGGGGGGGGGGGGGGGGGTGGTTGCGTATGTATCCGTATCCAGCAGATAGTTCTGGTCGATCTGTCTTCGCTTCCGTCCCCGGCGTCACTAGGTTACCGGCATACATACGGCTGCCCACAGCCTCGATTTTACCTATCGCTATCATACCAGAGAGGCAAAAGGTGTGTATGTACTTACTTCTGCAGTCGCACAGCGAGCGAGGGTTTATCCGTATTTCTTTCTGTTTGGTTTAGCTAGGAGCTGTTACACACTTACACAAAGGGTCCCCATGGCTAGACCACTCTAACCAACTCCTTACCGGCAGCACCACCAGCACCACCAGCGTGGTGACAGGTTACAGCTTCTAGTCTATTTTCTCGGGCCTGCGACCATCCCGTACGGCGACCAAGCATTTCTCTTTTCCCCCCTCCCGCTTACTAGTGGCGGGATCGAGCCGCTAAATCTACTGTTGAGCGACACATGCATGTTGCTTTTCTTGTACTGTCCTGTACCGGTTCTCGCTACAGCTATAACTGTGGCATGGAACTACGGATACTTACAGACCTAGGTAAGCTTGAGGTAAGCTTATTACACTGGTACTGGTATGATGCTTGTGCTGAACAGGCGGCTGGGAGCCAACGGGGAGGTGGCAATATCCACTACATATCAGCCTGTCAAATTGAGTATCTCCAACGGCAAGTTGTTGCGAACAGGCAGTTCGTTGGTCGACTACTCCTGCTGCTCAAATAACTTGGCAGTTTCGGTGTCTTGTTCCTGCAGGAGCCGTCTGCGCAGTGTGATGCAACGAGTAATTAAGGCCAACGGGTTGCCTGTGAACGCGGCCGAGGGATGCTAATATATCTGACATGCAGAGGAGCTTTGCCAAGGGGTAGCAACTGCCGCGCTGGCGGGTATTGTTCGGCGGTGAACTCACTCGGTGATCAGGGGCGTTCACCGATTATGGCGAGTGTATCTAGTGCAGATACACGTGGTCATTGTGATGGATAAACTTGTTACTGAGGTTGTGGAGCACACCATTAAAGTTTCCCCCTTTTCCAGCACTGGTCGGCCTCTTGATAAGAAATGTGAAAGACAGAAGAAGGAACGGAGCCTTCCCAATTGTCTCCTGCCATCTGACATGTCTCCATATTGCGCACGGTGTAGGTATTGGAGTGACGTTTGGCCAGGGAAGTAAAGGTACCTTATGTCTCCGTACTGTACTGTACATAAGGTACGAGTACCTTACTTGATCCATCAGAAAGACGCGGTCTCGGCAAAGAGGCAGGCGATCTGTGCCATTGCAGCCGTGAATGGCGATGTCATTATCGCCTGATGTTAGGTTGGCGCTGGCTGGGCGGTACTCTTCATACAACCCTGAACCCGGGCAGGTATGGGAGAATTGGAGGCCCATGGTTCGATAGCCCGAGGACGCAGCATGGCTGACACAACGCTGTCCCGCTGTCCCCGTGCTCCTGCTGATGCTTGACACCACGGGCAGATAATCTGTTTGACGTACGTTGGTACGGAGGTACCCTGCAGCTGTATGTAAGCAACGCGACTCGATCATGACGTTTCTGGTACGCTCCGGCTCTCCGACGCAAGGTTTTTGATATCGCCAGAGGGCAGAGAAGCATGGTTGCTGCACCCCCGCGGCGTTCTTTATCAACTGCTGAATCGATATCAGAGAATGGACGAGGAAAAACATGAAAGCTGGTCCGAGGTCCTGCGGTGCTGCCCTTGGCGTGTCGTTCGCCGAAATGGAACCGAAAGCTCTCTTGCTATGCAGTCCCTTCTTTCTTTCTGTGTGATCTGGTTTCGTTTCTCTCATGTTTTTCTCTTTCGTTTCAATCGCAAGTGGTGACAGTGGGGTTCTCATAGAGACAAATGTGGAGATTAGAGAAGGTGTGTAAGACCTGAACAATCAGCTCCTGTCAAAAGTTTTGACAGCCGCCAAGCGGTCCCTGCCGCGTTGATTAGCGCGGGTGGAGTTGCGGCATCCACAAGTCTCCATCTCGATCTCCATCCGTGCTCCCTCGCCTCAAATTGCCTTCCTCTTTCATGTGCCATACATCAATGACAAGGTCATGAACTGGAATGACTCGACCAACAAACCCGTCCTTCCTCATGATTATCTCCCGCCATTATTAAGAGCCATAATTCCACCAACCAGAGCATTACTCTACTTGCTCGGTACCTCTCCTTCCAATTACCGATCAGGGTATTGCACAGGTATGTAGAGAGGAGGGCTGGATCTGGCTGGGCAAAACCAAGCCGACGGCGACAGCAACTCGGGCAAGCGCAAGCGGTGGATGGCTCCGCGACGGGGCGGTCGGAGCAACAACCTTGTTCGGAATGCATCCAAGGGAACCCCTCTTGACTTTGGGTTTCATCGAGATGACTTCGATGGCGGCCCAGGTTCCATCTGAGGGCATCGGTTCCGTTCCGAACCGGGGATGTGTCAAGAACCCCCGGTCTTTCGAGAAAAGCGCGCAACAATTCTTGTTGCATCGAACCGAGATCTGGATACCCGAACCCCTGAGAGATTTGATGCCACTGTAGTATAGAATCCATATACACGTGTGTGTACTAGCTGCGAAGTACACTATATAGCGTTACGACCCTGAAAACTCGCAAGACCCCCCTCTCCCCGCCCGCAATTTAATTGGCACTCAAAACCCGCTTATAAGCTAGGAAAGCATCAACAACACACTCAAAATCGCTACAAATTAGACCTCAAAACATGTGCTGAATGACTTTTCGATTGCTAGGTATTTTACCATCTAGTTCTAGTAGTCTCTGAAGATTTAAGGCATTGAATACAGCCAGTTGTTGATGTTTTGCTAGCTTGGAATGGCCAAAACCGTTTTTGCAGTGCCAGTTAAATCGCGGGCAGGGGGCCACCCAACAGACGTGGGGATGGGATTGGTGGAAGTTTCGTTGGTGGTTAGCTGGACGTTGCCGTACAAAACAAGTTAGCCTTGATGGAAGGTAAAACACAAGATGCTTCGCTACCAGATCGCACTGTTTTCGATCGTGCTAGCATCCCGTTGTCGATCAGAAACACCCAGCCCAGGCAATAATTTCACGAATTGCGTATTATACTGTAAGTACTGTCCTCTGTATCCGTAAACATACAGGGCATCTTTCCTTCGACCCAGTTTTCCTGTCTCTGCTTCCCCGCTTCAACCTGACACTGACAGTTGACAGCTGCAATTGTTGTTTTGGTTTAACCTTTACTTGACTAACGTCGAACGTCAAAAAAGGGATTTCCCAAGCAAGCGCTGAGCCGAGGTCATCGCAAAACTACGTGAGGTCAGGTATCTGGTAGATATCCTAGGCAAGCCATAATCATGAATCTACTACTTACGTATGTACAGAACCTAGCACTCCTTTTACCGAAGGAAAATAGGGCGATGAAAGTACAATATAGGGAACCTATGGAGGTACCTACCTCGGTCTTGCCTTCGTTTGGGCTGCAGTCGCCGACGATCCGGAACGCCGCGGGCCTGAGCCGAAACATTGCACCTCACTGGCTGGGCTGGCTGCTTCTACACTAATAAGGTACCTACCTTACGTATCATATACTGAGGTACGTACGCGCATACCTACCTCACCTTATTACACCTTGACTGTGATTTCGTTTTGAGCATCACGCCTTGACTGGTGGCTTGCTCTGGTACAAACAAATCACACGGCAAGGGCACGGCTGTAACGGTGATGTGTACTAGTGATTTATTATAGTGGTAGTATCGACTTCAAACACTTTCCATGTCAGCTATTTCTCCCGATACAGAGTGGGCAACGGCTGTGCCACCGTGACTTGCTCTGGATGCCGGTTGGCATTGACCTTCGTTTCCGCGAACCAAAGCTCAGGGCCAAGACCAAAGACTGCCTCGAACCCAAGGGAAATAAGAATCGCACACGTGTATATCACGAAGAAACGGGACGTTGACATGCAAGCCAAGCCGGCATTTGTCTCCCGCTTCGGTAATATATTGCTTCTCTCACCAAGTTAGTGGTACCAGGCCGCCCTCTGTATAAGTCTATATCACATCGTACCATATAGGCATATATCCTCGTGTATCAGACACCCTATGCCGTCCCCATGGCGACTGCCGAAGGGAATATAGTGTACACAACTATTAGTACCAAAGGAAACCCGGTTCAGGTTGCGACAAAAATTATGCCTCGGCCCTTTCTGCGACTTGCCTGCCAGAAGTGAAAAGGGTCAAGGTATCAAGAGTGTGACGCGCCGTGGTATTGGCAGCTAACTGGGACATGGCCCATGTGTGAGTGTAAGTGCGTGTGTGATATAACCCAATCTTACAATGCATACAGAATCTTTTCTGCTAACATAAACAACAGCGACAGGGACAGGGACAGGAGCAAGGACAGACAAGATCAGGACAGGCAGGCTGGTTGCGAGATGGCGAGCACGAATTAAGCGTTTATTAGCCTGCCAGGCTGATGCTGAACCGAGGCATCTTCAATGAGTACTATGGAAGAGGATGACGAGAGGATGACAGGCTAGCCGTTCGTGAAACAAGGTTTTGCCTTTGCTGCCGTTAAGTTCTTGCCGCTCGGCCACTGAAGCCATTCACTTGCCGGACTGTCCACTGCATCATGTCCATGGATCGTTTCCCAATTCCACATAAAACAACGGCAAGGCCCAGAAACATAAGTAGGACACAGACAAGTCACGGATGGGCTAAACATTCGGGAGAAGGCAGTTCCGATGACCCTCATCCATGTATCCAATCTTGCCTGCTTCAACTGGTACATATGCAGGTACCATATTCACATCGAACCAGCATCATGTAGCAGGTAATTATGTCGTACCATCACCTCTCTGGCTCCCCCGCTGCGGATGGGACACCCTCGGCCTCATGACGTCTCATATGCAATACCACCGTGCCGTTACAGCCCTGCTCAACAGCATATGCTAGACCTTGTGTTGCCCTCGGTCAGTCACGCCGATGCCGTTTAGTGTACGACCCTGTTACCTTCCAACGGGCACATTAGGGAGTCATGGAACAGGCATTAGTCCATCTAGTACTGTACTAGTACTATTGGCATTGCCAAGTTCCGTCTGATGCCTTCGTGCCGCGGGCATAGAACTCTTTTCGGTGTCCAAAGCAGAAGCTGCCCTGAGGCAGGAAACTGAGAGCATAGCTGCAGGAACCGAACACGACAACCAAGTCCCCCCTTATCCCTGGTGCTATGTAAACCAGTAAGCAGGGAGACATTGTCTTATACCTATTGAACAGCAGACCAGAGCAAGCAGCAACTGTAGTTGGTCTCGCCGCTCACTTATTCCCTCATCCACTCACTCCGAGTCTCTAACCCAGGTATTCCCTCACTGACTACATGCCGCACGTGGCCAGGAGACTTCCAGAGTGATTCGCTGGCCATTAGGGTAGATATGTACGATACACGCCCATGCGTTCCGGAGCTTACATAGATCCAAGATTTCGTACCCCGTTGTCCATGTCGTTGGTGACACTGACCGGTCAAGCACTGGAGGTTGGAAGCTATCTGGGGTACACAAGAACCCCTATCCAACGCTAGAGAAAGGGCTGAGGATAGTTGGAAAAGGGATGGGCCGGATTGCTGACTTGGGACAAGGACAGAAAGTAACCGACCATGTAGTGCTGCCATCTCCTCTACAGTACTAGTGTAGTATGTGCTAATGAAGTCGAGAACAAGGGCCTTCGGCCATGACATCCAGTGAACCCAAACACAGAGTCCCTCGCCCTAGTAACAACAGGTACCCAAGAATCCGTAACGCCGAAGTTGACGTGTATATACATCGTATCCACAAAAGCCTGCCTAACTCTTCCCATGCCCCTTTAGCACCATGCCACCACCAACATAGGAAGTTCAAATCCGATACCCAGAAATGCAGATATGCAGTCATGCCATCCCCCCTCACCTCACGCCGCCTTTTAGCCGCTCCCATATAGCAGAAGGTCTTTTCCTAGCAGATTTCTTGACCGGCGTCTCCTCGCCGGGGACACTGCTTGCCGGCCGTTCCTGCACTTTCCCTCCTCCAACCGCAGCTCCCGCCTTCTGAAAGACGGGATCATTCCCCAGCCCTTCGCGCTTGGGGTCAATCTCGTCGTAGTCATCGTCGCCGTAGTACGTCATTTTACCCTTCTCAGGATAATCCTCGCTGCGCCGCTGTTGTTGATGCCCGTGGGCCGACGAAGCTCGAGACTCTGCTGCTGCTCTGGCCAACTCGCTTACCTGGCGCATCTTCTCAAGCCCGCTGGCAAGAGGCTCAACCAGATGCGCTTTCGTCAGCTCAAAATCGCCGTCGATGGACGACTTCCGCTTGCGTATCCAGTTGACGTCTTGGAAAGTCTGCCCTTCCCACGGTTCGCTGAGGAAAGGGGGAGGAGGTGACGGCGGCGTTGCTGACGGCGTATCCTCGCCAATTGAATCAGGCCGCGGACGCATCGCCTGCGCCTTCTTGAACAGCGCTGGGAAGCGGGCCTCGAATTCTATCTCGAGATCCTTCTGGCGTTGTTCGACTGCTTTTCTCCGCTCCAGTTTTCTTGCCGGAATAAGATCTGCTGTCGGCACACCGTGCTGGCTCTCAAATGCGCGCAGCCACTCGTCGTATCGCTCGTGCCGCCTGTTTGCTTCCTCCTGCGTAGTCTGTTAACCTCTGACGGTGGTGTTAGATGCGCCCGAAGGGGAACGGCTTACCTCAGTCAAACTGGACTGCTGTCGGAGGCCGTCGACATAATTTTTGGCCTCGCTCGTCATCTTGGCTCCGCTGATGTACTTGTCAAACGACACCGAGAACTCGCGATAGTGGCCTTTGAGGATGAAACACTGTCCCTGCCAACCCTTCCGCCTGAACTTCTTGTACAAGGCTTCGGCGACGGGACACTCCCAGTCAAACTCTATGACCCTGTCATAGAAGACGACACACCTGTACTGGAACCACTTGCTGAAGCTGCGACGGCTCTGGTCGTCCACAAATGTATCTTCAACCATCTCTAGCGAAGTATTTTCGACGAAGCTGTGAGGGGCACGCAGGTTGATAGCGTCATGAATATGTGATCTTTCAAAGTCGGTCGAAGGACGCAAATCTACAATCAGGATGCCCTTTGACGGATATATTTCAAGGAGATCGTTTAGATGACCAGGGAGGATCATGCGGCCGCCGTCCTGGGCTTGCCATTGTCTGCTTTCAATTCTGAGACTCTGCAGGTTATGCTCCATCCGTTCTTGCTCTCGGCGATGATGGAACCAGATCTAACTAGTCAGTCAGACAGTCTAGGGTAGTCGAACGTTGTGGACTTACGTGGATGTCCGCCGTCTCCACCCCAAGGTTTGATGCAAGATGCTCAATGACGCCTACGCTTGGGTCTGGATCCTTTTGGAAATAATCCTCCAGGCGTCGGATAACGTGCTGAGCCATTGGCTGGCCTTCCGGAATATCTTGGTGTGATTGGAAGACAGATCTCTTAGAGCTCCGAGACGTGTTGAGAATCATCTTTCTTGATATCGTCTCAATGGGGGAATGGAGCTCACTGCCGGTAGCAGCCGACAGGTTCCGAGGCAGTGTTTCAGGTCGTCTCAGCGAGCTTAGTGATGTCGTGGAAGTGGCAGTCTTCAAAGAAGCTGCTACGGAGGGTCTCGTATTCAGAGCCGGAACCTGAATTTTGGCGAAGGATGGTATCCAGGCAGGGGTTGTATGTATGGGACGGCTACCACTTGAGGCAGTTGGTCCGTACCCGACAATGCTGCCATTCTCCGTCGGCGTTATTATCGTGGTCCCCCCGATTGTGGTCCCGGAACAGGACTCTGCATCGTCACGGGCCTGGTTGGTCTCTGGCACTCCGCTAGCGACAGGTATCGGTACGTCAACGGGTTCCGGTGCCGTTTGCTGAGCGTGCAGGAGGTTGTTTGATCGAATAAAGGCGACAAATGAGCAGGCAGGGTCATCTGGAAGCAGATCCCACACCATGACAGGCAGTGATAATAAAAGCAGCGTCGAATGACTCTTGAATATGCCCTGCACCTTGACGTATTTAGCCAGGGCAGGAAAGCCGGCCAGCCATGTTTCCCAAGCGTTTATGTCGAGCTGCTGGTCATCCTCAAGCGCCAAGGAGATCATGACATGTGGCTTGTCCTCGGTCGGTTCAGGCGCCATGAGACTTTGAGTGTCAGCGGGGAGAGCAGCTTGCTCAACCCGGCTTCTTCCTTCCGTCAACCTTAAACTCGACGGACCGGGCAGGTAGGACAGCTCGTTCGGAGGCGACGGCGGCAGCTGGCCTCTGGGAAGTACACGACATATTTCGATGCTCGGCGCCCTGTGGTTAGATGTCATCATGAAGTGAACAGGCGTAGACCTCGCCTCAAACTGCTTTCCATTGATTAGGATGGGACGTGGATGTTTCAGACGAGCGAGAATTTCAGCGTGGAGCATGGCGGCCGAAAAGGTTCGAGGCGCCCACTCTTGGAGCACCTCGATCAAAGCGTTGGTGAACGAATACCTGCCCGGGTCGGGGGCAATGGCATCCCAGCTGGAGGCCGATATGGTTTCAGTGATGCTTTGGCCGGTGGGGAAGGTGGCGCTCGCGGCACCGGCGCAACAGTCCAGCAGAATCAATACATCTGATATTGATCTCTCGAGGAGGGTCTGAATCGCTGACCACCTGTCGAAATACGGTTAAGCTAGTGACTTGGGCGCACAGCACGGGGTGGACCTACTGCAACCAAGGAGAACCAGGTCGGCGGTTACTGGAATTGTTAGGAGAAGAAACCAAGCCGCGGGCATCTCAGGCCTGACACTTACGCACACCAGGTACTCTGCCTCGACTCGTCTATACGGGCGTGGCCGCCGTAGTAAACGATGAACAGAGTATCCTCCGACTCATGCTGCTTGACCATGTCCGCAACCTTGAGCATGAGGTCAAGGTGGGGGTTTTCGGAGGGGATGGAGAAGATGTCGGTTTCGAAGGAGTACTGTTCGCGAAAACACTTTTCCAGATCCTCGAGCTCGGGCAGAACAAACAAATCATCACACTTCCAGTGGAGCATGAGGGCGTGCACCTTCGAATATCGCTGGGAGACGCGGCCGCGGTTTGGGAACGCTCTACTCGCAGACTTTGAGGTAGAACCAAGTCAGAAGCAAACTCAATGTATCAAGGGAGACGGGTCCCACACACTTCTTGCAGTGCCTGAGCAAAACTCTCCAGATGCTTGACATGATAACTGACACGGCTGATGTCGTGGGTTGCCGCTGGAGAGCCCTCCGAGGCCGAGCCGTACTGTACGGGGAGTGGTGTGAGCATCGGTTCAACATCCACATCATTCGTCTCAAAGAATCCAAACTTCACATACAGCAGAATCGGCGCTGCTCATGCTGCTCCCATCATGCACCGGCCGCCGAGTGCGAATCGGTATGAATGGCTCCCCGCCATCCATGGTGGTAGTTAAAGGCCGGAGGCCTAGGATAATAAGGGAGCAATGACCAGGAGATCACTCGAACACTCGACGTCGTAGCCAATAATCCTACTAGTGGTGAAATTCGGGCGGCGGTCAAGGAGAGCGGAAGTCGAAACCAATATTTTCGCCACTCGAGGGCTGATGGGGAAGGTTAGGATTAGTTGTGTCGCTGATGCATCGATGGTTCGGTCTTCTCTTCGCTCGTTGGCCTATCGCTGGGATTGCGAAGGTCGTAGTTTGGGAAGGAGAGAACAGGCGTCACCGAGCATTATTTGGCCCATGTCCTTCAGCCAAATTCGTTTCTTCGACGGTGGAACATACAAATCGTGTCGGCTGCACCATATTCCATGTCGAGTGAGTTGATTCTGCTGCCCTGAGCTGCGCCGTCGGTAAGGTTAAACGGACGTGAGGGCTGAGTCGCTGCCTCCCGGTCACCTAATCGGGCTTAGCGCCGCTTGCCGTCCGGTGATGCTTTGGGAAGGACATCAGGGGATCCATAGAGCGGCCAATTGGAAATTCTGGAACGGAGCTAGGGATGGATTTTTACGGTAAAAATAGATTTTTTACCGTAAATTACAACGAACCGTATAAATAACGTCTTTGACGAACGTTGATCCGTGCGTTATGCCGCCTTTGACCGCCACCGTATTGGGTATAGTGCCATAAATCTTTGGCTTCGAATTCGACCTTCCTGCCCTGCCCCCGCCAAATGAGCGTTCTTGGTATGAACTTCGTAGGGGGGTGCATTGCGTAACAGACTCTCTGGGGACATTCTGGATCAAGCTGCATTCGTATACATGAACCGGAGGACCTTGAAGAAGCTGGATGCACGGCTGTACACCCGAAATTCTATGGCACACGATGCTGAGGACCCTCAAGTGGAGGAAGAGTTGTATGCCAATATGGTGGAAGATGACCGTCTTGTGGATGGGAGAGTACCTAGAAGATGCCAGTTCGTTGTGGTGGGTGGGCATGACTTGGGAAAAAATATGGTAGGGAGTGGGCATGGCAAGAAATAAGGGGGTAGTTTGGCCATATATAACCCTAACCCTCCTAGGCTTGGCAGTCTTGGTGGTTGTAAAAATCCCTTTTTTTACCGGTTTTTACGGTAATATCTGGTAAATTACTGTTGCATGTAAAAATCTTCCAACACTAAACGGAGCGGGCCCGGGTAAGCACGACACTGGGTCGCAAGCCTCAAGACGGTTTCAAGGCTGGCCCGCGCAAGCCTGCCGCGACCATAACGTTCCCCGTCACCCGTCACGTGCAGGTCACTCCCTTAATCTCATAATCTTTTCTGATCTGCCTTCCTTAACAACCATGCGTGAGCGGATTACATTTGTGCAGAATCTGGGAGATTCATTGGAGCCCTCGGCCATCAAGATCAATGGCGGCACCATTAGTGGTCCGGAAGTGCAAGCTGTCCGCGAGGACAGGCTGACGATACCTTTGGATGAGCTCCCCGCAGAACTGCAGGCGTTGTTAAGAGCCACTCGCGAATTGCACACTCGATGGGTTAGCCCCCGGCCCTACGAGGGCATCAGTCCGTTGCTTGCGAGACTGCCGCCTGGTTTACATGTGATTTTCATTCCTGGAAAGGATGATGTTGTGTCGTGAGTTGGTTCATCGCTGAGCTTGCTCAATGTCGGCCCCTAATTTGGATATCCAGGAGTCCTCTCTGCAAAACGCTCGCCGAGATATTTGGAGATGTCTCTTGCTCGACCGCCACTGTAAACTTGCCTACCCGTTTAACAGTCTCGGAAATGCCTGCAGCTAACAAGATAACAGGAGGCATTCACATCACTCCCTGAGGCCGCGTTGCAGTACTATCAGCAGCTAGACGACCTGTCTCATTTCATCAAATATGCCAAACCTCAATTATGCCCAAGAGACGATGTCTCCTGTTTAGCCAGGCTTGAGAGTCTCTCGCACGCTAGCTCACTTGACATATCGTACGACAGCTCGTTGCACGCCCTGCGCATTACCGCCGTCTGGCCCTACCAACGTCAGCCAGTTCAAGCCTCATCCCGTAAAGGAATCCGAACAGAGGTAGGCATCCTGTCCACCGACAAGCCACAGACGCTCGAGCCGCACGAGATCGGCATTTCGGGCCTCTTGACAGTCCTGGGCCAAGATTCGAAGCCGTCACCCACAATGTTCACCTTCGCATCGCGCCACCGGGACGCCGAATCCAGCTTCTCGGCCCAATTCCTGTCCCCGACCGGCCTCCATCCGACTCTCCAGCTCCGCCTCAGCTCCCCCAAACCACCCCCTTCCTTCTCATCCTCGCCCTCGTCCTGCTCGCCGCACGCGTATCTCACCCTGCCCAAGACTATCTTCCCAGACAAGTACCAGCTCTCAGACCCGCTGTTCCTCGCCTCCAAGAACCTCAGCGCCCTCCGCTACACCACCCAACCCATCGACCTCGAAGCCCCCGCCTATGTCCTGCCCCAGTGGGGAGCGACAGTCCTCGTGGAACTGGCACCACCACCAGCAGCAGCGGAATCACCACTAGGATCACAAGGCCACCAAGCAGACACAGAATGGACCGCCGAAATCCCTCTGCACCTCCGATACCTCGCCCCGTCGGCCGGTGGTTCATCGGCCATAACCGTCCCCTACCCGGCCGTGTTCTGGGCATGTACGCCTGACGATGGGGGTGGGCCGGAGATTACTGCCAGCTCCAACCCTTTTGATCGGGGCAATCTAGGGTATGACAGGCTGTTCCCTGAGGGGACGGTGTTTTGGCATGTTGAGCCGCGGCCGTCAGTTGAGCATGGGAGTAAGGGCTTGCTGGTAAACGAAGTCAGGGTACCGGTGCTGGATTTGGAGAAGGCCGGGTGGGTGAATGCGGGGACCGCGGCTGTGGTGTTGCTTGGGTTTGCCTGGATTGTCTACAAGTTGGCGGGGGTTTGGAGAAGAGAGGGGTACGGCAGCGGAAAGGTGGGGGCTGAGAAGAAGAGGCAGTGATCGGATCTCAGATCTTAGTCTGAGAGTATGGTGTAATGGAATGGTGGTGTACAAACAGCAGACTGTTTCAAACCGCTTGATAATACAGTCGACACCACCCTTTTGTTCATTGCAATTCTCATTTCAAAACTGCCAGTGTTTACTAGATTTTCAAGGAGGTTCGTATACGAAGTACATGATACTCTGTAACGTTAGGTCGATACTGTAACGCGCTAGTCGCAGGGCTAAAATAGCCTGCCAAGAAATGACGTCTTCACTACCGAACATGTTACCCGCAGTCCCACCGCCTGCTCTCACTTCTTCGCACGATTGCATGGACATGCTCATTCAAACAACGGGAGCTTTGCCCTCTGCCTGCCTCCGCTATCCCGCGTCATCAACCTGAAAGCAGCATAGCACGTGCCCCTACCCTGCATAAGCCCCTCCTCCATAACAGAGATTTCTTTGCGAGCCCCCACAGCCGGGCGCTCACAAGGCAGGGAACGATGACGGGATGTTCTGCAGAAGCCCCATCTTAGAGGTGCCGCCACAGGGCCGGGTCGCGAGGTGATTCGACGTATCTTGCCGGTATAGCGCCTCGGTTTGGCAGCTCCTGTACGCTACTGTAAGCTCAAACTATAGTACATACAGTAGGTACAGACGTTTCCGGCGCGGGCGGCTTTGCGGTCGCTTGTTCGCTTCCTGCTTCCATGCTATGGCAGCGCTCGATTGCCTGGTCCCTTCCTCTAGTCCGACCTGCTATTCCTTGGGTTCCCTCCGTCGTTTCTGAGCTAGGAAGGATGGACCCGCTCAGATATCTCCCGAAACAGCCATCCATAGGTAGGTGCCTGTGGCAATCTGCCATCTCCACTAAAACAGGCTTTCCTACCTGTAGATTCGAGACGCTGGATCCGATACCCGGACGAGGACCAGGCAACCGACAACAAGTCTGGCGGTTATATAAGTCCCATCTGTCCTCATAGCCAGAGCCGATATTGCTTTCCAGCATCTGCTCTCGATTCCCCTTCAATTGGGCCTAGAGACATTGCAGTTCATTCTAACATCACACCTCAATCATGTCGACCAAGCCCATATTTGTGGCTACCCATCCACGGGCATGCTCGACCGCTTTCGAGCGTGTCTTCATGACCCGGGGAGACATCCTCCACTGCGTTCATGAGCCGTTTGGGGACGCCTTTTACTTTGGTCCAGAGCGACTCAGTGAGCGGTACGAGCAGGACGAGGCGGCACGTAAGAAGAGTGGCTTCTCTGAGGTCACGTACAAGGACGTGATGGATCGGCTGTTGAATCCTACTGATAACAAGGTGAGACTTCACTTATGCTTTTGAGACATTATTTTCCCCGATTTCACAATACCCGATTCGTGTTGAATATCAACCTCGGGCCTATCGAAGGGTGACCGACGGACATGATCAGAACCGAATTAATACCCTCTTCCTCTCCCCCTACCTTTACCCCGGCTTTCTCGCAGACCAAACACTAACCTCACCGCCAGGGAAAACGACTCTTCATCAAAGACATAGCCCACTATCTCGTCCCGCCGGACGGCAAGCCCGCCAGCATCGCCCCGTCCCTCGCCGAAACGACGACATCAAGATTCCCCAACGGCACCCCGGCACGCCAATATCAACAACGTGAAAACGCCAACAACAACCCGACAGTCATCCCCATCCCCCTACTCCGCAAGTTCCACTTCGCCTTTCTCATCCGCCACCCTCGCCGCTCCATCCCCTCGTACTACCGCTGCACCGTGCCGCCATTGTCGAACAAGACGGGCTTCCACAACTTCATGCCGAGCGAGGCCGGGTACGAAGAGCTCCGGCGGCTGTTTGACGTGCTCCTTCGGGAGGGTATCATCGGTAGTGGTGTTGGAAGTAACGGGAAGGTGAACGGCGCAACAACAGCCGGGGTGAACGGAGACGGAGGGGGAGGAGCAGCTGGGAGTAACGGGGTAGCGGACAAAGTAGGCATAACCGTGGTTGACGCCGACGACCTGCTGGACAAGCCGGCCGAGGTGATCAAAGCCTTCTGCGAGGCCGTGGGCATCGACTACCGCCCGGAAATGCTCAAGTGGGGGAACGACCCGGACGACCAGCGGTCGGTCGAAGAGGCGTTTGCCAAGTGGGATGGCTTTCACGATGACGCCATCACAAGCACAGAGTTGAAGGCTCGGGTGCATGGGAAGGTCAGTTTGGCCTCTTTTCTTCGCCTACGCCTTCCCTTTCCTCCTCGGTGTCAATTTTACTGACTGGTCTCAACAGAAGACGCCTACGAAGGAGCAAGAGGACGAGGAGTGGCGGCAAAAGTATGGGGAGGAAGGGCAAAGGATTATCAGGGAGTGCGTGGATGCCAATGTTCCCCATTATGAGTATCTGAAGCAGTTCGCCATCAGGGTGTGATATGGGGTTAAACTGCACGGTTGGGTAGCGTCTCGTTATGCAGTTCTATCCAGCGTTACAATATAATTACATTGCTTGGCAGCAGTGCAGATTACCCCCTTTCTCTCCTAACCCGCAGAGACAAGTAGTAGGCTCACTGTATCAACATATATGTTACACAACCCATGCGTCCCCCCGTATAATCCGCCTCTTATTGCTCAGCGGCCTTGGCCTCTCCCTCAGCCTGCTTAGCTTGGTTGTCCGCCTGCCCCTCTGCCGCCGCAGCCTCCTCCTCTGCCTCGGCCTTGCCCGCCTTCTCAGGCAATCCAATGACATGCGTGACATTCTCCGTCCACGACTGCGCGTAGAACTTGTCCTGTTCATTAGCCCAGTAAACAGTGGCGGTGTGGAGCCTGACGGTCTTCTCGCCGGCCCCTTCGCCCTGCATGGGCCGTTTGACTTCGACCGTCTCAAAGTCGCCCTCCAGCAGCGGCGCCTTCTTGTCCTGCTTCTTCCTCTTCCCCCCATTCCCCGCTTTCCCATCCTCTTCCTTCTTTGGCTCCTGGTTATGAACATCGTCGTCAACAACCATAAAGTTCCCCTTGCCCGCGCCGGCCAGGAGCGCGGCAATGTCCGCCACGGCGTTGCCCCGCTGGTCGTTGAGCGCGCGGCCGCGCTCCTTCTTGCTCATCTTGAGCAGCCGCTCCGGGTCCTCCCACTCGAGCTCGTGGCGCTTCTTGAGCTCGCGCAGCCCGCGGAACACGGTGCGTCCCACGGGCCCCTTGCCGGGGCCGAAGGCGATGACGGCGAATTTCGTCCAGTAGTCCTTTCGCAGCTTGGCGGGGACCATCTTTTTGCCCGTGTACGGGAACTGTTTCTTGGCCTTGTTGGCCTGTGTTGCATTGTATATGCGTTAGTTGAGTGTGCAAGGGGTTGCGGATGGCAAGAGAAGACTGAGTGAGCCCAAGGAAGAAAAGGGGTAAAACGGACCCTCATCTCAGGTGTGAGAGAGTAGACGATATGATTTGCCATGATATGGTTGAAAATGTAGATATGCTCTCCCAGGCCGGGCGGGGGCGGAGGGACGACTCCCTGCGACGGGCGTGGCGTCGGCTTGGGCCGTTCGTGGTGTCGACTCTGGACATATCGTACTGCGCCGGGATTGCTGAGCGGGGCGGCGAGTCGGGTTAAAAGTGGTGATGCTGCCGCTGCTGTTGCTCTCCTCGTTGTTGTTGTTGATGATGGCAATGACGGCCACGCCAGCGGGCGGAGGGAGTTCATTGTGCCAAAACTTGTGTGTGGTTTTGTCGTTCAAGTTCTTTCCCCCCAAAGGCTCCAGGGAGCCCGCTCCTCCTGCTCTTCCTTCGGCGGGATGGCGGCCAAGAGAGCAATTGGCCTTGTCGCGGTCGGTCGCGGTCGGGCTTGGGAGGAGAATTTCGCCGCGGTTTCGTCTCCCCGATTGTTGCCGCAATCGTTCTTTTTAGTTTACTTGATGCTTTCCAAAGCGGACCTATCCGAAATATTTTTGGGCCTGATCGGCCAGCTCAATGCGCGCCGCCGACTGGCTAGAAAATGTGGGTCCTCGCTGTTTGCCTGCCGTAGGCGGCTGGCGGACTGCACTGAGTAGGGTTTGGGATTTCCAACCTTGGCTCGGAAATCTGAAATCGACTCCAGATTTTCGAAATCCGGACATTTCCAAAACTTTCCACTAACCGCTTTCGGACGAAGGTATGCCTTCGGGTTAGGGTTATAGCTGGCCATTTTTTTCTAATACATCCGCCTTACAGCCTGACAGTAGCTAACTTAAATAGCTTCCCAACTTGGAACTTACTTTGTAATTTTCAGCAACCTACCTTAGCTTGACTTACAAATTTTTCTCTAAATTCGGTAGGTATTTAGGCAGTTCTGCCTGTAAAGGACCCTTTTTGGCCTAAGGAAGTCTAAATGCCCCACTTTTCCGAAATTTCCACACTCGCCTGGGTGTTTCCAAAAAAGGCTGGAAATCTGAAATTTGAAAATTTCAATCCGCAACCCTAGCACTGAGACTCTGTCACGGCTGGAAACAAAACCCTCTGAGCAAGACACCAGCAAATTCACATCACCACATAATTCAGGTTCTTGAACAGCATTTGATAGATGGTGAATTTCTCATTTTGCTTCATACGATCGATGCAGCTATCTATCTGGTATTCACCACCGCCAGCGCTGCTGAAAACTAATACATTAACCACACAACCCTAACAATGCCCATATCGCGAGAGAGAAAAACAAACCCAGTATCCGGTCATCACGCTCCAATGCATGATACAGTCCCATAATCAATTCATAACCATGACATGACATCGTTCCCCTGGCAGCGCCTTTACCGCGAAACCATTACCTACCCGCAATCAACCGTTGCAACCATTAGCAACCCATGCCCCTTTAGTCATTGTAGAGGTCCTCATCCATCGAATCCGGCGCAAGCTCGTCGAGCGCATCGTCCGAGTCGACCATCATCTCCTCGTCCTCCCCTTCGCTGTCCGGATGGTTGGGATTGACCGTCACCTTGCCATCGACAAGATCGACAACCGCCACCTCTCCGTCGCGGATGTTGCCGCGCAGGATGAGAATGGCCAGCCGGTTGAGCACCTCCTTCTCGAGCAGACGCTGGAGCGGTCTGGCGCCGTAGGCCGGTGAGTAGCCAGCGGCACCCAGCTTGTCCTTGGCCGCGTCCGACACTTTGATGATGACGTTGCGGTCGTTGTCCTGCAGCCGTTTCTGGATCTCGGCGATACGCAGGTCGACAATCTTGCGAATCTCGCGCCGCGTGAGGCGGTTGAAGATGACGATCGACGAGATGCGGTTGAGGAACTCGGGGAGGAAGTAGTTCCGCAATGCGTTCATGACAAGTTCCTTTGTCGTCGGGTCGATCTTGCCGTCCTTCCCGTTGGGCCGCGCGAGGTACTCGGCGCCAAGGTTGGACGTCATGACCACGATGCAGTTCTTGGCGTCGACGATGCGGCCTTGACCGTCGGTGATCCGGCCGTCGTCCATAAGTTGGAGTAGAACAGTCAGGACCTCCTTGGCTGCCTTCTCAACTTCGTCAAAGAGCAAAATCGAGAATGGCTTGCGACGAAGGGCCTCGGTCAGTTGGCCGCCTGCATCGTGTCCCACGTAGCCCGGAGGGGCACCAATCATGCGGCTGAGCGAGTGCCGCTCCTGGTATTCCGACATATCGAAACGAATCATGGCCTTCGGATCGTCAAAGAGGAACTCGGCTAGCGCCTTGGTGAGTAGCGTCTTGCCGGTACCAGATGGACCGCAGAAGAGGAAGCTCGGGGGCTGATTGGGGTTGCTGAGACCCGAGCGCTGCAGCCGGATAGCGTTGGACACGGATTGTACGGCCTCCTTCTGGCCAACCACGATCTTTGAAAGAGCCTGCTCCATGTGCAAGAGCTTGTCTCTCTCAGAGGTCTTCAGCCGCGTCACTGGGATGCCGGTCCACCGCGCAACAATCTCGTTGATTTGGTCAGGGCCGACAACGTCGGTGACCATAGAACCGCCAGCGTCAGGCCCTTCGGCGTTCAGCGCGGCATCCGCAGCCGCCTTCTCCTTCTCGAGCCGTCTGATAATTTGTTCTTGCTCGGGAATGGCGTAGTACTGGAGGTCGGCGGCACGGCTGTGGTCGCCCACTCTGCTGGCATCCTCCGCCTTTACACGAAGGTTCTCCAACTTCAGCTTGGCTTCTTGGATCTCCTTGCCCCGCTGCCGCTCCCTTTCATATTTCTCGCGGAGCGGCCTCAGCTCCTCCTCAACGTTTTCGGCGTCCTGCTTGGCTTGGGCGAGGCGTGCCTTAGATGCGTCGTCCTTTTCACGGGACAGGGCGTGGATCTCAATCTTCAGCTGGCGTAACCGGCGCTCGAGCGAGTCGATGATTTCGGGCTGGGACTCGCGTGCGACACGGACTGCGGCCGCAGCCTCATCGATCAGGTCAACGGCCGAATCCGGGAGCCTCCGGGATGTCAAATACCGAGCGGCGAGGTTGGCGGCAGCAACAATGGCGCCGTCTGCAATGTTAACACCGTGATGGACTTCGTACTTCTCCTTGAGGCCGCGGAGAATTGATACCGTCTCGGGAATCGAAGGCTCCTTGACGAGGACTTGCTGGAACCGACGCTCGAAGGCGGCATCCTTCTCGATATATTTGCGGTATTCGGCGAGGGTGGTGGCACCGATGCAGTGAAGCTGTCCTCTGGCGAGCATTGGCTTGAGTAGGTTAGCGGCATCCATACCGCCCTCACCCGATGCGCCGGCGCCCATCAGGAGGTGAATCTCGTCGACGAAGAGCACAATCATCTCCTTAGACTCTTGAATCTCCTTCAGAACTCCCTTCATGCGCTCCTCGAATTCGCCGCGGTACTTGCTTCCGGCGACAAGGGCGCCCACGTCCAACGCGAGTAGCTTGCAAGCCGCAAGGTTGTCGGGCACGTCGGCGTTGACAATGCGCTGGGCCAGGCCTTCGACGACGGTCGTCTTACCCACACCAGGCTCGCCAATCAGAACCGGATTGTTCTTTGTGCGCCGCGAGAGGATCCGAATGACACGGCGGATCTCTTCCTCACGGCCGATAACGGGATCGATCTTGCCTTCCCTCGCCATTGCCGTCATGTCGATGGTGAACTTGGACAGATTCTCATTCTCCTGCTCTGTATCGGCGTTCCGCGAGTCGACGCGCTTCGTGCCCCTGATCGCTGTCACAGCGTCCTGCACCAATTTTGGCTTGGGGATGTTGGCTTCTTTCAGAGCGTTCTGGACGGTATGGTCTTCAGACAGCGCAGTGATGAGGTGGTCGACTGCGATGTATGTGTCCTTCTGCACCTTCTGTAGCTCCATGGCTTTGCGGAGGATGGCGTGGAATGAGGGGGCCATCGAGACTTGTTCGGGAGGCGGATCTTGGCTGGGCAGACGGACGAGCGTCTTCTTGAGCGCGCGGTCGAAGGATTGCGGATCGCCGTGGGCGCGCTCGATGACCTGACGGAGGAGTGTGCTGGTTGTCCCCGGCGGCGCATTTTGCAGGTCTTTGCTCTGGTCAGGAAGGGGGTCGAGGAGGGCGACGGCCAGATGGACTGGCAGCAGCTGTGAGTGAGCATACTGCTCAGCCAGAGCCATGGCGTCCTCCAACGCCTTCTTGGCCCGATCGGTAAACTCCATTTTCGAGTTCATGGTGGAAAATGGTATCTCGAGACAAACGTCTCGGATGTCCCGTTTTGATGATTATCGTGCGCAGTGAGACGATTCTTTGTTTGACGCTTTTTGTGAAATGCTAATCGTGAAGCTCGAGTGTGACGTCAGGCTTTAACTATCCTTCTGCACTCTGGCAGGCAAGTTGTATGATTGCAGTTTCGTATGCGCAGTTCGTGATGGTCTGTTGAATGTTAAGCAAGAGAGGAAGAACAGCCTGTTGGAAGATGGGTAGCGAATATATCTCGAGGCCTAGAGAGAAGGATGGCTATGGGAGGGAATGTGGAATGTTCGTCATGCAAGCAGAAGTGGAATGACAGCTCTAGCAGATGTTAGGCGCTTCTCTACAGTGGCATTTATGCCGCCTGGCAGGCTCCAGAAAGACCTCGAAGGTTCACCCAACGTGGGGTCGCCCAACAGGCCAATGAGGGGTGTAGATCCGGTCTAACCGTGTTTGGAATAGTGGATCTCTGTCTTGGCATACCCCACGGCCCCACATGCAACTGACAATGGAATGACGACATAAAAAGATAACCCCCATCGCACGTCAAAGAGTAACTTCCACATTGCTTTGAGACGTTGAGACGACCTCCGGGACTGTCATGGCAGACTGAAGCGGCATGAAAGAGCCTGAGTTGGATCTATCAACGGAGAAGGTGCAGTTTCCATCTCGCATTTTAAAACTTGACGCAAACCTGGAAAGAGGCGTGATCATCGGACGATCAATTGTGTCATTGTTTCCTCGACCCTCTGTCGTTGAGGGGATATCAGAGTTGACCTTCAGGACCAAATGTGAAGGAAAGGCCTGCGCTCGTATCCCACGCTTTAGCCTTCTATCCGATAGCCGATAGATCTAATGTCCTCTGCGATCTGGTCTCGCTTGGGACATGATTTTTCAGATGTTCATGAACTGTATTCCTAAGCCCTTGTTAGACTGATCTCTTTGTAGATAATTGTGACGTCGAAGCCTGCCACAGCATGTTGGCAGTATAGATCCAACCTGCCGACTCTCAAACTGCGTTGGCCAGTCAGACACTCTTCAAATAGCAGTCCTGCTGGCTTCGTCTATGTTCAGGCCAGTCCAATCAGTGTCGAAAATGATGGCCTACAGTCGAAACGTTGTCCACTTCCTAGAAGCAATGAATTTGGTCTATGGGCCGATCGAGACCCTATCAGAAGAAGCGGCTCGGTCGTGGAAGGCCCCAAACAAGCCCGGCGCCGGTGGCCATCGGGGCCGGTACCTGTGGACGGACGCATTTGGTCTTGTCAATCTCATTACCCTTTCCAAGGAGACGTCTTCCCCCATCTACCTGACCCTGGCCAAGCAGCTCGCCAAGACAGTTCACGACGTGCTGGGCCGCACGCGGGACGGCACCGCCCGGCTGCCGCGAGCCACCGACGCGGAGCCACTCAAGGGCGGCCTCCGGATCGGCAAGGCCTCGGCGCACGGCAGCGACTGCGACGGGCAATACCACCACTATCTAACACTGTGGATGTTTGCGCTAGATCGCCTGGCCCTGGCGACGGGCGAAGCAGAGTACAGCCGGCTCGCGGTGCAGCTCGCCAAGGCGATCCATCCGCATTTCGTCATTAAGCGGGATGGGCAGCCGGCGACCCGCATGGTGTGGAAGGTGTCGACCGACATGCGAGAGGTCCTCGTCCCATCTCAGGGCCATCTCGATGCGGCAACGGGGTATGTCGTATACCGGCTCTTGCAGCGGACAGCGGAGCAAATGCAGGGTTTGTTGGGAGCGCTCAGCAGCGAGATCGCAGACCATCGGAACTTGATGGGAACAGACACCAGCATGCGGGCCAGCCGCGACCCGCTGGACCTCGGCATGGGCTTGTGGATGTGCCATTTCTTCCGCGACGAGGAGTGGGCGGCGGAGCTGGGCAACAAGAGTCTTGAAATGGCGAGAACCATGCTCGACGAGAAGAAAGGGCTGATGTCGCGGGACCATGCACATCGGCTGGCGTTCCGAGAATTTGGGACATGTTTGGGACTGGAGTGTTATGGGGCGGATGAGAAGCTCGGGCAGGGTGTGGAGGCTATTGTTAACTTTTGGACGACCTACCTCGAAGAGTCGACGGACGAGGATCTGCGCCCTATCACCCTCGTCATGTATGCTGCGGCACTGATACCTGGAGGTAAGTCGTGCCTCTTGGATGCGCTTCTCGAGTTGTTTGCAAATGCTAATAGTCCTGAAGCATTCCGAGACGGGTACCTTGCCCGTGATGACTAGGTAAATGTGATAGGAGAGAAAGAAAGCAAAAAAGAAGTAATTACGGAGTAGTTAGCAGAGGAATGTTTGAAATTCAAAAAAGCTGGATGCACCCGGGATCGAACCGGGGACCTTTCACAGAAGCGCATCTTGGTCAATGCGAAGCGAAAATCATACCACTAGACCATGCACCCTAGCTTGGAATATCTGGGTTCATGTTGCAACCTAAGTGCTCGTGAAGGGAGTAGCACATACGGACAGGTCCAGTGAACATTGAGCCATCATCAACGGGGCAATCATGAGCTTCCCATCTCCACTTCTCATGAGCACGAAAATGCAGGCAGCGGAGTAGAACGTATTGCGTTTAGGAATTAGCCTAGCCAAGTCTCATTCTTCATGGAGTATTTGGATTCGAGACGCGTTCCCAGTAACTTCCTACCTTATGCCTCGCCGCTCCCACATTTGGTTTCACTTGGCCACTCGACAACGACCAGGTGTCCAAACTCGAAAGAAGATGAATGCGTCGAGAGTATGGCAAAGCGCAGCGAAACGCAGCTTTCCAGCAATCTTTGCGCGTGGAGGCACATCCAATGGCCTCGTAATCCACGCACACGACTTGCCGCCCAGATCTGAATGGCACCGGGTTCTTCCTGCCGCCATGGGATCGCCGGATCCTTACGGCCGGCAGCTCAACGGTATGGGATCCGGCATCTCATCTACCTCCAAAATATGCATCCTGTCGCCATCTGTGCGCCTAGATGCCGATGTCGAGTTTACTTTTGTGCAGGTGGGCATCAAGGACGGGACCCTGGATCTCGCAGGCAACTGCGGCAACATGTCATCCGTTGTCGGCCCGATCAGTTTCGATGAGGGTCTTGTCAAGACGCCGGAGCTAGGGTCCGATTCAGAAACAGGATTCCAAACCGCTACTGTTCGTATCTTCAACAGAAACACGTCCAAGATCATTCGCTCAAGCTTCCATGTCGCTGGCGAGCCTCCCAGCTATTGCCCCGAAGGGGATTACGAGATGGATGGCGTACCCGGCAAGTACTCCAAGATTGTACTCAGTTTCCTCAACCCCGGTGGCGCCAGGACCGGTCGAACGTTACCCACGGGCAATCCGGTTGACACGCTTGCCCTGCCGGACGGCACCGCGGTCGAAGCATCTCTCGTTGATGTGTCTAACCCGGGGGTTTTCGTTCGCATCTCTGACCTAGGCATCCAAAACCCTGAATCTCTCACTCCAGCCGCAATCGAGGTAGACGCAGCGCTCAAGGCCCGTCTCGAGACCATCCGCCAGGCCGGCGCTGCGATGATGGGTCTCGATCCCAAAACGGAGAGCGTACCCAAGATTGTCCTCGTGTCTCCGCCGGACAGCCCGGGTGTCAACATCAAGTGTCTAGCTCTGTCAATGGGCCAGGCCCATAAAGCCGTGCCCCTGACGCTTGCCCTCTGTCTAGGTGCTGCTGCCAGGCTGCCGGGGACAATACCCCATCAGCTCTCTACCGGCATGCATGGACGGGATAGCATTGTCATTGCGCATCCAAGCGGCAAGCTGGAGGTTGGCACCACCATACAAGACGGTGAAGTTTCCTCGGCCGAGTTGCATCGGACTGCCCGCGTGCTGATGAAGGGCGAGGTTTTCTATTGATGGCAGCGGCGTCTCTCAGCAGAAGCTGATGTAGTACTTTGCCTCTGGCCCTGGCGGTGGGGGAGTAGAGCAGCCGCCCTCCGACAGTCTTCCATGTGGCAGAGTCGTTGCGTGGGGTTGTGCTGATTCGGAGCTCAGGAAAATCAGGCCGATAGTTGTCGGCATAACCATATTACTCGGTGAGGTTTACTCGTACAGTCTCGCTTTGTGATGCCCTCCGAGGCCGATGGGTCCGTAGAATTGGTGGATCGGATGCTTGCTTCAGAGATTGTAGGGATAATTGGCCATGTTTCCAAGCAGCACTGGACTGTGCTGCAGCGGCATCCACCCGCAGCATATCGCCAAACAGCAGGACAGCAAGGCTAAAAGAAGCACGGCGACGAGATAGTTTTGCATTCCCAAGCTACCGCATTAGTCCATTTCACGGAGCAACCCAACCGAACCAACCCAATAATACACGTCTATAGTTAGTCCCCTCAGTCAGGCAGGAAACCAACCTTTTCCGATTTCGCCTCACTCCTCCTCCACCTCATCCGCATCAGCCATGCTGGTATCCGCCGCGGCCGCAGGCGTAGGCGCATCACCAGCCGGCTCTGTCTCCGGCTCCGGCGCCTCTTCCTCCTCCTCATCGCTTTCGTCCACAATCCTGCCGCGGCGCGACCTCTTCGCCTGCGGGCGGCGCGCAACAGTCTCCTCTTCATCTTCCTCGTCATCTCCACCTTGGCCACCACCACCGCCCTGATCCCGGTCGCCACCCTCATCGACATCCATCCTGTCAGCAGCACCAGCCGCATTATCATCAAGATCCTCATCAGATTCCTCTTGCCTCTCCCGTCTCCGCTGACGAAGTCTCTTCTCCCGCCTGCGCGCCTCGCGCTCGTTACCACTGCCCCCTTCCTCGTCATCTCCAGAGGCGGGCGTCTGGGTCCCCGACGCCCCCTCTCTCCTCTCAATGGCCCTCTCAGCGCGCTCGAGCTCGTCCTCACCTCCCCCTTCGTCACTCTCGCTGCTATCGACCACAATCTCGGCCGACTTGTACTTGCCGGCAGGTTCCTTCTTCCTGTCCGACAAGCGCCGCCTCTTTTTGGGCGGGCGGCGGCGGCCCTCGCCATCGGCGGCGGACTCATCCTCGTCAGCATCCGTATCGGCGCCCTTCTTCTTCCTCCTTCTGGCCCTGGACTTGCCGCCTCGTTCCTTGTCAGGCTCGCCCGAGCGTTCCCGATCCTTCCGCCCGGCGGCGCGTTTCTTGCGCTTGACCTTCTCGCCCGTCTCGCTATCAGTCGTCATCTCGGCCTCCATGCGCTGCCGCTCCTCCTCGGCGCGCTGCTCGGCCAGGGCACGATCGCGCGCGGCAATCTCCTCGCGCTCGCGGCGGATCTTCTCCTGGCGCTCGCGCTCGGCCTCCTCAGCGGCACGCCTCTCCTCCTCGCGCTTCCGCAGTGCGGCCTGGCGCTGTTCCAGCGCCGCCGCAAGCTTCTCCTTGTTGCGCGCCTCGTACTCACGCTGGCTCGCCAGCGCCCGCTCGAGCTGCTTCCGCTGCGTGTTGCGTGCCATGTTGGCGCGCTGCTCGATGTCGTGTTTAGGGTAAGGCGGGGAGGGAGAGGCGGCAATTTCGTCGAGGGCCTTGATGGCGGCTTCGAGGCCCTCGGCGGCCTGCTCGAGCTGGAAGGAGGTGCGTTCGCTGTCGCGCAACGAATTTATCGTTGTGGCGAGCTGGATTTGCACGAACGCGACGTTGAATTTGAAGTGTACTTGTTCGGGAGCTACGGCGAGTGCCTGGGATGGGGGTTTAGCAAAGGGTATAATGCCAAGAGAGGCGGGTTGGAAGGGTATGACATACCTTTTCGGCGTATTCTAGCGCCATCTTATGGGCGTCAAGGTTGCGCTCAGCGCGGCCCTTGTTGAGCCAGGTGCGCCCGAGGCAGGAGAGGATGCCGGCATCATTCGCTTTGCCCTCCTTGGATAAAGCAATCTCGTAACTCTCGATAGCCTTGGTGAACTGTCGAAGCTCGGCGTAGATGTGGCCTAGGTTGACGTACACATGGGCGTCATTGATGGTTTCGCGGACCTTGATGAAGATTTGCAAGGCATTCTTGTAGTCTTTCTTGTCCTCCACCAGTGCAATGGCAATACCTTGAGCCGCGTAGGCGTTCTTTGGGTCGAGTTGGAGCGCCTTGTCGAAGAACTCCACGGCACGATTGTACGCGGCACTCCGCTTCTGCTTGTCTTGCTCTGTCTCGCGACGCATCTCACGAGCCGACATCAGGTGCAGGTTTCCCATGCCGACGAGGGCATAGCGATCGTGCTTGTCATAGTTCTGCAGCGTATGCTTGTAGTGCCGCTGCTCGGGGTCTTCGGCGATGTTCGCCGGCCTCTTCTTGGAATTCACCTTGCCTAGGAACCACCCGTAAAGGGCACGGACTTCAAGGTCAGAGGGATTCTCTTGGTAGAGCTTGGCCACCGCATCCGGCCCTTCTTTGCTAGGGTTCTTCCGCAGCGTGATATAAGCCAGTCTTGTCCGCGCGTCGGTGTAGTCGCTGTGGCGGCTCAACAAGCGCTCGTACGTTTCAACAGCCTTGTCAACGGCGCCTTCGTACTCGTAACTCCGACCAAGATTGAACGAGATCGTCGTAAGAAGCGCATCGGTGTCCACATCACTCTCGCTCTGGCTGATGCGCGCACATGAGTCGAGGGCAGCCTGAAACAGCTCGGTAGCAAGCGCATGCTTCCCATCCTGCGAGTGGAAGCAAGCGATATTATTAAGGAGTTGTGGTGGCAGGAGTTTGCGGATGGCGGAGCGGATCGCCGCCTCGTCTTCCGTGTCGGCGGGATACTCGGATTGAGGAATTTGCTCGATCTCCAGTTGCTCAACTTGCTGAAGACATTGCAGCGCCTTCTCCGGGTTCTCATTCTCGTACAGACGCGCAAGGTTAAGCAGAACGGCCGCATCCGGGGCCAGGTTCTTCTTGGGATCTTTCCAAGCGGCACGGACGCCCTCTAGGAGCCCGATGGCAGTCTTAGCCTCGGTAGATTTGTCTTCCTTGACGGCGGCCGTCTGATTGGCAAACACCTCTTCGGCGTACAGAGTGCCAAGCAGAATCATGGCTTCGTAGTTCTTGGACTGCTGGATCATCTTCTCGAGCCGAAGCTTGGCCTCTCCGAGATCATTCCTCATCACGGATAGCTGAGCTACGCCAAATTTTGCGGGCAAATAGCCGCGCTCGGCACCTCCCCTGGCATCGTCGGCGCGCCGGTAGTAGTCGGTGGCGCGCTCCAGTTCGCCAGCGTAGTGCTCTTTCCGGGCGAGAAGGTACCAGCCATCGCTCGCAATGGCATTGACGTCTGTGTACTGAATCGCCTTGTGGGCCAGAGCTTCAACGTTCGAGAATTGCTTCCGGGAGAGAAAATAGCCGGCAAACGTCGCGCATGTCAGCGGGTGGTTCTTGTCGAGTTTGAACGACTTTTGGGTGTATTCGGTCATGGCCTTCTTGTATAATCGGATAAATTCTGGGCTGTGAGTTGGAACGTGGCCGCTGGCGTCCAAATAGTAGAGGCCAAGCAGGATGTTTGCGTATTTCGACTCGGGGGTGATCTCGAGACATCGCTCCCACGCAATCTTGGCGTCGTCCTTGTAACCGAGCTGCCAGAAGCAGCAACCAATGCCGATCCGCGGATCCGGGTCCACAAGGTCCGGCATCTTGGACAGAACTTGTTGGTAAGCAGCCAGTGACTCTGCATACCTGCCAAGGGAAAACAGGGCGCGCGCCTTGCCCATCACCGCCAGCATATTCTTCCCCTGGGATACTCGAATGGCTTCTTCAAACGACTTGAGCGCGTTGCGCAGCTGCTCTGACTTGTGTGCGTCAACCGCCCCGGGAGCTTTCGAGGGTGGCTGGAGAGAGGCCCTCAAGAGGATCAGGACGCCGCGGGCCAAGAACAGCGGAGGGAAGGCGGGATTGATGCGCGAAGCCTCGTTCAGACTCTGTGTAGCCTGCTGCAGGTAGTATTCCTTTGTTTTTGCCTCAGAAACCAGCGAGCCCTCGGGGGCCACTCTCGGAGCCTCTCTGCTCTTCCACAGATACATCCAGCACAGACAGGTGATGATGCTCAGCTTCTCGCGTTGGTTGGCCTGCATAGCATTGGCGCCGCGAATGAGCATCTCGATGGCAAAATCAATCTTCTTCTGCTTCGCGTACGCCAGCGCGACCGTCATCCAGTATGTGCGGGCAGCATGCTCCATCTCAAAGAGAGTGCAGAGCTCTGTGGGATCATCGGCGAGCTCCTCAAGGTCGATTTCCACAGCCTCATCGTCTTGATCCTGGACCGGGATGTCAATTGTGGAAGGAATGTCGGAGAAGCGCTTGCTCTTGGGAGCACCGGCTACGGCTCCATTGGTGGCGCCATTCGGAGGGCTCTCCGAAGCGCCGTTGAGAGTTGAAGCCATGGCGACTACTTTGGTAGTTTTGTTCTGAATCAGCCGTACTGATATTGGGGTTCAGTTTGTTTCGCTCAATCGCCGATTATCGAAAAAGCGGTCGGAAGATGAGGCGGTCAACAAGCTACCAAGAAAGCGATGGCTGCTTTTCCGCATTCGCGTTTGCGATTTCGACGCGAACGAAGATTGAAGCTCGATTAATCGCTAGCATCGCATCGCGGGAGGTAATGCGTGGTGTTGTAGCCAAAATGGCCCAGACCGACTTGCAATTTATCTTTTTGTAAGTAATGGGTTGGACGGACTTGAGTTTGAAGTCGTTGTGAACAAAGTCGCGTCAGTAGCAAGTCGGAAGCGAGGCGCTTGCGATTAATTTGGACTGGGGTCGATGAGGCTGAAAGACTTGGCCTGAGGAACCCCTGCAAAGAGATTCCACATGCAGCGGAACCCTTTGTCAACAGGGGCAATCCCATTGGTCAAGATGAGCTAAAGTTCCCCCTGTGGGTACTGCTCTGAACCACCACTGAACGGCAAGGCTACTGCTACGGAATCTTTCGTACCTTACCTCCTCCGAACACAAAGGGAAAAACTCGAGCTGCCGTTTCTCACCTCGAGTGCTTTGTAGCTAGATGTTCCGGATAAAGATTTCTATCGCGCTCTATTGGAGACGATCCTTCATAGTCACTGCGATGATATCTCCCAACTTACCCCGTGTCCTCATCCCCGACACTGGACGCGTTTCCATTTACAAGCTCAGGGTGTATGTACATACAGTACATGCCTCCCTAGGCTGAGAATAAGTTTCCGTCTGGAAGACAGAGAATGTAGCTGTCCTGACTTTAATCGCCTGATTGAAAGGGGCAACATGAGATTAAGTGAGGTACATACAATCACCTACTCTAGATGACGCGCAAACCTAAGGTGTTTGGACTCATTCGCCGGCATCATATCGAGTTTGTCTGCCACGGTTTTCTCTTGTTCTCTTCTACTCTACGATCAACGAGGAGCTAAATTGTTGAAGTAAGGCGCTCCTTCCCGAATCAAAGCAAATCACAGGCTGTGAGGCGCCCCATCCATCCGATCCCTCTCTCCCTCGGTCATTTTTATCTGCAGAAACGTCTACAACTTCTCCTAACTCATTTGCTGCTCCCATTCCTCAGGTCCCCATTGCCTCAAAACTGAGCGAAACCCATCATCGGTTTGCGCCTCGACATCGGAATTGGCCAATACGCCTAACAGCCACATCCCATGATTTATGGCTCCCTCGATCGGTTGCCTCCCCACTACCCCAGTTCGTGCACTTGCCCAGCGATCAGAAAATGACAGCTGCCATGGCTGGGACTGTCTTGGCGAGGCTGCCCAGTTTGGCATAATCCTGGTCATTTTCGCCTTTGTAGTCGCTCTGGGATACCTGTACTGGCGATTCCAGATCAAGCGCGCCTATCCCATTGGCCGTAATGGACGGCACTCCGAGGATAGCTATGAGGTTGAGATTACTGGACAAACGTCTGACACAGTTTCTGTGACTATTTACCCGGTACAGCGGCCTCCAGAATCCCACGGAGATGATGAAAGGCGGCGTCTACAGCAGAGACGGCGAAATGTAAAAGATGCGGGAACCCAGCACGAGGAGAGCATGTTGCCGGCCCCTGTCCAAATCGAAGATCTCAGACCTCCGGAGATCCATCTGGTCCCACCGCCGCCGCCACCACCAGCACTTTGGGCTGCCGCTTACCCAGTCGTCACGCCTCCATCAGGCTTTGGACCGCCATTTCTCTCGACGGCACAACCGCCTCCGGGTCTGGTGCACCAAGAAGCCCTCAGGGACAGTCCACCGGCAGTTCTCTACCCACAATACGCGCCGCCTCCGTATGCTACAGCCTATCCTCATACGCCAGAACCTGGCCGGAACCCACCAATGCCTCCCGCCTGCACACCCCAGCCGGCTGTATGGTCGCATACTCCCGGGGATGGCCGGGGTGTACCAGCACAAGGGGCCTTTCACGGTGATTCTCAGCCCCGGCGACGGCGTTGGTTCTCCATGAACGCCTTCCTTCCCCGTGTCGGCCACGCCCGGACCTTGTCTGATTCTGGTACTGTTGCTTCGCTACCATCTCGTCCAGCCTCTCAGCATTCAGTGGCCCCACACAACCCTGAACGTGGAAGAAATCATCTTCGCCATACCTCTGGCCGGCGATCTTCTTCCTCAACGAGTTACGCTTCAAGCTCGGAATATACGTCAGTCCAGTGGCAGCGCTCATGCAGCTCCGATCTACCAAGAAACAGCCAAGACGATTTGCAGTATCACGCCGGCACAGCCATCAGCCCTGTGAACACAAGCACCGAGGCGGTGTATGGCGGGCAGGGCTCCCGGGACGGAGGTGGGAGCGGCCTCGAGACCCGTGCAACACCTTCCCATTCTGTCCCGCTTTCTGATCTACCACAGCCGCGGCTCCGTTCTCACAATCCAAGGCCGCGAGCAAGCGCAGATCGACGTAGACCCGGTCCCGAACGCAACCCAGTGCCAGACGGTGGTTTTACGCCTCGTAGGCGAAACACGGACACTCGGAGGCGTTCCTCATCTCATCGCTCACGGGCGGATGGCTATGGACATACCGGTACTTGCAGGCGGCGCTCGTACACCACATCTGATGACGCCCAGCGGGGAATTCCTGGCCGGTTGGTGAGGAGTTTTCGTCGGCTACGCCAAGCACTGCGAGAAGATGATTGAATGGAAGAAAGATGGCCACGACTTGACTCGGTGCAATCAAGATGAGATGCTAGCGAGGATATTGGGAGACTATTGCTCGCTATCCTTGACGTCAGGCTTCTCCTCGATAGTTTCAGTGCGTAGGATATGCCTGACAAGTATGGGACGACATAGGCCATACCGCTCTCTGGCATATCAGGTAGAGCCCAAATGCAGGAGAACAGTTCCATACCTATCTATAAGACAGGATATGTGAAGATGGTGGTGCCTGTAGATAACCGTTTGCTCAAGTGTCCGGTTTACATTTACGAATAAAATACGTACGATGATTTCCCAACTTCTCTTCAAGAGGAACTATTTGTACTCCGTAAATAACCTCATTCGGAGAGGTGCTAACTGATATGACATCATCGACGTCTGAGTACACGGAATTCGAGATTGCAGAAGGATAAAATGAGGAAATTGCAAGCAAAATATAAAAGAAAAATAGTGCAAGAAACGAACGAAACCTCTGAAATACGTTTGGTCTACCGTATAATATCGAGAAATCCGGAAGCCGCTACTGCGTGGGCTAATTCAAGCCACCAATCCAAGTCAACCAGCTTGCAGAGTGTTCAAACCTTACAGTTAGGATGCCAAGGGAGACTGAGCCACAGCCAAATTGTTAGCATATCTGTCCTGCGTGCCATCTTCGTATGAAATTTGCAATCTTCTCCCTGTCAACTCACCGGACATAGAACTGTCCTTCGATTGCAAAATGACGATGCGTTTGTAAGTGGAAGATCATGGGCAACGCTATGTTGTGGCTTCAAGTGGCTAGAATAAGGTTGAAGATGGGTCGAAGTGGTTGAAGGTACGTCGCATGGCTTAGCCGACGCAGTAGCGGCTTCCGGATTTCTCGAGATTATACGGTACCTCATCTAAAGAAGTCTAAGGGCTCAGAAGCTCCGTCGACTGTAATGTTACGAATAAGTTTCGTACCTTACATACGAGATACGTAATTACAGCAGCATCAAGACTGAAATCTGGCTCGTGCCCCACGGTCGTCGTCATCTTCTTGGCACACCGTCCCTCATTGCTCTCGCAGCCCTGGCAAGCTCCGATCAACCGGCAACTACAACCCTTAGGGCCTAGGCCATCAAAACGACATTTCGTCCACCAGCTTGCCAATTTCCCAAGTCAACCTTTGCATATGAACAGAGAGACCAAAGAACAAATACCTAAACACATCACCCGGTCATTCTCAAAGGCGCGCGCACCTTGCGGAAATAGAGCTCTCTGGTCCTTCACACGCTCACGTCCAAAGCCCTTGCTTTCACCGGTCCCGCTTCCCCGCCAAAGCCGAGTTGCCTTTGGAAGTTGATCCCAGAGTCGGCAACCCTCTGTGCTCATCCCGCATATGCTTGCACACAAAGGCTTGACAGTTTGCGTGCGGCGCAATTACCGTTAGACATCTGACAGGATGTGGAATGATGAGGACAACAATCCCTACGGGGACAGCTTTGAGCGCCGCGACTCCTTTAGCTCTTCTGCTATCCCCTCTTCGCCCATTTCGCGCGACTGTGAGTCCTCCTGTGAGATATAGATGCCTCTTCTGCCCATCACCTAGATGATGGCTGCTACGGAGTTTTATGATGTTCCCTTAGATTCTCCTGACGATGATGCTGATGCCGACTGGGAAGTAGTAGACGCTCGCTATGAAACGCCACACACCCCGTCCTCTACTGGTGATGAAGCCCCTCCACATGAGTCCACCGATGCCGAAAGCGACGAGGAGGAGGATGCCAGGTCACGGGGCGAGCTCGTCCCGCGGCGCAAGCCTGGCGGATATGACAGCCGCGTGGAGCAGATGCTCTACGAGAACCCGGAGCTGCCCATTTTAATCACCGACGCCGGGAAGAGCTCAGAGAGCGGTAGATACATCGTCTACACGATCAAGACAGGGGTAAGCCCGCGATCTTGACTGACTGCTCTCGGATCGTCTTGTGTTGACTGGCCGCTAGGAGTTGATAGTGCGCCGACGGTACTCGGAGTTTGCATCTCTTCGCGAAGCCCTTTCAAGGCTACATCCAACCCTTATCATTCCGCCAATCCCAGAAAAGCATACCATGGCCGACTATGCCGCAAACCCGACAAATGCGAAGCAAGACCAGCAGATAATCGACCTCCGGAAACGCATGCTGGCTGTATTCCTGAACCGCTGCCGAAGGATGGAACAGGTCCGGACAGACGGCGTCTGGTGGAGATTCCTGGACCCAAATTCCAGTTGGGTAGGTCGCAGAAATCCCTTGCAGGCAACTGTGGCTGATGGTCGACAGAATGAAGTACTACACTCTCACCCAATAGCCTCTATTCCAAAGTCGATCATGAAGGCACCCCCGCTGGATCCCGCTAACCCCACTCCTGGGCACAACTATCTCCCAGTGCCAGCTAGCTCGGCGAAACTCAAGGCAGGCCCTCATCCGTCGCCCACGGTAGACAGCGTAGCTGGTGCCCAGATCTTTGCTCGTTTCCCGCCGGAGAGCAATTCCCTTAGCGAACAGGAGCTCGACCCGTACTTTACCGCATTCGAGGCGTCAATCAAGGAATTGGAGAATTTGCTTACCGGTCCAATGGAGAAGGTCAATCGCCGAACCTTGAGCCATTTGTCCTCTTTGGCCTCGGATCTTTCTGAGTTGGGGGCTAGGTATAATGCATTTGCTCTTTCTGAGCCGACCCCGTCGCTCGCACCGGCAATCGAGAGGATAGGCCAGGCAGCGGACTCCTCATATATTGCCACGGAGGAGCTATCGACATCTTTGGGGGCTAGTTTTGCCGAGCCGATGCGCGAGAACGCACAGTTTGCAGGCGTGATTAAGAACGTGTTGCGATACAGGGTTTTGAAGAGGGTACAGCAGGACATGACAGAGGAGGAGCTGAACAAGAAGAGGGCGCTTCTTGACCAGCTAGAACGAAGCGAGGCAGAAGCTAGGAGAATCGACCAATACCTCAGCAGCAGTCAACAGATTCAGCCTCCGAAAAGATCGTCTAGCATGAGGGAACCCCCGACGCACCGTAGGGACGGCAGCGGGGAGGACACAGCATCGATTGACTCGGACTTCCCTCCAACTCACGGTGACTTCTCATCGGCACCGTCGGCTAATATCGGGACTCCAGAACGGGCAACGGCGCCGCCCAGCCATAAAAAGGCACCCAGCGGGACATCTATAACTAACAAGATTTTTGGCCCTCTCCGTCATGCTGTTCAGGGGGTGGTGGATGCAGATCCGGAACGGACACGGCGGGACACAATTAGCAAGACGCGAGAGTCGATTGCGCAGCTGGAGCAAGCAAAGGTCGCATCAGCACAGGATGTCAAGGATGCCAGTGCAAGCATCCTCAAAGACTTGAAAAGGTTCCAGAGGGAGAAGGAAGATGACTTGAAGCGGTACATGGTAAGCAACACTTCTCTCGATCTCCATTGAGACAGTCCCAGACCCTGACAGCGGATTCCAGCTTGCGTATGCAAAGAGTCAAATTGAGTGGGCGAAGAAGAATAAGGAAACATGGGAGGAAGCAAAGGCCGAGGTTGAGAAGATCGACGAGTCTTAACGCAGCCTACTCGCTCTTCTATACCCTCGATTCAAAGGAGTCACAGTCATACGCCCTTAGGCTGTAATCCATAGTACTGCGTCGGTCATGCCGAGTTGTGGCGATTGTCTTACTTGCTTTGATGCATCGCGCGTTGTGAACCTCGGAGCCCCGAATTTTACTCTACAGCATCCTTTCGACACAAAGGACTAGTCTGAAGGACAAAGAGAAGGATAAGCAAAACAACAAGGAAAGAGAGCAAGGTAGGCATAAAGAACGATATCGGTACTTCAGTTACAGGTCTGGGGCAACGGAAACTTAGCGGCACAACCCCCTTTTGCCAAGCCGTAAACTTGCGGTTGAATTATATAAGCCGTAGCCAGACCGCTTATTCCGCTACAGCCGCTGTTCAGGTCAAGCATATGACCTGGCCAGCCGCTGTCGCCAGCAGCGGCTTAAGATACCAAACATTTGGATTTTACCAAACATCTTAGTCGAATCAGCGGTCGCGGGATGGTTTACAGTTTGTAAGCGATTGGGCAACGGCTTGGAAATGGGAGCGGCTTGAGATTCTAGCGGCTGGAGGATGTAAGCGGCTGGGCAATGGTTGGGAATGGGAGTACGTAGCTCTGTAAGTGGTAGAGTCCTTGACTCCTTCCTTGGTATATAGCTAAACCTCCAGGCAGAGACCGTCGCCAGGCAGCCATACCTAGGTGGGCTTGCCTCTCTTTGACTTAGCGAACTTCAGGTTCCTCCTCCATCTTCTTCAATTTTCCATCCTGGAGCTCTCGCATCTACGCCCTGACTGGTCTGGCTCCTGCGGTCTCTGGCTCCTGCGGTCTCCTAGCTCCCAAGGTCTCTAGCTCCCAAGGTCTCTGGCTCCTAAGGTCTCTAGCTCCCAAGGTCTCTGGTTCCTAAGGTCTGGCTCCATTCCCTGTCTCTGTGTGAGGTGTACTCTGACCTGGGTATGTCGCCCTCTGATCGACGTTACTGCTAACTGTGGTATGCCCTCTGCGCTGTGCTGTCTGCAGCGGTATGACCAAGGCGGTGTAGGCCGGCAGTTGAAAACAGAGGCGATTTCGCAAAGTGCCCTGGAATCGCGCGTTTTCTAGCCAATTTAGCGATTCTAGCGAAGTGCCCTAACCAACCCCCCAGTTGCTGGTCAGCCACGAAGTCGACTGCCACCCACCCATTTGACTTGCGACCCTGACTTAGAGTTTTGACTTACAGGCTTTGAGGGTAGAGAACTAGTAGTCTAGATATTGAATTGATCATATCCATCAGTATCATATGTGTCGTGATCTGGCTATAGGAGTGGTACTGGGTCTGGCCAGGGGTACGTACCTGGAGCACAGCCGTCAAACCGCTGCCCAACCGCTGGCGATTTCAAGCCGCTCCCCATTTCCAACCGCTTACCAAACCAAGCCGTTAACCAAACATCTGACCTGGATAAGCCGCTTACAGAATTCAAACGTTTGAACTTTTACAACCGCAAACTTTTAGTTGTGAAATCTCAGCGGCTTGAACGTTGCAGCCGCCGGTCAACGGTCTGCAGACGGCTTACGAAAAGGGGGTTGCACAGTGTGTAAACTACGGTAACGTTGAAGCACCCCACATTTTGTCATGGCAGTGCCATGCAGGATGGAGTCGCGCATTGATAAGATAAGGCAACCCAAACTCCCGGAACTCGTCGACTGGAACCGCCCACCGTCCTCGGCATTGAAAAGAGCAGACAGAGACGAAGAGTGGAACTCGAAGTATAAGTCGACTACGGGCACAGGAGTCGCTACAGCCTCGCGACACCAGCCTCCGTACTCTCAGGGCACCGCTTCTCGCCCAATCGCGGGCTGAGGCTGCCCGTTTCCAATTTCGACTCCAAACGGGACCTCCACCAAGGCCGCCCACAATGGATGAAAGCGCCCGCCCACTGCGGGATATTACGAACCCCGGCTTGAAAGCCACGGGCGAGCTGCTTAGAGAGCTGCGTGCCGAGGTTGCCCGGCTGCTTGGGCGGAACTCGTACAGCTTTCCCGGCGCGCAGCCTGTGAGCTTCGCACGGCGCCATCTGGACGAACTGCGGAGGGAAGAGTGAGTGGTTATCCCCCCCGACCAGTGGACAAACCCTGGCTAAAACAATAAAAGCTACTACGTCTGCGAAAAGTCCGACGGCATCCGCTACCTCCTCTACCTCACGAGCGACGAGCACGGCAACGAGTGCCACTACCTGATCGACCGCAAGAACGACTACTGGTGGATCGCCCAGCGCAACCTGCACTTCCCGCTCGCCAACGACCGCGCCGCGTTCCACACGGGCACGCTGATCGACGGCGAGCTGGTCATGGACACGATGCCCAACGGCGAGAAGGAGCCGCGCTTCCTCGTCTTCGACCTGCTCGCGCTCGACGGCAAAGCCGACCTGCTCTCCAAGCCGCTCGACAAGCGGCTGGGCTACTTCAAGGAGCACGTCATGAAGCCCTACAAGTCCCTGTTCGCCGCCTTTCCCGAGGAGCTGCAGTACCAGGCCTTCCGCGTCGAGATGAAGGAGATGCAGTTCTCGTACGGCATCGAAATGATGTTCCGCGAGGTCCTGCCCAGCCTCAAGCACCAGAACGACGGCCTCATTTTTACGTGCAAGACGACACCCTACCAGTTCGGCACCGACCCGCACATCCTGAAATGGAAAGCCCCCCACGAGAACACGGTCGACTTCAAGCTGCGCTTGGACTTCCCCCTGGTGGAGCCCACGGACGAGGAGCGGGCCGACGGCGTGACGGAGCCGTTTGTCGACTACGACAGCGTGCCCGCCGCGCGCCTGCTCGTCTTCACGGGCACGGAGCGCGGCGAGGCCATGTACCAGCCGTTTAAGGAGCCGCTGTACCTGACCGAGGACGAGTGGGAGACGCTCAAGGCCCTGGGCGACCCGCTGCAGGACCGCATCGTCGAGTGCGCGCTGGACGAGGAGAAGAGGTGGCGCCTGTACCGCTTCCGGGACGACAAGACTGAGGCGAACCACATCAGCACCGTTAACAGCGTGCTGGAGAGCATCAAGGATGCCGTGACCGAGTGGGAGCTCATGGCGGCGGCCAAGGGCATCAAGGACGGGTGGAAGATGAGGCAACAGCACGGGCATTGAGATGGGCATTCGGTAAGGCGTTGGGTAGGCTTGTTCTGAACCGGCCATTTATTTTCTTGTCTTTTTGTCCGTTTTTCTTGATGGCTTTCCCGTCTCTTCTTGTCTTCTTTGTACACAGCCTTTTCAGCGACGGCGATGGAGTATAAGGACTAGGCGTTGAAGGGTGCTTGGTCGACTAAATCAAAACAGGGTTTTGCTTCTCTCAGATAGTGCTTCTTGATTTCTTTCAATTCTAATCTTCCCCCGTGTCGCCAGGGTATGGAGGTTTGGGTGGTTCTCATCCGCCGCAGCCATTAGTGGAAGGACGGGAGAAGGTCGAGGGAAGCCTGCTTCAGGACCATCTCAACGAGCACTATTCGAGAGCTCAACCACAAGCACATCAAAGGAGAGCATGGAATCAGTTGGGTAAGTTAAGACATTTCCTTGGGAACTGATCCCATCCAGCTCGGTAGTCAAGCCCGAGCTACCTTAAACTAAGACATTCTTGATGTACGCCCCATGTCCCCGGCAAGCAGGGAAAAGTAAACCCCATTATTATCCACCATCCCAAATCCTAAGCCATGTCAACCATAACATTTCCCATTTCTATAACCCCCCGCTGCCAGGACAATAACAGATCAAGGATGTACATAGCTAATTCATGAAAGCAGCGGCGTACACAGCGGCCATGACAACAAAGTAAAACATCACACCACGGCCGCTCACAGAAGCGGTGTCAGCTGCCGAGGTCACAATGGAAGCCGACGGCATGCCCGCCGAGAATGTGCCGTTGGCGGACTGGCTCACGTACCACGACGCAGAGGCCCCGGTGCCAGTCATGTACCACGACGCTGAAGCCCCCGTGCCGGTGCCCTGGGGCAGGTAGCCCGAGGGTTCTGGCGTCACAACAGTCGTCAGCTGTGCGGTTGTGGCAATCGTGGTCGTCTTGGTGCTGCCAACGGTAATGGTCTCGGTGCTCCCAACGGGAGTGGTCCCAGTGCTACCAACGGTGGTTGTCTCGGTGCTGGCAACAGTGGTTGTCTCGGTGTTGGTAGCAGTGGCTGTCTCGGTGCTGGCAACAGTGGTCGTCTCGGTGCTACCAACGGTGGCTGTCTCGGTGGTAGCAACAGTGGTCGTCTCAGTACTAGCGAGTGTGGTTGTCTCAGTACTCGCGATGGTGGTAGTTTTGGTACTGCCGATGGTGGTAGTCTCGATGATGCTAACGGTGGTAAGACCGGTGCTGCCAACAGGGTAGACTGTGATGGTCGTGTATGCTGTCTTAGTCTCGATCACGGTCTCGATTGAAGTCGAAGTCACGGTCCGGAACGAGGTCGAAGTTGAAGTGCGAACTGTGACCGTCTGGGAAGTGACACCGCACGAAATCGTAGTCGTGCCATCCTGGGTCGCGTAGGTAGTGACTGTCACGGTCATGGTCTGCTGCGAGGGGCATGGCACGACCATAGTCCTGGGACAACGATTCATTTAGCATGGCTCTTTCAGAGCGCTTGGTTCCTTGCGATGCTTACATGGTCTCGGTGGAGGAGATCTGAGTCACAGTGGTCGACGAGGTGCCACGAACGACATCCGCGGTATCAGTGACGGAAGGAGCTGAAGGAGTGGGCATAGCAGAATCGATGGTGGTGGTGCAATCGACCTTTGGATCAGAGTTGTCGGCATTGATACCACGGGGGATGGCGGCAGGACGAAGACCAGAACCAGGGATGTCGAGACGGTGAGCAACGGCACCAAAATGCTCAACTTGGCAGAGTTAGTAACGGCAAAACAAAAATAATTGACTCTAAGAGCGGATTCATACCCGTAGAAACGTTGCCCAGAAGGAGGATGAAGATCACACAGGAGATGGTCGCCAAGGTCTTCATGGCGGAACGGACCGACCGACCAGAGTTGTCGTTGATGGAAACCATCTTGATGAGTCGAGACGGTGATAGTCTATCTGCCGTCTGGTGTTCAGTCAGCGCCTGTGTGATTCCTCAAGCGGTCTAGCTCGCTGGGTCGATGAACCACAAGTCATTCAGTTCTGGAATTGGCTGGTTTCTGAACCTGAATAAAGCGTGATTCGGGTACCTGACCAGAAGGCCCCGATGAAAGTACTTTTGTGCAGATAACAAGGCGATTTCAGCCCCTTGACTGAAGCGACGTCGCTCGCGCCGGAAATCCTTCGCTTGGAGACGAAGAAAAATATGCCAGACTTACTGAGCTTGGAGCGTTATAATAGATTTTTTTGGATCAGAGTTTCTGATCAAAACGAGTGCGCGGTTTTGAACGAGTGACGAGTGGTGAGAGGATGAGAGAACGATCGGTTTGGATTGTAGGTTGTTGTGTTGTAGGAGGGAGGAAATGGTTGAGGTGGCACGAGGCAGACAATTTATGCTCGCACTGGAAAGGCCGAGTGATTAGGGAAAGAGAGAAACTTCCAGGCGTGCCTAATCACGAGCAGGAAGCAGCGGAAGAGGTGAAGGCAGGAGGCACTGTGGTCGTGCGTTCAGGTTTACTGGAAAAAGAGGGCCTCTTCGGATCAAACCGCAATGCGAAAGATAGTTGATTTCCCAAAACAGGAAAGAGCAGAACGAGGGATAACTGCTTGAGACGAGAAGGTAGCTTTCAGATACCCTGCCTGGGGCAAATCTTGAATTCTTGCTCAGAAACTTCTCACTCCCTTGAAGGAGTAGACCCGGGAGTGGGCTTAGTCGCCGAAGCAAGCCCTCTTGAGGCCCTCGCATTCTACTTCTCTGGAAGTTGTTGATTACTACAAAAAGTATTCAAGTCCTAATCGGTTTCCATCAGGTTCAGCGTGTAAGTAAGAGTAATACCCGCAGTCACGAGAGCTACCTGGTGGCCTCCGCGAACGCTTTCTGTCCACCACCATTGACAAAGATCGCAGCCTCAAGTGAGTTTCTGAAAACATAGTCAGCACATCCAAGTGGAGTTCGTTCGAATCAGAGTACTCACCGTAAAGTACAATGCCATCCAGCATCGCAACCGCACACAGTACAGAAGGAAGGAGCGTTCAGGGGAAGTTGGAAGTCAGCATCCAAAAGTCTACCAGATGTCCTTAAGTACGAACCATCAACCCCAGCAGGACCTGGTTCCTCCAGTCACTGTAGTAATGGCAGGCGTCATGGAAACGGGGGATACTTTATTTTCTACGAGTATTTAGGTGGTTTTGAGCCCCTGACGACTTGCTCTGTAGGATTGTTGCCACGAGCCAGGAAATCTGAACATCAAGGGTGAATTGAAAACATATCCCAACAAAAGCACTACATCGAAGTGGCATAACTCATGACGTTAAGAATTAGACGACGTTCATCAATGGTCTCCTCGTCCAAAATCATGCTTGCCATCCGATCTATGGCTTGAGAGGCTCTGCTCAGGGTCCGGCTGGAGATGTCGTTCACGAATTCTCCGCAGCGCTTATGAGGACACCAATCAATATTGTACAGTACATAGACTTTGCTAGGGATTTCTATGGATCATGTGCATAGCAATGGCCGGAACCGATGTGCCCTCCGTGATATGTATCGTTTTTCTGTTGTTGAGGACTTGAGGTTATCCAGCTCGGACCAATGCAGGAACCCCCTATTTAGATACCCGGATTATTTCCCCGCGACCCTTGGCCCCACCTGCGATTGCTTGATACTTTCCCAATCCATGCAACTAACGCGACCCAAAGCGCGTAACACAACCATCAGCTCCTCCGACAATGGTTAACAGCTCATAATCAGTATTCTACCTTACCCATGACATCGTTCCTGCGCGACACATTGCGACACCATTCACACCCCCGACATTTCCTCCAGTTCTGCCTAGTAGGCGCTGTCGCCCTTTTCAGCAAATCGGCAATTACCGATCGCGCCGCATTCAATCCCATTTCCCTTGTCGACCACGTCGATATTGATCCCTCGACACACGCAATTTGTCCTCGCCTCCAAGATTGGACTGTCAGTGGGAGCCATTGGTGATTCTTGCGCGCTATGGCGCCCCGCCGCTCTGAGGCAGAAGAGGAGGAACAAAATGGCGGAACCGTGAAGCTCCAATTCGACGAGCCGCTGACATGGCGCCCTGGGAAACCCATCCCGATCGACACGCTCCTCAAAAGGCTCGACCGTCTGACGAAGGAGCTTGCCGAGATGGATCAGGAAGAAACGGATACGAGCTCGCTGACAAAGGTCGCCAAAGAGGTCGCATCGCATCAGCTCCTGAACCACAAGGACAAAGGGGTCAGAGCCTATACGGCCTGCTGCGTCGTCGATATCCTTAGGCTGTGTGCCCCCGATGCGCCCTTTACCCCCTCGCAGCTCAAGGTACGGCTCTGCACCCAATTGCGGCACCACTGCCTCAATTAACTAACTCGGACGTTTCTTTGCAGGATGTCTTCAATCTCACCGTCACCTCTATCATACCCTCTCTCTTTGATCCCTCAAATCCATACAATAACCAGCACAAGTATGTCCTGCGTTCCCTTGCCGAGATTAAGAGTATCGTCCTACTTCTCGACGTGGACGGGAGCGAAAACCTCCTCCTCCATCTCTTCTCCACTGTCTTTGATGGCGTCTCCGGGTCAAAGTCAGCTTCGGGGGAGCAGGTCGCCAAGGATGTCGAGTACAGTATGCAGGAATTGTTGGGCGTGATCATCGAGGACGCCAACAGTCTGCCGGCAAAGGTTGTGGATGTGATGATGGCTCAGTTTCTTAGAGCGGCTGCTCCAGGAAGTGGAAGGGAGAGGCGGGACCACGTGCCACTCGACGAAACCCAGGCAACCCTACTAGCCAAGGAAGAACCTGAGGCCTATCAAATAGTCAAGCACATGTGCCAGCTATACCCGGATAAAATGGCCCGCTTTGTCAGCCAGTATTTCAGCGATGTTATCGTCGACGCGACGAGTTTTGCCGGGCGGCACGATCACAGGGATGAAGATGGCGAGGATGACGAAGATGGCCCGTCCGGCCCGTCCGAATCGGATCTTAGAGAACTAAGAAAGGCGCACACGCTTATCCGAGAGGTCTGGAAGGCTGCTCCCCAGATCTTGCAGAACGTCGTTCCCCAAGTTGATGCTGAGCTTTCGGCCGACAATGTGCACCTTCGGCAGCTTGCAACAGAGACTCTGGGAGACATGATATCGGGCATTGGCGCAGCAGGGCCACCCCCTCCGCCAGCCCTCGATCCCGCTGCTTACCCGCCCCTGAGACTAGAGGACGACGACCGGACAGAGGCTCAAGCTGCCAACATTCTGACCACGCCGCTCTCCGCTATCTCGTTTCCACAGACTCACCACATGACCTTTCACAACTTCCTTAGCAGAAAGAACGATAAGGCTGCCGCAATTCGTGCTGCCTGGACAACCGCTGTAGGGTACATCCTCTCGACCTCTGCCGGCGGTATCGGTCTTGGCCGTGAAGACGAGACGGCTTTGATTCAGGGGATAGGCGAGAAGCTTTCTGACAGTGACGAGCGGGTCAGATTGGCGGCCGTCAAGGCCATTGAGACCTTCAGCTTTCAGGACATTATTTTGAAGCTCGGGCCCAACGGGGGTGTCTCTAAAGAGGGCTCCGTCCTATCCACCCTGGCCGACCGCTGCCGTGACAAGAAACCAGCAGTGAGAGTGGCCGCCATGTCACTTCTGGGAAAGCTCTGGGCGGCCGCGACCGGGGAGCTGCTCGCCGGAAACGACGCGGTGACCGCAGCCCTCGGAGGCGTGCCGACTCGCATTTACAGCGCATTCTATGTCAATGATCCTGAACTTAATGTCCTGTTGGATCGCGTCATATATGAATGTCTTGTGCCCCTTTCGTATCCGCCACCCAAGAAGGGGTCGAAGGGCACTGGATCGAATGGGAACCCCCAATCTCAGACCGGCGCGACAGCAGCTTTCGATCAAGACGCGATCCGGGCCGAGAGGATTTTGCTGCTCGTCCGATCTCTTGACCCCATGGCAAAGAAGGCCTTCTTCGCCATGCAAGCAAGACAACCCCAGTTCGCCCACGTCCTCGAGACATTCATCAAGCAATGCGACCTTTACAATGGAGGTGTAATGGACGATGAGGCTGACAAGAAAACGAGCAATCTCCACAAGACCATCAATTATATCGCACAATTTCTCCCCGATGAAGTCAAGAGCAAGCAGGATCTCTTTAGGTTCGCCAAGGCCAATGATCGTCGCAATTACAATCTAGTTAAATATGTCATTGGCCAGGAGCACGACTTCAAGACTGTTCACAAAGCATTGAAGGAGTTAGTTAAGCGCATCCAGACGAGCAAGGACCCTTCGATCCGCGATACATTGTTACCCTTACTCTACCGGTCCGGCTCTCTCATGTTCAACCGAAGCCACCTATCAGCCATTATGGAATATTCCAGATCGGACAAAGACGGCATGGGGCCGGTCGCCCATGAGGTCTTGAACGAGATATCGCAACGAAATCCTGATCTGTTCAAGACGCATATTGGACAACTTTGCAAGGATCTCGTAGATCAAGCGCCCACTTCCACCAGAGAAAACGATCCGGTTGTTGCCGAGACTTTGAAAGCCTGCTCAGCTTATGCTCGCAAATATCCCAAGGATGTTCCTTTGGACAGAGAGTTTGCGCGGACCATGATCAACTATGCACTCTACGGCCAGCCCGCCAAGGCATCCAAGTATGCTGTCAACATTTTGCTCTCTAAAAAGGATGACAAAAGTATGGTCAGCGCGACAGATCTCCTTCAGAGGACCCTGAAAGATTGGACTTATGGGACGACTCACTTTCTCAACAAGCTTGCCACCATGAGCCAACTTGAGCTCCTCGCGCCCAAGGTCACGGAAGAGGCAGAGGATAAGATTCTAGACATGGCTGTTCAACAGGTCCTTCTTGAGGTTCGCCAAGAGGGCACTGACCAAGATCCGGACTGGGTTGATGACGCCGAGTTGGATGAAGAATGCCAGGCAAAATGCCTGGCGCTCAAGACTCTGGCGAACAGGCTCAGAAGTACAGAAGACGCCATCGAGGCGAAGCAAAAAGCCAAGCCAGTCTGGAAGTTGCTGATGAAGCTGGTCAGCAGCAAGGGCGAACTCTCTAAAACGAAGGTGACACCGAAGCATCATCGGTCGCGGTTGCGTCTGCTGGCGGCGCAGCTGCTATTGAAGCTCTGCACACAAAAGCACTTTGACGATCTCCTGAGTCCACAAGACTTCAACACCCTCGCACTCACAACCCAAGATGCGGTCCAGGAGGTGCGTCACGAATTTGTCAGGAAACTGCAAAAGTACCTCGCCGACGGCAAGCTGCGCTCGCGCTTCTACACCATCGTCTTTTTGACTGCTTTTGAGCCCAGCACCGAGTTCAAGCAGCGGACAGAGACCTGGATTCGGTCGCGGGCGAGGTATTTCCAAGATCACAAGCAACCAGTCCTTGAGGCCGTCATGGCACGTCTCCTGTCACTGCTTGCGCATCACCCCGACTACAGCGCCGAAATGGACGAACTGGTCGACCATGCCCGCTATATCCTCTTCTACGTTAGCTTGGTAGCGACTGACTCCAATCTCGGCTTGATCTATAAGTACGCTGAGCGGGTCAAGCAGACGCAGGACGGGCTCGACCCGGAGAGTAACAATCACCAGGTGCTGAGCGACCTGGCTCAAGCTGTCATTCGAAAATGGCAGGAGAAGAAGAACTGGGCCTTCACCGCCTACCCGGGCAAGGTCGGATTGCCCGTTGGGTTGTACTCGGCGTTGAAGTCCCACGAAGAGGCCCAGCAGATTGCAGAGAAGCAGTTTGTCCCGGACGGAATCGACGAAAAGCTTGATGAGCTCTTGCGGGCGATGGATCGTAAGAAGGTATGCTTCCCACTTGCCCTTCCGTCAATCTTGGACCCACACTAATACTTTCTCCCAAGAAACGAAAATCAGTTGCCGACGACCGGACCGACAATCACCATCCACCAAGCAAGAGAACCAAGGTTCAATCGTCCTCCAGCTCCGGGGCTCAACAAGCAAAGGAACCGAAGCTCAAGAGGCCGACTGCGGCGGTAAAGACTAAAAAAGCGCCGGCCAAGCAGCCAAAGAAACCGAGAGCGTCGCCACCCATGGCGGAGGGTGATCGTCGGCGCAGCGGCAGGTCACGGAACGCTAATGCGTCATACATTGAACGCGACTCGTCCGAGGACGATGAGGAGATGCTTGACGGCGTCGCAGAGTGGGAATACCTCAGTGAGGGCGAGGACGGGGGGAGGGTAGAGAAGGCGGACGGTGATGATGACAACGATGAGGCGGAGAGCGACAACGATGATGATAATGCTGACCCGGAGGAGGGTAAGGAAGCGTCCGAGAATGAAGGCGGAACTATTGAGGTTGAGGAGGAGGAGAGGGAGGAGGAGAAAGAGGAGGAGAGGGAGGAGGAAAAAGAGGCGGAGAACGAGGACAAGAACGAGGAAGAGAACGTGGAGGAAGAAAAACGTCCCGCTGCACGCAAAAGCAGAAAGGCCAAACCTGCTCCGGCTCCGGCCCCAGCAAAGAATGGTAACCGTGGTCGTGGTCGTGGCCGTGGCCGTGGTGATAAGCCCGAGAGCGAGCCGGAGGATGTTGAGATGGATGATCCGGAAGAAAAGAACGAGGAGGCTGAGAAAGAAGGCGAGGAAGAGGCGGCCGAAGAGAAAGAAGATGAGACGACCCCCCCGGCACGGTCGACTCGCCGAGGCAAAGCCGCCGCCCCTCCACCCAAAGCGAAGCCTGCCCCGAGCAAAACTAAAGCCGCGCCAAAGGGCAAGGCTGGTGCTGCTGCCGTCTCTGCTCCGGCGAAAATAGGAGGCAGGGTAACAAGAGGGAGGAAAAAGGCTGGCGGTGATGATGACGAGTGAAGGAGATGTGGATGTGGGAATAGGCTGGATATATAGTCGCCGTGACGGAAGCAGCCCGGTGAGGAGATGGCAGGTTCAAGGGAAGGTTGTTTATTTATGGGTGCATGGTCGGTGGTGATGACGATGGTTGATTTGGTATTTTATTTCCTTTGAGATGTGCGCACAGTACGATGGCCCCTTTTTCCCTTCCTCGCTTCGGGGTCGAGCACTGGCAAAGGGATGGTAGCCGGACATAGATCGCAAGCTTGGGCCGAGACCAACCCAGCCGGTGGTAATATCTACCTTGGTGTTGCTCCCACCGCATTATTTGGACGTGCTGGGAGGGTGGGCACATGTTTCTGTATGTATATACCGCTACGTTATTCTATGTGTGCGCAGGCGACAATGCTTCAATCTAGTAGGGAATTGGGTTCGTAGTTCTTCGCTCGCAGGTAGCAATCAGATCTACTCCGTAGCTACCTGCTGTGGCATGTATAATTCATGGCTTGCCTTCATGGCTCCTAGATATAAAAGCATAAGCGAAAGACACCTTGTATGATCTGTCCATTGTTGTTTAACGAACATCTTGGTGGCCGTAGCGAAGCTCTGGCGATGAAGCATCTAGCCAAAACATGCGGGTAGAACAAACCATCCCGCCTGCCCGTCACATTATCATAGAATTAACTTCGTACTAGGCGTATAGCGTGGTAGTTGGCTCAGGGGCACCCTACATGATGATCTGTCACCGGGTTAATGGGCGGGATCGGTATTAAACTTGGCAAGCCGTACCCGGTCAATCACTCATGCTCTGACAGGTGTCAACCGACGGGGTAATATGTAGTATGAGTCGATCAACCATGGCGTTTATACCGGTCTTCTATGCGTCTCGTTCCGTTTTGAATTTCGGGATCTACGGCAGATCAGTAAAAAGTACCTTATGAATACTGCCATGCACAAGCTAACTACGGGGTATTATGCGTACAATCACCACCATCGGCAAACTAGGTATATATCCTTCACAACCACGCCTCCATCAATCTGTCCCTATCCTATCCACAACATCGACGAACCGCAACCCCATAGCTTCCGGGAAACGACGTACCCACCTTCACTAATGAGCTCACAGGTTTCCATAAGACCCACGAGCGGAAGAACCCAGCACTCACGCGCAGACAGGTGCGGCGAATGGCGTCTGTTTGATGGCAGTTCCATTCGCCATGTACAGTACCAAGCGTTATTTCTTCAGAAACCAGCGAAACTCAGCACGCAACCAACCGCGAGATGAATAAACCATGGTTCATTCAATGGGTATGTAGTGAGTGATGGTGGTACGTAGGTGGTAGTAGTAGTAGAGCCCCCCGGTACCCCCGGCATCAGGTATCTACATGTCCCGCATCCGCCGTGCTCCTTTGGAAAAAGAGGAAGAGAAAAAGCAGACAAAACCAGAGAGACAGGCAAGGGCAACAGCAACATGAAAAGACGGCGGCGATTTGGGAATGACCAGACCATTTTAAAGAGGATTAAAAATGGAATGGGATAAAAACAGCAGAATATGAGTACCCTAATCACTGGTATATGCCCGCGCCCCCAGAATCCACGTGTTGCTCAACGACCTCCCGCTCCCGTCATACAGCACAAGCACACATCACATCCATACCTCCCAGGTTGCCGCCACCTTGGCCAGCTATCACACCTCGTTTCCCCGTCCCCCGTTCCCGCAAATCAAACCGCAAAATATCAGGGTTCACTTTCACGCCATATTCATCCAGCATTCGGTTCGGGAGGGAGGGTACCATGATATCGTGCTTGCTGCCTTGACCAGCAACAGATGGGAAAGAGAGAGAGAATTAAGAGAAAAGAGAAAGAAGGGATCATACACGAGTTAAGAAAATAGGACAATGACACTTCATGATTAAATAGCATATTTATCCCCCCTCGTCTCTTTCCACAGGGTGGTACGGCTTGCCTTCCGTACATCATCTTCAAGCCCGTAGCGTGATCCTGACCGGGCGGCCTTTGTCGTCGCGATCCCGGGCAGATGTACCAAGGTGGGTAGGGGAATCCGGGTACATGGAAAGGGCGGAAGTGTCGTAATATCCGACGATTCCATATCCAGCCCGGAGTGGGTATATCGGGAACTGGGTACAAGCACAAGGGGTGAAGGTGCGGACTTCTTGAACGCGTAATCTCTCCTCAGATGAGGCCGCAGAGGCGCAGGTTCTCTTGAATGATGATATCTGGTACGCGGTCAGCATCTTGAACCACTGGTGGGGAGAAAAGAGTGTGATTTACCGTTTACCGCCGCCATGACGAAGCGGATTTGCGTTGTGTCGGTCGCGCATGTGAAATGTGTGTAGATCTGCTTGCTCTCGTGCTGGTTCAGGCTGACGAAGCGGTTGAGGATGTAGTCGCATGCCGCGCCGTAGTCGTCACCACCCTCGTAGTCGGGGAAGTAGTTCTTCATCGGGCTGACGGGCAGCTTCTCCTTGAAGCGATCAATCTTGTTGAGGAAGAGGATGATGGAAGTCTTGATGAACCACCTCGAGTTGCAGATCGAGTCAAACAGCGTGAGCGCTTCTTGCATGCGGTTGACCGTCTCGTCTTCGAACAGAAGCTGATCGTACTCGGAGATGGCGACCAGGAACAGGATGGTGGTGACGTTCTCGAAGCAGTGAATCCACTTCTTCCGCTCCGACCGCTGACCACCGACGTCGAACATGCGGTACGTGAGTTCGCCGATAATGAAGGTCGTCTCGGTGATACCAGTCGTCTTGACACGCGACCGCAAAACATCCTGATCATTGGGCATGTAGTCTGGGGCTGCGATACGCTGGATGTTATCAAAATAGCTGGGACACTGTCAGCGGCGGGCCGATAGAAACACACACATGGGGAAGGAGCATACTATCTCGCCGAGTCGTTCAATTGGTACTCTCTTGACCGCTTGAAGCAGCTCTGAACACCAGCATCACCCCAAAGCGCCTCAATCGCGTTGCCGACCTCGGGGGGTAAGACATCTCCCTCGATCTGGGCTGGTTGCATGAAGATGGTCTGGACGTGGTATTCCATGCGCGGGTCGGCAAGCGGCAGCTCCAAGGACTCCATCGCCTCGAGAATGACGCGCATGGACTGGACCGTGTTGCTGAAGATAATCTCCTTGAAGGATTCCCGCTCGTCGCGTGAATAACCGCCCTCGTGGATAAGCTTCATCTGCTTCAGGATTGTCGACTTTCCGGATTCACCAGCACCTATGCGGTCATGTTAGGATACAGAGCACGCGGGCTACGGTTGGCGAAGCAATTCGACGTACCCAGAAGCAACATCTTGATCTCGTTGCGTTGTTGCATACGATCCCTCTTCAATTGATTCTCAATCTCCTCGTTCCGGGCCTTGCCCTCCTTCTCCTCCGTACTCATTCCGCAACCCATTTTGGATATCTGTCGAAGGTAAAATCAGTTATAGGGAGTGTGTACTCGATCGAAAGACGGAGATAAGGCGTTCTGCTGATGGGTTGCACAGGTTAGTCTGATGTGCATCGCGGTCAACAGATGTAGTCAGAGCCCCTGAGTTCGACGAGGTCTTTTGTCGCCAATCTCCACGGCGCGGTCGCAAAGGACAGGCCCAGCGAGGCAGAGCTTGGAAGAGAACGTGATGTATCGCAAGCCGACGGGCCCAAAATGCATGCACCACCGGCAGAATTTCTAGGAATCGTGGTGGTTCGAATGCCTTGGGGTGCGAGGGGGTTCGCGCCGTGGCGCTTGGTAAGCCGGGTTACTTACTCGCTCGTTGGCTGACTTGCCGCACCTTCACTCGAGCCGGCAATCAAGATTGAAGCCGAAAGAGTGACGAAAATTAGGAAAAAGAAAGACGTTCAATGGGACAGATACGCAGGGCCGTAAAAAGCGGTCCTTCCGGGCAATGGAAAAGGGGAACGTTTGGCCTTGCTGCTCTCCGATCGCAGAAACGTGTGAACCGAAGGTTGGGGGAAGGGCGAAGAGTGGGAGGGCTGCTTGTGTTAATGTGAGATGCGGAGCCATGCACGCTGGGATTTCGGGGAAAGCATTGGGAGCCAGCCTCCACTGGCGAATCAATTTTTTCCATCGCACAGAATAAGTGGGGCGCTCACGGTCCCTAAATGGTCAGAAGGCCGGGATTGTTTCTTGCAAAAAAGAGGGCCCCTGTCGACCCTGAGACCATTGCCATTTTGCGCCGCATCCCAGGTCGCCGCAATTCATCATACATAAGGCTACGTTCGAAATCAGTGTTCTTCCTCAGCAATGGGCATAGCGAGGCAGAACACTGGCAAAGTACGGAAGCAGGCTACTTTGGTCTTGGAGGTTGTTGCGTTTGAAGCCGGCAGATAACACGAAAATGAAGACTTCCTGAACGACGCCAACACCTCTCTCCACTCCGGGAGGACAAGAATCCAGTGGCGCCCACGCTAGCAGCGACAGCTCATATTAAATCGGGATTATCGATCTAGTGAGAGATCATGAATCCCGTCACAGTGACACGAGAAACCGACAAGGTTTGCGTATTAATTCGTATTGCCCTTTCCCGCTTTCTCTCTTGAAAACCTTACAGCTCTATATACAGTTGATGCCTCTTCGGATTTTGTCAAGGATTTTGTCACGGAGGTATATCACCTTCTTGCTGCTTGCGGAGGCCTTAAACGGTACTGTCTTGGCCAATACCTCCCGACCATGCACGATTATGACCATGGGCCGGCAACCCGCAAGTCTACCGGGTCCCGGACTGAATTGATAGCAAGAGCTATCAGAGACACTTACGGCTAGTTTGCGATGGCCGCCCTTGAGCGAAACAAGGCCCCAAAACACGTTCGCCGCGTTGCAGCAAGTCACGTTTTCACGCCATGTTCGGCCTATCGAGATCCCCTCTTCGAACGACTGCTACGCTATGTTTGTAAGGCCTACGGAGTACCAACAGACATGAAATCTTTAAGAAGGTCGTCAAACTTGCGGGTCGTTGGCCCTGTGCCGCAGGTTTCATGCATGCTTACCCGCCACAGCGGGTTGATCTACTGGCTGGCGAGGTTTCTTCTTCCACGCTTCCACGCTTCTGGAATCTGTTCTCGAATGGCCATTGTATGCGACAAAGGCGGAGCCCGCCAGTTTATGCGGTCTCCAAAAGCGCTGCTACAATTGGCAGAGGGTCAATGCTGTCCTTGTTACTTCGTACGATCGCAACCCACTGCCTCGGGCCGCTGAAACTGACTGGCCAGATAGATCCTATGGCATTGCCGACCGCCGCCCGCGATGTTACTGCGTTCAGATCTTGCAGCCAGGAAGTAATCAGCGCATCTGCCTGTCAGTTCCGACCTTGGTGCCCACGTGACTGACATTAGATCTTGAACGAACAAGCAGACAGAAGGCAGAGAATTCTCGTCTTTCCCTTATTGATTGCATCGTATCGTAGAAAATACATGCACGGACGTAGTAGTCGATCCCCCAAGTACGGTATGCAACAGTCCCGTATGTTACAGGGAAATCCGAAACTGCTTAACGTTATAAGGGGGCAGATATGTAGATATCTCTTAGCAAGGGGATCCCTTTCTCTGTCATTACTTCACGGTTGTCAAGACTCGCTAACCTTCGGATGTGAAAATAATGATTACTTGCAAATCCACCTGATCAGGCGTGACTTCCCCTCCAGCTTCATCAAACCCTTCTCCAGCGATGGACTATTGGTTCGCAGGTGCAGTAAGAGAACCGGGAGTCCATGCTCGCCATGGAACTACTGTGGAGCCGACCCCTTTGCACCTTCCCCACAGTTTGGCTGGTTCCTGGCGTGCCTGACAAACCGAAAAGGACGATTGTCAGGGGAGGGCGGGGGATTTGCAGCGATTGGTTACAATCAATCAAAGCCCCAACGGATCGGACGGCGATCCTCTTGCAGCTGAAGGAATTGCGCAAAGCCGCTGACGGGATTGCTCGACGCCGCCGGCCATGCCGTTTCGTCTGTTCCGGGGCTGTTATCAGTCATTAACTTTTGAATGACCAGTGTGCCAGCCATCGCTGATAGAACTCAGATGTATTCGTATTGATCACGTCGGTCTCCAGTCTGGCGTCGGCCGCGCTAGGATAAAACGGGAAATGTTCTAGAAGCAGGGACGGAAATGGTTAGGAGTGGCTGCGTCGGCAGGCACGAAGAGCGGCGAGCCTGGAGCGGCATGTCTCACTGTTTTCGCTGATTTCAGATGAGATGTCCAAAGAACACAATTCTGTTCAGACCTTCGTCTTCCCAACTGGATGATAGCCCCGTAACAAATTACAGTACTGTACCCATGTTATAACTCATGAGATAGTTAGTCAACGTCAAGTTAAACGGAGACAAAGTTGGCTGCACAGAAATCTGATGGCTTGCATCTGCCAGCTCAGCCCTTCTTTCTGCGGCGCCATTTGGCAGCGGTGAGCAACTTGGTCGCAACCAGGGCTTCCCCTGTGATCAGCGATACTCCAGCGATCGTGTCACCCTTCCTCTGCGACACAGAATACGCCATTTCTTGGGTCGTTTTTGTGTTTACAATCGGCATTTGACTTCTTGGCGGTTGAGCTCCCATTCATGATGGCTTCATCGGCGATTCCCATGGCCCAGCTCGGCGGGCGTGGTATGATATTACCTCACTCTGATTACCCACGTGTCCAAACGCTCTAAGTGTGGGCATCTGATGCGTTTCCGTGTACAGCCTTCAACCACGGCACCAGCGAAGATGTAGAAGCCGAGTATGACCGTCTGCGGGATTTGGCACGGAGTGAGGGTGACAAAAAGAAGTCGTGCTTCGATCGTGTATGATTGGCCCACTCTCCCTACCTAGTTTTCACAGATCTCAATGCCACTGATATGCTGACTTTGACTGTAGGCGCACGAAGCATATGAGCGTGGCGATGGTGCCGAAGCCAAGGCCTTGTCAGATGAAGGCAAGCCACACAAACCCACACACCCATATCAAGGGATTGAATGAGGGCTCTTTGTTGACCGTGTCCTCAGGCAAACGACACCAGAAAAAGCAGGCCGAATATAACAAGCAGGCATCCGAGTTCATCTTCCGCGAGAACAATGCGCCGGGTCGCGTAGCCGATGACACCATCGACCTCCACGGCCAGTTCGTTGAGGAGGCCGAGGACATCCTTGAGGCGCGCATCCGCCATGCCCAGGCCACTGGTCAAACCCATCTGCATGTCATCGTCGGCAAGGGCAACCACTCTGCTGGAAGGGTGCAGAAGCTGAAGCCGCGAGTTGAGCAGCTTTGCAGGGAACTCGGTCTGGACTATGCCACCGAGGAGAACGAGGGCCGTCTTTATGTCGACTTGAAGGGCGGTCGCGTCGAAGCCCCGCCGCCGCTCCCAGCCCAACCTCATGGCTATCAGGGAGGCTACGGCGATGGCCAGCGCCCTCATGGAGGAGACCATCAGCATCACCGCCCGCAACAACACCACCCGCAACAGCAGCAACAACAACAACAACAGGAGGACGAGGGCGACTTCTTGAGCAACTGTCTCAAGGGCTGCTGTCTTGTCATGTAGGACTATCTGGAGCGTTCCGGTGCGGGACTGCGAGCCCCTGACGCCAGGGCTTTTTTGGGGATGATGATTTAGTTGGATTTGGACGAGGCTGTGTTGCGCGGCCGTTGCTGAGTCGCTGCTGGACTTGGACATGTCATCGGGTAGACAACATAGCTTGGAGGAAAGAGAACAGCACCGCTTGCGTGGTGGTGCTCCGACATGTTTTGGGTATTCGTCAGACATCTCATCGCACTGTCTTTGCCCGACATTGCCGCCAGGTGCCGTATAAAGGACACAGGGCCCTGGGAATTTGCCTGATTCCTCACTTTGTATTTTCAAACACCATATTTTTGCACTCTACTATAACTGCGCTGGCTACGGTGACTCCTTCAGGGCGTCCTGTCTATCTCGGCCAACGACACACACCCTGCTGCTTACTCGAGCTTGTCTGGCACCTTGAGACTTCTGGACTTTGCAAGCTGCGCCAGGCTAACTTATCCATGAGGCTCTTTCTCGAGCATCCCAGCAGGTTCCGGGCGACAAGTCACAAACCATCGCGGCCCTATCTGCCCAAAAAAGGGGCAAACCTGCAGGTGATCACTGACGCCAACATACCTCAGCGTCTACACAGCAACCATGCCAGGTCCAAAAACAACGCAAACACAGGCATGACCAATATGAATAAGCCACCAACCCCTTTTCAGACTCCGCAAATCACACTCATCGGGGACATCAAAGTCTCCCATCCGCAAAGGCTTCTAATCACCCTCGTCATATGGATTCTGCTCTTCCTCCTGGGAGCCCTGTGGCTTTGGGCCTACACGGCCCTCGACAGTTACCGTCTCCGCCGCCGCCGCCGCCACGGCGACGAAGACTTCCGGTACCACCCGCTCTTGGCCGTCACCTGTTGCCCTCCTTCCTCCTCCTCCTCCTCCTCCTCACCCCGCTCCTCCCCCTCCTCCTTCTTTTCCACCTACTCCTCACCAACCCGATCCCCAGTCTACCACTCCCCAGCAGCTCGGGAGGAAAAACCACCATCGCACGCATCATTGAGAGACCACCAGTACAACCACTACCCCAACCACCCCCACCACCAGCAGGATGACCATCCCGACCATCCCCCACGGAAAAAAAACCACCTGTACGACCGCGACGACGGCGGCCCCTGCCTCCCGCAACACCACACCCAACCACCCCGAGGAGGAGGAAGAACAAGCTACTCTTCCTCCTACTTCTACTACGACGGGCGCAGCAGCAGCAGGACGGTGGTGGTGGTGAAGGCGACCCGCACGCTGCTCAATCATCTCGCTTCCGCCGCCCAGCAAGGGCTGATGCAGCTTGGCCGGGGTGTGTCGGCCGCTATGGCTATTACGTCGGTCACGGCGTCAGGTCAGGGTGAGGGTGAGGGTTCGGCTATCGTGTCGTCATCAGCATTGTCGTCGTCATCGGAGGAGGAGGAGGAGGAGGAGGAGGAGCGCCGTCGGCCTGGGTTGCGGAGGGCTTGGTTTAGTGCTCCTTCTGGTTATAAGTTTGGGTATGATTATGGTGGTGATGACGGGGAACAGGGTGGGTATGTGGATCAAGAAGATCCGTTACGGGTATCGTTCCGGGAGGAGAAGGGCAAGGTGAGGGCTAGTGGTTGGGAGGGGTTCTTTGGGTTTAGCGGGGAGACGGGAACCAACGAGAAGGATATGCTTCTGCCCATGAGCAACGCCCCGGGAAAGGCGGCGTTGCGCAGGCGGAATACATGCTATGCGCATGCGCGGGTGGAGGATCGGCGGGTGGAGGGGAATATGGAGTGGGTGTGTGGGATTGTCTAAGGCAATCTGGCTTGAGCGAGGGGAGGCGAGAACGCTGCAAGGTATGTGGAGAGAAGCGTTGTTGTTCTTGATGGTGTTGGCGTTTGCTGGATTGGGGAGTTGAGTGAGGTAGTGCCATTTCCCAACTGGATACCCCCTGAATGAGATCAATAGTACTGGTTTTGATAACGTGGACAAAAACTCACAGATTATGACTCGTTTGCGTAACATCTGCTAATCCAGACCTGACCAAGAAAACGTCATGTTTGAAATGTGACTCTAACTCTTAAGGGTGACTGAGTGAACAGCGTTTGTACAGTGATTTTGCCTGCTCCCTGTGCTCCCGCACTCTTTCTTGATTCCAGGACACGTCGTTGTGGGGGTCCGGCCGTCGTCTCGCTTGCTCGCTCGCTATGCCAGTCGAATGTCCCCTCCATCCCGCTCATTCCAATGCAAGACCCTCTCATGCCTGTTGCTTCTTAATGTCGCGTGCCGCCTGCTTCAAGCTGTAGTTGCACTCCTCATACGCCCGCCCCGCACCAAACCCTACGCCGACGAACGCGGGCCATGCCCTCCGCTTGAAGAGCAGGACTGAAAAGACAACGCCGAAGCCAAGGCCCAGGGAGGACTTGATGATGAGGTTGGAGAGGCAGCGGTCCCACTGTTGTTGGGGAAGTGTCAGTCAGTGTAGAGGGATGATGGGCTAAGGGCTCTGCAGTCTTCGGGGAGTTGTAGGCATATGCTGACCTTCTCGTTCAACAGCGCCTCACTGACGGGGCGCGCGACAGCGCGTGAGGGCGCAGGAGGAGCTGTTGTCTCGGCCATGGCGCAACCGACAAGGGACTGGCCTAGAATATCATGTTCAAATTAGCAGGGTTGTGTTGTGAAGGTGGGCGCAAGGTTGTACCTCTAGCGAGTGACTCAATTGACAAGACAGCAAATGCGATGGACGTTGGTGGAAGCAGAACCGGCAGCTGTCCTCTCCTTCTCGGTCGATGATGAAGCTATTTTAATTCGGGGAGACGTCGTCGTGCCAAGAGCGCTAGGTAATGCCTGTTTAATGGGTCGGTCGTTGCCGTTACCTCCCGAAGGCGGTGAGCCAATGACGACTTGGGAATCTGGGATGGCGGCGGATGCCGAATTGAACCGGCAGAATTCTGGAATTTTTGGGAGCTTCATCGTGCAACCCTCGCACTGGTTATGAGCGTGGGGTAGACACCGAAAGCAACGACTACTTGATTAATCTGAAGAACGCCTCCAAAACATGAGATACTGGACCTAAAGAGTTGTGGTAAATTAGAATGGGGGATTTTTTGGGGGTAAGCTTTCTTATTCTTTTAATTTGCCGCTGCATCTTCGATTCTCATTAGCATGACAGACTGGCGAAGCAGCCCTTATCAGGGCTGTCCGGTCCTTGGACCAGGGCGACCTCGAAACGATACCGGACAGACTCGAAAGAGTGTTGGACGCCCTTTCTGAGTACCCGAGAGGCAGCTTCCATGCGGCGGCCGAGATGCTCCTGAGATGGCTCCTCAAGAACATGACCGGTTCATCTGTGAACGCCGAGCGGGTTAGGCGATACCCACCGTCTTGGGACCTTCTGGCCGCCGTCTTTGCCTTTATCCCGTCTTCGTCCCTGGCGAAGTCGCTTGCCGACCGACGCTTCGTGGGCATCCTTCAGCAGACGCTCAAGGATATCGCCGCGCCGCAGGAGACAGCCCAGACAAACGGGGCCGATTCGGACGTCGAGATGACCGACGCACCTGCACAAAGTCCTGCGAATCCTAGGAAACGGAAAAGATCCGAGCTCGCGAGCTTCAATATCACCGTTCAGAGGCAAGTAGTTGGTTGCCTGCAGACCGCCGAAGCTGTTTTCGAGGCTCTTCGGATCCTCCTATCCCGGTGCGAAGTCAAGCCGGTTGATGGACCGGCTACTTACCGAATGGGTGCCGAGCACATCAAATCCCTGTTCTCATTACCAGCCGCTGAGGTAATGGCCATTCTTGTCCCCTGGCTTACATTGTGCGGTGTAGCAATGGATAGGCCCACTGCCGAGCCGCTGAAAGAGCAGGCATCCTGGTTGTCTACTTTCACTGCATTGTGGGAACTGCACCTTCAGACCGCTAGTGACGCGTCTGAAGTTGCAACCCACCTATCCGGGATAGGTGCCAGGCTCCTAGGGAGGCTGAAGGGTATCCCGCGCCGTGTATCTCTCGGCATCGACCCGGCTGCCCAGGCGCGTTGGGTACGAGACCTGCACCGTTTTCTGACCCGCAACCTGGTTCTCCCGGCAAGAGCGGCTTTTCTTACCAGAGGAAGCCAAGAAGTAGTGCAAATTGCCGTCGACATGTCCAGTGCTTCGGCCCACACTGCTTTCCCCCTTCTGTTCGACCTTGTCACCAAATCACCACAAGAGTTTGGTGGTAAGACCTCCAAGAAGGACTACGAAAGCTGGGTCCAAGCCTTTTTTGACGCTATACTGCATGCGTCCAAGAATATAGGTCGTGAGAGCAGTGCGACGGCGGTTCGGACAATCATGGAGATGGCAGCAGAACGGGGCACCGTCCTATCACCACCAAGTCTCCGTGCAGTCTGTAAGCGCTACGCGCTCAAGTCAAATGCATATGACTGGAGACTGCTCCTCTCGATCGTAAAGTTGAACCCTGATGTCTTCCTACTCTCAGAAGAGGGGAAAGAGCTCCTTGAACAAGTTCTTGAGGAGACTCGGAGATCCGATGCTCTAAGCCCAGGAGATTTCGAGAAGGCGGCACAGTTCATCGTATTGCTAGCAGAAGGGTATGCGCAGGGTCGCGATCTGTCCACGTTTATCAAGACCTGGCTCAAGTATCTCGCCCCTGCTAAGCCCAAGGGTGCCCTCCAGCCGCTCTGGGCCCAAAAGGAACTCGCCAACACAGTGGCAAGGTTGATTCAATCATCTCTTAGCACCAGCCAGCTCATCGATGTTCTTGAGTGGCTGGATTCTCAGGGGCAGCCAGCAGACAGCATGGCCAGGATACACATTCTTGAAGCTATCTCGTCTGGCATTACCCAGGAGGAGTTCATTGACGCTACCAACATGAAGACGTTCCATGGCGTCTTCTCGGCAACATACCATAAAAAGGAGATGCCCGCCATCTCGGCGAGTAGATGGACAGTAGCCTCCAGGGCCATTGCCAGGGGAACACTGGAGGAAGCTGGTCAGATCTGGTCGCAAAACAAATCAGACCTCAAGAGCATCCTCCGGAAGTTCCCAATAGACCGGGAAGATACCCTCGCTGCTTTCAAGTGCTGCGCTGCAGCCTGGTTGGCGAACTATCCCGGTGCTGAGCACGAGGATAGCGCAGCAAGTTTGATTTGTGCCTTCGTCAAGAGACTGGAGAAAGAAGGTGAACTCCCAGAAGGGGATATGAGCGATGACAACCCTTCTATTTCCAGAGAAACGTATATCGCTTGGATCATTTCGGATGCGCCTCGCCTTCTGAGGTAAGGTTCAGCTGCTTTTTCTGCCCCGACGTAAGCTAATGAAGCCCAGCCTGTTCCTGGAAAGGGAGGGGTACATCCCGAACTGGATACCCCGTCTCATATCTGCCCCCGAAGGGCAAGATGCCAGCCTCAATTCCGCTCAGGCTTTATCTCGAGTCCTGTTACAGCGCGAAAGCAGCATCAACCACCAGAAACTCATGGGTGGGGTTCACTGTCCGATATGAATCGTTGTGTGCTATGTTGCTGACCTCGCAATAGATTTGTTGGTAGAGAGGGTGATACCGCTGATCGACATACCTAAGGCTGGGGGACTTGGATCTTCCACCAAACTCGCTGTCCAGTTCTTGCTGGATGTTCCCATTGAGACGCTGACCCGATCTCAACGAGAGACCGCCATGAAGGCCTTGGTCTCATGTTTTCCAAAGGATTTGAATAAGGTGGAAGGCCATGGGCCAGACTACTGGAAGCCGGCGTTGAGCCTCATGGTCAAGTTGATGGGACGGCCAACCTTCTACGAAGTACGAAATCAGCGCTCCCTATTCTTCTGCGTGCTGCTGACATTACTCCAGGACATGAGCTTCTCCCACTTGGAGGCAATAGGACGGTGTCTTTGGAAGGCACATCATCTCTCTGCATTGGCCTTGGCGTCAGGCGATATCACTGAGGACAGATATAATTTTCAACTACTGCAACAGTTGGCAGGATTGACCATACGGTACGTTATTCATAGCCTTTTTGGAACGTAACTGACCATCTGTAGGCAGATGGCAAGCGGGAATCTTGAGGAACGAGAGAAAGCCTATCTTACTAACGCCGCCTCAACACTTCGGAAACCTGGCAAAGAGTCAGACAGCGTGCTCCGCCTTCTCCTTCTCCAAGCCTTTATTACCGCTCTGCAGGGCTCGCCCGCTGTCAAGAAGCTAGACAGGTTGGGGATAGAGCTGGACAGCCTCAAAAGGGACCTGCTTCAGATCGCAGTCCCGGCTGTCAAGGCTGGAGCCGTACAAGGCAACAGGCAGCTCTCGATGGTGGTAGCCCTGGAAGCGTTGGGTAGTCTGGATCATGAGACCGTGAGGGAAGCGCTTTCCGACGCTGTTCCGCAGCTTCTTGAAGATAGCGATGTGCTTGTTAAGAGTGGCGTTCCGGTTGGATGGGATATGCGTATTTTCTTGGCGTATCACTTTCCGGAAAGGCTCGCGTCGCCCCTGAGGGTGAAGCTGCCAGCCGACGCCACGTCATCCGGGGAAGAACATGTGGGAACGGCTGCCGCGGCTCTTGGAAAGCTAACTCTTCTGCGTTATGTCGATACTGTCGGCAGTGCTGCGGACGAGAAGGCAAGATTCAGGTACCTCCAAGATTTACTACTCGAGGACTACGACGATCAAGAAGCACTTGGCCGGCATCTGGTCATTCACCGTCTGGTTCACCATCTTAAGGGTAAGCTTCTCTGCGTCCTCCGAGCCAGCCTCACTGGAAGTATACTAACCGCATCAGGCTGCCGCCCCTCTGACTCTACAGACCGGTTCGACCTTGCACAAGCCCACAGCACGCTTTGCAATCGCCTCCAGAGGACAACAAATCCTTCCCTATTTATCCTGACCGCCAAGACAATCAACCTCCTCCTCGACCAGAGTCCCGCATGCATGACACAATGGAACATTGAGCTCACCCTCAGCAGCATCGCCATCATATGCTCGCAATCCTCAACCGAAACCTTGGTCTCTGCCTCGCCAAGGGTCTACGAGTCCCTTTGCAGGCTGGCCGAGGCGGTGATCAAGCGCCACAGGAAACGTCTCGACGGCCACTTCCACATCCTGGTCACTGCCCTGCAGGCCCTCTTGCGCTTGCTGCTATCGCGGCCTCCCCCTTCCGACGCCAACCAGCTCACCACCACCAGCACAGCCACCACAGGCAGCGAAGCAGCAGAAGGGGCAAGACACCATCACTCCCTATGGGAGAAGCACGCCAAGCTCTTCTCGCGGCTCCTCACCCTCGTCTGCGAGCCCACGGTGGCGTCCGTCTCCCGGTCCCAGACAAGCGGGCTCGACTCGGAAAAGGACCGGGCGAAGCGGTACACGGGGCAGTTCATGTACCTGGTACTGATGCAGTACGTCAAGCTGCAGCTGGAGTACGTGGTGCCGCTCGGCGTCAGGGACGCGCTTGAGGCGGGTATCTACTCCATCATGGACATCACTACGCAGGACGGGCTCAAAGTCATGAACGACGCCATGGACCCGAGCGGGCGCGTGATTTTCAAGGACCTGTACAAGCAGTATCAGAAGTTTGGGAAGTGGACTGGCGTATGATTCGTGCAATTGAGAATATATTTGCAGTTGTTCAGAGGTACACTCTTGTCCTCCCTCCTCAATTCCTGGTGGCCCGTTGTTACCTTCCCTGAGTCATCCTCTCCCAGCGCTGCGCAAACTCCCGGATCCCGCCCTCCCCCGCGAGACTAGCATCGACCACCTCCTTGGGCAGCTTATGCGCCGAATACTGTGGCGAGCTGAAGTTGTACGCGGCCGGATCGTCCTTCTCGACGAGCCTCACTTCTGGCTCAGTCTCCTCATCCTCCTCTTCGTCTTCTTCGTCCTCCTCATCCGTCCTAGTTACCCAACCTCTATCCTTCCCGCCCTCTTCATCTTCCCCTCGCAGCCCCTCAGAAGCAGAGGATGCTGATCCCAACAGCGGCCGGGCAACCGTCATATCCAACAACTCGCGCCAGTCAAAAAGCAGGGTATCTGTCCTGGGCGCCCAGGGGTTGATGTCGATCAGGCGTGCCCGGCCCAGCGTCATCCCTTCTTCTTCGGCGTCATCATAGTCGGCCTCGGGAATGTACACGTCAAACACGAAACAGGCCTCCGGAAAGCTAAAGCGCATCTTGGCGAACACCTCCCGCGCGCGGCGCACAATTTGTGGCCGCAGCGACGGCAGGAAGGAGTAGTAATTCAGGTCCCGCTGCGAGATGGCGACCAGGCTCCGGTCCTTGACAAAACACCGGAATTCGAGAGACGGGAGCGGGTTGAAGTAGCTCCGGAGCACCAGGACGGGGCGGAAATCTAATTCTCCGCTGTTATTATTGTTGTTGTTGCTGTTACTGCTGCTGGAAGCAGAGCTTGGGCTGGGAGCAGCAGCTGCTGCTGCCGGGATAGTCCCGTCAAAGGCGTGCGTCAAGTCGTGACTTATGAAGGACGACGACTTGAGCAGTATGTACACGTCGTTGGCTGAGGTGCATTTCATTGTGTTTGGGTGCCGCGAGATCCAGGTCGCGTCCTTGGGCGAGGACCAGTTCAGTTTGGGGCAGGCGGCGCCGCCTAGGGAGGCGATGGCCTCGGTTATGGATGCGTGAAGGGAGGGAAAGCGAAGGTTGGGAGGCTGGCGACGGGGCGGTGTTGGGGAGTCATCGTCCGAATCTTCTTCTGAGGAGGAGTCGACTTCGTCGGTTTCAGGGCGGGGTGGGGGTGCTGAGGAGGTGGGGAAAGAAGGTTCCCAGTCGTCATCGTCGTCGTCGTCGTCGGGGTTGGCGCTGTTGCTGCTTTTGCCGTTGTCTTCGTCGGCGAGGATGATGCCATCTTCCTGGATGTACGAGATGAAGTCTGGGGTGAGAGGAATGATGCGGGAGCGGATGCAAGAGCTGCGGTATCTGGGTTTCGGAAAGTCAGTTTCCAGTTTTCCAAAGGTTGGCCGCCTTGAGAAATAGGAACGTCTGCGCACTTGGGAAACCAGTAGTCGTAGGAGCAGTGGAGGATGTGTTCCCTCGTTACTGGAGGGAATCGCAGCTCATCGTTTGTTGCTCCCTCCCCTTGTGAGGCGGTGTCCTCGATCGCGGGCATCTTCGCTTTGGAAAGACGACTGTTGATGATGGTGTTGATGCAGTGGTGATGAGAAGTAACCAGGTGAAGAGTGTCTGCAGGTCTGGCAAAACTGAAGTGTGTCAGTGACTATCCTTGCGAATGGATGGTGGGGTTGGCTCATCAAGAGTTCAAGACACTGTTGCCCCGCATTTCTGCCGCTCTCGCAACTTTTGGACCCTGGTTCATATCCTCACCGCCCTAGCACCTCTGTATTGTTAACCACAAAGGTACCTTAGCTACTGGCGTGATCTCACGCAAAGTGATTCAACTGTATGACCAAACATGGCCGCAGTTCGAGAGACCTAAGCCCTGACATATGTGTCATACGGACGATAGATACGGCGTACACCAAATATCTCATTGTGCTATAGCGGCGTCATTGTCTCAGGGTCTTCTTGGCTGGTAACTATACACCACACCATCCTCACCCTTTGAGGGTTCTTGTAACAAGCTTGTAGCCTCTGTGGCACTGCCGTATGGGCGCCAGTCGCTTGCCCCAAGACATCTCTCTATGCAATCATTCCAACTTTTATCTTTCAATCCCAATTCTTCATGAGGCCAGACGACCCACGTCATCCTTCCTTGACCTCCTCAAACCGGCAAACACAACGCCACGCTAAGGTATCATAACTGGTATCTTCCCGCCATAGCCCTGGACACCGTAACCAGCAAACCACCCCAAAATATATCCAAGAAAAATGAACAAATGAAACCGAACAGTGCCTCTCCAGTACTAGCCGGTTATGGCATCATGAAGGTCATGACTTGTTGACACACCAACAGGGAACATAATAATGGGACATGCCGTCACAGATTCAACATCACGTCTCTGGGACGTGTCATGATAGCCGCTGTTCCGTACCGGACACATCCTCATCCCCGCCGGGGGTTCGGGATTTCCGGGTGTTGTAGGTCGTCAGGCTGTTGCGAGAGCCAGCCGTCAGAATCCACTCGGGGATCGGGGGCGTCATTTTCCGTTCTGTGTCCGGCCCCGCGCTGGATGCCTCCTCCTCCTCTCGAATCTCCGGAGGGCTAGCGTCTACTCTCCGACGGAACGAATCAAAGGACCCCTGGTGGCTGAGGGGGCTCGGAACTGTAGGGAGGCTCCCGCTTCGCATACGGGTAAGGCTCTTAATGCTCCGGATACTCTGCCTGTCAGAAATGACCACGCCGGCATTGGGCGCGGCTGTGACGACTGTCCCTGGCGTCGCCAGCGGCGGCGGTGTGGGCGAGTCTGACCGGAAGAGAGGATGGATATTGGCCTCACTCTGCGACAGGTGCTGTGTGAAGGCGGCTTGCTGCGCCTGGATCCTCCTCGTCGATACCGGACTGTAGCTTCGGCTCCTTCTCCTTGTTCGTGGTGGCTCGAGAATGTCCAGCGGGGTTCCAGGACTAGGACTCCTGCTAGTCGCCGGACTCGCTGGAATGGTCTCTAGGAAGCGGCCAGGGGGCGGCGACGATGACTCCAAAACCGTTTGCCGATTCTGCGGGTCCACAGCTGAAGTGTCCCAGGAGTCAAATCCGTCATCCGTCGAGTGCGACCGCCGATCATGAAAAGCCGGAAGATCGAGGGAAGCAGGTCGACGGGAAGATCGCTGGCTCCCAGAGAGCAAACGCGTTTTTGACGTGATTGGCCGCACGACTTGCGATAGCGACGACCGGATCGAGCTCACGGTCTCAGAACGTCCTGAACTTGATCCGGGAGGGCTCCGCCATTCAAAGGACGCGCTGCCGCGGACCTTGGCCGACACGGGGCTCGTCTCGTGATAAGCAATTGCTTTGATACGCGGCGGCGACCGGCTGCGACGCTCATCGGCACGGCTTGGAATCCTGCATTCGGTTCCATGGATCCGCCCGGAGATAAAATGCGAGACCAAGAAAACGAGCTGGGAAACGAACGCGAGCCCAAGGGCAACTGAGGCTCCCACCAAGAGATCCATCACTTTTGCGCCTAAAATCGGGGAACTTAGAGGGTCATCGGCGAGCCTGCTGAGGCTGATGAGATTGGAAACCGATACAGCGGCGGCAGCAGTGCACAAAAGCAAGCCTCCACCAAACCAGAGGCCGTGGAATTCCCCCAGGCGAGAGTTCGGTGTCCACCGCCCAAGTTGTGAGACAGTGAGAGCCGATAGAATAATCAAGACAACCGTCTCAAGCGCTGCAGCAATGATGGCTGTGATCCTCACCGATGCTTGATCAACTGGGTGCCGAGCAAGGATGATTTGGATCACCACGACAGCTGTAGTCGGCAGCGCTGCAACAATCCCCAGCGTCGCTGGGAGAGCACGAGGAATCGCCATGGCCCGGAGGTTTCCAGCACCTGGAGGCGAAGATCAGGGCCGGAGACAAAAACCGTCAGATCGGGCCGCGAAACTCGGTGTTGGCAGTCGGTGTCGGCGGTCAACGTTATGACAAACAGAAAGGATCCGGCGCGCAGCTATCCGGAAGGTCCCAGTCGGTCTTCTCTGAGCAATAGACCGGCCGGCAAGCGTCTCTACAGCGTTTTTGAGAGACTGGTGCAAGGGCCAGCTTGCTATCTGCTGCTTTTCGTAGACTCGAAAGACCCGAAGTCACGAGACGTAGTAGACGCAGTCCAGAAGCTCAAGTAGTGAATCGTGGGCGAGAACTCAGTGGGGTTGCGGTTTACCAGCCGTGTTCATGCGCGTCTTGACGGGGCGTGGCACTGAGAGAAGGCAGCTAACACCGCTGTCTTATCAAGCCGCCTCCAACAAGTAAGGCTAGACGAATCCAGGTAATGCTTCGGATTCCCGAGACAATGAATGGTTCCTTATGAGCCAATGATGACGACGACGTGCTAAGGCAAGGAAGAGAATGTTGAAGCCGGGCCTCGTCAACGGGCCTCAGAGTTTTCCCGTCAGGAAAGTGCCGAGCGTGTGGGCGTGTGTGTGTGGAAGTGAGTACCGTGTATGCGGGTTGGCAGAGGATTGGCTGCTTTTGGTGAGAGCCTTTGAACGAATGGGATGTTTACTATGTTGGAAGAAGGAACGACCTCGACAGAGCATGGGGAAGAGAGACAAAATGCCAAATAAGCAAAGCTGGGGATTCGTCCATGGCTGGAAGTGGGCTCGCCGGCTAAAAAGTATTGTAAGCAGCCGTACACAAGCAAGACGCGTCGGGACCCGCGTGGAGCGGTTGGGCCTTGTTGTTAGGCTACACCAAGCAAGATGCGCAGGTTGGTCCGGAAGGCCGTGCCTTGCTGGGCAAGGAGCATGGGGGTGTTTGATGGATGGGTGGGGTCTTACCGGGCTGGATCCCCGCGAGCAGGGGTCTTGGAGTTGCGTGCTCGTGTGCCGCTTCTTTGCCAAGGATTGATCTCAACCAGGATCTCCCAGCGCGGAAGCTAAACTGGTCGATGGGTCGAAAAAGAAACGAGACGAAGATCCAAAGTCGATCCAGGTATGAAATATTACCGCATTGCTTCCAAGTTGTGAGAGTTCTCTCCTCCCCGATTACTCTGGTGTTTCGATGATTCCGTTTGCTCCCATTTGCTAGTTGATCTTGATTGTTCAAACATATTCCTGTATTTATGAGGATTTGTGCTTGAGTTTGAAATAACGGTTCACCCCAAGCAAAGCCTCCATGGATGCTCAATACAATTCCTAGCCCGATTCTCAGGCGGCCAGTGTCCCCGCAAGCCGCAGTCGGTCAAGCAAGGAGCTGCAAGACAGCAACTGGAGCTGGACCACCGATACTGATGACGAAACAAGTCCCACAGTTAGCAATTGGATTCATCTTACTTTATTATGTGCGGATACCGTACACTCGTGTAATTCCTCTTCACTACACTGCATCTGTACAGACACAGAACCAGTAAGCAACAATCTGCATACATAATAGCGTTACTTTCACCTATCGGTAGTGTGGTTCGGCAGCTTCGGCTGCAGTGTTGAATCATCCTTGTAGTTGAGACCGTCTGAACACATCCAACGCTAAAGTGTGTATATACAGTAGGTAGAAGCAGCTGTGTAATCAAACCTCTACCAAGTCCCAAAGCAAACAGGCCGACGAGTGCTGAGGGCGAGGTATGTGACGAGCGTTTTCCAGCTCGACAGTCCGGCATGCTACAGTAAGGTAAACAGTGAGTTTGGGCCCACTAGGGCTGTTTCGAGAAGGTCTTTAAGGAGATGCCAAGACCTGATTACCTCGACGCCTGAGCAAGCCAAAAACGTGCAGGAAAAGCACAACATAGGAATGCCAGTGGGATGATGTGAGGCGGAGCACAGTGTCTTGAGACAATTAAGAAATATCTGGGTGTACAACAATGAGGTCTCCAATTAGCAAAGCGAGAAATGTGAGAGCCCCTTCCGCGGCTATTGCTGTAATTGTACCACAATCCGCCGAGCAGTACTTCGTAGCTGCAGTACTCCGGCCCTTGCCTGTTGTGTTATGGGGGCTGATGACAGCAGCACAGAAGTCGTCGCACCAACTCGTCTGTTTGACGCAGGTACCGAAAATCAATTGCAAGGGTATCCCTGCTTTGCGGCGCCTTGCCAGTTTGGCAGCCGATCCAACGTTGAGACCATGAAAAAACCGTTTCCCTGGAACGCATGGCAAGCGCAAGCGACTGCTCTGATCGGCAAGCATCATGGGCCTGCGGCAGTTTCCTTCAGACAAGCGAGCGCCGGGCTGCACATACAGTATGGTCTAGAATCACAATGTAGGGCTATTCTTTAGGAATTTACTTGATAGTTGATATCATACGATTCAGATGCAGCCGCGAAGCAGTCAATAGGTACAAGTACCACGCAGCGCGAGCTGCCCAGATCACCATGTTACGGAGTTGATGCTCCCTCCAGGTGATGACAGCTGTCAGACCTACGTAGCCGCGCGATATTTCTGATTGGCCAATTCCTGCCGTCTCCCTGATCCTTTTCCGGGCTCCCGAGTCCGAGCCTAGCCCACTTCCAATTTCTTGGGTTCACCGGTTCACCGACAGGAAACCAGACTCGCGTCGGCGTTTTTCTTCTCCTCTCTCCTTTCGTCTGACATGCATCGTATCCCACCAATGCGCGTCAGGAGAGCGGACCCCCGTTAATTTCCAGTTTGCAGCTGCCGACAAGCATTTCCCTTGCTTGCCAGATGCTGACATCGGTGGCCTGGCTGCCCCAGGCATCCGCCCCTTCCAGCCTTGGAACTATGGCTTATCGTTCCGGTTTCTTGTTCGGCCGGCTCCGCTACTCGAAACTTTTTCCGGCGGCTGCTCCGGAATTACTGAGCCTGCTGAACGCTTGTCGCGAAGAAGGGATTCCCGGCTTCCAGGCGCTGTCCAGCTCCTCCAGCATTACGTTATGTATGGAGTCCCTTCGGTCTGAACTCCCTCAACCGTGACACTCCACCGTTGGAAAAGCTGGCGTAAGAGCAAATGCCAAAGCGGATATCAGATGAACCTGGATTTTCATGGCAGCCATAGCTAGGCCGGCAGCCGTCGGGCTTCGCCGTCTTCTAGACTCTTTCCAGTTTGATGCGGCTCAATACACAATCTTGGATACTCCTGGTTTCGTCTCAATGATCTTCACGGCCAAGCCACCGCAGTAACAGTTGCCCTGATCAACGAAGGCCCACCGAGCATTGATGAATTTTTCAGGGTGATTATGGGACAAACACGAGAGACGAAACAATGACTGGATGTTTTGTTTGTTTGCCGGTTGAAACTGATTTCCTTCCCCTTAAGATGGACATGTAAGATGTGCAATACAATACACACATAAACCTTAGCCACCCGCTACCAGTTTCCCGGGAGTCGGTTTTGCACCAACGTCCTTTGTTTCATGTACACTCATCCACAACTTCTCGTTGAACGTCGTTCTCTTCATGTTTCCAGCTGAGCCATCGTCGTCAAATGTCATAAAATAATGCGGGCTCTAACCATCCGCGAGAGTTGTGGACCCGGCACTTATATAGGGAGCGGGGCCTATGGAAACCAACGGCGGTTTCATAACGATAGCTGCCGTGGCAACGGACAGCAAAGAATCTAATAACAGCTCGCGAACCTGATCGGCTACTCCGACCTCCTGGTTGACGAGCTACAAGTTGCGCTGACTTGATACACTGCCTAATACGGTAACTTGGAGTACACTCCTGTCCCCATCCGCTCCCTCTCATGGTCTGTCAGGAGTAAACCGAGTGAGACAGCTCGCCGGGCACTCAGGGCCTATGTCTAGGTTGTCCCGTCATGTTTCCATTTTGCGTTCGTCTCACGCTGAATATCTCGGGGATGATGAGGTGCTGCAGCCTCCCAGCGCTAACTTAGAGGCAAGATAGAGTTCGCGCATTACAAGAGGGAGTTTCTCTCAACAGGAACGGCTAAGGCTGCTGGAACAGCTTACAAGGCCTAAAGATCTTTAGTTATATACGGGCAAAACTGGCCCGTACAGCCTTTGATTTCCATTGGCAGCATGTCATTCCATCCAAGATGGTTGGATAGCTTCTAACGACGGGGCCCATCTGTTGTTAATCCAAGTTTCCGGCCAGTCAAACTTACCGCGCTAAGTGGTTCTACTCAAAGCCATAGATATTCCCATATGCCGAACGGCTGCCATGACCCAATCGCCATCAAGTATGTCATGATGCTCGTCTAGCTTCATTAGTCGCCCTCAAGTCCTGTTGGCTTAGCTGATCGCCGAGAGACTGATACAAGTCCAGGTGACCCCTATGTAGCCAGACACACGGACAACTGGCGGAGCGGCGGTGAGCCCAACTGTTGCTCTTGGATGGCATTTTTGCATTGTGTCTCGTACCCTACGTCGTTGACCGACGACGGGTGGAAAAAAGAGCCATGAAGATTCCTTGGGGGGGAGCTGACATTCGCTAGACGATTGGCCATCGGGTGGAATATCCAAGCAATCCTCCATCATAGTGTCCGCCTTTAAATCATTACTTCTCTTGAAACAGAAATTAGGATTGAGACCGTCAGGATCATGACTCCACTCCTCCAACAGCCCACGAGACGAAACCACTTACATGTTTTACAGGTATTGTACATGAACTCCATGACAAAGCGTCCCCTCTCCCTCTACCGAGCTATGCAGCCGAAATAACAGGTCCCCGACTCATTCACTGTGGTGAATAACCGATCGGGTCATAATCATACAAAAACTGGAACAGAACTTGCAAAGCCAGCAGGAAAAAGTTGGTAACAAAGAGGAGTCAATGACTGGGGATCGTTTCCGATCAGGTACAGTTCGTAACATCAAGCAGCAGACATGATGCTTCCGAGGCTAAGAAAGGGGGAGAGAAGGAGAGACATGTCGGCGTGTCGAATCAAGGATATTGTCGCACCCTCAATCAGTCGTCCGTGTCTGTCTATCATGATAGCTCGTCCGAGACATGCAGAGGTTTACTCTTGCCCTTTGTGCGTGCCATGACACGTACATCCCCTGACAGTTCGTCATTGTCGTACAGCATAAGGCAAGCAGGAGAGTCGTTCCGTCTTTAGTCAAGTTAGGCCGTTTCGTCGTTTGTCGCAACTATGCTGTGCGCCATTCGTCCCTGTCGTGCCATGGTGCCAAGATGAATATCAGACCTACCCGGCCCAAGTTGCCGTTAAGCAAAGGTCCAGGAATGAAATGAAGAAACTTATTACGCACACCCCCGGCTTCGTGCCCAATGCTAAGCGCTCGTAGTTGAAAAAGGAAACAAACAGGAATCTGGCTTCCTGTACAACCGCCGGATTCAGGACCCAAGAAATAGGTTATTATCGTTTCTTAGCATACGGCCAAGAGCTGAACCGAGTCGAATTACTCCCAATTCTGCTCTACCTGGCCGTTGCTGCGGTTGTATGGCTCTCTTTCCCCACGGGCTCAAGGGCAGCTGCGGATTGTGGTTTTCTGAACTGCGGTTCGGCCAAAACAGGCCGTGCTATGGGCTCTCTTGAAGCAGAAACTGGATGTGGACTGCGAGGCTTAGGGAGAATCGGGGCTTGTGTCGAGATGGGGGATTCTCGTGCCGTGGGCTCAGGGGCTTGTGGTTGATAATATTCCCGACGAGATGCCTCTTCGCGTCTATCTGAATACTCTCCACCAGGCAACGGCGACCTAACAGCTGGTTCTAGGTTTGGTGCCCCTGGAGGCGGTCGTGGCGCGATCTCCGGCAGTGCCTTTTTCTTCGGCTTTGGATCCGAGGGTATGGACGGCGCGCCCCGGTATGGGCCAGGAGCCCGGAGACCTGGACTATGCGGTTGAGGGGCGATGTTCGAGGTGGGCGAAGGCGCAATCGGGGCAGGAACGATCGGGGGATAAGTGGACACCTGCCATGTGTTCTGGACGGACTTTGGCGGACGCCCGCGCCTACGAATCGGGGCTGGATTGTACGGCGCGGCCGTGACGGAGGGGCTGGGAGCCAAGGAAACGGAGCTGTAACCATTAGGCCGAGGCTGGATGTTAACGGGTTGTGCGTTCATGGCCGGTTGGACGCCGACGCTGACCGGAATCCCATGCGGCGATGTGTCGCCAGGAGATGCGACCGCTTGTCGCTTTGAAAAGTGGTCGGGAAGGTCGCCCAACGATTTGCGCTTCAAGGGCGAAATGACAGGCGGGGGCATCGGCATGTCGAACATGGTTTCCGCCGCGCGAAGACACTGATTCATATTACGCCCTGTGGACAGCAGATTAGAGAACTGCGAGCGGCTTGAAGCCTTGAGCATCGCTGAGCCAGCGGGACCTACCTCCGGGAAGTTGCATGGATAGCCAGTCTGGCTGGACACCGTGGGACTTGATAAATTCCACAAGAAGACCGATATCCAGGTGGCTGTTTTTAACCATCTCGGCAAGGATAAAGCGCTGTGGAGGCATTGCCGTTGAGCCATTCTGCATTTGAGAAACGGAAGGGGCTGGTGACGGGTACGGCAACGTACCTTCTCGGCGTCAGTGAAGGAGGACTCCATGACTAGATCCCGGCTCCCCGATGCCGTCGAAGCGAAGAAGACGAAGAAGGGAAGAAATGTGCCATAGGCCGGCGGCAGTCGGTCATTTGACGGGGCGTAAATATGATAAGTCACTCGAGAAGACAGGAACCGCTCGTGATCAGAGACTACGTCGCAGTAGCAGGTGGCGAAGCTGTAGGTCCAGTCGGGTAGGGCAAAGTATTTATGAGGGGGGTGAGAAGGCCTGTGGCCAGTTTGCTGGCACAATACACAGCGTGTCCGGTGCACGCTCGCCCGGCATCTGCGAACAAAAAGGAAGTTGAAGAAAGACGAGGCGGTGATTAAACGAGTGACGAGGTCCGCCCGAGGCAGGAGGGTCAGCGAACAAGTGTCGCCGAGCGAAGAGAAGACATCGGATCAACTTCAGGAAGTCCAGAGGCCGCGAATTCGAGTGGTGGACAAGCGGGCGGATTTGGGGGGAAAGGCGGCAAACATACGCGAACCGTCAGAAGCGCGCGTCTTTTGCTGCCAAAAGAACCAGCCGAGAGGCCTGAACCTTGCAACAAGCGACCTGTGTCCCACTGCACCGCAGCAGGGCCCCGGTCTGCCCCTCTAGCTGGAGCTCGGCCCGTCTGATAAACCTTCCGGTGTCTTTCCCGTGGGCTACTGGGTTAGTGTTGTATCAGTCACAGTTTCCAGCTTCTTTTCCTTCTTTTCTTCCCTTTCCTCTCTCAGCAAGGGAGCCAAATCGAGCATGATCAGCTGCAGAGCGATGCAATACCCCAGATCTGTGTGTGTGTCGCGCATGTGCGCGACTCCGGCATTATCTCTTTTGGCCTTTGCATCTGCAGGCAGATCAAGTGACTGTTCAGGTGGCTAATAGCGTGAGCTCGGATCGGGGCGAGATGGTGTGAACATCAACACAACGCTGGGTGAGACGATAAAAAAGATGGTCGCCTGGGTGGGCCAAAACGCAGAGCAATTGGAGGTGCGCCAAGCACTTCATACACTTGGTCCGACCTCAACAGCCGAACTGGTTGCCAGTAGATTTGCTGGTCGGCCACAGTCCAGCGTGTTTCCAGAGGCTCACTGCTTCTCCGACTTCAACCGAGACACACACGGCGAACAAAAATCCGAGAGCCAGACCCAGGATTTTGCACACATTGCACCTTGTCGTCCAGCCCAACCAGGCTAAAGGCTAGCAGCAGGTAGGACAGGGAGAACCTGGAAGTCATGACGCCTAAAGTTTGAGTGTCTCTGCTGTGTGTGAGGTGTCCAGGCTGTGTGTGCGCTGTGTGGTGGCTTCCTAGGCCGTGGGTTTGTAAGTGGCACTTCCCGCATTGGTGCTTCGATGGCGGCGCGAACGACCACTGCCAACTCTGCAGGCCTGCAATGGCGGGAGTGTGTCAGTGTCTCGCAACTTGCTGTATGCGCGACCATCTGCACCTCGAAGCGACGTGCATCTGCACATGTGACCCCCCAATGCTCTTTCCTTGCGATGATAGGGCGCGGGTGTCTGGGGAAGTGCACACTGAATCTGACCCCAGATTTTCGGCCTGATGGCGTTCTCGATGCCCAATCCCGACTGAAACCGGCCGTGATAGATTTTTGACTGAAGTCGACTCGGAGAGCACCCGAGGACTCAATCGAGTCTCTGCCATCATGTACAGAGACTAAGGAGTGAAGTTGATGCTTTTTCAAAGACTCAGTCCAATTGGCCTTGCGCAGTCGGATGGATACCCACCGGCCTGAGGGTAGGAATGGCCCGTTCTGGTGGCCATTGGTTGTATCAGTGAGCAACGCTCACCAATGGCATCGTTCAGAATGCTAGTCGGTCATCACAACAAGCTCTGATGCGCAATCCGACCCTAAAGAGCCGCATTGCTTCGCTCTGAGGGTCGATATCGTCGCAAGTACCGAAAGATGGATTTGCTCCTCCATGGCGCTGAGGAAAGACAGTACGACAGCACGGTCAACTTCTTCAAGTGAGCCCTTTTAGGCCTTTAAATGCTTTTGCGTGCCTTGGGCATTGCTCCACAGGCTTGCTGCACGATGAGCTGGCACCGGCATCCGGGTGCGGCGAACCTTCCAAGTTCTAACAGGTTAGGAGCTATAAGGGTTGTGTTGGGCTGGAGGGCCGCCATGCCGTGGTGCCCTCTTCTGGTGCCGGATGTTGTCGCTGGTTGCATGCCCATCTAGGTACGTATGCACTTCATCTGGTCCGCCTGCAGGGGCCTTCGCTAGATACTACGTGTAGATGGATGTCGGCAACGAGTCGATTCTAACCATAGATGGGACACAGGAGCAGGTCGGGCTCGGGCTGATGGAGAGCGACTCTGCTCGGCAGCTCATGTTGCCATGGACCCAATTCCTCACATTCGGCTCGGCGCCGAGAGTGCTAGAGGCCTTGGGTCTCTAATCGTTGGCGGTGTGGCTGCTTTGCAAGTTGCATGGATGCGCACTTTGCTACCACAGCATGGTACCAATGCGTGTTGGGGTTCAATGATCCAATGCCGGGTAAGTTTTGGGAGAAGGCGGTAAGATGTGCCGTTTCTCGGAGTCTTGCTCCCCTCTCAGGAGGCCGGTTCAGAATTCTACCTCATAACATCCATACAAAGAAGCTCCATCGAAGAATGATGCTTCTGCCCGCAAGCTCGTCAAACTGAAGACGATTTCGATCCAGCATTACAAAGGCAAACCTGAGGAACTGAGGGAATGCTTATCCTGACTCGGAACTTGAGTAATCAGCTTGGCGCCGGACACAAACTACCTACCGGTATTTTAAGATCACATCCCGATCTATAACTTAAGTGGGCTGTATTAGCGTACAGACGCAGTTGACGTAGCACAAGTGACAAAATCTACATATCAGATCCGTTTCCAATCCCGTCCTTTGTTCTGGATGCGGTTCCAATGACTCCCAAGTTCTAGGCGGGGCCTGGGCCGGAACATAGTCGGACCGTCGCAGCCAATGTTGTTCAGTAAGAATCGAGCTTGTGGGCCCCGCGGGCGGTCTCTTCCGTTCAATGGTCCAGTGTCGCGCATCGATGTTTGGAGGACTTGGCGAAGATTGGGGCGCTACTTAGCCGTCTCTCGCAACTCTGCGACTCCAATTGACGGCCAGGTTGGGGATGCTGGATTGTACTATCAAGGACATCGGAAGGCGCTGAAGTGCCCAGGTTGGGATGCAAAGGCCACTGTTTCATTTTTTTCCAACGCGTTCTCCTGGATCCTCCAGTTGAATCGACCCGCCATGTGATGGGCGCCGATACCGTTGCAGGATAGCTTCTCCCTCGATCTTCTTTCCTCCCCCGAGAAAGACTCTTTCTCTCTCCCGGTTTTCCAACCACGGCTTTCCTCGCGCAACGCATTCCCACATGTGGTCCGCATCCTATTCCAACGACGTTGCCGATTTAAAACCTTCTTCACCCAGTTCTATACCTGTAATATCATTCGAACCCAGCTTTTCTGCCACCACGACCTACCTTTTCTGCGCCTAGCGCACAATCTTTTGTCACCACAATGGAGGGAGGCGATCGTGCTTCGAGCATGGTGCTGGGGGCGGCGCTCGAGGAACGGCCAAAGTCAAATGGCGTCAGGCTAAAAAGGGAAGAGGATACGAGCGAGTCGGCTAGCTCCGACCCTCTCAAGCTCAACTCAAGAGCGTCCAGCATGTCGCCTGACGATGAAAAGTTTGCTGGCGACGGCATTTCGACTCCCGAGGGTGGAATGGCGCCGAAAGCCTCGCGCAAAATGTCACAGAAGCCCGTCAGGAGCCCGCCTCCACTCTTCGACCATTTCCCGGACGTCACACAGGATGCGTGCAAGACGTTCCAAGTGATCAACGATTGTCTCTACGGCTCTAGAAACATGGGGTCGTCGGATCACGACGCGTTGGATTGCGATTGTGCTGAAGACTGGCGTAAGCAGCTCATCTCCCGCCTCCCCCCCCTTCCCCACCATGGCCCCTGACACATTGACCTTATTTTTTTCCCGCGTGCAGACGACGATCAGAATCATGCCTGCGGGGAGGATTCGGACTGCATCAACAGAGCGACAAAGATTGAGTGCGTAAATGGCGATTGCAACTGCGGGGAGGGCTGCCAGAATCAGCGGTTCCAGCGCAAGCAGTATGCCAAAGTTTCCGTCATCAAGACGGAGAAGAAGGGCTTCGGCCTGCGGGCGGATGAGGACCTGCAACCCAATGATTTTATCTACGAGTACATTGGCGAGGTCATCAACGAGCCCACGTTCCGCAGCCGCATGCTCAAATACGACAATGAGGGCATCAAACATTTTTACTTCATGTCGCTGACCAAGAACGAGTTCGTCGACGCAACCAAGAGAGGGAACCTGGGCAGGTTCTGCAACCACTCGTGCAATCCTAATTGCTACGTGGACAAGTGGGTGGTTGGGGAGAAACTCCGCATGGGCATTTTCGCTGCCCGCGCCATCCGCGCTGGTGAGGAGCTGGTGTTCAATTACAACGTTGACCGCTATGGCGCTGACCCGCAGCCGTGCTACTGCGGCGAGCCAAACTGCGTCGGCTTCATTGGTGGCAGGACGCAGACAGAACGCGCGACGAAACTGCCCTTGGCGACGATTGAGGCTCTCGGCATCGACGACAGCTGGGATACGGCCGTCGCCAGGAAACCCCGCAAAAAGAAGGCCAACGAAGATGACGAGGAATATGTCAGCAGCATTCAGCCCAGTGCCCTCAACGAGGACGGCGTCAACAAGGTCATGGCCACGCTCATGCAGTGCAAAGAAAAATGGATCGCCGTCAAACTTCTTTCTCGTCTTCAGGCCACCGAGGATGAACATCTTCGCCATAGAGTGGTGAAGATGCACGGTTACCAGATCTTGAAAAGCACTCTCAACACGTTCAAAGATGATACAAACGTTGTCTCGCAAATCCTCGATATTCTCTACAAACTACCCCGGATAACCAAGAACAAAATTTCGGATTCCAACATTGAAGCAGCCGTGCAGCCGCTAACCGAGTCGCAACACGAAGGTGTTGCCTTCGCAGCGAAACGACTGCTCGAAGAATGGAGCAAATTGGAAACGGCCTACCGGATCCCGCGCAAAAAGCATGACCCCACAGCACCCATCACCATAAGTTCGTTTGAGGAAGAACGTCGAAACAATCGCGACGAGCCCGCAAAGCCCGCGGACCCTCTTGCCAACATGGTCATCCCAACTGGCCCACGCAGCAACATTCCGCAGCGGAATACCAGCTATTACAGCGGCCAAAGGCCACGGAAACTTCCAACCAACTTGCCCGCCGGGTGGTATGTCACCACCGACAAGACCGGCAAGTATTACTTCTACGATGTAAATGGCAAGACACAATGGCAGCGCCCCACCGTCCCCGCCATCGAGACCCCCAAGGCATCAGCAAAGGCGCAGCAGGACCAGAAGGCTCTGCAGGACATCATCGACAGCCTAACCAAGGAGCCGACGCCGAGACATTCGGCAAGTCATACGCCGCAACGGTCGAGCACTCCGGCAGCCGAGTCCAAGAAGGAAAAGTGGCGTTCTCTGCCGATCGAGAAACAAATGAAGATCTACGAGAACACAGTAAGTTTTCTTGAGCGCCCCAACTCAACTTCCTATTTCTTCGATGCGTGCTGACCAGCCACAGCTCTTCTCCCATGTCAAGCACGTGGTTGACAAGTTCCATCGCAAGCTGCCGAAGGAAGATTTGAAGAAGTTTGCGCGCGAGGTCAACAAGAAGCTTGTTGCGTCGGATTACAAAAACAACCGAGTCAGCGACCCAACCACCATATCATCCAAGCAGGCAAAGAAAGTCAAGCAGTATGTGCAAGACTTCTTTGAAAAAGCCGTGGCTAAATACACGGCGCACGAGAAGAAGAAGGCGCAGGTGAATGCTGGGACGTCAGGATCAGATGAAGCTCCGATGTCTACCACGACACCCGAAAAGGTTAACGTCGTCATGTCGGATGTTGAAGACGAAGCCGATGACGACGGAAGCACCAGCAGTCTCTCGGGACGAAAACGAAAGCGCGAGGACGAGGTCGAGTCGCCCGAGCAGACTCCCTCCGAGACGCCGTCGGTAAAACGGATCAAAGAGGACGAACAGGTCGCCGATATCCCAAGTCCCCCCACCCCGCCGCCTCCCCCGATGGATACCCCGCCCGTGACGGAGGAAGAACGGACGAGACGCGAACAGGAGGAGGCCCTAATGCGTGAGAACGAGGAGGCGCAACGACTGGAAGATGCAGCGCAGGCTCAGGAAAGCGAGAAGTATCAGCAGCAGAACAGGCGATCCGTGCTGGTGAATGGTGCCGCTGGAGTCAATGGCTCGGGAGAGCAAATGGATGTTGATAAGCCGCCCATGGACTGCGGCCAAGGGCAGAAACAGCAGGCGGTGCTCAGCCATTAGGAGGACGAGGAGATGCAGGGCCGCGCTAGCTCATCGCGCGATCACACAATGAGATGAATTTTTTCCCCTTGCTTGTAGCGCAGAGGGGAGTTATCAGAGCTGTATACAAGGCACGGCGGGTATTTAGATACTTTTACTTTAGTTCTGCTATGGAAGGTACCCGGAATATGCGAAAGGGACGATACCCCTTTCTCTTTTTCTGATCACTTCATTGCGTCTCTCACAGCATTTGGGTGTATCTAGTCTCGCTTGGCTCAGCCATTTTGCATGACTTTCTTACTGATAGTTGTTAGAAAGGGTTGCTTCTTGCATTCCCTTTCGCTCTGCATCTTGGGGGGTTCAACATGATGACCAGGGTTCGATTTTGAGGCAGGATCATATATGGCATAGCATTATGGAAGTCGGTATCCTCTGTATTATCCCTCAGTTTTTTTTTTCTGTGGGCGCGGTGGCGGGAACACGGGAAAGAGAACAACAAGACTTAAATACCCCATCTATGTTGCAACGACTATTTGGGCATTTTGTGAGAGAGAAGCTGCGTTCTATATCTTTTATCTTGTATCATTTTTCCAGGGGAAGAAAGGGCCTTGAGGGGCTGAGACTGACGGACGGACGGACGGACAAACGATAGAGGGCCCGCACGATCGCTATATTCCACCAGCAGCCTGGGGCGGGCAAGCTGTGGTTTGTCGTGTTGGGTGGGCAGTTAGTGTCCAGGGAGGGTTGTGTTGGAGGTCTCGTTCTGTCTTTGGATACCGGGTGCAGAGATTCACTGTACATATATACAAATACAAACCCTGAGAGAGTGGTTGCCGGTCGATCTGTGGCTGTTTTTAGCTGCATTATGGAAGGGGATGAGGCAATTCGTGGATAGTGCCGGCGGTACTCCCTGGGAATGATGTGAAAGAGGGTAGGTAAGATGCAGAGTAAACAGGGAGCTATGCAGATATCATATACAGGACTGCCGGGGAAACAGCGAACCATGGCGAGTCCATTCTTGATATATGCTTCGCTAAGGTCCAGTACTTTCTGCTTACATCTTTTGGCATTCTTCACGCCCAACCTTTTGACACAGGACCTAAATCCCGCTATTGGATTGGTTTTGGCTTTCATTTTGAGATGGCGTCCCCGGATTCCAAGAAAGGAGGAATGCACCTTACACCAACCACCTTGTTGTGAATTGCTTGGAAGTTAAGGCCACCATTCCATGGACATGCCACCTGAACTAAGCAAGCAGCAATGCAAGGCAGATAAACCAGCAAGACAGCTTGGCTTGAACAGCACCCCCAGTCTGTCTTGCCCTGACTCATGTCCCAATCAGGAATTCGCGGTAAATCTAACCCCTTGTCCCGCAGTCTCAGGCACCAGCCACCGACACTTTTACCACGTGGTAACAATCTTCTCCAAAGCCTCTAGCAGAATATCCGCATGCTTCTCCTCAAAAATCAGCATCGGCCTCAGCCTCACAGCAAACTGCCCGCTCCCGCCGATATTGATACCGAACTTCTTAGCCTTGGCCAAGAACTCGTCCCGGCGAGGGTTATCGAACGCGATGAAGGTGCCCATGCCCTTACCCCTCAGATTCTGGAACCACCCCGGATACTTCCTAGCCAGCGCCATGAGCTTCGCAAACAGGTAGTCGCCGACCTTGGCCGTGTTGCGCACCAGGTCCAGCCTCTCCATCTCATCAATAATGGCCCGGAACAGCAGGGCCCGGGCCGGGTCACCCATCCACGTGTTGAACTGGCGGTAGGGCTTGTTGGGGCGCAGCTCCGGGTTGCCAAAGTAGTACCCTGCCGTCTGGGCCTTCTTGCTGAACGTGACCATGTCGGGCGGGTAGGGCAGGTCCCAGTGCTCGTGGGCCCAGAAACGGCCCGTGGCGCCCACGCCTGTCTGCACCTCGTCGACGATCAGGAGCACGCCGTGCTTGCGAGTGATCTCGCGCAGGCCCCGGAAGAAGGCTGGTGATGCGTGGTTGTCGCCGCCCTCGGACTGGATCGGCTCCACGACGACGGCCGCGGGGGGAACGTGGTAGTTGAGGATCAGGTGCTCCACCTCGTCGAGCGCCGCCTTCTCGGCCGCAGCGTTTTCGTCCGCGTGCTTTTCAAGCGGGTACTTGAGCTGTGGGAAGGTGGCCTGTGGCCAGTCAAAGGCCGGTATGTCGAGCTTGTGGATGGGCTTGGAGCGGGTGGTGGATAAACTGCCAAAGAGGCGGCCGTGGAAGCCCGTCTTGAAGCTGAGGATGGAGAGCTGCGAGGAGCCGGGGCTTTTGTTGTCCATTGCCGAGGCCATTTCCTCCTCGGTGAATTCCACTTGGGGCCCGCCGCGCTCCTTCTGGCGGCGCCACATAAAGGCGGCCTTGTAGGCTGTCTCGTTGGCGTCTGAGCCGGCCATGGCAGTGAAGACTTGATTGAGGCCTTTCGGGGCGACCCTGAGGATGCCGGTCCTGAGGACCTCGGCCCAGTAGGTTGGCGGGAAGTTACCCAGTGCTGGACGGTTGATTAGGCCATTGATCATCTCCTCGCTGCGGGCGGCCTTGTCCAGGGCCGGGTTATTGTACCCGATGGGGATGGAGGCGATCTGGGCGTAGCTAGGAGGAATTGTCAGCTTTTCTTTGTCCCAAACCTTGACGGAACCTGTCGCCGTGACTTACACGTCTAAGAGTGTGTTACCATCGGCATCGACAATATAGTTGCCTGCGCTCTTGGAGTAGTCGGTGAGCATGTTCAAGCTCCGCGTGTCAAAGACCTCATTGAGCTCGGCAATGGCCGCCTTGGCCTTGGGCCCGGGAATCTCAGTCTTGACCGATGGACCCTCGGGCTCCCAATTGGAGTAGAGGGATGACATGGTGCGGGCCGAGGCAGCGAACCGGCGGCGGCACTCGCGGGGCACGACCGAAGGTCTGCCGATTCTAGGAAGCGAAGATGAAGCCGGCGCGGCGCGCAGGAGGGTATTGCTTCTCTTGAGCGCTCTGCAGGCTGACATGGTGCCGGTATCTCTTATATTATAGAGATTTCGGCGTGGGGTAGATCAATTGTGCTCAGCAATGCGCAACCAAGTCGTCCAATCCCACGGTGGACCTTCTCGCACGACAGGTAGTGTGGCGGTCCTCGCGATGATGGTGTTTTGGACGGCAGGGTGCATGAATGAAGGGGAGAAACACCACTGCACCTTCTCACTGGTGCTCCCTAAAGGATATTGACGGCTTATACTTTTGGGTACCTGAGACCTTATTCAAGTAGGTTCGCGCTAGCGAGCTGGAAGCGGGCTGTCATCGGATGTGGGGAAGATGCAGCGCTAATCCGGACGTTGGTGTTGATGTTTGTCGTCCTCTGGGTTTACGTCAGTTACATTCCCCGCCAGGTTTCCCTCCTCGATCAAAGTTAAGTGGTAAAACCGGCATATTTCCAGCGTGTCAATGTGATCATCAAAATAAGTGATCTTCTCATAGTGACAAAGTCACTGCTCCTCTTTTACTCCATATTCGCGTTGCTGTTTTCCTTAGGGCCAGATTCGATTCGGGCTGAGCAGTTGACCGGCCAGCAGTTGAGTGAATTCCAGGCCTGTAGGTTCCAGTGGGTCAGTGGGCAATGTACCGCATTAGAGCGCCTTGGCGGCTAGGGGGTTGCTT